TCACTATCGAGAATTTATTAGGACTTCAGTCCATATTTTCAATTTTTCAATCTGGAAGCGGTGTGAAAAAACCCGAGGAGTATGTCGAACGCCTTGAGAACGACATTACCCACAATTCTAAATTTAATTTTGTTAAAGCACACTCAAAGTTTTCAATAAAAGAATTACCCGAGGACCCGGAAGAATTATTAAAAGGTAAATTTATTAAATAATTAAACTGGTTTATTTTAGGAATTTTTCAATCATTGATTGATAAAGCTGTGGTTGAGAGCCGCAAACACGGTTTTGAACCGGAACAGTTAGGCTGTGTAGTGAGTAGCCCGTTATTGGATCATGATATATGGGTTCCAGTGAGGTTGGTTTAGATTTATGAAAAATGTTTTTAATAAAATTGTGATTTTTCAGAGATAGAAATGAAAATACGGTTGATGCAATCCTCAACCGTTTTCTACTCGTGGCCCAGAGTTTCCGACAGAAAAATGTTACTCTATGGGGGCAGCCGTTTACTGTTAAAGTTACGACTGTTAATAAAAGCGGACTGCCGAAACAATGACAACTTCCTGGAGTAGGACGCAATCTCTAACTTGTTCGTCACCGAGTCAATGATCAATCATTGATTAAGCCAGTTTACCAAGTTTTTTTAAAACTTGGTAAACTTATTACCTTACACAAGGGCAAAAGGACATAAGCCAAACTGTGTCTTAACAATCTCTTTACGCCCAAGCGGCTTTTCCGTTCGTGATTATGGTTTTACTTTTAATTAATAATTGTATCTTTCTCTTTTATTTCATAATTTTGTTAAAAAATAAAATTTATAGTGCAAAGTTAGTGTGAAGAAGTATATAGTTTTAGGGGTAAATATGCGGAATTAACGAAGAGAAGAAAACATTTAAAACGCGGTAGATTTTAGGGGTGAAAATGAAATTAAAACTAAGTTCAAAAATAACAATTAGAAGTAGTCATTTTTAGGGGTAAAAACGCTGAATTAATGAGATGAAGATGAAATTTTCCAAATTTCATAAAATTAACAATTATGTGTATGTGCGCACGTGTGGTCTGCATATACACGTGTGCACACACATATACTGTCCACACACGTGTGCACAAACTAAGTTCAAAATTAACACTTAGAAGTAGTCATTTTTGGGGGTAAAAATGCAGAATTAATAAGACAAAGATGAAATTTGGAAATTTCATAAAATTATGAATTATGTGTATGTGCGCACGTGTGATCTGCATATACACGTGTGCACACACATATACGTGTCCACACACGTGTGCACAAACTATGTTCGAAATTAACAGTTAGAAGTTGTCATTTTAAGGGGTAAAATTGCGGAATTAAGCAAATGAAGATGAAATTAGGAAAATTTCATACAAATTAACAATTATATGTGTATGTGCGCACGTGTGATGAGTACATTTACCAACCTTCCATCTCATCCAGCATATCAAATTCTAATGGTTCATCGTTTTTATCAGAATCAGAAGTTGTAGTTTTGTCAATATTAAGTTTGTCGGAAACTTCGACATAAAGTGGTTTATCGTTGTCCATAACAGGGAAGCTTATATAATCCTCTTCTTTATCATCAACTAATTCAAGTAATTCAAGAGGGTAGTATCGGTCCTCACAACGGCGTGGGAACTTCTCAACCACGCATTGAAGATAAGGATAACGTAAACGAATCCTATGTCGTGAATAGTAGTGAGCTGTGACAGAGACGTTATATGGACGAGACAGTGTCCCGTAAGCCATTATAGTATGTGCTCCTAAGGGAAAGTTTGTTTACGTGGGAAATAATTAGAAACCTTTATGGGTAAATCCGTGAAACGTGAACGTTTTGCGAAAGTCATTACGGTCCGAATAAAGGGTTCGGACAATCCTTCCTTTGAGCTTCGAATATAGAATTGCACGCTTTGCCGGGTGGTTTAAGTGGTCTCGAAGAGACTTTGGATGGCAATTTAGTATTTCGGCGCACTCATCGATTAAATGACGCATTTTGAATTTAAGAAATTAATGAATGAAAATTTTTAAAAATTTTTTGGCTTTTATACTCGCTCAAACCTTCACATATATTAAATATTTAAAAAATACCAATTAAGAATTATATGGTCCCTCGATTATACAGAATATTTTAAATGACAGATGTTTAATATATTTAAGACTATTATACTATTAAACAATCCGAACGACCTTGAGAAAATCTTTTAAATTTTATTAAAATTAATATTTTTAACAATAATGAATAAATATAATATTAAATATTATCGGAATGAATCGGTAATTATCTTTTTTTAAATTTAATTAAAAATTTTAGAAACGACAAGCTCATTATGATTTGCCACTCGGTGTACAGGCTTTAAGAAAATTACAACAAAAACAAAATTGTAAAAATCGGATAATGAAGAATTATCATCGTTATAATCACAGAGAGGTAGAATTTTTAAATTAATTTCATATAACCCGTTGAACTAAAAGAATAAGAAACATGTTCCACTGCACATCCGCATCCTAAAAATGCAACATACACTAAGAAAATTACAACAAAAACAAAATTATAAAAATCGAAAGATGAACAATTATCATTTTAATCACAGAGAGGTCAAATTTTTAAATTATTTAATTTCATATAAAATTTTAGGGTAAAATATTCAAATATAAGAATCGTGAACCACTGCGTATACGTCTCCTGAAAATACGACAACAAAATCAGCAAATATTTATTCAAAAGATGAAAGAACAAAAGCTGCTTAAAGAATTTTCAAATTTAAAAATTGGCGATTAATAAGCTTGATTAACTTTTTTGTAATTTCAACCCTATTCATTAAATAAATTTATATATTCCCTCTTTATTAAAATAAATTACAATAATATACTTAATTCTTTTCCATCTCAATATCATGCCTTTCCTAAAAACAACAGCTGCATCTGCTGTAGTTTTTGACAGTTTGGCAGAAAAGATTGAAAATGATAGGGAATAAATTTTCTCGGGTAGGATATATTATTAATTTTTCCATTTTTTCATGATTTAACTTAATATTATAGGATAATTATATTTGACTAATAATGGACAACAACAACACCCAAAATATTGATTTGGGATTAAGTAAATTAATGGATAAGTTATCTTTAAACGTTGAAACTGCTCAAGATCAAATTCAAGAGCTTCAAAGTACAGTCGAAAATCAAAATATGCTAATTATTCAAGCACGACAACAATTACATGTTTTGCAAGAGACTGTTAATTATCTTCAAAATCGTATAATTATTTTGGAGGATCGTCTTAATGTAATTTTAATAAATATATTGGGTCAAACACTGATTGGGCCACTCAATTATTAAAGTCTCTCATTGAACTTACCATAGGGAATTGAGTTAAATTGGGAAAGGGAAAAGTATGACCATTATATAATATGATTTAAAAATAAGGGTGACCCTAAAACTCGGTATACCCGCAAGTTGTAATACATTAGATATTTATTTAGTTGAGAAATAACTATTTTCTGGAACCGGAGGGAGCTGAAAATCATATGGATTTTGTTCAGCAAGATGTCCAGATGTTAGATTCAGAAACCGATGAGGAAATGTAATTGAACTTACTGTTTGTAAAATTTTTCATTGAAAATAAAGTTGAAATAAATTGTTAAAAAGTTAATTTTAACCAAATAGTTCAAAAATTAAAACCCGTACACCCGCAGAAGATTGAACCCCAAAAAACATTAGGGGTAAAGGATAACATCCCAATATTTTAGTGATTTTGGATATAGTATAGTATACCGGTGGTAAAAGTTCGGGACATGATTTTAATAGTAAACGCTAAAATTTTAATAAAAAAAACAGGACAGCTCGACGCAACTCTGCTTGCGCAGGTGCATGTGTACTGTCCTGAAACAATTCACCTCGACGCAACTCATAAAAGTGCATTTGTGGTGAATTGTAATTTTGAAAACAACTTTTACAATTAAAATCAAGTACCGTTAAAACTATTATATAATTTTTTGGGGACGATTTTTAGTTTTTGAATTGATCCCATTAGTTTTGTGATTTTAATAGTAAGTTAAAATATTTATAAAAATCAGGACATTACCAACGAATGCATTGATGCGACGGTTTTTTTATTACCAACAGTTCTACACTATCGCCACTGGCGCGTGCTTGCACTGTTTGAATCCGCTCTACACTATCGTTAAAAAACGCGTGTTTGCGCAGACCAACAGTTCTACACTATCGCCATTGGCGCGTGCTTGCACTGTTTGAATCCGCTCTACACTATCGTTAAAAAACGCGTGTTTGCGCAGATTTTTTTAATAAAACATTTACGTTCAATAAAAACGTATAATGAGGTGTATCAAACCGTCGCATCAATGAAAGTAAGTTTGTTCTGCATCGACACAAAACGTATACACCGCTCAAACTGAATTTTTGAGAATTGAAATTAAACAAATTTTTTAATTAAAATCACAAAACTAGTAAAACATATTTATTTTTTGGGAAGTTTTGCAATCTTCTGGGGGTGGAACTGCGGGAAATGAAAATACTATTTTTAACATAAATGGTCCCCAATTATTTGATAAAAACATAGCCATACAAAAATTTTTTATCGGAGTAAAATAGGTTTTTTAATAAAATAAGATTTTTTAACCTTTTTTAATTTCCTTATAATTTAAAACTATTTTTATTTTTAAAAAATTTAAAGTTTAAAAAATTTAAAAATACCCCTGATGAATTTTTCCCATTTAAGAAATTAATTTAACAATCGCATACAAACAGTAATTTAAAATTTAAACAAACATTGGTATTTAATATTAAAAAAGTTAAATTTTCTCTTTACGTCAAATTCAGGTCAATAAGCAAATCTGAGAAACCGCATATTTTTTTTAATTTGGAATAAATAAAACTGAAAGAAAATAAAAAGAATCAATAAAAAGCAATGCGTGGAAAGTTGTTCATCTTCGTAGGAAAAGAAAGCAATTGAGGAAGGATGGATGAGTGACAGTATACACTCAGACTCAAATGTTTGATAGAAGGGGTTTCTAGTATAAGTCAGAGAAATGAATTTGTTTACAAAATTTATTTCTCTACTCTATACTTACATAAATCCCCCTCCTCCCCTCCTACTATTTTGTATTTTGAAGGATTAATTAAAGATTTTTACCGCAAAAAACAATTTGTAATCAATTAGTAAAAGCAAATTAGTTCAGACCCCTCCACCCATTAATAATTAATTAGGTACTAATTACTTCGGACCCCTCCCCCATTAATAATTTATTACCCCGGCGACAGGATCAAAAGAAAACGCCGACAAAATCCCCCCATATCCACAGGATTTCTCGGACCCCTCCCCCAGACCCCTCCCATAGGTTGGCGGCATCCCTTTGTGCGAAAATACGGGGGCTAACTACTACTAACGTTTCTTTAATTAATTTATTTTTTTAGCCTCGATTCTGGTGAAATTATTCAACTTCAATTAGAATTGTGTATAAAAGATGGAGAACGAATCCAACGTTTATTTCAAGTATTTACTGGACATGCTACAGGCTCATCAACATTTAAATATTTATTAATAACTGATCAATATATTTATTTATTGGCTCCAAAAGATGAAGAAAATGTTAAAGAAAAGTTTGGGAATAAAGGTTTTGAAAATATTAAAAATGTTGTGACTGGAACAACAAATGCAGAATTGGGTATATCTCCAGCAAGTGTAGTTATTGAAGAATTGGCAGTTGAAGCTTTTGAAAGAAATAATAATAGATTGGTTAATGGAGAACCTCCTGTTAAATTTGAAATTTTGGTTAGAGTTTGTTTTTGTATTTTTTGGGGGTTTTATGGCAATAAAGGGACTTTGTGGATTCACATTAGGGTAACCGATTTGCCCTATTTATCGGGCCTATTTTTGACCAATTTCTTTTCTATTTTTGTCACATTTTTGGGTGGCTATTTTTAGAGATCGCCCTATTTTAGAGATTTGAAATTGGTCACCCTGATTTACATCTATGGTTAAACCCAGGCCTTATTAAAATTATTGAGGATATGTGTACAGAATTTCATTTAGTCTTATCAAATAGTTGTTATATATGTATGTGTCCAAACCATGGAACGAGTTGACAAAAAAACAGAATTCCTGATTTTGGGAATTCCCGATGAAAATTTAATTCCCTCTTTCGTGAAAAACCGATTCTCATCCCAAAAAAACGGGAATTCCCGATTTTTGGGAATCAGGACGGCTCGTTCCTTGGCCCAAACATGGCTTGCGCTAGAAATACCAAAAAAATTTCTCAAATTTTTTCCCCTAATTTTCTATTTTTTAGATAGCCTTACCTCTACCAGATTTAGAACATTTAACAGCAAGTATCGACGCCCAAGTTTTATGTTTTCATTCAAAAAATGTCAACTTTGTAATTTCTCCTCAAGCTTCTACTGGACATCAATTGAAAACTTTTCTGGTTGAAACTTGTTCAAAAATTCTTGGAAAAACAATCGTTTTTGCTATAAAAAGAACAATAACAAATAAAATTGCTTTGGAAGGAATTTATTTAAATTCAAAAAGTTCGTCTTCAAATTCTGAAGAAAAGAAGGAAAAAGAAAATGAGAAGATTAAACCTTTAACTGTTACAGCTTCACATTCTTCACATTTGGCTTTTGTTATAAAAAGATTTTTGTCTAATGAATTTGGACCGGTTTGTTTGATTTAATATTTTTATATAATTTTTTAAATAGACGAGGGTTTTAGGAAAAAATTTTTTACGGATTTTTTTACTGATTTATTTTTGCGGGGAGCGGGTCAACTTACCGCAAAGCTATAACTTTGTTCAAAATTATCGAGCCCGTGACGCCCTGGTATGGTTCGATGCGTTTCGACGAGCTGAATCAAACCATACTAGGGCGTCTCGGATTCGACAATTCTGAACGATGTTATCTGCGTTAAGTTGCGCTCGCGGTAAGTTTGGGGTGTACCCTTTTCGCTAACACTTTTTGCGGACTTTGGACTTTTTCCTTTGGTCTATTTTTGCAGACTTTCTTGGGACTTCTTTTTACGTATTCTTTACTGATTCCTTTTTTGCTGATTTTAAAAAAATTTTATTATTTTTTTCTCTTTCTTAGAGAGAACACGATATTTTCTTCATGTCACTAATTTATTGGCAACAAAATTTGCATCAATACCAAAAATCTTTAGATTCAACATCATCCCTTGACGGTTATATGTATATTCGAGAAATTCATCAAAAAAGTTGGAATAGAAAAACCATTACAGAATGGAAACAATCTTATTTGGTTTTGAGGTTTTTTTTTAATTTAAAATATTTTTTGATTAATTTTAAATTTTTTAGAGGTGCAATGTTTTATCAATTTGCGGATTCTTCTTTTCAATATGCACAGCATTCGTTAAATTTAAGGTGAAAAAATAATTTTTTGAAAAAGAATTTTGAATTCTTATTTAAAAAGATTTAATTTTTTTCATTTGAGGGTTTAAAATTGTGTTTTTAACGTAAAAAATTCAACAAATTTTTTCTGTTTGTTTACGTTAATTCCCATGAATGGGGTCTTATTATATAGGGAGCAGGCCAAGGTACCGCAAGCTTAACGTACCGAAAAGCTATAACTTCGTTCAAAATGGTCGAATTCGGGACGCCCTGGTATTGTTCGTTGCGCCTCGACGAGCTGAATCGAATCGTACCAGGGCGTTCCTGATTTGACAATTTTGAACGAAGTTATAGCTCTGCGGTACCTCGGGCTCTACGATATTTATTATATAATAAGTTTATTGTCTTATATTTTGTTGTTGTTTGGTTCGGGAGTGGTGTTATGGGATCCGTGGGACAGTCCTTTGGGTTCGAATCCTTTTGGGTCCTTTTATTTTTCTATTTTGTTTAATCAAATTTTATCTTTAATTTTATTGATTAAATTATTTTTAAAAATATTTTTTTCAATTTTTAGAGACATAATGGAAGAGGTCTGCCGTATAGATTTAACAAATGATGAAAAATATGTCTTTCAAATAACATTTTCAACCGATACCTCTGCTGCTGGTAATGGTAATAGTTTATGTGCCTTACAAATTAGTTGTCCAAACGAGGAAATTTTGCAGCGTTGGATTAGTGCAATTTCTATGGCTTTGTATGTTTCGGTTTGATTTTTTAAATTTTTATTTTTGGCATTAAAAATTTTTTTTGTAGGCTGATAACCCTCCCCCAGTTGCTTGTATGGCCATTTTAACATCTACCCATTTAGTTTTTGCACAGGAGGGAGTTAATTGTGCAGTTGATGGATTTATGAGATGCCTTTGTTCTATAAGTCGTGAAGAATTTAATGATATAAAAATGTTAGTTTTTTAATAATTTAAAAATAGAAATCAAAGTCGAATCTCACTATAAGAAGCCTCAGTGCTGAAAATTGTCGTATTTTTGAATAAGGTGCATTTAATGTTGGGTTATCATTTAGGTGGTTCACTCTCTGTGTCTAACTAGATTTGTATTTAACTGGCAATAGCTTATAGCGTCGTTTGACTGTTTACTACAGAGTTGGGTCGGGTTTTTGAACATTTCTTGGCTTGAAGAAATTCCAGTTTTGGGTAATTTAACTTGTCTCTGATTCACTCTACAAATCTCTCCTCAATTTACGAACTTCTAGGTTGAAAAACATATAAATGAATTTTTACAAATTAATAACCTTTATTTTTTTTTAACTCTATTTTCTGACTCTACTTTCCTTTAAAAATTTAAAAAAATTTTGTGACACTAGGACATTTCGTCTTATGCCGGTAAATATCTTTATTTTTTATAGATATGCAGTCCATACAGAATTTAATACAGGATTAACAATTCGTCGAGATGATGGTTCCTCAGAAGATTGGCTTTTATTTCGCGAACGTTCAGAACTTGACCGTATAGTTGATTGTTTGCGTTTAAAATGGGATTTAAAAGTTAATTTTTGTTGCGATTTTGTGGTGGAAAAATGTAAAGAATTATATTCTTGTGGAGAAGATTTGGATTTAGATGATAATTTGAGGAAAGATTTTTTTAAAAAATTGGTTTTGGAATGCTCTCAAATGACTAATTTGTGGCGTGTAATGCCTATAGAATCTGTTGATGAGTCTAGGCATTTTTAAAATGGAAAGGAGATAAAGGTTTTTTTATTTTTTTCTATATAAATCAAGGGCGTAGCCAGAGGGACTTCTGGGGCTATAGCCCCCCCCCCCCTTGAAATGGGGAAAAGGGAAAATATTGTTATACCCCATTTTAGCACCCCATAAAATTGACATCCTGGCTACGCCCTTGATATAAATTAGAGATGGGATTGGGAGGCTTATACGACGGGATATCTCGAAAAATATTTATCGAAATTTTTAAAAAATTTGACTGATGTGAGATCTCGCTTTGGTCCAATCTCTAATAAAAATAATGTATGAGTATTTTTAATTTAAATTTGCCTGCCTTTGAAGAAGAAAAAAATTTTTTTCTATCATTTTTTTATTGTAAAATTAAAAAATTAAAAAATTAACATTTTTAAGGTAGAAACGACATTTGATATTTAATTAAATTTTTTTTATTTTTAAAAATTGAAATTTTATTTATTTTTTTAAGTATTTTGGAGATGGAATTCCTTTACTTTTTTTTAAAAAAAAATTATTTTTTAGAGTTTTTGCCTTAAATAAAATTTATAATTTTTCTGTTTAACAATTGTCTAAATCAATTTAAATTAAAATTTATGAGAGCTTTTGTGTGTCCTTCTATAATTAAATAGAAAATTTTTTAATTTAATTTTTCTTTTATTTATATCTCCCGTTGCTCATTTAATCCAAGCTTAGCTGTTTCTTCACTTATCTAAATTTAAAAAGAAAAAATATATTTTTTTGTTTATTTTTTGTGAATTTTCTTATTTAAACGATAAATATTTTTTAAATTAATTTTTTTTCATTTTTTGAATCAAATGTTTTTTAGACTTTAAATTTTACTTATTTTTATTTTTAAAGAACGTTTTCATATTTTATTTTTCTAAGAATTTATGCTTTCCAGTTCCAGACTAAAAACTGGGCGTATAATTAATTTGGCTGTCTGCACGGTTTTTAAATTTTAATTTTTAAAAATTGCTTTTGAATTTTTAGGTTAATCAATGGGCACTTGATTTTACTGGAAATAAGGAGAGAATAGTGAAAAGTAATTTTTAATTTTTTTTTTGTTTTAGGGATACTTTAAGTGTAAGGGGCTTTTTTAATTTTCTATTTTTAAGAGGTAAGGGGGATAAGGGGCTTTTTAGATTTTTCTATTTTTTCGATTCTAAAGGGATATTGGGTATGTGGGTTTTTTCTATTTCCATAAATTTCTTGTTTTAACTTCTGTTGATTTATGGGGGCGGATTTATTTAGAAATTTATTGAGAAATTTCGAGAGTGAAACAAGGTGGTCAATCCGGGCCGAAGAACCCAAGGTTTTTTCGATCCGGGCAGAATATCCTGAAAATTTTCCAAGAACCGACACTCTAAATGGAATCACTTTTCTTAAAGTTGTGTCTTTTATCCACAATATTTGCGCATTTTTCTTTCCTTTTTAATTTTTAAAATTTTCATTTCGTTTTTTAGCCTGTCGAGATGCTTACGAAAAAGGTTCAAAAATTCGTCTTGGACCAGAATTGGAAATACCTGGATATAATTGTCTAGATCATTTTCATGAACTTGACACTGAATTACATTCGTGGGAAATTTTAAAAGAAATTGTTGATGAATCGATTAAAGTTTGGAATTTTTTAATTTTTTTTTTGAAATTTTTTGAATTTTTAAAGATGCCAGATCTATTAATCATCACAGGAATGCCCATTCGTTATAGATTAGGACTTTACAATTGTATGGTTTCTTTGGCAAATGGACACCTTATTTTTGTCTATCCGAAAACTGTTCTGGCAAATGATGATATTTATAGAGAAGGAAGGTTTGTGTTTTAATGATAAATATTTTTGTTTTACAAGTTTATCAGATTCCAAGTTTCGGTCCTGATAGCTCTACGGTGTCCTTAACAGGGGTGTGCGAATTCCACCTTTCGTCGATTCAGCCTTTTCAGACTTTCGCCGTTCGCTTTTTTAGGCGAAATTTTTATCACCCCATGATGACGGTATACGAGGGAAACGTGGTACACATCCCTGGTCAGTAAATAATTTCTGGCTTGATTTTCGATTAAATTTTGAGCTTCGTTCTGTCTAAAATTCTTTGTTGACCTTATTAGCCACCAATTTAAATTTTTTTCTATTTTCAGATGGTTCGTTTCCTGGGTGCACAAAAATAAAATTGTTGATTTAAAATTAAATCCAGATTTTGGATTTTCTCAGGTTTTTTAAAAAATATTTTCCTTTAAAAATTTCTAAGGAAACTGTTCCTTTCGGAAATGGCTTTATTGAATCAAAAGATGGTGTTAAAATAGGGTTTGAAATGTGTGAAGAAATGTGGACTGCTCGTTCTCCAAGTAATGACTTGGCATTACAAGGAGTTGAAATTATATGTAATTCTAGTGGAAGTCATCATGTACTTGGAAAATCTTATAAAAGAATTAAACAATTAGTTTTGGGGATTACTTCAAAGGTTTTTTTTATTTAAATTTATTTTTGGAATTTGGGAAGAAATTGGGGAACTTTGCTTTCTTTTTAGAAAGTTCAAAAAGGTCAAACCAATATGGTCGTAATTTTATTTTACTTTTTAGATTTCTATTTCGTTTAAGATTGCCGGTTCATGGAAAATTTTTGAATCTTAGGAACTGAATCAGAGCTAAAAACGGTCGAGACCGGGCTCATTCGATAGAGAATATGCCCTTTCTAGCAAGGATTTTTTGCCGTTTTTGCCCGTTTTTTGATCTGGCCAAGATATGGCCCTCCAAAGTCCCAAAATTTGCCATAATTTTCCCTCCTCAAATATAAACATTAAATAAGGGGTTAATTTTGTTGGCGTTGTGGTGTAGTGGTGAGTGTGCTTGACTTACCCTTTTTCTCTAAAAAGTTCGGTTCTTTTTGGGTTTTATTATTTTATCTAACTGTTTTTAAACATTATTTATTCCTTTTTCAACAAAAAAAATTTTTTTGTTTGAAAAAAATTTTTTTTAAATTTTTTTTAAACTAGATTTGTTATAAAACTAGAATTTACTACAGCTGGCACATCGAATAAAACCATTCCAAACAATTAGGTGTATTACATCCAAAAGGAGACGATAATGGATGATCGAATTCTCCCGGAGAATCTTCTCCTCTCCACCCAATAACCGTTTTTAGCTCGGACACCTCGCAACCTCTCCGTGTTAGTAAGGTCAAAAAATGTCTGGGCTTGGACTCTGAGTACAAGAAAAACCCAGGCCTTGGTCCAGACCCAGCTCGATCTCTAATATATACCCTCACTTGCTTTACCCTCACTTTCAATGTTTCTAAATTGGAGATTATGTTTCCTCTCTATTATCTTTTTTTTATAATTTTTAAACAATTTAGCTGGGAGGTGTTTATATGTATTCAAATCATCGTGGAATGGATGGAGAACGAGTATATTTTGATGGAATGTCTTCAATTGCCCAAAATAATGATCTTTATGCACATATACCTCAATTTGATTTGGAAGATACTTGCACTAAAAATTGTTTATTAAATTTGGATAAAACGACTGTTTATCGTGGAAATATTGCTAGTACTTGTCAAGAGGTTTAAATTTTGTTTTTGAAAAAGTCCGCAAGTTTTGTCCGCAAATTTTTTTTAATTTTGCGGACAAAATTTGCGGACTTTTCTTCTTTTAATTTTTATTAATTTTCAAGTCAAGTCGTTCCGGAGATATGCCAATAGTTACTTTTGATGCAATCCTTTTAAATTCGAATACAATAAATCAGCAACTTTCACTTCCAATCGAAGTTAAACCTTTAAGTGATGTAGAGGAACTTTGTCATGCCCCAGCTGCGTTAGTATATTTTTTTAAGGTTCTTTTAATTTTTAAATTATTTTTTAAGATGGATGTGGCATTATTTGAGAAGAAGTAAACAGGTTATTTTTAAATTTATTTTTGTTTATGACTTGGGAAGAGTCCGCATTTTTTGTCCGCAAAATAAAAAATGTCCGCAATTTTTTTCGGAAAATCTTTTTTAAATGAAAAATCTTCTATTGGGGACTCTAATCATGAAAAATAAAAGAAGATAGTCAAAAATCAACCCTCTACGATCTTTCATTTTCCTTGTTTCTAGAGCGGCTTTTTCCTTCCTCTATCTGGTGGTCAAGACAGTTCTTCCGTTGCATTAATGGTTAGACTAATGTGTGAAAAAATTTGTGAAGCTGTTAGATTAAATCCAGGTTTATTTTTATTTTAAAGAGGATATTTAAAAGATTTTCTTTAAAAAGATTCAAACGATCCTGCCTATTTTTTGGAAGGAAAAAAAGTTAATTCTGACCCTTCTTTGTTGTGTAAACAAATTCTTTTTACTTGTTATATGGGTTCGAGAAATTCTTCACAAATGACGAGAGATTTGGCTGCTGGTTTAGCAAAAGATATTAATGCAAACCATTCGAAGTAATTATTTTTTATTTTAAGAGGCTTTATTATGACTAGGGATAGGATTTATATTTAAATAAATCACTGAAGCTGCCCTGCCCGCGAACTGACCACTGTCTCTTTATTTTTTTATTACATCTATCACTGGTTATTTCTGTCCTTCTTAAATATAATTCAACGGTCAGACACTGGTCAGTCAAGGCTTGTTCATGACCAGGGTCGTTTTTTGCCTTATTTAAATATAAATCCGATCCCTAATTATTACCTTTGTTGGAATTAATTAAGACCATTTTAATTGCCTTTTTGGCTGAGTAAGTGTGGTGTAGTTGGTAGTGTTCTCGATTTTTGGGGTAGAACATGTTTTTCGAATCCGTTTGGGTTTCTAATTTGCTTTACTCAGATTTATTAGCGGTATTTTTTTTTGTTTTTATTTTTTTCAAACTTTACTATTTTTTGACCTTTTTATTTTCCAAAAAAGTGAAATTTTGAAAAACTTGAAAATATTTCTAGGAATTAAGGAATAATTAAAAATTGCTATAAAATACCATCATAAATATCCTTTCTAATTTTATAAAAATATTTTTTTTCAATTTTTTTGTAGTATTGTTATTGATTCAATTGTTGATAGTTGTTTACAAACACTTAATTTTACTCCACAATATGAGGTTTATTTTGAATTTAAAAATTTTTAAAAATTTTTAAAAATAAAAAAAATTTTTTTCAAGTCCCCAGATAAAAGAGAAGGCATCGCTTTACAAAATTTACAAGCTAGAACAAGAATGTTATTGGCATATTCACATGCACAAACAGATTTAATAACACAAGGACGTTGAGTTTTTTTTTTTAATTTTTTGAATTAAATTTTTTAACTTAGGCAGGTACTGGAAATTTACTTGTGCTTGGTGCTTCGAATGTGGATGAAAGGTTGCTTTTAATTGAAAAAATTTAAAAATAAAATTGGGGAAATAAAAAATAAAGAAATGAAAATAGATTAAAAAGATATGATAGAAAAAAATTAAATGGATTTAAAAATTGATTTTCTAAATGGGATGAAATGTCACCTTTTCAGAAATTTTTTTTAATTTTTTTGCTTTATTAACTGATTAAAAATTTTTTAATTTTCTTTTTTCCAGTTTGGTTGGGTATGTCACTAAATATGGTAAAAATAATTTAATTTTAAAAATAAATTAAATTTTTTAGATTGTTCTTCAGCAGATTTAAATCCAATTGGAGCAATTTCAAAACATGATTTGAGAAAATTTCTTCAATATGTTAATTCTACACATAAATTTGTTCATTTACAAGGGTATTTTTCAGATTTTATTTTTGAATTAGAAAAATTTTTTTTGGAAATTAGATTTTTGTTTTTTTCGAAAAACAGGACATTTTGTCCCATAATTTAAATAATCGAAAATCTAAAAATCTTTTAATTGTTTACTTATAGAAAATTTTTTCTAATATATCTAAAAATGCGGAGAGTATTTGCGGATAAATTCGAAGTCTATTGAAATTGGAACAAACTGGGCTATTGGGAAAAGTTCAGTGTCGCATGGTCTAACTAATAATAAGCATGTTAAACATGATTTTTCGTATAATAGTAAGATGTCCTCAACTGATATTCCGAAAAAATTTTGTTGTCCGCAAAATTTTTTGTCCGCAAGTTTTACAAATAAAAAATTAATTAAAATTTTTTTGTCTAGAATTATAGATTCAGTCCCTACAGCAGAATTACGACCTTTAAAAAACGGACAAATAGTTCAAACAGATGAAGAAGATATTGGATTAACATACAACGAATTGTCTGAATTTGGAAAATTGAGAAAACCAGAAAATTTGGGCCCTGTTGGAATATTTAAAAATTTGTTGAATTTTTGGAATGAAAAATATAATAATGAACAGGTTTTTTTGAATAATTTTTTAAAAATTAAAAAATTTTTATTTTTTTAAATAGATTGCCCAGAAGGTGGAAATATTTTTTAGACGGTATACTATTAATAGACATAAGGCAACGATTGCTACTCCAGGTTAATTTTTATTAATTTTTAAATTAAAATTTTTTATTTCTCAAATTTTATGTTTTTAAACCCAAAATTGGACTTGGTTCAATTTTATTAAAAACAATCCCCGTATTTAGAGAGGTCAAAAAAATTTTTACCTAGGAGAAGGGCTCCAAAATATGGAGAATGACATTTATTAGTTTTTTCTTTGAATTTTTCATATGTAATTTGGAATAAGTTTGGTTAAATCTATAAATATATACGCGTCATAAAAAGTTTTTTTTGTTCGTTTAAAAAGCAGAATGTGAAAAAAATTTTACTAAAAAATTTTAGAAATTTCTGAAATTTTTTTCCTAAATTTGAAAAATTTTCTAAAAAATTCCTTTTTTAATTTCAGCTTATCACGCAAATACATACAGCAATGATGACCACAGAAATGATCATAGGCCATTTTTATATCCAGATTTTACTCACCAATTTAATAAAATACGTGAATTTGTTAAAGAATTAAATATTAAAAAATAAAATTTTTTTTTATTTTTTTTAAATTTTTTAATATTAATTTTTTGATTTTTAATGATGTTTTTTAAAACATTTTTATTATCTTTTAATTATCTATTAAAAATAATTTTAAAAAGACTTGGATTTGTATGATTATTAACTAATTAATTTTTAACTAATTATTTTTGGTGTGCGCCAAACTGTTTTCTTAACGCGTTAAAACGCCAAAATTAAATATTGGCGTTTTTCCACGTTATAAAAATATTTTAGCGCACAGCTAGAAATGAATAAATTTTAAATTAAATTCCGAATTTTTAGTTAATAAATAAACAAATCCAATTACTGATTTTTTAAATTTAAATTTTCTTTCAACTAATGTCACAACAATCTCGACAGTTACGAAATCAAGTAATTCAACTTTATCGCACGGTTTGTTTTAATTTTTTTAATGCATTCCGACCTCAGTCTAAACAAACACCCTATATTTAAGAGATATCCCTTATAGGGTACACCTCTATTTAAGATACCCTCGTTATAAGGTATTACGATTTTTTCCAGACCTCAGGGGTTATTTTAAAAGGAGTTTTAGAGGCGAGAGAATTTATAAACAAATACTCTCTATTTAATTGACACCCCATTATAAGGTGCTATTATTTTCCACCCCTAAAGGGAGTGTTTATAATTGAGTTCCGACTGTTTTTAATTTTTTAAAGTTAATTTTTTTAATTTTTAAAGCTTTATTTTATGGGAAAGGAATACCCAAAAGGCTCTCTCTGGTTCCATCAAAGATTAAAAAATGCATTTATTCGAAATAAAGAAATTGAAGATGAGGAGAAAATTAAAGATTTAATTAAAAGAGGGGATTATGTGGTTAAAGAATTGGAAAGTTTGTATCAATTGAGAAAATATAGAGCACTCAAAAGTCGTTATTATGGTTGAAAAAAGGAAAGAAAAGGTTTTTTTTAATTTTTTTTTAATTTTTAGACTCCCTATAAGGGAAGAGTTGATATTTTTATGAATTTTTTTTTGGAATTTTTTTTCGTTTAAGTAAAAAATTTTTTTGTAGGATTTTGACTGAATGTCGGGGAAAAAATGAAAGACTAAGAAAAATTCGAAAAAATACTCAACTCTTCTCAATCAAGTTTGGGTAGTGCTACCCGACAATCCGGACCTTTTTTGACCCAAAAATCTGATCCGAAGGAATTTTTGAAGACCGAACCATCCTTGTTCTCAATGCCTATTTTTAGCTATTTTTTTGAATTTTTTGAAAGAATTTTTTAATAAAAAATTCGGCTCTTGTCCAGTTTATGCGTCCCATGAAAGTATATGCGTCCCATCAACAAAAAATTGAATATTTCTTGGTGTTGCAAAGTAGTCTTCATGTTCGGGATCTAGGTCCACTGGGTCTGGGACCGTTCCTTACCCTATACCTCGAAATTTCTGAAAGTTATAGCCAATTTTTAAAAATTTCAGAAAAACGATTTTAACTTTCAGAAATTCCGAGGTATAGGGTAAGTAACGGTCCCAGACCGAGTGGACGTAGATCCAGAACATGAAGAAATGCTTTGGAACCATACCCCTACTTTGCAACACCAAGAAATATCCAATTTTTTGTTGATGGGACGCATATACTTTCATGGGACGCATAAACTGGACAAGAGCCAAAAATTCTTTGAGGGAAATTTAATCTCTATTTTATTTTAGCTACTTTCATGCCAAAAAAAGAAGAGAAAATTAAAATGGCTTTTATAAATAGATAACTTGTCATTTTTAAATTAAAAAAAATTTTTTTCTCAAAATTTTTTTATTGCCAAAAAATTTTTATTTAATTTGTAAATAAATAAAATTTAAAAATTTATTTTTATATTTTTATAAAAAAATTTCTTTATTTGAATATTTTTACAATTATTTTTTTTTCAATTAAAAATTTATTTTTTAGAGAATTTAGATTTTAAAAAATAAAAATGGTTATTTGTCAAGACTGCACTAAAAATCCAGCAAAAATAAAAACTTCAAAAGATGGGCTAGTCAGATGTGTGGAATGTTTTAACCGGTGGTTTGAAGAGGTTTTATTTAGTTAAAATTAGGTTCTTTTTATAAGAATTTTTGTCACTAATTGAGAAAATGTGGAAAAATTTTAGTAAAAAATAGCTGTTTGGATAACTTGAACCTGAAAGCATCCTCCATCATAATGAAATGTACTTTAGATTGGGGAGATTTTGCCTAACAATAAGTAGCCCCCATACCTCGGCCGGGAGACACCAAGACGGGCATTTCGGGGCAGACATGGGGATGACAAAAATTGAAAAAAACTGATTTTTTGAGATTCTTTACTTGTTGTGGGATAATTTTTTTTGATTGGGATAATCTTTTTTTGATTTTAGGACGTCCACAAAACCATTATGGAAACAAAAATATTTAATTTTGGAGAGAGAATAGGAATTGGAGTATCTGGAGGAAAAGATTCGACAGTTTTAGCTGAAGTTTTAAATAAATTAAATAAAAAGTATTCTTATGGATTGGAGCTTGTACTTTTGTGTGTAGATGAAGGAATTGAAGGTTTCTTTTAATTTTTAAAGGTTAGGAGGGAGGAGGGATTTGAACTTGTTGGCCCCTTTCTCTCAACTCTACTAATTCCCCTTATAATACACCTTTTGGCAACCAAATAAATCTGAAAAAGATTATGGGGTTAAAAGCTTCCAGAAAAATTATAAAAAAATTTTTTTTTAATTTTTATACAATAATTTCTCGTTCTCAAACAAAAAATTAGCCACCGAAAGGATTCGAACCTTTCTCCTATTTCTTGTAATTTCCACTAATAGTCATTGCTTTAACCAACTAAGCTACAGGGGCAAGAATTTTCTGCCTATTTTAAGTAGAGACAGGACTGGGAGTGTCGAATGAGAATCGAGATCTCGTCTCGGTCCTGTCTCTAATTTTATGGTTCTTTCCCCCTCTCGCCAAAAAAAATTTTTTTTTTGGAAAATAAAAATTTCAAATTTCCACAGGTTATCGAGACGATTCAATAAAAGAAGTTTTAAAAACAGAAATAAATTTGTCATTACCCTTAAAAATAATTAGTTATAAACAACTTTATGGTTGGACAATGGATGAAATTGTTTCAAAAATTGGAAGAAAAAATAACTGTACTTTTTGTGGAGTTTTTCGAAGACAAGCTTTGGACAGAGCAGCTTTGATTATGAAAGTTTTAAAATTGGCTACTGGACATAATGCTGATGATGGGGCTGAAACGATTTTAATGAATATTTTGAGAGGAGATTTGGGGAGGTTACAGAGAGGGGGAAGTAATTCTAATTTGAAAAATAGTGGAGAAGATGATGATGAATTATTACCTAGAGTTAAACCGTTGAAATATTCTTTTGAGAAGGTAAGGTTGGGATGGGACGAATATGGGGATTTTGCCCAGTGGGACAATAGGAGATTTGGTAATCTTCTGCTTCATTGGTCCCTAGAAAAAATGAGAAAAAAGTGCTAGTTAGACATTTTTGAGGTCTGCCAGTAGGTAATCGAGTGTGCTGAGTTCGAATATGGGCTTAGAATTTGTTTATTTTGAACCCCGGACCCGAATTCGACCAAGTCGAATTCGAGGTAAAAATTCAAAATATTAGGCTATCGCTATTCTGACGCATCTCTTCAAGCTGAGTCGAATGATATCAAAATTATTGTGTTTCGACAACTTTAGACTGAGTTATGATCAATTAAATACACGCTTGGTTAGATTTCCGGGTATAAATCAAACACCATAACTTAGTCTAAAGATGTCGAAACGTAATAAGTTTGATACCAATCGACTCAGCTCGAAGAGACTAGTCTAATTAGACATAAAATTTAAAATTTCAAATTTTTACCTCGAATTCGACTTGGTCGAATTCGGGTCCGGGGTTCGAAATAAACAAATTCTAAGCCCATATTCGAACTCAGCACACTCGATTACCTACTGGCAGACCTCAAAAATGTCTAACTAGCACTTTTTCCTCATTTTTTTCTAGGGACCAATGAAGCAGAAGATTACCGGAGATTTTTGTTCAGTGGGACGAAATGTGCATTTAGCCCAGTGGGACGAACCGGGGGATTTTGCCCAGTGGGATGAACCGAGGATATTTGTTCAGTGGGGCGAAATGAGCGATTTAGCCCAGTGGGACGAAACGAGTTTTTATGTAAAGTGAAACCGGTACACCTCAATTGAGTCCCGACTCAATTGAGTCCCGGACCCTATAACTTATGAAGGGATGGACACTTTTTGCTACTCTTGGTACCATTGGATAGGGCATTAAATAGGCTACAATATACCAAAAAATCAAAATTCCCGACCGACTGGTAAAAAAGTTATGATCGATAAAGTGCCGAAAAATCCGATTTTTTTGAAAAAGTTAGTTTTTATATCATAACTTTTTTATCAATAGGTCAAAAATTCTGATTTTTTGATATGTTGTAGAGCTTTTGATTCTCTATCCAATGATACCAAGAACATTAAAAATTATCAACCCGTACTTGAGTTATAGGGCCGGGACTCAATTGAGCCGGGACTCAGTTGAACTGCTCCGAAGTGAAACGAATCGAGGGATTTTGCCCAGTGGGACGAATCGAAGATATTTGTTCAGTGGGACGAATCGGGGGATTTAGCCCTATGGGACGAAATGAACGATGTAGCCCTATAGGACGAATTGGGGTTTTATGTTAAGTGGGTTATGTTGCACTCCCGAATTTTTTAAAGAATTTTTTTTATTTTTCAGGACATTGTAATGTATGCCCACTTTAACAAATTAAACTATTTCTGCACAGAATGTATTTACTCCCCAAATGCTTATCGAATGAATGCACGTTCATTTATTAAAGAATTGGAAAGGATAAGGCCTCGGGCAATTTTGGATATTGTCCGGTCTGGGGAACAATTTAAATTGAGAGCTAATGTGGCTGAACAAATATTATCAAAATGTGTAAAGTGTGGGTATATAACAAGTCAAAAATATTGTAAGGCTTGTTTGCTCCTATATGGACTAAACAATGATGACCCAACTGTTGGAATTGCTAGGGTTAGTTTATTTGAAATAATATGTGCGATTTTTTACGAAATGCCAATTAGGGGGTGGCGAGACAAAACGCCTATAAGGGAGGTAGACGACACAATGCCTATAAGGAGGGTACTCGACAAAATGCCTATAAAGGGCGATCGGACATAATGCCTATAGAAAGGATAAGTGACAAAATGTCCTCGAGGCGGGAACCTCAAAATGCCTAACTGACGGGTAATCGACAAAATGCCCAACTGTCGTTACTGGACAAAATGTCCATAAGGGGTAGTTGATAAAACGCCAGTGAAAAAATCAAAATACCAGTAAGAATATACAAAAAATATTTTTAGAAGTCAAAATGGCTAGCCAAGTTAGATATGGAAACAGAACTCTCCAGATCAACAAAGACTGAAGTAGAATTCACCTTCAACAACACAACAAACAAAACCAGTGATTGTCTAACAACAAATGGGTGTAGTTGTAAAAATAATTTTAATAATAATGATTTTTAATTTTCTCTTATTGTTGACAAAAAATTCTTTTTATTAAACAAAAATATCAAAAGAATAATAAGAAAGTATTTGGGGGGAGAAGCACTAAAGAAACAAAAAAATTTTTTCAAGAAAGACCTCAAAAAGAGGAAAAAAAGAAGAAAAAAGCAATGGGGAAAAGGCGTCGGGAAAAAGTCTGGAGAAATTTTTTCGTTAAAATAAAGGAGAAAAGTAGTTCATTTTAGTAAAACAACCCAAATTAGTTTTCAATCTTCATATTCAATTAATGCATGTTTGTGATCATTCTTTTTTGCTCTACCTTTTGATCTGTTAATATTCATTTGTTTCTTTTGTTCACCAAATTGGACTAGCTAAAATTAAAGGGAATTTAAGGAAATTATTATTAAAGTTTTTTAATCATGGGTAATAATTTCTTGGGAGATTTGGTAAAGTTGCCCTTCTATCAATTATATCAACCTGTTTCGAGTTGCTGAAAGTTAGGGACTCCTAGTCTTTTATTAATTATCAACCAAAAATATTTAGAAAATTTTAAAAAGGATTTTTTAAAAGACCAAGGCCTTCGAAGAACTTGAAGACCAACTAGGGTGTCAACTTTCAGTGGATGAGAGTGAGAATAAAGAACAAATCTATTAAAAAATAAATTCCCTATAATGCCCCCTACAATTAAAAAAATAAAATCACAAACTCGTTCAATCTTTTGCGACTTGCTCATTTTCACAGGTTCTTCAATCGACACAACAGGCCCAAGATCAAAAAGTTCTCTCAATACTAAATTTTTGGTTAAATGTCCATTTAAATCGCTCTAGAAATTATTTAAAAATTAAAAAAAAATTATTTAAACAAAAAAAAAACCTTCAATAATTGACAAAGTAAATCATATAATAATTTTTGATGACATTTTTGTATATCCAAAGTTTCCCGTTTATTAAAACGAATAGATAATTGTTCAAGTTTTTCATTACAAATAACATCATTAATATGTCGAAAAGTTAGTTTTTGAAGTTTTTTGTCTCTTTTTGCTCGGTTTTTTGAAGAATCTGCTGCCAAATTGCCGAGAATTTGTTTCAAATAGTTTTGGTTGCTGTTGAAATAAGAAAAAAATTTTTTTTTGAAAACTTGGATTTTTTTTTAAAAAGTTGGGCCTAAAATAAGTGTTAAGGATTTTACAAAATTCTTACAACACGTAAGGATTTTACAAAATTTTAAAATTTTGCATAAAAAAACGCTTTGCGGCTTACGACCAAAAATAACATTGCTAGAGTTTGTCTCTGAATTTTTAAAACTTCTGATAAGACATAGAAAACCTCTCCAAAATGACAAGTCTTGCTAACGTAAAGAATCTAAAGAATCACCATGGAAGATTGACTGTGGTTACAATCTCCTAAACCTTTGCTTAATCTAGAAGGAGTTGCTTTTTATGCAAATGAGGAATTAACGGAACATTTCCCATAAGAACAGGACCTTGGAACCGTTGGAAATATGAACGTGGGTTTTTAGAAAAAATAATTTAATGGAAAAACCTAAATTGAAATTCATCATCAATATTTTCAACACCAATTTCATGTAAAATCATCAATGACTCTCCAGCTGAAATACGAGCCTCAACTGTTGTAGACTCCAAAAAAGAACAAATTCTCGGTTGCATTTCTCCAATTTGGGTTGAAATAAAATCAGAATCAAACTTTAAACAAATTTTTTGGAAATAATTTTTTTAATAAAAAAACCCGTTCTAAAAGTAAAGACCAAGAAGCTAAAGCAGAAGAAAAAAGAGAAGTACCACCAACACCCGCAGGTTTCATTGCTGACCAGATACTTTTAAGTGTTTGCATTGATTCCAAACGATCGTTGTGACTCTGAAAAATATTTAAAAAATAAATTTAGGAAAAGAATAAAAGGTTAAAGTAAACTAGGGGATAGGCTAAGCAGAGGCTAAGATTAGGGTGGCCCATGTAAAGCTCATGTGGAGTTCGAGCTGGTGCCTTCCTATACCAGGAGCCAGACCCTGGTGTTTTCTGAATTTCCTAGACATTCTTGATTCCTTGAACTCTAGGCCCAGGTCTTATTTTAAAAAATTTAAATAGTTTTGAATTGTATCTAAATGTTATCAGGCTGTTTAGACCGATTTTTCAAAAATAAATCCGTTCTCTAGATCAAGTCTATCATTCTAATAATATTTCCCAAAAAAATAAAATCACCTCAACACTCAAATAAACACAAAGTCCAATAGCCTGAGCACAAGAAGAACGAACAACTTCAGAAGCACTTACATCCGAACAAATTTGACGCATTAAATTAACAATCTCACAAATATCCTCTTCAATTCCCACCCCTAATTGTAAACTCAACAAAGCGGCCAAAGAACATACACGCGTAGCTTCCTCAGAAGTTCTTTTTAAGTTAACAAGAATAATTTCTGCTAGCGTTCCACGCCATTTTTCGACACTTTCAGGAATACAATTTTTGTTTAAGACAAGTAAAAGACTGTCAATTGCTCGAAGGCGTGTTTCTATTCTTTAAAAATTTTTTTTTTTTTAATTAAAAAATATATTTTTACAAAAACCTTTTGTCTTGTGCATTTTCTACCAAATCACCAAAAGAGTCAACAAGACTGGCAAAGTCGTTTTCGTTATCTTAAAATAATTAAATATATTTGAAAATAGAAGAGAAAAAGAGGAGCAAGTTTTGACCACAAAACAATCCCAAATTGAGAAAATAAAAAATAAGTGAATAAGAAAAATTTTAAAAACCCAGAAAAAAATATTAAAATTTTCAGCCAGAAATTTATGTGGCTAATTATGGAGTTAAAAGAAATTGTAAAAGAAAACCAGTTTTACGAATAGAAACCTCACAAACTCACTAACTACTAGGAAGTGAAGGCCAAAAAGCAAGGAAATTCATGGAAAGAATCCCCAAGCAAAATGTCTGGACGTCGGGGTTTCGAAAATTTTCAGGAGTGTTTAGTTCGAAAAACGACCAAATTTTGGGTAAACCGTCCATTCAGACTGGCTAGTTAAAAAATTGTAGGGAGTGAATTTAACCATAAAACTACTCCAAATAGAGAAAATAAAAATTAAAAAATCAAACCTGAATCAGCACCTTCACCAACCACCGACGCAGAATAAACAGATTCCAAATCACTCGTATCACTCGGATCAGGACCTCCAATCGATCCACCACCTTCAAAAAATTAAAAATAAATTTTCTAAAAAATTCTCAAAAAACCTTTCCCTCCTCCAATCGCCGCTACACTTAACGGCACAGCCAAAGTAACTTTATTTGTATTTCTCTTCTTTCCCATTATTTATCAAAATATAGAAAAACTTTCAATAAAATTTCCTCTAGAAAATTGACGGCGACTTTTTCGTTTTCTTTTAAGTGGTTGACAATCAAATATTTCGACAATTTGTTGTTTATTATATTTTTTTAGATTCTCAGACATATGAAGATTGACGAGTTTTTTTTATTTTTTTAGTTTAGAGGAGCGTTTAAACGCCTCTTTTTTTTTGCTTAAAAAATTTTTTGAAAAATTTTAAAAAATTGAAAAAAAAAATTTTTTTAATGAGAATAAATCCATTTAATTAAAAAAATGAGAAAAAACTAAATAAAAATCTTTTTTTTTTTTGAATAAATCAATAGACAGGTAAAATAAAGGTTGTTGTCTCCACGTAGACAAGAAGAGACTAAAAAATGCAGTCTTTTATAAAATTAAACTTTTTGGTTTTAGAAAATGAAAGAAAATTTCTTTGAAAGGACGGGGAGATAAAAAAAGTTTCTATAAATAGAGTTTACCTATTTTAATCAGAGATCGGACCGAGACGAGATCTCGAACAAAAATCTAGCCTATCGAGAATCGAGATTTTTCGAGATATCGATTTTCATATGACCCTCCCAGTCTGGTCTAGTTTGAAGTTAAAAAATTTTCCTAAAGGGAGGGAGGAAATAAAAATTTTCTATAAATAGGTCTTTTAGATTTAAGAAAAAAAAAATTTTTTTTTAGAGGGTTTGGTCCAGCATAATTTTTATAGAAGAATCGGTTTCAAAAAAATTTTTTTAGAAAGGCTCCCCCGCTTTGAAAGGAACAAATAAAAAGACAACCCTCCCACTAATTAGAAGCAACAACCTTTTACAATAAATAGACAGCAAAAAAGGCAAGAAATAATTTTTTGGGAGATCAACGTGAGCATTTAAAGTAAATATATTTTTCTATCCTTTTAATTTCCTCCATATTTAGAAATTAATCATGATATCGCGAACGGCCATTATTATAATAAGAAGAACCGCGATTATAGTAAGAACCGCTTCTAGAAAAGTTATTGGAATGACGACTGAAAGGAGAAAAATAAATCGGAGTAAATTTATAATGACTAAAATGACCAAAAAGGATTTAAAAAGTATTTTGAAAATATTTTAAAAAATTAATTACAAAATTGAGAATTTCATCACAAAAAATTGTGAAATCAAAAGGAAGCGAAAAATAAAGTTTACTAATGTTTAAATATTTCTCAAATACTCTCATTTTTGTGAATTATTTTTTTTATTTAAATAGAACAGTCATCCGCCGAAAAAAATTGTGATGAAATCCAAAAAAATGTTTTAAAAATTAGTTAATTTTTGCTTATTTCAAAATACTTTTTAAAAATAAAATTAAAAAGTTACTCAAATGATAAAGCAAAAATTATACATGTCGGGCTAAATCACGTAACGACAAATCACGGAATGACCAAAACATTGAATATTTTAAAAAATCTGATTTTTAAAAATATTTTGATTTTTAAAATATTCCGTACTTTGGTCATTCAGTGAGTTGGTCGTTCCATGACCTGTCTGTTCCGTGATTTGGAATTCTTCGAGTAAGCCCCCACCCAAATTATTTAACAAAGAAACTTACTTAGGTCCAAGAGCATAACTAGTCAACGAATAATCCACCCTAACACGAACTCCATTTATTTTAACATCAGACATGTGCTCTCTCGCCTTAAATATTTATTAGAAAATTTTTTTGAAAAAATTTTTCCAAACCTCTGTTGCATCTCTAGTTCGCCGAAAATAGATAAAACCAAATCCCTTCGAATCCCCATAGACTCTATCATAAACAATTTGCACACTTTCCACTGGCCCAAAATATTCAAAAATACGTCGGAGATCAGCTTCTGTTGTATTCTGAATGGAAAAAGTAAGTCTCAAGTCCTCTTTAAAATTCAAAAAAAACCTTAGTCATTCCAAATACTCCAAGACAACTGGAAACTGAAGGGTTATCACGTCCATCATTATGGCGAAAGCGTCCACCGTAGTTGGAGGAACGCGAGTAATGGCGGTCATTGGACGAACGCGAGTAATGGCGGTCATGAGAACGACTGAATTTTTGTCTTTATTGGTTTTAATGTGAAAATACCTTCGGCTCCGGTATCTACGAGATTGACTAGGCGATTTATGATAATGACGAGGCGGCGATCGAATAATACCCTCCTCACTTAAATTAAAAAAATAAAAACTAATTTTAAAAATAAACCCGTAAGTCTCAGTAGAAGAATTACGATGACGCCTGTCTTCCTCAGGAGTGTAATCCTAAAAAAAAAGAGAAAAATTATTTTTGATAATTCAGAATTATGAAAATACCCTTGATCGTCTTTTGTAGGACATTTCAAAAAAGATTTTCCTGAAGAGATTTCCTAAATAATTTTTCAGATGGTAAAAAAGGTATTCGAAATTTAAGTTAAAAAATTTTTAAAATACAAGAAAATAACCACAAATATTTTTATTAACAATAAATTACAGAACCATAATATTACAACAAGTTATTTAATATACCTATAGGAGGGAAAAAGAAAAGGGGACACAGAACAAACAAAATTAATTTTTAGAAAACAAATAATATTTTTAAGGAAAGGGGATATCAAAAGGGGAGATCGAGACAACAAATAACCTATAATATTTTTCTCAAATTTTCTTTTTTTTATCCAAACACTTCTACTATTTCTTATTACGAGCGTCGATCTGGAAAAGACGCGAACAAACTTCAACAGCTACAAGCTCTCCATTATTTGATTTGATAAAATGGAGAAGCAATACACCATCATATCCAAGTACACGGTTCACAAAATCGGCAACCGTTTTGCGATCTGAAAAATTTATTTTTTCACAAATGTGCCATTTTATGAAAATATTAAAAAGTGGACATTTTGTCCCAACGTTTAAAAAATATTTTTTTTTCAAAAAAAAAACTAACCAGTATTGAGATTCTTATTCTTGTTAGCATTAGAAACGGCAGTACTAGCAGTAGGGACAGCAATCACGCCAAAAAGCTCATCACAACGATCAACCAACCTCAGATAGTTGCTCACCGTTTGGATTCGCTTGCAGCAAACAATTCCATAAAGGAATGAATAAGCATTGAGCAAAGTCAGCACGAAGAGAAAGATGAACCAGAAATAGAGTATCAGGAAAATCTAAAAATTGAAGCTCTAAAAAATTATTTTCCGAAAAAAACCTTCTCATTGATGACGTTGAAGCCAAGTGTGCATCTCGCCTCCTGGACAAAATTTCCAGAACTACTTCCAAGAAAATCACGGCCAAAAGAGCAATAGGCAACACGAGGGAAATAACCAAATTTATCCCAGTAGAGAGAATTGCCTGCAACCATTTCTTCCGCAAACTGAATAGAAAAAGTCTACATGAATTTAAAAAAATATTTTCAGACCTTAATTCCCCAAAGAAGATCGTTCTTTCCACAAAATGCAGCGAGGAAAATACCTTGGCTAAAGATCACCACCATATTCAAACACTTGAAGGTATAGTAGAATGTGACTGCACCTAACCCAATACCATGAAAACCGCGATGTTTGGCAACCTATAAAATTTTTTTAAATGTTTAGATGATAGAAAATATTAAGTGGAACCTGATAGATTTGCTTTGCCGCTTTGTCCAAATGTACTGTGCGGTTAGCTGCTTCATCAGTACGCGCCTTTGCACAAAGCGAATTGATATGCGAGAAGTCAACATCTAAAAAAATAAGCATTTTAGAAGAAATAGAATAGAAGGAAAAGTACAAACCAGTAGACCAACCCTGGCAGAAATCCCAAAACAGATAAGGCAAGTACATAGCAACTGCTTGAAGGACGAGTACAAAGGGCACCCATTGATAATAGCCCACAAAGACCTTCTCCATCACGCCGTCAGCATCATAGTTTTTGACATAGGTGCCAGTGACAAAGCAGTATTGATGAACAAAATTGGACCAAATCTCTAAATTATTTATGGGAAGGTCAGGGAAGTTCATCAATTATGGGAAGGTTCAAAACCTGTAAACTCCGCCGGTACCATACAATTAATTGGTTTCCCAAAAGTGTCGATGGTTGTCAGCAAAGCAAAAACGAACAGAAGCGTAGAAGTAGCCTTGTAGCAAAGGCGATCCACAAAATCGTCCAGTTGAACCTTGACAGGACTTGAAAGAAAAGAATAAGATTTATCAACAAAAACGGGATTACCCAACAATTTTGACAGCAGTTTCAACAATTGTATTCATGATAAACACTAAAATCTAGAAGAGAATAAGAAAAATTTAGGGAGTGAATAACTACGAACAAACAAGGACGAAAAATAAATTGCCCTTTTATACTAAAAATTTTAAATTGACAAAATTTCCGCGTAAAAAACACAACGCCAAAATTTTTACTATAAAAGCAGACAACTTTTTGGTGCTACAAATTTTTATCGGGACACGCCCAAAACAACGCGGGCCAAAACTACGCGACCGAAACTACGCGACCGAAACTACGCAGGCCAAAACTACGCAAGGCCAAAACTACGCACGCCCAAAACTACGCAAAACTAACTATTTAGTAATGTGTGGCAAAATCAATTTTTGATCCGAAAACCGGATTTTGAATTCCAGACTCGTGCCGGACCGGCTCCTGTTGAATTTTTCCGAGTTCCGGAAAATAATTATTTTCCGGAAAATATTTTCCGAAACGAAAAATATTTTCCGGAAAATGGTTCCGGAATAGTACAGATTTTCCTGAATTTTCCGGATTTTCAGGAAACAATTTTCCGGATGCCGAAGAAAGAATCATCAGTGAGTGATCAACTGATCAAGGGTGATCATCAGAAAGTGATCAATTGATCAACAGCAGATTTTAAATTTGAATGTACTAAATAGTTTTGCGTAGTTTTGGGCGTGCGTAGTTTTGGCCTTGCGTAGTTTTGGCCTGCGTAGTTTCGGTCGCGTAGTTTCGGTCGCGTAGTTTTGGCCCGCGTTGTTTTGGGCTGTACCCATTTTTATCAGTTCAAGATATGATACATTGATAATGTTTATCGTAAATAATTTTAGGAATGAATTTCAAAAGTTTATGTTTTATTATTCTAAATCTATTCTTGAACGTCATTATTGTTGTTACCTTCACAAATTCACCTCAATGGGTTATGCAGGTGAGAGAATCCTTAAATAAACTCTTTAAAAAATTTGTAGCGCAAAAGTGATCGTTACAAATTTAATGAACGATGTATGAATAGACAAAAGGATGAACTAGAACGTTTTGGAGTACAACCTTTGCGTGCTGTTGTTGCAGTTAAGAATAGCTCACTTTGGCTGCGTTGTTTTGAATGGTTTGTTTCTTATTGTTAGATAGGTAGTATTCACTTTTTATCTTTTTTAGTCTTCATCCAGACGATGCTGATGAATTAGAAGATAAATGGAAACCAAGTCCTTCGGTTTATTTGTTTTGAAAGATTTGAAAAAATCTGTTTTTAGGCAATTGGTCGCAGAATACAGTCAGTGCTCAAATTTATTAAAGAGGTTGTTTTAGTTTTCAATTCCTCCCTTAAGACACCTCAAAATTTAGAAAATAGCTCAAGCTCGAAAACACAAAAGAAGACCTACAGTTATCGATGAATTGGCTAAATATTACTGGCAAAAAAATGTCGAATCCAATAAAACTCGAATATGGAAAAAAGCATCTCAAACGTTTGACGACAAAGGGAGAGGCTTACAAGAGGAAGTAATGGATTTTATTGACAAGTTTTTAATTAAATTCCAATAGAATATCAATTTTTGTAGAATTTTTGCCAAAGACAAGGATAAAGAGGACAAGAAAGGACAACTTCGAAATATGTTTTTGGGTGACCATTATGAATTGGAACTTCGGAAATTAACTGCAGAAGATCATTCAGGATGGTATCGTTGTGTTGGCGAACGAAAGAAGAAGGTTCATGAAGAGAAGGGAAAGGTTACAACGATTACAACGACAAAAAAGACATCAAAAATCAAACAAATTAAAACTACAAAAACTCCAAAGACAAAAAAACCTGTGAAGACAAAAAAGCCTGCAGTCAAAGCAACAAATAAACCAAAAGTCAAAAGAGCTGTTAGATCAAAACCAAAAGTCAAAACAACAAAAAACTTAAAAAGCAAAACAACAAATAAGCCAAAAATCAAAGCAACTTCAACTAAAACCAAAACAACTAGAAAACCAAAAAACACCTATTTGGACATTGCCCAAATCCAATTTGTTGATGTTATTCCAACAATGAAGATTAGAATGGTATAAATTTAATATTTAAAAACAAATTTAGAAAAAGTTAGCTCCAGCCCTAGAGGTCAACTCCATAGAGGTCGTTTGACCCTGGAGGTCGACTCTAAATATTTGGCTAGATAAAGGGAACCCAAAGTCAAGAACTCGTTGGCCTGTCACCTTTTGCCTTATCTGACAGTTACGCGAGAGAATTTTCGTCTTCTGTCCCCAAATTCCAGCAATCCTTAATCCGCCTAAAACTTCCTTGTCCGCCCAAATATTTGGAGTCGACCTTCGGGGTAATTTGACCATTAGTAAATTGACTTCTAGGGTTTAACCCGAAAATTCCCTTAAATTTAAGGTTCATGTTGAAAACTCTGAATTTTCTTGTGCAAATAAATCCGCTATATTGTGGAATTGTGATCAGTCACCTCCTATAGAAGAATCTGAAGCTCAAAGAAAATTTAAAAATTTTTCTCTTTCTGTCGATTTAAGCAAGCTTTTGGAGGTTTATGGTCGCGCAACAGAATGGAGTCAATGCAATAAATGTGGAAGTACTCGTTTTGGAGAAACTAGGCGTACTGTGCAATGTTATATAAGGGTTAGTTTTTGTTTATTTATGTTGGGGAATGCAGGGTTCTTATTCCTGGGCGGTCACATAGGAATTTGGTTTCAGTCTTCGTTATAATTCATTTTCTTTAAAAATACTTTGTTTGAACTGTTTTTTGGATATTGTCCGTACCAGAGATGTCATGGTTTGAGAAAAAGTCTGGTCGGGTTTTAATTTCGTATCGGAGTTTGGGTCCAAAAGGATATCGGGTTTCGGGCAGAGGTGGGTTGGAACAGTCAGATGTGTCGGAAATCTGAAGAGCCGGAAAACGAACTGGCTCAAAAGTAATCGGAAATCAACTTTTTTTCGAAAAACGGAAGGAAAAAAACGTCGGAAATCGCAATTCCGAACCACCTCTGGTTTCAAGGGACACGTGATATCCCTTAATTCTTCCCTTCTTCCCACGCTGCTTTCCTTATGTTTACTATTTTGCGGATTTTTTTAAACTTAAATTTTATTTCAGAGAAAACCAATTTCTCAAGTTCCTGATTTTTCTAATTATACCAAAAAAGAACTTGATGTTTTTATTTTGTTTGGTGAACTTCCATGTTTGAGTTCTTTAGTCCCTTCAAAAGTTTTTAATGCAATAAAAAATCTGGATCTGACTATTGTTGAAGAATATACAGAATGCAGAGTATTTTTTTTTAAGTTTTAAATACTTTTTAAAATTAATTTATAGATTTCGTGTAAAGACTCAGGAATAAATAATAAAGTGGCTAGAAATGTAACTTTAGAAGAAGAGGGAAAAATAGAAGTTGTTGATGTACTTGAACCTGGAGAATTTACTACAGATGAAAGATTGCCTCCTTTGGCGCCGCCAATTATTCGACGAACAATTTTTGTATGAATTTTTTAAATTTTTAATTTGGAGAATAGAAGGGAAAGCACAACACCATCCTTCTATTCGAAGGATGGTGTTGTGTAATTAAGCCGATGTTATCCGATTTTTCTGAAAAAGGTTTTTGCCCTTCTGTTGCCATTGTAAGAGATGAAGGAGATCATTAACTAGCCGGGCTAGTATGATCCAACTACACTGCCATTTTGATACAGAACTGGCTTCTATGCTGTAGAAGCATCACTACATAACTCGAATCACAATAGATGTTCTGTTTTCAAGAAAAATTTTTTCGGACTTCTCTAATTTTAAGAATACTTTCCTCTTTATTCAGACAAATTTCCCTCACTTTTTTCTCTTTCTGATAATTGATAAATTTAAATATTAATTTTAGGCAACAGAAAGTCAAATACTTTTACTTGATTGTTCCAACCAAGATGGACATTCTTTAATTTGGCGCAAAAATTTTGAAGAATTAAACAACAGCCACATTTTTGCTACCAACGAAACAAAACGTGTGCAGCTAACATCTCATGGCGAATTAATTATTTATAATATTATGGCTAAAGATGGAGGATATTACTCGTTAGTTTTTAGTATTTAATTTTTATTTTAAAATTGACAGTCGTCGGTGGAACATTTGGACCTTCTACCCCTCCCTTTATTTTTTTAATTGTGGAAAGGGGGTAGTATAATCTGACATAATATCTAATTTATTTTTAAGCGATTTGGTGCTCCAAATGCTATCCTTTCTTTAATTTACTTCGGAGTTGTTCACCACCGGTTATTGACTGATACCTCGGTTTTCGGTTAATCAAAAAATTAAAGTCATTTTCCAATTTGAATTTTAGTTAAGGAAAATTTTTAAAAATTTTCCCATTTTCAAAATTTTCGGTTTTCGATCGTGAACAACCCTATTTTACATATATTTTTAATTTTTAACAATTTTCAGTTGCACTGGCTTTCCAAGTGGCCACATTCTTCGCACTTTCCGCATTATTTATATAGCTGGGGATAAAACAAAAGATTTTATTGAAAAAGTTACAATTGTTTTTCGGGTTATTTTATTCTTTTATTTATTAATTTTAATGATAGATTTACTTAGTAGACATGCACCAAATGTTTAATTATGTTTTTAGAGGGCAGTTCATCTTTTTTGGGTTGAGATTTTTAGAGGGGATTTCCTCTAAATTATTTAAAACTCTGTTTGCCGTTAAACTTTTTGTTTAGTGATCGGCCTGGATCTGGATCCAGAGTCAGGATATGGCCATTTTTCAGTTTCCTTGATTTTTACTTGACTCAAAGCTGAGAATCTGGTCAAGGTCCTCAATTAAAATCAAGTTCAGACTTTTTTTAATTTCCGATCTTTATGAATTCCTTAGTGTTGTGTCCGCACTTGCAGAAAGAATATAAATGAAAATAGATAACCCATCATCGGGTTGGATGGTGGCACAGTCGGTTGTGCTTTCGTTGAAAGAGCAAATCTTACTGTTACAGCATCAAGAAGTATTGATGGATAAGACCATGCGGAAGCAACGTCAAAGTCCAATAAAACATCTTTTAAGCATTTGTCATAGCGTGGCTTAATCTCGCCCATTTTGTCTTTCAAATCAGAAATTGATATCATGGTAGCAAGAAAACCTTTTGCATTACGGTAGTAATTCTCGAGAAAGATGACCTCTCTGATACCAAAATACAAGATTCCATTGAAACCCATTTCAGCAAATGAGTCTTTCAGTTTTGTATGCAAAGGCACAGCATTGTCGAGTGGAAACGCTTCGCGTTCTTATAACTCTAAAATATCCAACAAGTGAGAATTCGTTGCTTCGTCAGTAAATCGAAGTTCAAGATGTGTGAACGGTTCGTATTCAAATGTAACGCGCATCGTTCCGTTGTAACATTTGTTAAATGCCTGTAAACGATTTTCTGCTGCACTTAATTGGACATCCTTCGCATTCAATTTCTTTTTTGATTTTTGAGCAAATGATGGGCTAACTACAGCTAGGTAACTGAACTTTTGATGCTACCGGAATTCCCATAATATAGCTTTTAAGTTCCGCGTCATTTGTTGCTGTTGATTTACTGACGAAGCAACGAATTCTCACTTGTTGGATATTTAGAGTTAGAAGAACGCGAAGCGTTCCCAATCGACAATGCTGTGCCTTTGCATACAAAACTGAAAGACTCATTTGCTGAAATGGGTTTCAATGGAATCTTGTATTTTGGTATCAGAGAGGTCATCTTTCTCGAGAATTACTACCGTAATGCAAAAGGTTTTCTTGCTACCATGATATCAATTTCTGATTTGAAAGACAAAATGGGTGAGATTAAGCCACGCTATGACAAATGCTTAAAAGATGTTTTATTGGACTTTGACGTTGCTTCCGCATGGTCTTATCCATCAATACTTCTTGATGCTGTAACAGGAAGATTTGCTCTTTCAACGAAAGCACAACCGACTATGCCACCATCCAACCCGATGATGGGTTATCTATTTTCATCTATATTCTTTCTGCAAGTGCGGACACAACACTTAGGTTAACTAATTACCGGTATTTAAACTTTTCCACAGAATATAATAGTAAATACCGGTAATTTAGAATTTGTTCTTATACTTGCCTTACACTTTTGAGGAATCCTTTTTTCATATTTATTTGGAACATCATTTAGGCATTAAAATTGATGTAAGAGATTGGTCTGGATCTGGATCCAGACCTTGTTTTTCACCTATATTCAGAGTTAAAATCAAGGCATTCTTTGATTTTCTCGATTTTTCCTTAACTCAATGTTAGAAATCTGGTCAAGGTCCTGAACTAAAATCAAGAATATAGGTCAAAAGGTTTTTTAAAATTCCGATCTCTATTTATGCATCCCTTAGGTGAACTGCTTTGACTTTTCTTTTCTTCTTTAAACCCCCGATGTTTATCATTATTTTATTTCATTATTTGAATTTTCTGCCTCATTAATTAATTTATTTGAGTATTATTTTTTAATAAATTATTTTTATACAAATTGTCTTTGCATTTTTTCAAAATTATTTGAATTTTATCAATATTTTTAAATTATTTATTTTAATTATTTTTAGAATTATGAAAGTGCCAATAAAAATCTTTTACAGCGTCTAGACAGGAAATCTAACCTTGTGTGTGAAATATAACTAAATTATAAGAGACGATAGACAGTCAACTAGTTAGTATTTTTTCTTTGTGCCGGTGAGTGGAAAAATTTTGTATTTTACTTAACTTATTCAATTAAGGTTTTTTTAAAAAGTTAAAATTTGTAGTTAAGATTTGGATTTCCTTTTTCTGTTAAATTTCCTGTTAAATTTGATTTTAATTTTCAGATTTTTAAATTTATCAAAATGGATTATTTTTACAAATTTAGAATTTTAATTATTTTTATACTTTTGCCTTCTATGCTGTCTTCAGATGTTGAGCCAAATGTCAATAAAAAAATAGAAGCTGAAATTAGAAAAAAGTTTTCAGAACATAAGGTTTTTAAATTTATTTTAGAGGGTTTTAATTAGGCTAACAATAAGTTTTTAAACTTGGTTAGCTTAAAAGTAATTATTAATGTAAGGAAGTAGAGAGCTACCATGTAAGTCGGTAGACACCTGTGTACGCGGTATAATAACTGCCTGGAGGACGCAGGATCGATGCCTATCCGGGGCTAAATTTTTAGTGAATTGTTCTAACTTATTAAAATTTACCAAGCAAAAATTTTTTTCACTTTTCAGCAATTTGTACATCCACCAATGAAAAATAGTGAATTATTATGTAGGTGTAATCACGATGGTTGTAGTAGGGAAATTACTGATATTGCTGGATCTAAATATGAGGGAATATGTAGAGCACATAGTGGTGGGCAATGCAGAAGAATGGTCCATTTGGGAAAGGATAAGAAAATTAAAGAAGTTGTGCTTTCGTATGTTTTTTAAAAAAATTTTTTGAAAATTATTTTAAATTTTTAGTTGTATGCACGCTGACCAGCTAGTACCTAAAGAACGTCCTTTTGTCTGCCAAAGTGTTAATACATCACAGCTTATTCAAATAGTAAAATGCTGTAGAGATGGTTCTTTTTGCAATGATAAAAAGGTTTTTTAATGTTTTTTGAAAATATTTCAATTAAAATTTTGGAAATGTTGTTTTCTGAGAGAACTTGTTTCTGACTGACACGAGAGACCTTGTTTCTCATTTATTTAGTAAGGGAAAATATTCTATTTTAAAGCCATAGGCTTGAAAATTTAAAAACTCATGTCAGCTAGAGACAGTTTGAAAAATGCTCATAATTTACTTACAAATAAAGGAAATTCGTTTTTCAAAGATTTTAGTGTTGAAACATTTTTAAAAAATTTCTAAAAGAATTTAAATTATTTCGGATAATAAAATCTTTAGACATATTAATTATTTCTTAAAAATACTTCTTTAATTCCAAAAGCTCTTTAGTGTAACGTTCACCTATCTAAAAAATCACAGGCTTCAACTTTACCACCTTTTCTGATGGTTTTTAAAATTTTAACGAGTAATAGCCTCAACTAGCAACCATAGAAATTTTTACGAAAACTTTATATTCGTTTTTTTATTTTTTTTAAAGTTTTCCATCGAAACAACTGGACAAGGTTTTCCTGAAACTTCAAACGATAACGACAATTCGAATACTTCATATTTATATTTTCTTTTACTTTTTGCTGTTTCTGTCCTCTTTTCTGGGTTTGGACTTTGTGTTGGAATTAATTTTGGTGCTAGAATTAAAAAAAGAATAAAGAAGTCTTTTGATAATTTGGTTACTCGTTTGAGGAATTTTTAGTTGGTTTTTTTTAATTTTATTGGTAATTTGAAATGAGAGATCTGAGGATTTTGCGGTTCAGTTCCTCGATTGGTTCGGTTTCTGAGAGCTGTCGACCTCCATTAATAACATATTTTAATCACTTCCTCAAAATTTCTTTTCAATTATATGGATGACATTTGCGAACTAAATTTGCGGATACCCATTAACATGAACCAAAAAATCAAGTAATAACCCAGGGATTGTCTTGGCCAGCCGTGGGCGAAACGTTTCGAGTTTTCGTAACCCAGGGATTGTCCTGGTTATGATACAAGGATAGTTTGTTCTAATTTCAGTAGGCTTCGATTTTGTCCGCAAATGTCAGTCCGCAAAAATCAGCTTTCCCTTCATAAATAAATTTTTTATAGCAATCGTCGCTTGCGTTCTTCAAGAAATACCAACAATTTACCAATGGAAGAAGTTTATAGGGTAAATGAAGAAGATGATGAAGAATATGATCAATTTATAACAACTGATACTGGTGAAAAAAGAAAAGTTTTGAAAAAATTAATTGGGGATTTGGAAAGAAAACAAAATCCAATATCAACTGGTTCTGGTGCTGGAATGCCAATTTTAGTTCAAAGAACAATTGCTTGGCAAATAATTTTGAAAGATTGTATTGGACGTGGACGTTTTGGAGAAGTTTATATGGGGGAATGGAGAGCTGAAAAAGTTGCTGTAAAAATTTTTTTATCGAGAGATGAGCCTTCTTGGCAAAGAGAAACTGATATTTACAAGCATAATATGTTGAGACATTCAAATCTTCTTCGATGGATTGGAAGTGATACAAAAGGTTTTTTGATATTTTTTGGGGGGAAAGGATGTTTAGGAGATTTTTAAATCCGATAAGTGTTATGGTTAAGTTGGTTTTTGAAGGATTATGGACGTGAGTTCGATACTCACCTGGTCTTAAATTTATTTTTGGTGAGTAAAGATTATCTTAGGATGTTTTCAAAATAAACAGAGCAGTAATTCCTAGAAGAAAAATATTCGATAAATGGTTAATTAAAAAAATAAGTGGTATTGTTTTTCTTTCTATTCCCTCTATAGGGATTTTTTATCTTTGGGAAAATTTTTTTCTATAGAAAATTTAGGAATTTTTTATCTTTTGAATTTTGCCATTCAGAAAAAAATATTTTTTAGCTATTCCCTCTATAAGAATTTTTTATCTTTTGAATTTTGCCATTCAGAAAAAAATATTTTTTAGCTATTCCCTCTATAAGAATTTTTTATCTTTTGAATTTTGCCATTCAGAAAAAAATATTTTTTCCTTTTTTAAGATGCTGGTTCATCTACCCAACTTTGGCTAGTCACAGAATATTTACCAAATGGATCTCTTTATGATTTTCTTGAACAAAACAAAATTACATTAGAAATGAATATTCAATTTATGCGTTCAATAGCTCATGGATTAGCTTATTTACATTCTGAATTGCCTGGAGTGAATAATCAATGCCGTAAATATTTTTTTTTTATTTTTCTAAAATTAAAAAATTTTTTGTTAAAGATAAGCCTGGAATTGCACATAGAGACATAAAATCAAGAAATATATTAATCAAAAATGATTGGACTTGTTGTATAGCTGATTTGGGAATGGCTATAAGATATGGAAATGGTTTAATTGATATTCCTCAACAGGATCGAGGAGGCACAGTGGTGGGTAAATTTATAAATTTTACAAAATTTTAGGGGAGTTTTTTCTAATTTTTGGGTTTTGATTTTTCGAAAAAAATTTATATTCTATTTCTTTTCATTTCTTTTATTTAGCGTTATCTCGCGCCTGAATTTCTTGCCAACAATTACATCCGTGACTCGTTCACTTCTTATTTACAAATGGATGTTTATGCATTTTCTCTCATAATGTGGGAGGCTTGTAGACGAACAGAAATTCCAACTTCAGATATTTTTGCTCTTCCATACGAAATTCCATATCAAGAATATGTCCCAAGAGAACCATTATTAGAGCATATGCTTGATTGTGTACACATTCAGGGAAAAAGGCCAACAATCGATCCAAGTTGGAAAAATTGTGAATCATTAAATGAATTGGTAAGGATAATGACTGAAAGTTGGAGTGCTAGTCCAAAATCAAGACTGACAGCATTAAATATTCGTTGTTCATTGGATAGAATTTGTGATGAACAAAAATTGAAGATTACTACATGAGGGAAGATATTTTGTAAAAAAAATTTTAAAGGCTTGTAGCATAATTTTTAAAATTTTCTGTGGGGTTGAGGTATAAGCGCATTTTTCTGGCTCACCTCTCGATGATTTTGACTTTTTAATTTAAAATTCTCAGTCCTCTGGCTTCCATCAAATCTTCCTTAAGCCCTATCCCCGGAACTAAAAACCAGCGCTGGGTATGGCCTAGATTTAAAAAGGATTTGAAAAGATTATAAAAGGTTAAGAATAAGGATAACTAAAAAATATTTTTTTGGAATATAAAAGTTCAAATCTCTTTGTCATTCTTAAAAAATATACCTTTAATAATGCTACGAGTCTATCGAACATTGCGCGCAATATGTATGATATATTTATATTTTTGTAAATATTCATTTTTAAATTTTATTATTTTATGACAAAAAAGTGAGAGTATAAAATGAGATTAATTCATTAAATTTAAATTTGTTCTGTTTAAAAATGTTTTAAAATACATTTACTATCTTTTTTTTCTTTTTAAATTTTTGACCTATTTTTTATTTTAAAGAAGGCCTTTAAAGAATGCCTTATGCAAATCAACCTCAAGTGACTATTTTACAATTAAGCAATGAATTGGTTCGCTTCTGTCTGGAAGATACTGATTTGAGTGTAGCAAATTCTCTTCGACGTGTTTTCTTGGCTGAAGTACCTATAATGGGTATATTTTTTATTTTCTTTTATTTTAAAAATTTTCTTTTATGTAGCAATTGATTGGGTTCAAATAGAACAAAATACTTCTGTTCTTCATGATGAGTTTATTGCTAATCGAATGGGAATGATTCCTTTAACTTCTGATGGAATTGTGGACAGAATGCACTATACAAGAGTTTGTTTGGTTGGGTTTTTTTTTAATTTAGAAATCTTGTAGGATTGTACTTGTTCCGAGTTTTGTTCCAATTGCTCTGTCCAATTTGAATTGAATGTTCGATGTGATGAGGATACGACCAGAGCTGTTACTTCTGATGATTTGGAGTCCAATAACATTGAGGTTTGTTGAGAATTTATTTCCTTTTGGGTTATCTGTTTGGCGTACATTTTTGGGGTAAAATGAACTTTAGTGATATTACTCCGTTATGCCTACGGATTTTTTACGGACCTTTTTGATTGTGGACAGATTGTTTTCCTTATTTCCCTCCCTATGTCATTATCATTAGTGAAGACGTTTTTGAAATTATGCTTGCTTAGGGAAAATATTGGGTACTAGTTCGTAGAGATAACGAATTAGTACCGTTATTGGGTTATGTTCACATTCAAAGGAACTAATAAAAATTTAGGGAAAATTGGCATCACAGATTTTTATTTTTGAACAAAACTAAATTTTAATTAAAGGTTGTTCCGGCTTGTGGTTCTCATGCAAATCGCGATACTCTTGAAATGGATGGAATTTCTGATGAAATCTTGATTGTTAAGCTTCGAAAAGGTTTATTTAATAATCGAAAACTGAATATTAACTTTAACAAAAATTTTAGGGCAAGCCATTTCAATGCGTTGTTTTGCCAAAAAAGGATTTGGAAAAGAACATGCCAAATGGAATCCTTGTTCGTCCGTTGCTTTTGAATATGATCCAGACAATGCTCTTCGTCACACAGTTTTAGCAAAACCGGAAGAATGGCCAAAAAGCGAATTTAGCGAATTATTAAATGAAGAAGATCAACGAGAGGCTCCATATCGCCCAATGGACAAACCAAGGAAATTTTGGATTAGTGTGGAAAGTGCTGGGGCTTTGAAGGCAGAAAATATTATTTTGAGTGGAATTCAAGCTTTAAAGAAGAAATTGGTGGATTTGCAGCAACAATTGACAATTGAGAGGAATGCTCCTGAATTTTATTGAAGAAAAGAGATGATGGTATATTTATTATTGATTTTATGATAATAATTTTTGGAATGTTTTATTGGTAATATTTAGTTTATTTTCATGAGAGCAGGTTCTTTTCCAAATTTAGGTAAAGATTTATCACTTGAGTTGTTCCCTTGTGGGAGGAGGGGGGACGGGGAATTCTCAAATAAATGTCAAATTCACCGTTTCACAGGGGCGGGGTTACAACCCTAACTTTTACCTTTTCCTTAAAGCGAAATTTCAACTATTCCTAGACCTGTCATTTCCCTTTAAAAATAAACAAATTTCTTAACTTATAACGTTTACAGTTAAAGACAACTATTTTTTAAAAAACAAATTTTTTAACAGCATATTTGTTGTTCTAATTAATTTATTATCTGTTGTTGTGGTTTACTTCTTGGCATGAAACAAATTCAGACTATTTGTCTGAAATATATAAAAAATACAAAATACACATTTAATGGCTGGCAAGACATTTTTTGTTCCAATACCAAGCATTGGTAGTATAATATTGTTTATTCTCAACTTTAGCTGAATAAGAACGAAGCTGAGATGTTTCGAAACATACGGTTTTTAAAGATAGATTTAGAAAAAGAAGAAGAAACAAACAACAACTTGTTGGAGCTCGTGCTGAGATAGTGTTTTATAATAAAGTGTTAATTTTTTAGCTTAGAGCGGATTCTGCGTCAGTTGGGAAAAATATCATTGAAATGTAGGCGTAAGTTAATGGACCTACGCCTACATTTCAATGATATTTTTCCCAACTGACGCAGAATCCGCTCTAAGCTAAAAAAATTAACACTTTATTATAAAACACTATCTCTGCACGAGCTCCAACAAGTTGTTGTTTGTTTCTTCTTCTTTTTTCTAAATCTATCTTTAAAAACCGTATGTTTCGAAACATCTCAGCTTCGTTCTTATTCAGCTAAAGTTGAGAATAAACAATATTATACTACCAATGCTTGGTATTGTAACAAAAAATGTCTTGCCAGCCGTTAAACATGTATTTTGTATTTTTTATATATTTCAGGCAAATCGTCTGAATTTGTTTCATGCCAAGAAGTCAACAACAGATAATAAATTAATTAGAACAACAAATATGCTGTTAAAAAATTTGTTTGTTTAAAAAATAGTTGTCTTTAACTGTAAACGTTATAAGTTAAGTAATTTGTTTATTTTTAACGGGAAATAACAAGGCCAGGAATGGTCGAAATTTTGTTTCACTAGTTTGTGCCCTTTTCCATTTCGTTTCATTTAGGCTTCGAAATCAGAAAAATATTTTACGTTAACGATTGTTTGAATATTACCAAAAAATATTTTTTGCTTTTTTTAATTATTATTTTACTTTTAATTATATAATATAAATTGTTTCTTGTGATGATTTTTATCTAATATATTGGATTTTTTCTAATACATACATATTTATATTTAAATATTTTTTTCATTTTAATACATGCAATTAATCTTTAAGGAATTACATAAAAATGGCTACAATTGAAGGAATTGTTGATCTTTCTGCAATAGATAATCCAATACAGAAGGAAATTTTGGCTGATTTTGATCGAAGGAGAAAGGTTTTTTTAATTTAGATTATTTTGGGTTATATGGACTTTTGGGGTGTGTTTATTTCTGGTCTTATCAGGGTGTCCCTTTTGCCTTATTTACAGGGCATTTGCCCTATTTTGACAATTTCGCCCTATTTTTTCCCTATTTTCTCATTTGCCATATTTTTGCCCTATTTTTATCATCTAGTAAAATTTTAAAAATTCTTCGGATTTTGTAAAAAAAAATGGTAAAAATGAAGGATTTCTGACTTCCTGGCCTCCAAAATTCTCAAAATTTTCGCCTGCCGCGCAAAAAATGTATGAAATTTGGCTTCTTGAGCTCCAAATTTCAAAAAATTTTCGCCTGCGGCGCTGAAAATTGGAAGAATTCTTCGATTATGGTACGGGGATTTGGGGATTTGGTCGTGAATCGATGGTACGTTTTAGGGGATATCATGTTTGAATTATCTGTGATATTTGCTTTCTTAAGGGTAATTCAATTAACGGTATTCTGGGATTAAAGAGGATATCCCCAATAAAATAGATTAGTCACAAGTTGATATTTAATGATAAAGAAATTTTTAATTGAAAATTTAGTTTAAAATATTGAAAAATATGCATAATAGAGCTTTCTTTTTAAAATTTTAAGTATTCTTAAGTGTTTAAAACAATGCCCTATTTTTTGCCCTATTTTTGACCAATTTCGCCCTATTTTTGCCATATTTTTGAGTAGCTTCGCCCTATTTTGGTGTTTTATAAAGGGACACCCTGGGTCTTATACATAGTAGTTTTTCTGTCAGTAAATTTAACAGGTCTTAATAGGTGTATTGAGCAAGTGAACTAACAAGACTTAATTCGTTTTATCTCAAGAAATAAACTATTACAACAGATAATCCAATACAGAAGGAATCATCGGAAACTTTTTACTTATTTTTAAAAAATTGTCGGTTGGGGTTTGGGGTCGGAGGGACTTACAAGACAAGTTGTATTCAACCGGTTTTATTGTGAGATAACTGATTTTGTTATTTATTACATATGGGGTGGCCTCGATCGGGAAACTTAACTTATTTTAACCACCCATCCGATTACTTTTAAAAATCGTCGGTATCGTTGTCTGGGACCAACTTTAATATTACATATTCCTGTGGTGATCTAAAAAATTTATTTTGAAAGTTTCAACTTTTCTAAACAATTTTAAAAAAATTTAAGGCAAGAAGTCTAACATTGCCCACAGATGATATCCAAGTAAAATTAATGTTGCGGAGATGTAATGAGCCAATATGTATTTTTGGAGAAGATATTTTGGATAGAAGAGAACGTCTTCGTTCATTACTTTCTCGAATGTCAGAAGACGAAATTCATGCAATTCTTCATTTGGACGAAAAAGAAAGGGCTGATATTCAAGACGATCAAAGTACTTGGTATCATAGAGGGCCTGCCGCTCTTCGGGATGCTAGGGTTGAAATAGCTGATTTTAGTTTGGAAAGAGCAGTTTGAATTTTTAAAAATTTTTAATAAAAAAATTTTTAATTTTAGAAGCAACGGTTGGAAAGAGCAAGAGTTCAAGCAATGCTTTCACAACAAGAAAGAGCTTTAATTAAACAGGCAACACATAGACGTATTCAAACTCTTCAAATTTATGGAACACAAGTTTGTTTTTAAATATTTTTTATGGGTGAAAATTTTAATAAGTTTACTTTTGACGCTCACTCAAGATTACTTACTTTTGCAATGTCCGTAAGCCATATTACCGAGAGAAATCTCCGACTTATTTCAAGCAATAATTTTTAAGGTATTGGGAGTTTTGTGTTCTGGCTCCGACCCTCTGGTTCCGGGCTCATTGTCAGATTCAGACCTGAGCTCCCAAAACCAACCCCGCCTGATTTCTAAGCAAATTAGATAGAATTTTTACTTTAGAATCCTTAAGAGTCGTGAAAATTATTACATTCCTTTACTTTTTTTAAAGGTTTCCGGCATTAGACCAACTTCATTCGCTGAATTTTCTCCTGATTCTAAACACATTATTACCTCAAATTGGTCCGGCCAAGTTTCTATTTGGTCAATTCCAGATTGTGTAGAAGAACTTAAACTTCAAGGGCATCCTTGTCAAGTTGGAGCTGCGGTAGTTAATTTTATTTTTTTATTTTTAATGAACAATTTGAAGGCTTTAAATGTCCGCAAAAATATTTTTTTTCAGCGTTTTCACCCCGGCGCTTACAAAAGTCAAGATCCTCTTTTATTAAATGCTGCATCTTGTGATCATTCTGGAAATGTTTTATTTTGGAATTTGGTAGATGGAGAAAAACCTTTGGCAAAATTAGAAAGGCATGAAGATAGAGTACCTAGATTAGCATTTCATCAAAATGGAAGACATTTGTGCACAGCTTGGTTTTTTAATTTTTTTTTTTATTTTTAAAAATCTTTCTTGTTTTCAGTTTTGACTCTTCCTGGCGTTTATTTGATTTGGAAACCTTACAAGAACTTATTTATCAGGAAGGACATAGCAAATCTTTATTTGATTTGGATTTTCATGTTGACGGTTCTTTGTTGCTTACAGGGTATTTTTATTTTTTAAATTTTATTTTTCTTAATTTTTTGTTTTAGAGGTCTTGACTGTTATGGACGTGTTTGGGGTTAATTTTAATTTTTTTTTAAAATAAATTTTCTTTTTTAAGATTTAAGAACGGGTCGTTGTATAATGTTCCTAGAAGGTCATCAGAAGGGTATTTACACTGTCAGTTGGCATCAAAACGGGTTTGGTTTAAGAAAAAAATTTTTATTTTGACAAGACAGTCTGCAAATTTTATTCTAGCCGGGAAAAATTAAATATCTAGTTGCGGGTACCATGGAAAAATTTTTTCTGATTTTATTTAATTTCTCTAAATTTCTAATTTTTGAATGAATTTGCGGACATTTTGCCCAATTCAATGAAAATCACAACAACTTATTTTATTTTTTTCTTAAAGATTTTTTAAGGTTTCTAATGGTTACTGGAAGTGCTGATAATACTTGTAAAATTTGGGATGTCCGAATGCGTCGTCAAATATATACAATGTCTGCTCATAACAATTTAGTTTCGCGTGTCAGAATAGATCCTTCTGGAGAATACTTAGTTACTGGCTCCTATGACAATACAATGAAATTATGGACATGCTCAGGATGGCAACCTTTAAGGATATTTGATTCGCATAATATGAAGGTTTATTTTTATGTTAAAAAAGTCCGCAAGTTTTGTCCGCAAATCTAAACTTTCATTTTAAAAAATTCCTCCCTTCAATATTTTTTCTAATTTTTTAGGTCACTTGTGTTGATATATCACCCGATGAAAATTGGATTGCCTCAAGTTGTTACGATCGAACTTTTAAATTGTGGAACTTCTCAAGGGAAAATTAATATTGTTCAATATCTTTATTATTTTTTTATTTTGCAATTTTTACTATAAATTAAAAAATTTTCTCATTAGAACCTTAAATACTTTCTTTTTTAGGCGTTTAAATGGAAATAATTTTTGAAAAACAAACAAAAGAGCCAAAAACATTTTTCCGTTAATCTTCTTCACCACCCGAAGCATTTCCCAAAAATATCTTCTCCAATTCATCCTCACTCATCTCAACTTCAGTTTTCCCCTTCTTTCTTCTCTTACTCTTTTTAAGAAGTCTTTCAAGTCGACGAATTTCGCGATCGTCTTCATCCAAATCCTCCTTTAACCTTTCTGAACGAACTTTTTCTGCCTTTAAAAATTTTTTTTAATTTCAAAAAAAAAATATTTAAAAATAAACCTCTTGGTAATATTGAAGAGTATGGGCCCCATTTTTTCCTCCCTATTTTTCCCCCTATATTTTTACAAAATGGTCAGACTTTTTCCTTCCTTCCATTCAATTTGCCTTCATAATTTTTGACTTGAAACAAAGAAAAAGGATTATTTTTGATATTTTATTTCCCGTTTTAATAGAAAAAATGAGTTCCCAAAACATACTTGTTAAATACCAAAAAATAATCCTTTTTGTTTGATTTAGGCAAAAATTAGAAAGGCAAATTAGATGGAAGGAAGGAAAAAGTTTGACCATTTTGTAAAAATATAGGGGGAAAAATAGGGAGGGAAAAATGGGGCCCATACTCTTCAATATTACCAACCTCTTCTCTAAATTGTTCAATAGTACAATTTTCATCTTCCCCTTCTTCCTCATCCGTTTCATCAAAATTTTCTTCATTTTTCCCTTCAATCCTCTTTTTTCTTTCCAATTCAATTTTTTCCTTTCTCTTTTTATTTCTAAGCCTTCTTCGTTTTTCAAGTTTTTTCTTTCGTTTGGTATCCTCTAATTGTTTAGCAACAATTGAATCTACCTGAAAATTTGATGAAAATTAAAAAAAATATTTTTAAATTAAAAAAAGTACATTGATTTGTTGGTGAGATTGCCCTTTCTTCCAAGTTGATTTTAACTGTTTGGCCGCTTTTCTTTTCATTTTACGTTCACATTTTGTATTAAGTAAAGCAGAAAAATCCCGATTTTCAGTAGTCATTTTTGGTTTCTTGAGGTAAAGGTTAAATGTTCAAAAATGCGAGAAAATGAATAAAAGGGGTTGAGACTCTAGTGTCCAACGTTTTAATTTTCCGCGACTTTAAAATTTATTTTGGCGTTCTGTATTTTTAAAACCCAAGCCAAGCGCTTTTTTCTTTTTAATTCTTTTTTACTGGTTTTTATTTGGACAATTTTTTATAGGCTCTGCGATGTATTTATTTTTTTTCGAAAGAAATTTTGCACAGGGAAGATTCCTTGGCTCGCGCCTTTAATATTCCTTGTTTTTTATGTTTATCGATTTATTTAAGCTTCTATTTTTCCAATTTTTTACAAAGTCATGTGACAATTTTTAGTAATTTTATAGGAATTTTTTGTTTATTTTGAATATTTTTTTAATCTTTTGTGTTAACTATTTTGTAGAGGGATTGGATTTTTAAATAGAAATGTTTACTATCCTTTTTTATTTTTTGGGGGCTTTCTAAGAATTTTATTTTCAAGTTGAGGCCGTCCGTGTAACCTTTTATTAAGTGATACGGACGGATATTTTTTTGGCATGCAGACATATCGGGATCTTTCAATCTATGAACGGTTACCCTAGTCATTTCGGGACCTATGTCCAGTGGGTTTTTGATAGTACTTTTATTTTTGAAGAAAGGGTTTTTATTTTAGAATCAACGTAAGCGTAAGAGGTTATTCTTCCCACTCAATCCCGATATGTCTCTCTATCATTATTCCTCAAACCAAAAATTTCATTTTTAAAATTTCAGATATTCTCTTTCGATTCTATTTGCTATATTTATTTAAAAAATGAATTCGCAAGCTCCAAAGAGACGTGGCCGTCCAGCGAAAGCAAAAGCTGCTGCAGCTGCATCTGTTCCAACTACAGACAAATCGCCACCGAAGCCTAAATCTCCAATTGTAATTTTGTCTTTTTATTTTTCAAATTTAATTTTTTTAAAGAGTGCTCCAAATGGTGAAGCCAAGTCTCCAGTCAAACCTCTTTCTCCAGTCAAGCCGTCTTCTCCAGCTAAATCCCCTGTTGTTGCCAAAAAGGGACGTGGGCGTCCTAAGGGTGCTGCTGTTGTGAAGGTTTTTTGATTTTAGAAAGAATTCTTAAAATTTTTATTTAAAGAAATCACCGCCAAAGAAGCCGGTGGCGAAGTCTGTGGCTAAAGGTGGAGTGACGAAGAAAGCTGGTGCTGGAAAACGTGGACGTCCGGCGAAGAAGAATGCAGCTTCAGAGGAGAGCAGTGGGGATGACGCAGGTATTTGTTTTTTCTAATGCGAAGGATGTTAAAATTTTTATGGCCTAAATATTTTAAAGTAAAAACGTTTCCGGAAACTATTCTTGTCAGTAAACTTGTAAGGACCTGGGAATTTTTTACACGATGCGAAAAACGCGTTTAAGTAATCATTTGGGATTCCTTTTCATAAATTTAGCCGGGAATTGTTTATATTATTTGCATTTTATCCACACCAAAACAGTGAACCTGGTAGTCCTTTTAAGGCTTTTGAAGTCTGAAAAATTTGCTTTTCAAATTTATTTTTTTTTATTTTTCTAGCCAAGAACAACACCTCTCCTTCTAAATCGCCTGTAAGCTTTAAATAAGATTAAAAAATTAATTTTTTAATTTTTTAGTGACTTTAATGGAATCTTTATTTGACTGAGTTGGCGGAATCTCTCTCTTCATTTTATTTTTTTCTTGTACAAGAACACCAAAATTCAACAATAATCTACAAAAAACGTTCCCGGCCTTTTATGTTCTTTTTTGGTATCTCACCTATATATAAACTTGCATTAATTTTTGTTTTGTTTTGACACACTGCTTAGATTTTCACCCTTTTTTTGTGTGAAATTTTGAAGAAAAATTGGAAAAAAATTTGAGAAATTTTTCGAGGCCTTCAAAAATTTTTGATAATTTTTTTTGAAAAATTTTTTTGATATTTTCAAAAAATTTTTTTTTCGATTTTCTTCAAAATTAAAATTTATTTAACCCCAAAATAAACATTGTATCAACCCAAATATTAAAAACATAATTTCCTCGCTTTTATTTTGATTTTGTGACATTTCAATAAAAAATTAAAAATTATTGTTTAGTTTTTTTTATTAAATTGATTTGATCAATTAATTATTTGAGACTTTGTCTAGGGAACCTTATTAAAAAAATCTCACTTTTGTTAGATTGTTTTTTGGAGGGTGTATTTGCGATTACGGATATCCGGAATCGAAGAGGGTTGGAATACTTTAGGATTCCCCGGAAAATGTCTACCTGGTTTTTCGGAATATTTTGTTTTAAATATTTACTGATAAGGTTTTCTGTAATCGAGAAAAATTTGTTCCCAATTTAGCTATCCACAGTTAATTTAAAAAAATCAGCTGTTATCCGCAAGTCAAAAAAAATTTCACTCAATCCGCAATTGAACCCAGTCCTGCTCCGAAGCTCAAAATTAAATTTTAAAGTTCGTAATTTGCTTATTACCTTGGAGACTGAGAGATTTATTTTTTATTTTTTTTTATTTATTTTTTTTAGACCTAAAATTTTCTTGGAAAATAATTCCATTCCCCCATTTTATTAAATTCTTTTTTTATTTTAGACAAAATAAAAATAAATTTTTTTCAATTAAAAAATGATTCGACGTCCTCTAAGTTCATTAAAACTTAAACAAACGGATATTGAAGAAATGGATGCAAACATGGTTTTCTTTTTTAATTTTAAAAATTCATAAGAAAATTTTCTTTTTTCAAGTCTCGTGTTCAAAAACCAAAAGAAAGCACAACAATTAGCGGTACAACAAGTGAAGTACACAAAGAGGGACAAACAGAAAGACAGGATGAACCACAAAAAATGGATACTTCTGAAGATTCTTGAAGAGAGAAGATTGAGAGGAGATTACTTGACATCAACCTTTTTTAAAGTAAAGTTTGTTTTTAAATTTTTTTAATTTGATAAATTTTTATTAAAAGAATTTTGTGAAATTAAGGGAGTGGAACGGGAAGGAACTCTTTACTGTCCAAAAATTTCTTCACATTTATAGAATGTCTTTTAAGAATAATTGTTAAAATATTAGTCTAAATCTGACTCATGATTTTTACTTTTCAACTTTTTGTCTAATCCTTCCTGTTTGTTTTGTGATTTCTGTTTCTTGATTCCCAGAATCTCTCTCTCTCTTACTTTTACTGTCCAAAAAAAAAAATTCGGTCCAGAAAAATTTCCCCCTTGGCTCCCTCTAAAAAATCTTGGGTTTGAATATATCGAAGGCTAAATTAAAGAATATTTCGGGCATACCCAAGACCTCTCTCTCTTTTCTCTCCCCCTTACTTTTATTTTTTTTCACAAAATAATTGGAAAAATTTCTTTCAACTTAACTTTTCAAAAAAATGTTAAAATTACGGTTAAATTTATTAAATTGTTCCTTTTCCTAGAAAAACCCAAACAATAAAATCCAAAATTAAATTTAAAAAAATGTTTTTTTATTCTTTTTCAACATTTTCGTAAAGCAAAAGTAAAATATATTCTATTAGAGTTTTTATTATTTTTGATAGTGATTTGGGAAAAAAAGACAAAAGGAGAAAGAGGTAAAGGGGAAAAAGAGTGAGAGAGAGATCGATCAAGCAATATTCTCCTCCTTTAAATATTGCTTTCTCATTTCCTGTCCTTTTACTGGCCAAAATTTTTTTAATGTGTGTTCTTTTAGCTTCCGAACTACTTAATACTCTCAAAAAATATTTGAAAAAACCTGACAGACTTTTTTTCTTTGGGAGATAATTTATAATTTTAGTAGCTTTGATACGAAGTTTTTTAACTTCTTGAAGAGAGTCTCCTTCCCTGGAACAATTTTTTTAATTTTTTAAGTTAAAATTAAGTAGGATGACCGAAAATGGGGGTGGGTATTCTTTGGGATTTGATGATTTTTCTAAGAAATTTTTCCAATCCTTAGGTTTCCTCATCATTTTCCTGTGGTTTTCCCCATCCACCGTTTTTTATCTTCTGGTTTTCTCTCATCCCAATCTCTCTCCATTCCTCTCCTTCCTTGGGTTTTTAAAATTTCGAGATAGGTAAGGTTGGGCACCCTCAAAGATGAAAATTTTTTTTATATTCTGAGACAACTCGAAGATTTTTAAATATTTTTTTGTTTTGTTTTAAAGACTTTCCCCGCCCACCTAATCTCTATGATAGATTGATTCCCTTTTTTCATGATCAAAAATAAAAATTGTTTTTTAGTTTTTTTCTGATTAAAGCAATGCACAAACACGTAAAAAATTGAAAAAAATCAAAGAAAGAAGCATTTGTTTCCCCTTTTATTTGTTGGCACTGTTCTTCTCCTCTCTCACTTTACCTTAACCGATTTTATTTTTCCTGTCCTCTTCAAGAAAATATATATATCGGCTTGGACCTCTGTCGCCTAAACATTTATCTCCAAAGAAAAATCCTTTTCCTGTCCCTATTCTTTTTACTTTTTAGTGATCAGGCGCTTTTGACGATCGTTCGCCTGCTTGGGGGGAGTTGATTACTTCTTGATATACACACAAATATCCAAGAAAAAGAGGAACTCTTTGAGTGAAAATAAAAAGCTTTGTGTCTTTCCGGAGATATATCCATTCATTCAAGCTTTTTACCTATTTTTTTCAACTTTTAGATAAAAGTAAAAGTGTATATTTTTATATTGGGGGAGAATAGGTACATTGAAACACAGAAACTTAGTATACAGAAATCTCTGTCTGTACCCATAAATCTGTCCTGTCCTAGCAGAAATGCTCTGTCCTATCCCAACGCAAGTCCTTGTGCCAACAGAAGTTTCTGTCCCATGTCAACATCGACCTAAGTTTTGAGGGACTTGATTGATCTCCCCTTTCCGCTCTTTTTTTTTGCTGCGTGATCGAGATATATAGGAACGTGGGGGATATATGGGAGATTGGGATAAATAGAAACTGAGGTTGCTATTCGTCTCCGAAAATCAGAGAATTTGAAACCTTTGAAAAAACTTTTTTTCGATGATTTTCCCAGAGCCCCAACCCCTTCTTTTCCGTCTCCTTCAATGGTGAGCTGCCCTATATGAGAAAATAATTTCCTTAACCCCTTTTATGGAAAAAATTTTTTTTATCTCGTTTAGAACCTGTCCCATAAAATTCTTTTTTTAAACGGCTTTACATTTTTTAACTTTTTGATTGTAAAACTGAGAAATATGTAAATCCTATATATTGAGTTGAAAATATTATTTTTTATTTCCAGCAAAAATACTCTAAGTAATGGCAGACGTAGATGAAGACCCATATGCAGTCAGTTCAGACTCTGACGATGAAAACAGTAAAAAACCTCCTCCCAAAATTGCAATTGAAGGCAGAACGGGCGATTTAAAACAAATTGTAAGTTTAAATTAATTTGGAAAATTGTAAAAAAATTTTGGAATGAAATTCTGTCAAAAATAAAATTATTGTCCATTAGTGGGGTTCGAACCTTCGACCTTTACTCTTTAAAAAATAACGATTTTCCAACTACACCACACGACAATCTGGGGGAGTAAATTAATTTGGAAAATTAAAAAAAAAATTTTTGTGTGAAATTCCGTCAAAAATAAAATTATTGTCAACTACTGGGGTTCGAACCTTTGACCTTTACCCTTTAAAAAATAATGATTTTCCAACTACACCACACGACAATCTGGGGGAGATTTTTAAAAATATGCTTTTTGTTGAGTCTTTTTTACTTTCAAAAATTGTTTATAACCTTCAACAAATATTTTTCCTCTCAATAAATAAATATATAAACTTTACTCGATATTGTCACTCAATTCGTTGTGTTAGTTACACACATTCCAGTTAAATACACCCAAAAATATATTTTTCTTTTTTAATTTTTTTCTTCTCAATTCGCCGCCCATCTGTTTATAGAGAGTGTCCATTAAAGTGACAACCGGACACAATAAATATATTTATTCGTAGATTAACTTGTCCTCCTTTCCTCTCTTTTTAATGTTCAATTTTCTCTTTAGTCGGTTACTAACCCTCCTCTCTCTCTTTAAAATAACCGTTATGTAAATTCCCTCACTTTTTTATTAGATTTGAGGTATGTGTTATTTCGTCTTTTGACATTTCGAAAAGTTGACATTTCGAAATTCGACAATTTTTCAAAGTGTCGAATTTTTTTTTGATTTTTCAAAATGTCAACTTTCGTTTCAAAACTTTAAAAGTTTTTTAATTTTGTTAATTTAAATATTTATTAATTCCGGAAATATTTACCAACAAAGAGAAAGACACTCGTTTGTTAACGATCAACTCGATTCATATTTCTCATTTAATTCCCCGTCACTTTATTTTCTCAATACAAAGAAAATAAAAAGGATTTATTGCATTTACCACCCCTTACAAATTCTTTTCCTTTAAATATCTTTCCTTTTTTTGATTTTCTTTTTAACTAAATTAAAAAGGAAGTCACTTTTCCCTTCTCTTTATTTACAGTCGTGGAAAAAAGTATGGAAGCGCTTTAAAATTTCTTCTTATTTTTTAATTTTTCATTCAAAAAATACGTTCTATATACCAATCGAAAGCTCTATTCGTATCTCAGTTGACATGTTTCTGCATTTTTCATGAAAATGAAAATTGGCCGAGATAATCCGGATCTACCGGATATACCAAATCCCATTTTTTCGGAAAATTTTTTTGGAACAAATTTAACAAACCCAAATGATAAAGCATATTTTTCTGAGTATTTCCCACAAATCCGCTTAGAAATATCTATTTCCAGTCCAGAGATATGATTTTTTGAAAATCGCATTTTTCGTCTATTTTTGCAAAAAATTCAATTTTTAAGGGAAAAATGCGATTTTCAAAAAATTATATCTCTGGATCGGAAAAAGATATTTCTAAGCAGTTTTGTGTGAAATACTCAGAAAAATATGCTTTATCAAATGGGTTTGTTAAATTTTTTCCGAAAAATTTTTCCGAAAAAATGGGATTTGGTATATCCGGTAGATCCGGATTATCTCGGCCAATTTTCATTTACATGAAAAATGCAGAAACATGTCAACTGAGATACGAATAGAGCTTTCGATTGGTATATAGAACGTATTTTTTGAATAAAAAATTAAAAAATAAAAAGAAATTTTCTAGCGCTTCCATACTTTTTTCCACGACTGTATTTTTAATTTAAAAATAGCACAAAAATTAAAAAAAATTATTTTTGTTCTATTTATTTTTATTCATTTTTTTATTTAAAAGAAGCAGTCATTCCTCTCTTAATCAGAAGAAAAATGTCTTTTCTCTCGCATACTTTTTCTCTTTAAAAATTATTTTTTTATTAACGTGTGAACTAATAATATATTTGCACTAGTTAGTATGACTCAATAAAATAAACTTTTATGGAAAATGTCCGCAAGTTTTTTGTCCGCAAAAATTTTTTGGGGGGGAAATGTATGCAAATTTTGTCCGCAAAAAAATTTTTTAGGGGAAATGTCCGCAAGTTTTGTCCGCAAAAATTTTTATGAATGAAAATCTGGAATTTTTTCACGCTTTTTTATTTTACCCTTTTGCGGATAGTTCTCGAAATTCTTTTTTAATCCCCTCACTCGACTAATAATTTTGTTGACTAATTCAAAAATAAATATTTTTCAAGTTCTCTTTTTTATTTCCCCCCCAAATTTTCAGAAAGAAGCATTAAAAACAGACGAGAAAAAATCAGTAAAAGACGAAAAAATGGTTGAAGAAATTGAAGCCTTACGACGGGAAAAGGCTGAAGAAATGAGTCGTATGAAACGGGATTTTGAAGAAGGACGTGCTGGTGGTGTTGCGCAAATACAGAAAGAGTCTTTGGAAGGTTGGGGAATTTTTTAATTTAAATAAAAAAAAGATTTTTAATATTGTTAGGGGGTAATATGCTGCAAAACAATTTTTTATCTTGGGATTTTATTTTGTATGTCTTTCCGTATTAATTTTTGGTCTTATTTTTGGACATATTTTTGGACATTTTAATATGTGTAAGACGACTCCTTGTTCAGACCGGCATTTTATCACTCCCCCATTTTATCGGTTATCAGCTTGGATCGGGATTCAGACCTTGATTTCCTGGATCCATTGTCATGCTCGAGGCATTTTCAGAGTTCCCTGATTTTTCCCTAGGCTTGAGATCTAAAATTTGGTCAAAAATTTAGACGTAAGCTTCCACGATTTCGACTGCTTAAAGCAATTTTGTTTTTTACTCTTAATCTTATAGGTGTTGGAAAAGAAAATTTGGCCTCAATGAAAGAAATGTTTGAAAAGGAGCTTGGGAAAGAATTTGTCCCTCAAAGAGACGATTTATTTAATGAATTACAACAAAAAGCTGACCATCAAAAAATTAAAAATAATTTTGAAAGGACTGCAGAAGACGAAGAAAAGCAAAAGGATTGTTGTATTTGTTCAAAAGTTGTTTATCCTGTAGAGAAAATTTGGGTGGGGAAGCAGCTTTATCACACAAATTGTTTTAAATGCTCAAAATGTGGAAAGAAGTTGAGGTATATTTTTGGTAGTCTTGTTGCTTTTTAGTTTATTTTTGCGGGGTTTTTGGTCCCTTACCTAGTAGAGATTGGAATTTTTGAGAACCTGGGCCTGAGTTCCGGGCTTGATTTATTTATCTTGACCGGATCTTGGGCCTGTAGTCCAGAAAAACCCAGTAAGGTCAAAAAATACCCAGGCCGATCTCTACCTAGTTTTTAGATAAAGTCATAATTTTTAAAAATATTTTTCTTGGCTCCCTCTAATTTGGTGAAACCCTAATGTTAAGTGATATTTTAGTTAGATTTTATTGAGAATTTTGAACATTTAGTTGGCAGAAATAAGACAGGAGGAAATGGGAAGAAATGAATTTTTTGTGGCCCTAAAGGTTCAAAATGGAGTGATTTTCGTCTAAAATTTTTATGGACTCTTTTTAACGTTCACCCTTCATTAAACACCCCTAAAACTCTTCTTTATTTAAAAAATTTTTTTTCTAACAATAAGTCAAAATGCCTTCAATTCACACAAAGGAGTTCTTTACTGTAAACCACACATGTTAGAAGTACTTCATCCAGATAGGGTTGGACAATTTGCAGCAGAAGAGCTTGATGATACCCAAATGGATGAGGAGAATGATGATGAATTTGCTGTTAGTTCTAAACCTAAACAATTGGCTTCTGATGTTGTTAGAGGTTTTTTTTTAATTTTTTATTTTGGGGAGGGGGGTAAGGAATTTTATTTAAATAATTGAACAATATTTTTGCAAAAACCGGTTTAAATAAATTTGTATATATTTAATAATTTGGGTCAACAAATTAATTTATAAATAAGTTTTCGTTCTTCTTTTCAACTTTATTCTTTCTCTTTGTTCTTGATTCATTTACTATCTATTTTTAAATAATATTTTCGATTACCTCCTCTTTATTTTTGGAACTTTTCGGTTCTGGCTAGTGTTAGCGGTTCATTTTTCTGGTACCTGGGGATTTTCGTGTTCCAGATGGACTAACCGCCAACCCCACCTCGGCCCGTCTTTGATTTCGACCATTTTTCATTCCATTTAATTTTCAACTAATTTTATTAAATTGTAACATTGCTACAATTAATATATTTTAAACATCTGTTCACTCCTTTTTATACATAAAAAGAATTAAATAGGGGGAGAGAGCGAGGTTTCTTCTTCTTTGAGCTTTTCATTGACCTTTGTTTATTTGTGGCACACAATTCTTTTTATTTTTCCTACATTCTTTTAACAGAAATTTAAAAACAAAATATATAAATTTATTCTTAAAGGTTTTTGCAACAATAAATAAATCTTTTCCCTTATTTTTCCCTATAAAATTTCAAATTGATGGCTACTAGCTTTGAGAGTTCCTTAATTTTAAGTATGAGGAAAATAATTTTTTTAATCAAAAAAATTTTTCCAGCTGGTGGTACAAACATTGGAGATGAATTGGCACAATTAAAGTCTTCTTTAAAAGATAAAAAAGAAAGTTGGCAAAGTTCAGCAACAGCAGGTGCTCAAACAAGTGCTGTGGATGAAGAAGAAAAGCGTCGACAATTGGAAGAAATTAAAGGATCGGTCGGTTTTTTTTAATTTTTTGATAATTTTTAGGGGTCAATTAAAAATTTATTTTTTAAATTTATTCTTGCCCCAGGTAAAGAAAAATTTTCTTAAAAATTTTCTAAAATCCACCCTTTTTAAAGGTTAGCGAGGTAAAACAAAAATGGAAAACGGGTGATGTTGAAGGAGCTAATTTAGCTGATGATGCTGCGAAACAAGAAGAATTGGAAGCGTTAAAGAAAGGTGTAAATGTTAAAGAACGGTTTCAACCTCCGTCTGGTGGAGATGTACAAAAATGTTATGATCGTTCGGAGTTGGATACTTCAGGTTTTTTGATTGATATTAATTAGGGTAGCACGAGACCGTTTAATTCGAGGTTTATTTTTCCCTGTGGCGGACTTTTTCCTTCTCTCTTCTCTTTTTGACCCGCCACAATGAACAATAAACGAGGTTTCTAAACGGTCTCGTGCTACCCTAATATTAATGGGAAAAAATGAAATATTGTACTGATGACCCGTGGTTTAGTTGGAGTGTGTTAGGTTCGGGGTGGGTGAGGTCGTGGGTTCGAACCCCTTTGAGTGATTTTAATTTTTATTTAATAAAAATTAATTTTTTAGCGATCAGCGATGCTCGCAAGTCTTTTATCGAAGGTTCAGCATTTACCAGCCCAAAAACAGAATCTTCTGCTGCTGGAGAACTTAGCGAATTGAAATTTACTGAAATGAATGCATTCAAAGATAAATTTGAAAAAGGAAAAGGGGATGTTGAAGAAATTGAAAAGGCAAAGATTGAATTGGATCTTCAATTGAAAGAATTGAAGAAGACATTTGAAAAGGTTTGGGATTTGAATTTGATGTAAATGTTCATTTTTTAAAATTTTAGCCAGAAAGTGAGATGAGTCCAGAGGAGCGAGCGGCAAAGAAAAAGGTTTTTTTTAATTTTTTAAAAGAATTTTAAATAAAATTTGCTTTTTAAAGGTTGAAATTGAGGCTGAATTTGCCCGTTATAAATTGGCCAGAAAATTGCAAGCAAAGAAGGCTAAAGAGGAGGCAGAGGGAAGTGGCGGAGGTGGTAATGAGGAACACGAAGAAGGAGGTATATTTTAAATTTGATTTTTAATTTAAAAAATTTTTTTCGGATGGGTTGGGGTTTTGAAATAAAGGGAAAGAAATTTTTTTTATAAACCCTTCCTTTCTCATCCCATTCAACAGAGAAGGAGCTGGACGTGCAAATCAAATTGGCGGGCAAAGCGAGGGAGAAATTCAAACAAATCGAGGCACAGGGACAAGCTGGGATTCCGCAGCCTGGTACTGGAGCAACTCAACAGAAGACGCCCTCCAAATGGGACAAGAAAGTGGAAGGACCCGCAGAAGTTGTCAACAGGTTTTTTGGAAGATTTTTTGGAGTTTAATCAATGAAAATTTAAGACGCGTCGTCGACGACGATTCCGAGACGGAAGAGGAGTTCGATGTGAAGAATCTGATGGCAAAGTTCAAGAATATAGCTACGATGGAACCAAAGGAGAGGGAGAAGAATTTGGAGGAATTGGAAGCCTTGAGGTTGGAAGCGAGGAATTTGAGAGAACAATTCGAGAAGACAAATCAAATGGAATCGAGCGAGAAGAGCGAAGAGAAGAGGAAACAGATGGAGGAAGAATTCAAGCAACTCAAAGGTTTTTTCAAATTTTTATGTAGGAAGAATTTTTGTGAATATTTTTAAGAGGAGAGAGCGAGAGCCCAGAAAGAATTGGAACAAGAGCAAGCCGAAGCAGCAGCCTCCACAAACAACGCGGAAAAGGACGACGTTCAAATAGCGGAAGCCCATGCTTCAAAAATGGCAGCCAAATGGGAGAAGATTCACAAGAAAGAAGCGAAAAAGGCAGAGAAATCGCGAATGCCCCAAAAGTAAAAAAAGTTGTTTGTTGTAACAGAGAAACTTCGCCATTTTGCCCTTCTCCAACAACATCAACAACAAAATTAATGGACAACAAAGCCTCTGCCACCTCCGCTCTTCGACTTTTTTCAGCTTTTTTGACAGGATTGGCTATAGGACTTTTGCTTGTTCCACGCATTTTTGGACGTTAATTTTAATATTTTTTACGAGTGTTTCCCCCATCCCTCTCCCCTTTTATTTGTTGCCTATTTAAAAATAACCTTAAAAAATTTAGTGCCAATCACAATTTTAATTATATCTTGACTTTATTTAGCATTTGTATTTTTATTATTGAAATTCTACGAAAATTTAATTAAATTGGATAATCCTTTAAGGTGCAATGTTTTTGTATTTCGTTGCAAATTTTAATAAAATGTCTGTAGCAATTGTTGACTTTCTTTTAAATTGGTTTATCGATTTTTGAAAAATTACTTTAGAAGGCATCGTCCATTGAATTTTTGTTGATTTTGTAAAAAATAAGTGGCGTTGCTCAGTTGTCCAATTAAGTTTGTTGGACGAATTGTCATTTATTTTAATTTATACGTTATGCCAAAATTTGCGGAAATTTAAAATTTAAGTTAAATTTTAAAAATGAACAGAGCCCTACTACTCTACCGAACAGAATTGCCAATTCGTCCCAAAGAACAAAACCCCTAATCCGTCCCACAGAACAAAACCCCTAATTCGTCCCACAGAACAAAAATCCTCAATTCGTCCCGAGAACAGAAATCTCTAATTCGGCCCAAGAACAAAACCCCTATTTCATCCCACAGAACAAAAATCCCTACTTTGTCCCAGAGAACAAAACCCCCATTTCGTCCCAAAGAACAATAACCCCAATTTCGTCCCACAAAACAAAAATCCCTACTTTGTCCCAGAGAACAAAAATCCCCATTTCGTCCCAAAGAACAAAAACCACACATTTCGTCCCAAAGAACAATAACCCCCATTTCGTCCCACAGAACGAAAATCCCTACTTTGTCCCAGAGAACAAAAACCCTAATTCGTCCCAGAGAACACAAACCTTAATTCGTCCCAGAGAACAATAACCCCCATTTCGTCCCACAGAACGAAAATCCCTACTTTGTCCCAGAGAACAAAAACCCTAATTCGTCCCAGAGAACACAAACCTTAATTCGTCCCAGAGAACAATAACCCCCATTTCGTCCCACAGAACGAAAATCCCTACTTTGTCCCAAAGACAAATAACCCCCATTTCGTCCCACAGAACGAAAATCCCTACTTTGTCCCAGAGAACAAAAATTCATGATTTATCAAAACAAAATTTAAAAACATTAATATTTATTCAATAAATTAAGTCATTGTATAAAAAAGTTGTGTGGCAATGTGTGGTTGCCGAATATATTATAAATGCACGTCAGCAGCGATATATAAAACGCAAAAAACAAAATGTTCATGGGAGAGATTGGTTTAGAGAGAGACTGGGAAATGAAAGGAATGTTTAATGATCTTTTTTTAGTTCTGGAAAGAGTTGAGTGGTGTTTTTGTTGTTTGTTTGTATTAATCACCCATCTCAAAAATTTTAAATTTTATTTCATTTTAGGGCTATTAGAGCCTGGCGTGAAGTTAAAAAAATCTCAAAATCCTCAGACTCTAATATCCAAAAATGGTTATTCTAATTAGAGACCGGACAGAGAAATTTTGGTATATTGCCCTCGACGTTGGGTCAGATAATCAAAAATTTTGCCTGTGGCATGAAAAATTTTTTTTTGGGCACCTTCGATTCCCAAAATTTAAATATGACATTTGAGTACCCCTTATTGTGCCCCTTGTATTCTCTAAAAATATCTTGTATATAATACTCCCAGTCCAGTCTCTAATTTTAACATACAAACTTGGAAAAAAAGAGATGAAGTGATTTCTTTAAAAAAAGAGTGGATATACAACATATTAATGAAGAAAATAATTTTAAAAAATAAATGCAAAAATATAGTATATTATGCGCAAATGAGAATTATTATGTTTTTATGTTTGTTGGTTCAAAAAAAATTTTTTAGAATGCCATAATTGGGGTCGCTTTAGTATAGCTACACCGAGATCGAAACTTGAAGTATATACCATTCGATTCGTCTCTTCGAGCTGAGTTCAAATATGCAAGAATTTTCTGCGGGAGACGAAAACTCGCAGAGATACAGGCCCCCGAAAATTGAAAAACCATAGGGGGGACCAAGCACTTTTTTGGGGTGAAAAATTCGAATTTGCAAATGATAGCTCATTCGAAAGAGCTCCTCGAGCTGAGTCGAATGACACCAAAACCATCTTGATTGCACAAGTTTTGACAAAGTTACGATAGAAAAACTACCAACATAAACCTATGGAGCGTCGGCGAGGCGCTTGTGCAAAACCCCGCGCTTCGCGCGGGGTTTTGCGGCACGCGCCTCGCGGGGAGTCTACGGGCGATGGGTCTGGGCTCGTAACATAAACCTATTCCTATCTCCCTTGCTCTGGACGTATTTGGGGCCTCCGTAGCAGCAAAAATCTCCACATATGCCATAGGTAAGGAGCTAAAACAAACGGTCATAACTTTGTCAAATCAAGTCGGATTTTGTTGATTTTGGTGTCATTCGACTCAGCTCGAGGAGCTCTTTCGAATGAGCTATCATTTGCAAATTCGAATTTTTCACCCCAAAAAAGTGCTTGGTCCCCCCTATGGTTTTTCAATTTTCGGGGGCCTGTATCTCTGCGAGTTTTCGTCTCCCGCAGAAAATTCTTGCATATTTGAACTCAGCTCGAAGAGACAAATCGAATGGTATATACTTCAAGTTTCGATCTCGGTGTAGCTATACTAAAGAACAGCCCCATAATTTTTATGAGAGAAAATTATGAGTGAACAAAAATTTTTAATTTTTGGCAAAAATATTTTTAAAAGACACACAAAAATGCTTTTTTGTAACGATAAGATTATGCCCAAAAATAAATAAAAAGATATATTATTAATTTTAAAGCTCTCAAAAAATAAAAATAATAAAATAAGAACGTGTAAAAATAAAATAATGTTTTAAATGCTTATCCAAATTTGAGAGAGAGGGTTTTAAAAATGACAAAATAAATGAAAATAATAAAAGAGAAAAATATAGCTAAACCTCACTTTTAAAGACTCCAAAAATATTTTTTAAATTTTGTTGTCTAATGGATAGGGGAGCCACGAGAATAGTAAATAAGGTTGACGATCCGGTTTGGTTTGACAAATTGAATCGAGCATCGAATTTAGGCCCGAAAAAAATATTCAAAAGAATGAGGTGAACCCCGAAAAGCAGGAATTCCCTCTCCAAATCATAATTTTATTTTTTATGTTGGCATAATCCCTTTTGTATACTCATATTTTTAGGTGGGTAAATAACTGGAAAGTTTAAAAAATTTTAATAAAAAGGAGGTACTTAAAAGTGAGGCTTATCTAAATTTTAATTAATCAAAATATAAATGAAATGAAGAGAGGAGAAGGCTCCTTTTTTAACAAAGGTAAAAGTCGTTAACATAAAAAAATGTTTTTAAATTAAAAAAAGTATATTGGTCATATCGGCAATTAATTTTTAAAAATATAGACTATATTTACTTAGATTATAAGAAATTTTATATGTACGAAAATTTAGTATAGGAAAAAATTTTCTCGGTAAAGAGAAAATTCCGTAAGAAAATCTGGCAATGCTTTTTCTAACACGTGCCCCAGTAAATCTGTTAGAAAGAATTTCTAAAACTCTTTCAAAAAATAAATATTTTCATTTAAAATTAACCTAACATGACCAAATAACTTTTTAAAATTCCAAACCTTAAAAACATTCCAAAAAAAAGGTCAAAAGACTTTCATTGACTTTGTTGTTCCAAAATTCCATTTAAAATGTGTGTAGAATTTAAAAAAGCTTCAGCAGTCATTTTTGCATCCAAAACAGATTGGGGTTGTTGGTCACGAATAATTTCTTCTCCCCCGCCTTTTTCCAAACTTTTCTTTCTTCCATTATTATTTACTCCTCCCCCACCTTCCAAAGCAGCCAAAACTAAAGCAGCTGCAGCAGAACCATTTACGGCTAAATTAATTAATTGTTGATTTTGTTGTTTTATTTCATTTTTTATTACAAAACTTGAATTATTTTGTTGTTGCTGCTGTTGATTTTTTCTTCGAAAACGTTGTTGAATAAAATCTTTACGCATATGAACTGGACGATTTGTCTAAAAATTTTTGAAACAAATTAAATTTTTGAGAATAATTTATGTTTAAAGAATTATTTTTTAAAGAAGGGAAAGAAGGGAATTTCTTTAAGAATTCTTTAAAAAATTGTTATGATGTAAAGGATATCCAAGGAAGCCTCAAGAAAAATTTTTCGGAAAGATTTTGGGGTGTCTTCTCAAAACAAAGGAGTGAAAAAAAGACAGACTGGAAGGAAGAAATTTCAAAATTTCCCAATTTCGGGGACGGAGTAAGCCCCTGACAAACAGAAATTAAAAATTTTAAAAATACTCTGTGTAATCTGAAATAAAGTCCGCAAGCATTACAGACTAAACTTCCAGTAGCATCACGACGCCAAGCTGTTGTTTTTGTTGTAAAACAATTATTGCAGCGAGATACTGATGTTGTTGTTGATGTTGAATTGGCACCATTTTCAAGCTAAAAAAGTTGAATTAGCCATTTTTAAAGTTAAAGATAAATTCTGACATTTAAAATCCCAAATTCAAAATAGATATACCTTTTTAAATTTGGTTAATAAGGGTGGTGGGTAGGGTCTCCCCAAACGATAACCCTAATTGAAATTAACCCCATATCATAATTCAGCTACAAGGAAAATCTAAAATATCCGGTTGTCAGTTCCCAAAATTTTCAAATACCCAGAACCGCTAAATGAACCTAAAATTTCCGAATACCAGGGACTTTTTCCAGTTCTAAATAACCAGAACCGCTAACCCTAGTTCGAGTGTATTAAAAAAACAATAAAAAACCTGATTTTCAATCTGTGGAGACCCACTACTTGTATCAGCCAAAATAGCATTACTATATTCACTATTTTCATTATCAGTTATTTCACTTTTTACTACAAGTCCTCCAAAATCTTCAATATTTCCTCCATTCCCAAAAAGTCCAGCCAACAAATTTGAAGTTTGGGGAATTTCTAAAGAACAATTTTCTTCTGTCGGAGGAGAACATTCAACAGCATTATTTTCTTCTTCCAAATTTTCAAAATTATTTTGATGGGTTTCTTCAAAATTTTCTTCTTTAGTTTGAAAAAGTATTTGATATAAAGATGTTGGTGGTTGTAGAGGAAGAGGAGGAGGTGGGAGAGGAATTGTTGTTGTTATACTTGGAGATGAAGGATTGCTTTGAGGAATGTTTGTGGTGGTTGTTGTACTCATAGAAAGTAAATGGGCTAATAATTCGTCTGTTGTACTTTTTGAATTAAGTAAATCTGTTGATGAAATGTTTTGAAGATGATCAGAAGAAGAGAATTGGAATGACTGAAGGAAAAAATTTTTTTAAGGGGAGAAAATTAAAAAAAATTTTTTTTGGACAATGTGACACCTCTCGTCCACTTTTCTTTATTATATAATCAAGAAAACAAGTTAAAAAATTTTCTAAAAATTTAAAAACTTATTTTTAACATTTTAGACCGACGAACGAAGCAAAAACCGAAAAAACAAAAATTTTTAAATTTGTGGTGTAGTGGGTTACAAACAAAAATCTAAAGGATTTGGATGAGGGTTCGAACCCCAGTGGTGGTTAAAAGTTAAATGTGCTTAATAAAATTATTTTAAATATTTTTCTATATTTTTTTCGAAATTATATGCCAAAAAATAATATTTTTAACCCCAAAAAAATTAAATTTAAAAAATACATTAATTTGTTCCTCAGTAGTTGAAGGTTGTTGTGGCAATATTCCAATTAATTCTGCTGGTAATTGCATTGTTGCCATTCCTTTTTTAATTGTTGTTGTTGACTGTTTCCGACTAACATCCCTTTTTCGTTTTCGACTTCCAATATTTAAATTTCCATTTATTTTTAAATTCCCCCCATTTCCTTCCCCCCTTCCACCACCACCTCCTCCCTCTTCTCTTTCATCAATTATTGATTGTGGAGATGTTGAACGACTACTTGAATTAATTATTGCTTGACTCAAAGGATTACAATTTTCTGTTTGTTGATGATTTGATTCTTTTGTTGATGAAACTTTTGATTGTTGTGAAGGTGGAAATGAAGAAGAAGAATTTCCATTTTGTAAATTGTTTTCCAGAATGTTGGACAAACTGGAAAATATAGATAAAACGGGCTTTGACTGGAAATGTTTTTTGACTTAAAAAAATAATGGGCCAAAATTAAGGACTAAATAAAGTATTTAGAGTGAACATTTAAGCTCGCTTAAATTTTAATTTCGAGGCAGGTCCAAAAATTTTTTGAAATTTTTTGGTTAAATTTCGTGAGTCTTTTAATGACTCATAAACCAGTCTTAATGTAAATGACATGGGTCTACGTGCCATTAAAAACGTAAACCTAAAAAACCAAAGTTAGAAATTATAGATAAAAATTCTCTTAATTATTAGTAGCCCTCTCTACGCCTATCTCTATTATCGTCTATTTAATAAAAAAAAATTTAAAAAAAAATACCCATTGTTATTATCAGTCGTCGAATGAAACCCAACAACAACACCCACGATTTGTGCCAACTGCTCAGACAATCTATCCAATTTATTGTCTAATCTAGTCATTGATTGCCTCATTTCATTACAAAAAAGCTCACAATGTGAACAACAATTTTTACAATCATGTTTTGAATTAATTAAATTTTCTTTTGAAGTTGTGGGTAAAGAAGATGAAGATATTTCTGTTGGTTGATGATTTACCATATTTTTTGTTGTTTTTTGGTTGTAAATTAAATAAAAATGAAGTTTAAAAACATTTCTCTACTGAAAAATGAAGAAAAAATTTTTAAAATTTTCAAAAAAAAAATTTTCAAAAATTTTCGAAAATTTTTGAAAATTTTAAAAAAAAAATTCAAAATTTTTCAAAAAAAAATTTTTTTTTAATTTTTGAAAATTTTTCAAAAAAAATTTTTTCCCCCTTGCTAATTAAAAATACCATGGAAAGGGCAAAAAAAATATACTTTGGAAGTAAAAGTAATTTGATATTTAAAATCAGAAAAAAATAAGGGGAAAAATATCACAGCGGGGTTTTTTGAGGGAAGAAGTGCTTTTGTGGGTGCCTGTCAGTTTTCCCCCTTATTTTCATCGATTGCTACAAATATTGGCTTATAAACAGTGATAATGCACAGATGTGGGAAGAGCATAAAAAAATAACCATCATCATCATCAGCAGATGATGATGACTTTCTTCAACAAAGAAAAAAATTTTTTTTATTATCCGTAAGGCAAAGTCGCCAGTTTTATGAGTATATTGCCGGACTGATGAAAATATGTGTGAGGAAGGAAGGAGATATATTGAGGAAGAAAAGAAGAAAAGCAGACTAGAAAAAAAAGGGCTCCTATACAACTCATCTAATCGTTAACTCATCTATTCGTTAACTCATCTACACGGCCAAAAAGGGTTAACTCATCTAATCGTTAACTCATCTATTCGTTAACTCATCTACACGGCCAAAAAGGGTTAACTCATCTAATCGTTAACTCATCTATTCGTTAACTCATCTACACGGCCAAAAAGGGTCAACTCATCCAATCCTTGAAATATCGGCCGGTTGAGTCCCTAGCCGGTTGAGTCCCTGGTCAGTTGAGTCTCAACCGGCCCAAGACTCAACCGGCGGTAATCAACCACTCAAACGGCCGGGACTCAACTGACCAGGGACTTAACCGGCTAGAGACTCAACTGGCCATGGACTCAACTGGTCATGGACTCAACTGGCCATGGACTCAACTGGTCATGGACTCAACTGGTCATGGACTCAACTGGTCATGGACTCAACTGGTCATGGACTCAACTGGTCATGGACTCAACTGGCCATGGACCCTACTTACCAGAGACTCAAACGGCCATGGACCCTACTTACCAGAGACTCAAACGGCCGGAGACTCAAACGGCCAGACTCAGATGGCCAGAGACTCAAACGACTGGTACTCAATAGTCTCGTTCTAAAGGATTGGATGAGTTGACCTTTTTTGGCCGTGTAGATGAGTTAAGGATTAGATGAGTTGATGATTGGATGAGTTGACCCTTTTTGGCCGTGTAGATGAGTTAACGAATAGATGAGTTAACGATTAGATGAGTTGACCCTTTTTGGACGTGTAGATGAGTTAAGGAATTTTAGCCGTTTAGATGAGTTGAACGTTTTTGGCCGTGTAGATGAGTTAACGAATAGATGAGTTAACCGGACACGAAAAAAAGATAGAGAATGTTTAAAGATTTGGTAGAGATAAAAGGGCAAGCCAAAAATGACATATAGCCAAAAAAAGAAAAGGTAATAAATTAGGTACAAAAATAAAAAAAATTATTAATTCCCAAAGAAAATTTTTTGAAATTTCAGGATTGGGTATCAAAATGGAAAAAAATTTTTTATCATCTAAAAAGGGACACGCCCGAATAGTCGCGCGGCCATAAGGTCGCCAAGCCATAACTTGCTTTAAGATTTCCGTATCTTTCCAAATTTAGTCTTAAACGATTCCTCTTATCGAGCTAAAGAGATTGGTACCAAAATTGATAAGGGCCAGAAATTTTTTAGCAAGTTATGGCTTGGCGACCTTATGGCCGCGCGACTATTTGGGCTGTACCCTCTAAAAAGAAGCAGAAAAAATTAAAAAGATAAAAGAAAGTAGACGGCAACAGTGTGGTTATTGTTTGCTATATAAACCTGTGACTGATAACAGAGAAAATTAAAAATGAGAAATAGTGTGGAAAAATGAGAGACTGGAAGAAAAAGTTTCTTTTTTAAATCTGGAAATAAAATAATTTAATTGGAAAAATTTTTGAAACTTTCGAAATAAGTGATAAAAAAGGAGGAGAGAAATCAAAGTTTTGCAGACATGTAAATGAGGGAAAGAAAGAAAAAAGATAAATGAGAAGCCCAAGCAAGCGTAGAGAGAGTTTCAACGCTGCTGGGGTTGAACGAGCAACCAATATCAGTGGCGGACACAATGTGAATGGGGCGGAGAAGGGGGGGGATAGGAAGGAATAAAAGATAGAAAAGTGGGGGGGGGGAGGCAACGGTGAGGGAGAGGAAAAAAAAGTAGCAAAAAGGGGATTGTGGGAATGAAAAAAAATTGAAAAAAGGAGGGAAAAATCGGAGGCGGCAGAGCGCCGCTGCAAGGGATGGCAGTATCAGGCGCTGTTTGTGCGCTGATGATGTTGATGAGGGAAAAATGGAGGGAGCGTCGTCGGACACCAAGTGGTGGTAGGGGGGGGGAATGATAGTAGAAAGGAGAGAGGGAAATTGCTGTTTAGGCTCCGGTACAAAATATGGAATCGTTAAAATATGGAATGGTTAAAATCGCGAATAGGCTAAAAAGGGGTTAAAATACCGAATCGTTAAAATATGGAATGGTTAAAATATCGAATCGGGTAAAAAAGGGTTAAAATATGGAATCGTCAAAATATCGAATTGATAAAATGTCGACACGGCCAAAATGGGTCAAAATGTCGAATTCCTTTAAAAAAGGTTCAGATGAGTGCCATACGTTGATTGTTGATAATTTTATCAACCTATCAACTTACTGCTGATAAGTTGGTTGAAAAGTTTGGTAAGTCTTAGTCCGGCGTAATCTTTTCTCCTGAGTTCAGTGTATTTTACGGAGTAAAACCGGACCGGTTAAATCAAGCATAATCGACCGGATCCGGTCCGGCATGATCGTACGGATCCGGAAAACACAACAGGATCCCGATACGGAAAAATTAGAGTAGCGTCACTAGTTTTTAGTTAAGACCTAAATTTTGTACCTTACCGTATACGGTACGGAATACCGAAAAATACCGATCAGCTTTTAAATTTTATCGGTCGGCATTCCGTACCGTACTACCGAAACGGAATACCGAAAAATACCGTCGGTATTACGGTAACGCCCGGATTTTAGGTTTTGGCGCCATTTTTAAAAAAAATTCGACATTTTGACCCATTTTGGCCGTGTCGACATTTTATCAATTCGATATTTTAACGATTCGGTATTTTAACCCCTTTTTAGCCTATTCGCGATTTTAACGATTCCACATTTTGACCCCTTTTTAGCCTATTCGCGATTTTAACCCATTTTTACCCGATTCGAGATTTTAACCCTTTTTTAGCCTATTCCATATTTTAACGATTCGATATTTTGTCCGGACACGGCTGTTTAGTCTAAGCGAGGTTTGAAAAAAGGAGGGAAATCACTAAACAACAACAGAAATACTTGCGCGGCACAAAAACATTTTTATATATTGCTGGGTTGTTTGTGAAGGGAAGGGAGGGAGATGAGGGAAGAAAGGACTAGGAGTGACTGACTGTCCATCTACCCCCCTCCCTCCAACAACAATCACCAACAACAACACTAACAACTAACTAATCTATCTATTTTCTACGTTGACCAACCAGCCCCTTTATGTTACAAAAACACTAAAAAAACCTATTAGTAATTTCTTTTCCTGATAGAGGAAAAAATGAGGAAGGAAAAGAGAAGAAAGGACTCACAACTTTTAAAAAATCATCCTTAGTTGTTATTATTGTTGTTGTTGTCTATTTATCTTTTCCTTCTCCTTAAACTTTTCATTCAAAAATTTAAATTTACAAAAGAAAGAGCAAAAATTAAAAATACCCCAAACTTTTTTTTTGAATTTGGAAGGAACAGACATTTTTAAAAAATAATAACAAAATACATAATCCATCAAAAAAAAGTTTGAGGAGTATAAATTAATTAATTTTTAAAGAAGAGATTAAAAGAGAGAGGGAGAGACTAACTTAAATTTAAAAGCGAAACAAAGGAAAGAAAAAAGGAATTTAAATTTTCAACTGAGTAAAATAAAATTTTAAAATTAAAAATTTTAAAATTAATATGTATAAGTTGCCTATTTATTGATTTAAAAAATAGAAAAAGCTTAGCAGGCTAAAAAGAAAAGCTGATAACAAATAATAAATAAGTGTTTGTGTTGTGTCCATAGACATTCTCTTTTATTGTGAAAATTAAAAATATTTTTAACTTATTTTGTGTTTTTTTATTATGAGGGTGAAAATTGAAATTTTTTTTTAATTTTCTAAAAATTTTGAGAAAATTTAAAAATTTATTTTCCATTTTTTGATAAAAAAGGGAAATAAATTCGCCCTCAGTTAAGATTAGTGCTTATACACTCGTATCAAAATTCGGATCTCGTACCAAAACTTTGGAACGAAGTACGAGTACGAGCAAAATTGAAATTTATAAGACTGATTTATAAGCAAATTTTTAACTGAATAAAATAAATTTAAAAATTAAATGGGTCACTGGACTGACGTAAATAAAATAAATCAAAAATGAGTGTTAATTGTGAGGGAAAATCATAGTGTAAGAATAATAGCTTTGTGATTAAATTTATATAACTAGAAAAACAAGTTTAGAAGGAATTCTTTTAGAAGAATGTTTTCAAGATTAATTAAAAATTAGGAGGATATGTTGGAAAAACAGAGTAAAAAAATTTTTTTTATGTAATTAAACAAAATTACTGATAAATTAATTTTATTCATTTCCCCTCCCTTTTACAGTAACTAACCAAAGAAATAATCAAAAAAAAAGGAAGGAATATCACCAACTCCCAACAACTTTTACTCCAATCAAACACAAATATTCAACTGATTTCTACTGTTTTGCGAGAAGAGAATATAATAGAATGTTTTTGGGGGGAGTGACCAAATAAAGATATATTCTTGTGCGCAAAGTTTGGAGAAACGAGAGAGAGAATGAAAAAAAGAAGGAAAAATTCAAGAGAGAGATTGAAGGAGAGAGAAAAGATTTTCGAGAAACTAGCAACTCCTAACAACAACCCCTTCTCCCCTCTCCTCCTCCTTCCCTTCTCCCCCCTCCTCCTCCTTTACCAAAATCGGAATAAAATAAAAAGAAAATGTTAAATTGCTTGCCTCAATCTCCTCCCTCCTTAAACATATCCCTCCTTCAAATATATCCACGTCGAGAAGGAAAAAAAGTTTATTTCCCTCCATTTTTCTTTTGAGGTTTTTTCAAAGAAAGAAAGGAGGTCACTCATTCAAAAAGAAAGATTTTTCAAAACAAAATTGTTAAAAATGTTGAGGTCTTTCCCCTCTCAATTTCGCTCTCAAGTCTTTCCCTCCCTTCCATTTTTGGTCAATCAGCTACCAAATAACTACTAAAACTAACTAAATTCTTTGTCCGACCGCGATAAAACAGACAAAAAAAATATTTTTTAATTGCACAAATTGCTGTCAAAAAAAGAGGCCCAAGACAGACACCTTTTTTACAAAATTACAATCTTTTCTCAAAGCTATTAATACTTTTCTTGGTTTTTATTAACAATAGCACACCAAGGCGCGCAAATGAAAGAGAGAGAGAAAAGGAGGGAGAAATGCTGTGAGTAATGATTTGTGTGTATTGTGTCAATTGGAAAATTAAAAAAAAAGTTTTTAAAAAAAGTTTTCGAATTTTGATTATAAGAAACAAAATTAAAATTAACACAAGAAAAGACAGATTGACAATTTTCGAATAGTTATTGAGCTATGCTGGAAGATTACAAACGACTTTAATTGGTCCCTCCCCAAAATTAAAATTTTATTGATGGGTTAGAAAGGTGAACATCAGGGATGGATAATTTTGAATTTAAAAAAGCGGAAGACGGAAGGGCCAAAAAACGCGAAATTAGGCGGAAAACGAAAGGCGGAAGAAAATCCATCCCGAGTGAATACCTCAAGTGATACCACTAATTTAAGGTTAGGAGTATCGCTGTTATGTAAAGTTGTTGCTTCAGGTTCCTTGACAAAGTCGATTGAGTCAAGCAGATTCAAATAAAACCTCTCCTTCTCTATAACCCCTTTGCATAAAACTTTTGGTTATACTTCTAAAGAAAAATCAGATCACGCAATAAATTTTAAAGAAGAGAAAGAGTTTAAATCCAACAGATTAAAGAAGGAATCCCAAGGATTTTCAAAAAAGTCATTGAATTCAAATTAAAAGTAAGGAGAGAAAGAGTGTTTTGTGCTTATATGTCGACCTAAAAATAACCAATAAATAAACGATAAAATTGCTGATTGAGGGGGTGAATGAGGAAGGAAACTCTGCGCGTGTTTTTGTTGTGTTTGTTGGAAAGAGGCAAAGATGAGGGAAAAATATATTTAAGGGATAGAAGGTCACGCTGGCACCAATCAGCACGGCGACCTGATGGAGGGAAGGAGAAGCTTTTGTGGTGTGAAGAAGGGAATATTTTTATAGATATGTGAAGAACAATTATCATCATAATTCTCTTTTTTTTGAGGTGAATAAAAGTCTGAGACTGATGAGGAAAAAATAAAGTGCATAGATTTTTAAAGAATATTATTATAAAAAAAATTGTCTTAGAAAAGAGAAAATTGGATGATAATTTTTAAAAATAATTTTAATATGTGGTTTGGATCAAGAATGCCACAGGAAAAGAAAAAAGTCGGGTCGGATTTACAAATTTCTTCGGATTGGGATTTCGGATAGAAAAAAGATAGAGTTTCGGATTTCGGGTATGATAATTTGGATAACCTTTGAGATCCCTAGTTTAAATGATAGAAGAATAAGACTGAGAGAAGATTGATTATACATATATCGGGATTGGGGTGACAAAAATAATTTCTTGCGTGTTTACGTTTGTTCTAAAACATAAAAACTCACAATATACTATCCAAGACCCAGTGGCCGTGGATCCCGAAATCAGTAGGGTAATTGTATCCCGATATGTCCGCGTGCAGAATAAGCAACCACACCACGAAAAATTGTCATTTTTGGTGTAGTGGGAAAATGTTAGATTTGAAGAGCAAATGGGCACAGGTTCGAATCCCTTGCATAGAAAATAATTTTATTTGAATGAATAAATAGAAATATTTGTTGTTTTGGTTGTTTTTAACTCGCTAACAAAGGGAGAAATGATCAAAAATCAAACTAAAAAATTTAGAAAATTTTTACAAAGAATAGAATTATTTTACTTCTTCCAATATCAAAGTAAATTAACATATAAAATTCAAAAATGCAAAGAATGATAATCAAAAAATCTTTTTTTTGAATATATTTTTAGAAGGAGTGTGTGGCGCAAAAGCCTTTATTAAGAAAAGTGCAAAAGAGATCCGTTCAACTGATAAAAAATAAAAAAGACAAAGCAGAGAAATACTCGAAATTTTTGTTGTTCTTTTACCGGGGGTTTATCAAAGAAATGCAATCAGTCCTTATATATTTTTATTTTTAACAAACAAAAAGCTTGTTAAAAAGAATTCTTATTTTATTTTTTAATCAATTAACAAATCAGCTTTTAAATGAAAGGAATTGATGAAAAATAAAGATAAAAATAAAGACAAGTCTTGTTTAAAAGATATTTTGAAAGAGGAAAGATGTGTTGTTTAAAAACACAGATTAAAAACGTGGAAGTAAAATTAATTTTATAAAGGTCTTATCAAGAAAGAAAAAAAGTAAAGATAAAAATGTTAATGAAAAATAAAGCCAACAAGACAGAACTCACTCGGAAATACAGCAATTTTTAAATTTTAACTAACAATAAGTTGGGGGTAGAAACTAAACTAGAGAAATAGACTGAAAGGAGGTCATAGTACAAGAATCTCGAAGAATATCGATCTCGATAACCACAAAAATTTTTTTGAGATCCCGTTCCGGTCACTAAACTAAAAACCGGCAATATCCCCAATAAGCCTTTCAAATTAATTTTTCCGACCTCAAAATGAAAATTTTTCCATAACCGAGGTCTGACTGTAATCTTGAACTTTATTAAAAAACATTAAACTCACGAAAAAAACGCCTAGCCCAGAAATGTTTGTCAAAATGTAATAGAAATATTGCACAAAAATCATTTAAGCACTAGATTAATTTTTGGAGATATTAAAAAAACCTTTTAAAATTAATAAAAAAAATAAAATTAAAAGTTAATCCCTTTTTAGGGTATGAATATAAACAAAAAATTAAAAAGTTTCCGAAAAATTTTTAACTTTTATTTAAAAAAATACCAAACAAAAAATATTTAAAAAAATAAACATATTAAATAATTCAATCATTAAATTCTCAACAATTAAATTATCGTCCATCTCTTCTAAACTATCCACCAAAGTTTGACGAACCTTTGAATAAAGTTTCATACAACAATCAAAAGCTAAAGGAATTTAACCGAAATTTGAAATTCGGTTAAAACAATCTAAAAAGAAAAGGAAAATTCTTTGTAATTTCGGAATTTACAAAAAATTCCAAATATTCTTAAATTAAAAAATACAAGAATTTTTACTTTTCAAATACTCTTAAAGGCAATCCGGGAGAAGTAAACCTATGGGAGCCCCAACAGTCGGCGACTTATGTAATAAATTTGTTAAAACATGTCCAATCACGTTAATTTTGGTGTCATTCGATGCTGATCGATGAGTTCTATATTCTTTTGAAAGACTAGCATTTTATACAATGGCCGAAAAAGTCCGTGGTCAAATGACCAAACCCAGGTTCGAGATTCGACATTTTAAATTATCAGCTCAGATTCGTAATAAGCATAATTTAACCCTAGAAAAATCCTTTTCCTTATCTTTTTTTTCGCGGGGACCCCAAATTGTCCTGGACTGCCCTCTTAAAAATTCCAAAAATTTTCTTTAAATTTTTTAAACTTCAAAAAAATTTTTCTTAAAATTTTTACCTTACCTTTGTCTACATAAAAATTAATACGATTGACTGACCATTCAACTGACACGTGGAGGATTTTGCCAATGCAAAGGAAGCAGGCATATCCACCGCCGTAAAAATAGGAATAGTATTATGTTACTGACTTGGATCCCAGATACCGTTGACTACCCGCGTGGCGTGTGCCGCAAAATCCCGAGCGAAGCGCGGTTTTTCAAATCCGCGCGCCGAAGCACATAAGTATTGAAAATAAAAAACTTTTTAGAAAAATGAAAGTTAAAAAAGAAAAAAATTAGCTAAAGATAACAACGAATATTAAAAATAAAAAGTATTATCGATGTTAAATTAGAAGAATTCTAAAAATTAATGAGAAAAAATTAGTAAATGAGAAAAAATTGAAAATAAAACTATTTTTTAAAAAAATAAAAGTTAAAGAAAAAAGTTAGCTGAAGATGACAAAAAACACTTAAAATAATTTGACGAATATGTTTATTCCATGTTTTCATTATTTTTTCATCTATTCGATTTTTATGAATTTTTCCAATTGAACTTTGCTAAAAGATTTTATTGCTAAAAATAAAAATTAAAATCTGCAATCAAAATCTTTTAGCAAAGTTAAATTGGAATAATTCACAAAAATCAAATAGATGAAAAAATAATGAAAACATGAAATAAACATACTCGACAAATTTCTTTAAAAATGAAAAATGAAAAGATAAAAAATTCAGCTAAAAATGAAAATTAAAATCTGCAATCAAAATCTTTTATCAAAGTTAAATTGGAAAAATTCAAAAAAATCAAATAGATGAAAAAATAATGAAAACATGGAATAAACATACTCGACAAATTTCTTTAAAAGTGAAAAATACGAAGATAAAAAATTCAGCTAAAAATAAAAATTAAAATCTGCAATCAAAATCTTTTAGCAAAGTTAAATTGGAATAATTCAAAAAAATCAAATAGATGAAAAAATAATGAAAACATGGAATAAACATACTCGACAAATTTCTTTAAAAGTGAAAAATACGAAGATAAAAAATTCAGCTAAAAATAAAAATTAAAATCTGCAATCAAAATCTTTTAGCAAAGTTAAATTGGAATAATTCACAAAAATCAAATAGATGAAAAAATAATGAAAACATGGAATAAACATACTCGACAAATTTCTTTAAAAGTGAAAAATACGAAGATAAAAAATTCAGCTAAAAATAAAAATTAAAATCTGCAATCAAAATCTTTTAGCAAGGTTAAATTGGAATAATTCACAAAAATCAAATAGATGAAAAAATAATGAAAACATGAAATAAACATACTCGACAAATCTCTTTAAAAATGAAAAATGAAAAGATAAAAAATTCAGCTAAAAATGAAAATTAAAATCTGCAATCAAAATCTTTTATCAAAGTTAAATTGGAAAAATTCAAAAAAATCAAATAGATGAAAAAATAATGAAAACATGGAATAAACATACTCGACAAATTTCTTTAAAAGTGAAAAATACGAAGATAAAAAATTCAGCTAAAAATAAAAATTAAAATCTGCAATCAAAATCTTTTAGCAAAGTTAAATTGGAATAATTCAAAAAAATCAAATAGATGAAAAAATAATGAAAACATGGAATAAACATACTCGACAAATTTCTTTAAAAGTGAAAAATACGAAGATAAAAAATTCAGCTAAAAATAAAAATTAAAATCTGCAATCAAAATCTTTTAGCAAAGTTAAATTGGAATAATTCACAAAAATCAAATAGATGAAAAAATAATGAAAACATGGAATAAACATACTCGACAAATTTATTTAAAAGTGAAAAATACGAAGATAAAAAATTCAGCTAAAAATAAAAATTAAAATCTGCAATCAAAATCTTTTATCAAAGTTAAATTGGAATAATTCAAAAAAATCAAATAGATGAAAAAATAATGAAAACATGGAATAAACATACTCGACAAATTTCTTTAAAAGTGAAAAATACGAAGATAAAAAATTCAGCTAAAAATAAAAATTAAAATCTGCAATCAAAATCTTTTATCAAAGTTAAATTGGAAAAATTCAAAAAAATCAAATAGATGAAAAAATAATGAAAACATGGAATAAACATACTCGACAAATTTATTTAAAAGTGAAAAATACGAAGATAAAAAATTCAGCTAAAAATAAAAATTAAAATCTGCAATCAAAATCTTTTATCAAAGTTAAATTGGAATAATTCAAAAAAATCAAATAGATGAAAAAATAATGAAAACATGGAATAAACATACTCGACAAATTTCTTTAAAAGTGAAAAATACGAAGATAAAAAATTCAGCTAAAAATAAAAATTAAAATCTGCAATCAAAATCTTTTAGCAAAGTTAAATTGGAATAATTCAAAAAAATCAAATAGATGAAAAAATAATGAAAACATGAAATAAAAATACTCGACAAATTTCTTTAAAAATGAAAAATGAAAAGATAAAAAATTCAGCTAAAAATAAAAATTAAAATCTGCAATCAAAATCTTTTAGCAAAGTTAAATTGGAATAATTCACAAAAATCAAATAGATGAAAAAATAATGAAAACATGGAATAAACATACTCGACAAATTTATTTAAAAGTGAAAAATACGAAGATAAAAAATTCAGCTAAAAATAAAAATTAAAATCTGCAATCAAAATCTTTTATCAAAGTTAAATTGGAATAATTCAAAAAAATCAAATAGATGAAAAAATAATGAAAACATGGAATAAACATACTCGACAAATTTCTTTAAAAGTGAAAAATACGAAGATAAAAAATTCAGCTAAAAATAAAAATTAAAATCTGCAATCAAAATCTTTTATCAAAGTTAAATTGGAAAAATTCAAAAAAATCAAATAGATGAAAAAATAATGAAAACATGGAATAAACATACTCGACAAATTTATTTAAAAGTGAAAAATACGAAGATAAAAAATTCAGCTAAAAATAAAAATTAAAATCTGCAATCAAAATCTTTTATCAAAGTTAAATTGGAATAATTCAAAAAAATCAAATAGATGAAAAAATAATGAAAACATGAAATAAACATACTCGACAAATTTCTTTAAAAATGAAAAATGAAAAGATAAAAAATTCAGCTAAAAATGAAAATTAAAATCTGCAATCAAAATCTTTTATCAAAGTTAAATTGGAAAAATTCAAAAAAATCAAATAGATGAAAAAATAATGAAAACATGGAATAAACATACTCGACAAATTTCTTTAAAAGTGAAAAATACGAAGATAAAAAATTCAGCTAAAAATAAAAATTAAAATCTGCAATCAAAATCTTTTATCAAAGTTAAATTGGAATAATTCAAAAAAATCAAATAGATGAAAAAATAATGAAAACATGGAATAAACATACTCGACAAATTTCTTTAAAAGTGAAAAATACGAAGATAAAAAATTCAGCTAAAAATAAAAATTAAAATCTGCAATCAAAATCTTTTAGCAAAGTTAAATTGGAATAATTCACAAAAATCAAATAGATGAAAAAATAATGAAAACATGGAATAAACATACTCGACAAATTTCTTTAAAAGTGAAAAATACGAAGATAAAAAATTCAGCTAAAAATAAAAATTAAAATCTGCAATCAAAATCTTTTAGCAAAGTTAAATTGGAATAATTCACAAAAATCAAATAGATGAAAAAATAATGAAAACATGAAATAAACATACTCGACAAATCTCTTTAAAAATGAAAAATGAAAAGATAAAAAATTCAGCTAAAAATGAAAATTAAAATCTGCAATCAAAATCTTTTATCAAAGTTAAATTGGAAAAATTCAAAAAAATCAAATAGATGAAAAAATAATGAAAACATGGAATAAACATACTCGACAAATTTATTTAAAAGTGAAAAATACGAAGATAAAAAATTCAGCTAAAAATAAAAATTAAAATCTGCAATCAAAATCTTTTATCAAAGTTAAATTGGAATAATTCAAAAAAATCAAATAGATGAAAAAATAATGAAAACATGGAATAAACATACTCGACAAATTTCTTTAAAAGTGAAAAATACGAAGATAAAAAATTCAGCTAAAAATAAAAATTAAAATCTGCAATCAAAATCTTTTAGCAAAGTTAAATTGGAATAATTCAAAAAAATCAAATAGATGAAAAAATAATGAAAACATGAAATAAAAATACTCGACAAATTTCTTTAAAAATGAAAAATGAAAAGATAAAAAATTCAGCTAAAAATAAAAATTAAAATCTGCAATCAAAATCTTTTAGCAAAGTTAAATTGGAATAATTCACAAAAATCAAATAGATGAAAAAATAATGAAAACATGGAATAAACATACTCGACAAATTTATTTAAAAGTGAAAAATACGAAGATAAAAAATTCAGCTAAAAATAAAAATTAAAATCTGCAATCAAAATCTTTTATCAAAGTTAAATTGGAATAATTCAAAAAAATCAAATAGATGAAAAAATAATGAAAACATGGAATAAACATACTCGACAAATTTCTTTAAAAGTGAAAAATACGAAGATAAAAAATTCAGCTAAAAATAAAAATTAAAATCTGCAATCAAAATCTTTTATCAAAGTTAAATTGGAAAAATTCAAAAAAATCAAATAGATGAAAAAATAATGAAAACATGGAATAAACATACTCGACAAATTTATTTAAAAGTGAAAAATACGAAGATAAAAAATTCAGCTAAAAATAAAAATTAAAATCTGCAATCAAAATCTTTTATCAAAGTTAAATTGGAATAATTCAAAAAAATCAAATAGATGAAAAAATAATGAAAACATGAAATAAACATACTCGACAAATTTCTTTAAAAATGAAAAATGAAAAGATAAAAAATTCAGCTAAAAATGAAAATTAAAATCTGCAATCAAAATCTTTTATCAAAGTTAAATTGGAAAAATTCAAAAAAATCAAATAGATGAAAAAATAATGAAAACATGGAATAAACATACTCGACAAATTTCTTTAAAAGTGAAAAATACGAAGATAAAAAATTCAGCTAAAAATAAAAATTAAAATCTGCAATCAAAATCTTTTATCAAAGTTAAATTGGAATAATTCAAAAAAATCAAATAGATGAAAAAATAATGAAAACATGGAATAAACATACTCGACAAATCTCTTTAAAAATGAAAAATGAAAAGATAAAAAATTCAGCTAAAAATGAAAATTAAAATCTGCAATCAAAATCTTTTATCAAAGTTAAATTGGAAAAATTCAAAAAAATCAAATAGATGAAAAAATAATGAAAACATGGAATAAACATACTCGACAAATTTATTTAAAAGTGAAAAATACGAAGATAAAAAATTCAGCTAAAAATAAAAATTAAAATCTGCAATCAAAATCTTTTATCAAAGTTAAATTGGAATAATTCAAAAAAATCAAATAGATGAAAAAATAATGAAAACATGGAATAAACATACTCGACAAATTTCTTTAAAAGTGAAAAATACGAAGATAAAAAATTCAGCTAAAAATAAAAATTAAAATCTGCAATCAAAATCTTTTAGCAAAGTTAAATTGGAATAATTCAAAAAAATCAAATAGATGAAAAAATAATGAAAACATGAAATAAAAATACTCGACAAATTTCTTTAAAAATGAAAAATGAAAAGATAAAAAATTCAGCTAAAAATAAAAATTAAAATCTGCAATCAAAATCTTTTAGCAAAGTTAAATTGGAATAATTCACAAAAATCAAATAGATGAAAAAATAATGAAAACATGGAATAAACATACTCGACAAATTTATTTAAAAGTGAAAAATACGAAGATAAAAAATTCAGCTAAAAATAAAAATTAAAATCTGCAATCAAAATCTTTTATCAAAGTTAAATTGGAATAATTCAAAAAAATCAAATAGATGAAAAAATAATGAAAACATGGAATAAACATACTCGACAAATTTCTTTAAAAGTGAAAAATACGAAGATAAAAAATTCAGCTAAAAATAAAAATTAAAATCTGCAATCAAAATCTTTTATCAAAGTTAAATTGGAAAAATTCAAAAAAATCAAATAGATGAAAAAATAATGAAAACATGGAATAAACATACTCGACAAATTTATTTAAAAGTGAAAAATACGAAGATAAAAAATTCAGCTAAAAATAAAAATTAAAATCTGCAATCAAAATCTTTTATCAAAGTTAAATTGGAATAATTCAAAAAAATCAAATAGATGAAAAAATAATGAAAACATGAAATAAACATACTCGACAAATTTCTTTAAAAATGAAAAATGAAAAGATAAAAAATTCAGCTAAAAATGAAAATTAAAATCTGCAATCAAAATCTTTTATCAAAGTTAAATTGGAAAAATTCAAAAAAATCAAATAGATGAAAAAATAATGAAAACATGGAATAAACATACTCGACAAATTTCTTTAAAAGTGAAAAATACGAAGATAAAAAATTCAGCTAAAAATAAAAATTAAAATCTGCAATCAAAATCTTTTATCAAAGTTAAATTGGAATAATTCAAAAAAATCAAATAGATGAAAAAATAATGAAAACATGGAATAAACATACTCGACAAATTTCTTTAAAAGTGAAAAATACGAAGATAAAAAATTCAGCTAAAAATAAAAATTAAAATCTGCAATCAAAATCTTTTAGCAAAGTTAAATTGGAATAATTCACAAAAATCAAATAGATGAAAAAATAATGAAAACATGGAATAAACATACTCGACAAATTTCTTTAAAAGTGAAAAATACGAAGATAAAAAATTCAGCTAAAAATAAAAATTAAAATCTGCAATCAAAATCTTTTAGCAAAGTTAAATTGGAATAATTCACAAAAATCAAATAGATGAAAAAATAATGAAAACATGAAATAAACATACTCGACAAATCTCTTTAAAAATGAAAAATGAAAAGATAAAAAATTCAGCTAAAAATGAAAATTAAAATCTGCAATCAAAATCTTTTATCAAAGTTAAATTGGAAAAATTCAAAAAAATCAAATAGATGAAAAAATAATGAAAACATGGAATAAACATACTCGACAAATTTCTTTAAAAGTGAAAAATACGAAGATAAAAAATTCAGCTAAAAATAAAAATTAAAATCTGCAATCAAAATCTTTTAGCAAAGTTAAATTGGAATAATTCAAAAAAATCAAATAGATGAAAAAATAATGAAAACATGGAATAAACATACTCGACAAATTTCTTTAAAAGTGAAAAATACGAAGATAAAAAATTCAGCTAAAAATAAAAATTAAAATCTGCAATCAAAATCTTTTAGCAAAGTTAAATTGGAATAATTCACAAAAATCAAATAGATGAAAAAATAATGAAAACATGGAATAAACATACTCGACAAATTTATTTAAAAGTGAAAAATACGAAGATAAAAAATTCAGCTAAAAATAAAAATTAAAATCTGCAATCAAAATCTTTTATCAAAGTTAAATTGGAATAATTCAAAAAAATCAAATAGATGAAAAAATAATGAAAACATGGAATAAACATACTCGACAAATTTCTTTAAAAGTGAAAAATACGAAGATAAAAAATTCAGCTAAAAATAAAAATTAAAATCTGCAATCAAAATCTTTTATCAAAGTTAAATTGGAAAAATTCAAAAAAATCAAATAGATGAAAAAATAATGAAAACATGGAATAAACATACTCGACAAATTTATTTAAAAGTGAAAAATACGAAGATAAAAAATTCAGCTAAAAATAAAAATTAAAATCTGCAATCAAAATCTTTTATCAAAGTTAAATTGGAATAATTCAAAAAAATCAAATAGATGAAAAAATAATGAAAACATGGAATAAACATACTCGACAAATTTCTTTAAAAGTGAAAAATACGAAGATAAAAAATTCAGCTAAAAATAAAAATTAAAATCTGCAATCAAAATCTTTTAGCAAAGTTAAATTGGAATAATTCAAAAAAATCAAATAGATGAAAAAATAATGAAAACATGAAATAAAAATACTCGACAAATTTCTTTAAAAATGAAAAATGAAAAGATAAAAAATTCAGCTAAAAATGAAAATTAAAATGGTGGCCCGACGTTTCGACAAAAGACTTTTCGACAATAGACGTTTCGACAATGGACTTTTCGACAAGACTTTTCGACAATGAGCCTTTCGACAATAGATGTTTCGACAATGGACTTTTCGACAATAAATTAACATTTTTTAAAATGATAAATGTGTTGATATGAAAATAAGTGAAGACAAAAGCTTTAGTTGTTTACTGTCTGTCTTTTGTATAAACAATATAAATATAAAAAGTTAAAAAATGTTTTTAAAAAGAAAAAAAAAGAAATATGTTCTAGGTGGAATTTGAATGGGTGTTGTAAAGAAAAAACTATCCAAAATTTGGGGTATTTATTAAGTTTGTAGCATCTGGTCCTATATTTATTTTAAATGTAATATTTTTGTTACAAATTATTTTTCATTCCAATTTCTTTTACTATTGCCCCGAATATGGAAAATTCGTCGTCAGAAGATGGTCAATATAGTAGCTCCGACAATTCGAATAACTCTGTAAATGATCAGATTGAAATGCTTAATTTTGTAGAGGTTAAGTCGAAGAGGGGATACCCACTTCTAACTCGAGATGGATTCGAGTATTCTTTCGAAAAGAATTCAGCCATAAACGAAAATGTTGAGTATTGGAGATTCATAAAAGTAAGCTTAACAAACTGTACAGTATCTTCCGTAGACTTATCAATTATATAATGGGATTATTACTAGTAGTTTATTATTTTAGCGGCCACCTTATTGTGCAGGGCGAATATATGTACATTCTCCATGGCACGAGAATGATGGGGTTCGATTTAAAATTGGCTGGATTAAAAATGAAAATCACAATCACAATGCAGAACCATATAAACAGGAAGTATTACTCGAATAATGCTTTTGCATTTTAATTTATTTTAGATTCGTAATGCTTTTGAGCGTTTAAAAAATTTGGCTGGTGATCCAAACCCTGTGAAAACAAGAGATGCCATCGATATGGCAAGAGCTGCTCTTACAGAGGAGGCAAGAATTTATGCCCCGTCTAGCTCATCAATGGTAAAGAAGTTTCAACGTGAAAAACGCAAGGCTGCAGAAGAGTTGGCGATCTTGGATTAGACGCTTTAAATCCGCTTGAAATTATCATTCCTCAGCATCTAGAACCTAATGTGATTTTGAATGAAAATATTCAAATTGCAGGACAATTACGAAAACTAATTGTATTTGCCACTCCTGGTGCGTTGAACATGCTTAATGTCTATCGTAATGAAATAGCGATAGATGGTACGTTCAAAGTACGTATTGTTTAATTCTTTTTAAAACACACAAAAACACAAATTCTGTCATTTTTAGACAGCCCCTCGTGGATTTGAACAACTTTTTACCGTACATGTTGTTGTTGATTTCTGTGCTATTCCGTGTATATTTGCGTGTCTCCCAACAAAGCACATTCAAGGCTATGCCAGAGTATTTGGGGAAATAATGAATCGTATAAATCAATGGGCACCTAATCGAGTTCTATGTGACTTCGAAACTGCAGAAATCTCTGCGGTGCGTGAATCCTTTCCTCAGGCTGTTATTACTGGTTTATATTTTGGATAACTTGTTTTAAGAAATAAATTAAGGATGCTCTTATCACCTTGGGAACTCTATTTATAGACGGATACAATCTTTGCCTGGACTAAATACTCGCTACAGAGAAAATGTGAATGATAAACATCTGTTCCGATCACTTCAAGCACTTGCCTTCGTCCCCGTAAATGAAGTATATAGATTTTTCTGCATTGTCATAGATGCACTTATGGGTCCTCCTGAGATAGAAATTTTGGGTAAATTTGTATAAATTTCCAAATCAATTATTTTTAAAGAACTAGTAAAATATTTCATCTTAACATATATTGGACCAGCCTATGTCCTTGCACATCCACAAATTCAACCTGATCAGGAAGGAGGTGGTTGCGATGATTGGGTTCGTGCTTGGATTGAGCATGAGGGAATGCAGCATCGTAACTCTCTTTATCCAATTGAAGTATATTTATAATAAATCACTCGTAGTCTTTTTTCTAAATAGCTATGGAACCTCTGCCATCGTCTCCAAGATGGATTATCGCGGAGTAATAATTCAGTTGAATCGTGGCATAACATATGGGGCTCTCTTCTCGAAAGGAAACCTTTGTTCAGCAAATTTGTTAAGCGTATGCTGAAGGAGTTCGCAAGATGGGAGCACATTGTTGCTGATTATAACAATTCGCCTGGCAATGGCATTCGCGGCAAAGGTATTAAAAGAAAAACCGTGTATCTTAACCAAGATAGAAACCTTCAACAAATTTTTGCCGACTTTGCACAGCGAGCAAACGATCCATTACGATACTTACGTTCGATTTCATATCATCTTGCTCAATAAAATGAAAATATTTTTCATTTTTAAATCATTTTAAAAAATGTTAATTTATTGTCGAAAAGTCCATTGTCGAAACATCTATTGTCGAAAGGTTCATTGTCGAAAAGTCTTGTCGAAAAGTCCATTGTCGAAACGTCTGTTGTCGAAAAGTCATGGAGCCAATTAAAATCTGCAATCAAAATCTTTTATCAAAGTTAAATTGGAAAAATTCAAAAAAATCAAATAGATGAAAAAATAATGAAAACATGGAATAAACATACTCGACAAATTTATTTAAAAGTGAAAAATACGAAGATAAAAAATTCAGCTAAAAATAAAAATTAAAATCTGCAATCAAAATCTTTTATCAAAGTTAAATTGGAATAATTCAAAAAAATCAAATAGATGAAAAAATAATGAAAACATGGAATAAACATACTCGACAAATTTCTTTAAAAGTGAAAAATACGAAGATAAAAAATTCAGCTAAAAATAAAAATTAAAATCTGCAATCAAAATCTTTTAGCAAAGTTAAATTGGAATAATTCAAAAAAATCAAATAGATGAAAAAATAATGAAAACATGGAATAAACATACTCGACAAATTTCTTTAAAAGTGAAAAATACGAAGATAAAAAATTCAGCTAAAAATAAAAATTAAAATCTGCAATCAAAATCTTTTAGCAAAGTTAAATTGGAATAATTCACAAAAATCAAATAGATGAAAAAATAATGAAAACATGGAATAAACATACTCGACAAATTTCTTTAAAAGTGAAAAATACGAAGATAAAAAATTCAGCTAAAAATAAAAATTAAAATCTGCAATCAAAATCTTTTAGCAAAGTTAAATTGGAATAATTCATAAAAATCAAATAGATGAAAAAATAATGAAAACATGGAACAAACATACTCGACAAATTTCTTTAAAAGTAAAAAATGAGAAGATAAAAAATTCAGCTAAAAATAAAAATTAAAATCAATGTTAAAATGGAAGAATTCTAAAAATTCAAATAAACGAGAAAAATTTGGAAAACAATTTTTTGGAAAAATGAAAAGTTAGAGAAAAGTTGAATAAAAATAACAGCGAAAATATTAAAAATAAATAGTCCATTTCCCTAAAATTCCCTAAAATACCCCATTTCCCTAAAATAGGTTTATGTATTTATTTTGTTGCTGGCTGGCAAAAAGTGTAAGTATATTGTAAAGTTTCGGCTTTAAGTAAAACTCGAACCTTTTTTTCAAGGGGGGAGGTGTTGTGTATGGGCGTCAGCCCTTAGAGTGTTTACTATAAAAGCCAGCCATTAGTTAATTCGGAATCTCTTCACCTGTCCATTCTTCCTACCACAACCTTCATTGTATTTCGTGCGTGTGATAAAGTATTTTTTATCGTCCTCTACGTAAGCGGGGTCGTAACAGAAGTCCTTCCACTAGAAGAAGTGAAGGAAGTGAAACTACATCAACAGATAATAAATTAATCGGAACATCAAAATTCTGTTAAAATTTTTTGTTTAATAAACAACATTTTGTAATAAAATGTTTTTAACTGTAAAGTTTTAAGCTAACAAGCAAACATACCAAACTGTGAGTCAAAATTTTGTATTATTTTTGGTACCAATCGATAGAGCATCATCGATTTACTCTAGAAAATTTTCGGCTTTTTTGGCTAGGAATATGAAACTAAAAAGTTATGGTGCTTCAAAGTTTGCGAAAATTAGGAACGCTTGAGACTCCCTTATAAATGAGAGAAATTTCCCCCACTGACCATTTCTATTTTTCTCTTTTCTTTTACAGCGACTGACCGTTTTGAATTTTTCACGTTGCTGACCCTTTTCCTTTCTCTTCTTTTTTTCCTCAGCGTTGCCTATCTTCCCAGATCTACAGTAGCACCGTCCTCTTGTGTTCCTTTTCTCCCCTATTTTTGGCAAACTTTGAAGCCCTGTAGCTTTTTAGTTTCATATTCCTAGCCAAAAAAGCCGAAAATTTTCTAGAGTAAATCGATGATGCTCTATCGATTGGTACCAAAAATAATACAAAATTTTGACTCACAGTTTGGTATGTTTGCTTGTAAGTAATTTTAAATATACTGCTTGCTCAGGGCCAAGAATGGTCGAAATTTCGATTTAAAGAGAAAGGAAATGAAATTAAGGTTATATCCCGCCCCTGAAAGATGAGGAATTTATTCTCTGAAAATTCCTCGTCCGCCCCCCACCCTCTTTGTGGAACAACCCTAAGGATGACAGTGAGTTTACTTTACCTAATTTTGAAATAGAACTTATTCCCTTGAAAGTATAACTCGAATATTACCAATAAAATATTACAAATATTATTACCACAAAAATAAATAAACCAATCTCTTTTCTTCAATAGAATTCAGGAGCATTGCTTTCAATTGTTGTTGCAAATCCACCAATTTCTTCTTTAAAGCTTGAATTCCACTCAAAATAATATTTTCTGCCTTTAAAGCCCCAGCACTTTCCACACTAATCCAAAATTTCCTTGGTTTGTCCATTGGGCGATAAGGAGCCTCTCGTTGATCATCTTCATTTAATAATTCACTAAATTCGCTTTTTGGCCATTCTTCCGGTTTTGCTAAAACTGTGTGACGAAGAGCATTGACTGGATCATATTCAAATGCAACGGATGAACAAAGATTCCATTTGGCATGTTCTTTTCCAAATCCTTTCTTGGCAAAACAGCGCATTGAAATGGCTTGTCCTAAAATTTTTGCTAAGGTTAAAATTCGGTTGATTATTAAATAAACCTTTTCGAAGTTTAACAATCAAAATTTCATCAGAAATTCCATCCATTTCAAGAGTATCGCGATTTGCATGAGAACCACAAGCCGGAACAACCTTCAAATGAATTTAAACTTGTTAAAATAAATATTTATATAAATTTCACTAAATTTTCATTGCTTCCTTATAAATATTAACATTACCCAACGGTACAAATTCGTTATCACTACGAACTTTTTTTGCGGACAAATTCAATTTTCAAAATTATACATAAAAGAAATAATCCGCCGACCAATATGCCACCAAGTAAGCATTTCCTCAAAAACGTCCTCTTCAACTAGTGATACAAGGAGGAAAATAGAGAAAAACTTCCAAATTAAAAAAAAAAGTCCGCAAAAAGTTGGGATAACTAATTGTAATGCCACCAAAATATACTATTTCATCCCACCCAAAAGAAAACAAATATCAACAAACCTCAATGTTATTTGACTCTAGGTCATCCGAAGTAACAGCTCTAGTCGTATCCTCGTCACATCGAACATTCAATTCAAATTGGATAGAGCAATTGGAACAAAACTCAGAACAAGTACAATCCTATAAGATTTCTACATTAAAAAATCCAAAATAAACAAACAGTAATTGTTCGGTTCGTACCCCACACTCTTTTTTCCTTACTGAAAGTTTTAAAAAATGGTCAGTCAGTCTTAAGTTATTGAACTCTTCGAGCTGTGTCGAATGAAACCAAAATCAACCCCAGGTCTTAACTTTGGGCCGAGATACAGACCCCCGAAAATTGAAAAATAAAAGAATGGACCAAGCTCATTTTGGTGTCATTCGACACAGCTCGACGAGTTCTATAATCTAAGACTGACTGACCATTTTTTAATATTTTCAGTAAGGAAAAAAGAGTAGGGGGTACGAACCGAACAATTACCAAACAAACTCTTGTATAATGAATGCATTCTATCCACAAGTCCATCAGAAGTTAAAGGAATCATTCCCATTCGATTAGCAATAAACTTATCGTGAAGAACAGAAGTATTTTATTCTATTAGAACCCAATCAATGGCTATATAAAAGAAAACGGTACTCTGGTGTTATATGCCCCCATTTTTTATGTTCCCCCTTTTCTTCTCCTTTCATTCTTATGCCTTCATTTCTAATTACTACGTATTTGGATTAAAAAATGGCCAAAGACAATCGATGGGCAAGGATTAATTCAAGACACAGCGTCATTTTTCAGTTTTTGTTTTTTAAATTTGATTTCAGATTTTTCCATTTTTCCTTCACTTTCTCCTTATTTTTCATGAGGAACTCGTCGAGCTGAGCCGAATAACACCAAAATCGAAAAATCCTACTTGATTTGGCCGAGATACAGACCCTGAAAATTAAGAGACCATAGGAAATTTTTGAAATAAATAGTTTAAACAAATGATAGCTCATTCGAAAAAGCTCGTCGAGCTGAATTTTTAAATTTTAATCAATTTTAAAAACAAAAACTGAAAGAATGACGCTGTGATTGGATTTAATCCCTGCCCATCAATTGCCTTTCCATTTTCTAATCCAAATAGCAATTAGAAATGAAGGCATTAGAATGTAAGAAGAAGAAAAGGGGGACATAAAAAATGGGGGCATATAACACAAGAGTACCAAGAAAATAGGGTTGTTGAAGAGGTTTTTCGGCACTAGCAGCAGCCTTTTCTGCCGTAACTAGTTGAGCACAGACCTAAAAAAATAAGGCTGGTTTTGTAAAAAATCCAAAAAAAAAAATAAAGTTAAAAATTCGTAAACACTCACAAAATTAAAAATGATTTTCATGCCAATTTTCCCTTAAACACACCAATCTAGGGTTGGCGGATTCGGATCTGAAAAAGTCCTAACATCCGAAATCTTCGTTTTGGATATCGAATCCAGGAGTTTCTAGAATCAACCAAACCTACAACTAACCAAAAACTAAACTATCAACTAACCTCATTATACTTCCCCATAAGCATATCATAATTGTCTCTTTGCTTGATTAATTGCAAGTCATAATCTGAACAACGCTGTCGAAGAAAGGCGCACTCCTCCTCCACATTTACCAAACCCATCTCCACATCATTCAAACGCATTGTCGCTTCCTGAATTTGTTCGCATTTCTTCCTAAAAAATTTTTTTAAATTAATTCATTGAAAAAAATTTAAAAAACCTAATCGACTCTTTAGCCAATTGTTCAGACTTTGCTCTGTCTTCAATTAATTCTCGAATTTCTCGTTTTAATTGATTCACTTCCTCTTCTTTTTCTACACAGTTAGTAGAGGCAGTTTGGGCATTTTTGGGCGATACAGCGTTTTTAGCGTTAAGATAAGTTAATAATTGAGATTCAAGAAGTTCAATACGAGAAAGAAGAAGTTCCTTTAAAAAATTTTTTATTTTTTATGAAATACGGAATCGATTATTATGGGAAATAAGAGATTTAGATAATGCCATCTCAAATATTCATGGATTGATTTCAAAATATTTAAGGCTTATAAGGGAACATTCCGAACTTTATGTGAAATTTTCGTAACTTTTTTGCACCATCATGTAGAGCAGGTCAATAACCTATTGCCAGTTTTTGCTCTCTTGGCCCTGATCCCCAAGCCGAAAAGTTATAGCTTCAAAGTTAGACCGCTTGAGTATACTTGCTCTACATGATGGTGCAAAAAAGTTACGAAAATTTCACATAAAGTTCGGAATGTTTCCTTGCTAGCAAAAAATTTGGACAGGAACCGACAGCGTTACCTAGATAAAAACCCTTACCTAAATAAATTATTCTCAAAATTGATTATTAAAATTTAAAACCTGGTTGATATGTTCATCCCATTTTGCCTGAAGTTCTTCTTGTGCAGTTAAGAGTTGACCTTCGATTGTTTGAAGCTTTTGACCGAGAAGCTAAAAAACAATAAAATTATTTTAAAACAAACATTTTCTTTACATTTTCTCTGTGTTTTGCTTCTTTCAAATATTGTTCAAAAATAAATAATTTGTCATTTCTAACCAAAGTGTAATTTAATGGAATTTGATTTTCATTTCGAATGGGAAAAGCAAAAGAGTCCAATTGAGGTCTATCAACATATTCTTCACCCCTCTCATTTGTCAAACGTACAATACAAGTAACACATCCACTAGCGACTTTAACAAAAAAATATAAAAATTAAAAACACTTTAAAAAACCTTTCTTTGCATTATCCACAATTTCAACTCCAAGTTGAAGAATGTCACCAGAAAAGAGCTCTCTTGGTTCACCTAAAATAATTTTTTGAATAAGAAAATATTTAAAAAAATTATTATACTTTCTTCTCCACTTGGACTCAATCGATCATTATTTATAAAAGTGCCATTTGAACTTCGTGTGTCTTTAATAAAGAAATGGACGTCATCATTCATCCTTGAATTTTTAAAGATTTTATTACAGTAAAATGATTCTATCATGGTATTATTCATAAAGATTGGGAGAGCCCCAGAAGCTTTGAAAATTATTTAAGATAAAAATGAAAGAACTATGGTAACGAAGCTCCAAAATAATTTTTCTGTTAAAACCACAAAATCAAGGTTAAAAAAATCCCATAACCGATCAGAACGAAATAATCTTCTCCTACCCCTATCAACTTCCAATCCAACAAAAAAACTAACCAGAGAATTGCATGATTCCTTGAAAGCACTTTACAATCAAAAATAGCATTGCTATGTGCTGGTTGAAGTCTAACGATAGAACGCCCAATTCTGACAGCATTTTCTTCTGATCGTCCAACAAGAATTCTTTAAAAAAAATAAAATGTACTAAAAATCCACAAAAAAACCTTCGCTCTTCAAAAGGATGAGAATTGCTACAAGGAGTCAAAATACAATAACTTTTTGATGGTGGCTGCTTTCCAGTACCAGAAGAATTTTCTTTTGGTGTTCCCACAGATGTTGGGGAACTTCTAGTCTGATTTAAATTGTTTTGTTGTTGTTGTTGATTGTCTTGTTTGTAAGGTGAAGAGGTCTCATTAATATTTTCACAAGTTGTTATAATTGGAGATGTTAATGTTGATGAGGACGGAATAATTGATGGAATAGAATTAGCAAAGCTCATATTTTTAAGAATTTAATCTGAAAATGAATTTTAAAAATTAATTTAAAATTAACCAAAAAATCTAAAACATAAAAGCCAAAAATTAATTTTTTAACTAGGCTTTTACTAAATTTTTTATGGGTAAAAATTAACGGGTAAAATCCTTTTACCCATTAATTTTTACCCATAAAAAATTCATACTCAAATACCATTAATTCTAAATGCCAAAAAATTTGTTCACGCGGGAGAATAATTAAATAAAAGCGGCAAATCATTTTTAAAAACGGGAAGATTATCGGAAAAGGTTCAGGAAAGGCGCGCCGAAATTTGCGGATTTTAGTTTGCGGACCCGAAATTTGCGGACCCGAACTATGCGGACCCGAATTTTGCGGATCTGAGATTTGCGGACCAAAAATTTGCGGACCGACAATAGAGTCTACTGAACCTAGGAAATTTCAAAAATTTTAGCCTGCGGCGTTAATTAGGATAAATTCAAGCATCATGACCTTATGAAATGGCCATATGAATGATTTTTTAAGGAATTTTCTCGATTATTTAAATTATCAAATAATTTTAAGATGGAAAACTGATAAAAATTTTGAAAAATCAAGAAAAAATCTTGATCTAGTACGGATCATGATAAACTCTGCCGGAATCCTCGAAAAATAAAATTTTTAATTTTTCCTTTTTACTCAAGTGTCGGTCCTAAAATCTTGGTTCCGCAAAGATCAGGTCCGCAAACTTCGTGTCCGCAACCTTCGGGTCCGCAACTTTCGTTCCGCAAATTTCGGGTCCGCAAAGTTCGCACCACGTCAGGAAAAGGTTCCTTATAAATGAAATTTTCAAAAATTTATCCTAAAAAATTTAAAAATTTATACCGAATTTAAATAAATTGTAGAAAAATGTGAAAGAATGTTGGCCAAATGACGGAAAGCTGTAATACTCTGATCAGTATATCCATAAGCCCTTTGGACGCTCAAAAAAGGTCACAAAGGACAAAAACGTTTGGTGGATTGGATGAAAAACTATCAAGAATTCGATAAAAAGCTTTCAAAACCTAGAGAACAATTTAAAGGCATTTTCTAATTTGAAATTAATTCCACTGCAGAAAAATAAGTTTTAAAGTTCATCTTACAAAGAAATTAACCTTTCATTCTTCTGTTGTCTTGAGAGTACTTTCAAGACGTTTTTGAGTAAATTCAAGTCCAACAAACTAGAATCGACTTTAAAAATTATTTTAGAAAATTCTATAAAATTTAAACGAACCATTCTCCTTTTCTACCAATTCCATAACTTTGGCCATCGTTTTCTGATATTGTTCACGTCCCATACATATCTTTTAATTGATCAACCAGGTAGGATAAAGTGTCCTTGCTAAGAGAATGTCCTCTAATTGAAAATTGTCTATTAATATGACGTCGAATTTCATTCTGCTCTAATAAATTGAAAGAGTAAATTAATAATCAGATTTCGTTGACTTTAATGTCATTCACTCAGCACGAAGGGCACTTTCGAATGACATATAAGTTGCCACAAAATGTTAAAAAGAAAATAGGGAAAAATAAAAAAAAGGGAGGCGACTTCCTAACTATTACGTCGATTCAAACGAAAATCATCGGCAATTAAAAAGACAGAAGAAAGAGATTTTCGATATTTTACTAGGTCGTTTCATAAAAAAGTTCGTTTTTTGTTATCGCGTGTTTTTTGTGAGATAACTATTTTCATCCGATTTTGTTTTTATCTTATTTTGTAGCCCAAAGTCTTAGCTTCATAATGATACTAAAATTTTAAAAATAGACAAGACCAAAAAATTTCTATGCCTTCAGAAATGAGCGTGGGTAAGGGTTTTATTTAGGAGCATTTACACATCCCATTAAAACAAAGTAATAATGTAAAGCTGGAAGCAAGAAAAATTAATGAAACACTAGGCAAGGATGTGGTCTAACCTAGTGCAGCTCAAAAATATTTCAAAAAATTTTGTTCAGGGAGCGGCAGGACCAAACGTAAACATGGGTCGTGAAGACGACCAACTGTAAACAAACGCGTCCTTGCTCGCCGGTTAGTATGATATCCGGATATTTTTTTATTAGAATTGTAGCGGGGACATTCCTCTATAAGTACATCATGGCATTTGTTCGAAAAAACGGATCGCGGGCCGAGGAGGACAAAAAGAGTAATGCACCAACCGACTAAGAGACAAAAATAACAAGGACTTTTTCTTTGCCTTTCAAGCCTGGATAACTATCGAAAGGGTTGTTCATGGAACCGGATTGTTACCTAAGTTTAAACATATGCCAATTACGATAATAATATGCAAAAATTGTCTGGAGGAAAAAATATTAAGACCCTCTTTTGGTCCCCCGCCCAACCAACTACCCAAAAAACGTATGTTGTGTGTTCTTTTGGACGGTGCTCGGTCCGTTGATGTCGGAGCTACTTCAAATTGGTACCACTACAAACTCCAACATGCATATTAACTAACTCACCCAGGAAGATTTCGTTTGTTACCTTCAACGTCGCCAGGGACTGTTTACTAGACCTCTGGTTTTCCATTAAAATAACGCTCCTTTACACCGCTAATTTTTGACGACCTGCCATACCCCAAATAAACTTTGTTGGAAAGTGTTACCCCACCCCCTTGTAGCCCTGAGTCTGCTCTATCAGATTAACATCATTTCACTTCTCTAAAAATTTTTTTACGGGAAGGGTACTTGAAAGAAGACGCTAAGGTCGAGACTGCGGTGGGGAAGACAGTGCTTCAGAAATGGGGTCAGATTTTTTTAAAAGGGGTAACCATAAACTTCTTTTTTGTTTTAAAAATGTTGTTAAGACTCGGGGCAATTATTTAGTTCAGTTAGATTTTTTATTTGTTTGATTTTGTTAGTGATTTATCGATTTTTCTTAAAAAATTTCTTTGTGGAAAAAAACGAACTTTTTTATGAAACGACCTAGTATAGGTTTGCCAGTAGGTAATTAAATGTGCTAAAAAATGCGTCATACACACCTACTCTTTACCAAAAATACAAGTAAATAAACCTCTAAGATAGCCATAAGTTTGCTGTAAAGCTCAAGTCGCAAATGCTGTTCAAATGTTGATTAATAAAACGAGAACACTTGCTAACAACCATTAACAGACGTAAAGTTGCCACAACAATCCAAATTTTGCGCGAATCGAGGAGTTTAATTAATCGGCCATTGAGCAATAAATGGAACGTCCAAAAGCGTTTTCAAACAAAAGTGAAGTAAAACGTAAAACTGATATAATCTGAGCTTCTTGCGACTCATTTTTGTCAACTGACAGCTTTAAACAGAAAGTCAATTTTTCAACTCTAGAGGGTTATTTTTAATGGGGAAATATTTTCTTTCTTTTCAGAGATATGAAAGAAACAATTGGCTTAAACCAATAAATAATTTAAAACACAAATTAAAACAATTTTTATCCAAAAATAATTATCCAAAATTAACAGCCATTTTTCGTTCTTCCAAAAATATCTTCCAAAAAATATTCACTTCTTAGCCGGGGAAGTCTTCGGACTCATCTTCGCTGGAGAAACCTTCTGACCCGCCTTTCCTGGAGAACTGTTGGGACTAGGAGTCTTGCTTCGTTCCTTCTTCTTCTCCAGTTCACGTTCTTTCTCGCGACGCATAAGCGTGTCCACATTGGTCTGGAGTTGAATGATTGCGTCTCGATTCCAACCGACATCAATCCCCATCTAAAAAAGTTTTATAAAATTCGTTTACTTATAATCAAGTGTATTGTACGGCGTACGTACAATAAAAAGGTACAAAAAAGTTTACACCTATAACCCAAGCCCTTTTCCTTTTTTAAAAAGTACCCAATGAAAATAACAATTTATATGCCCAAATTTTTCCCCCTCTAAAAATCCCCCATATAGCCTTTTTCAATTACATAAAATAAACTCACTTGACGAACACGTTCAACCAACTCCGCTTGATTAGTCTGAAAAAAGATTAAATTAAAATAGAAAATAGTAAAAGTACGTTGTTATCAATGGTTCCGACGAGAGCATAGGTTTTATCGTTTTTTTTCTCGGCCATTTTTACTAGAATTTCTAAAAAAAATTAAAATATAGTAGAATCACGAGACATTTGTGGCCAATGACTAAGAAAACTGTAAGGAAATAATTACAAACGATCACTACAACCAACAGCCACAAATGTCTCTCCAAAATGAAGCAGAGTTCTACAATTGCCTTATATAGTACAATTTTTAAATTAAGACATTTTATCCAAAAAGCTAAAACAAAACGCCAAAGAAAACAATTATAAATGAAGTTTTGTATTGAGTATGGACGCTTGAGTATCACATATGAAAAACAAAAGGAAACCCCGTAAGGTCACAGCTTTACCTAATATATTCCAAAATGCTCAACTGATTCTGGCACATATGAAGATCATTCCTGTTCAGAGCCTTAAGCGCGCTCAAAGGAGTATCTTGTTCCATAAATGTACTCTCCCGCTTTTGAGTATCATCAAGAGCTTTTGAGCCAGCAAGTTGTGGAACCAGAGTCCAAACAACCCAAATTTTGCGTAATCGGATCTACTTAATCGATCTGTTGCACAATAAATGTGGAACGTCCAAAAGCATTAAACACAAATTAAATACAATTTTTTATTCAAAAATAATTAAAAATGCAATTTCTCGTTATCTTCCAAAAAGAATTCGGACCCGTCTTTCCTCGAGATGTGTTGGGACTAGGAGTCTTACTTCGTTCCTTTTTCTTCTCCTGTTCACGTTCTTTCTCGCGACGCATAAGCATGTCCAATTAGTCTGGAGTTGAATGATTGCGTCTCGATTCCAACCGACATCAGTTCTTTTCCACCTAAAATAAAGTTTTATAAAGCGTTCTTAAGTAAATTAAAAAATAAAATTTAGTTTTATAGGAACCAAACTCGTAAGATCCTTGAGCGTGTATCACAGACTTCATTAAAATATTCATTGTATTTATCAAAGAACTGAGTCGAATCAATTGAAAAAGTTTTTCTTGTTGACATTCAATTTCTGTTGAATATGCAGACAATTCAAAAGAACAACGTTCAAGCAGATAAGAAAAAGCGTCGTCAACTTTAGAAGTTTGTCGCTAGATTAAAAAAAATTTTAGAAACATTTTTAAACGCAAATCTCATACCAAAATACAACACAAAATATTTGCCAAATTAGGAAGATAACTTGAATTGAGTAAAACCGTTTGTGGTTTCTTTGCTTCACTCAACAATTTAACTAAACGAACTGGAATGTTTAATTCGTTTAAAGTTTGAATGTTGTCTTGCACATTTCGATTTGACAAAATTGTTTCAATCATTACTGAAAGAATCTTTTAATTTTCCTTCATAAAAATAACAAAAAAATAACCTCCCATAATTGCCATATAATCACCTAGCAAAACATGTTCAACAGAATCATCTTCAATAACAGCCTTTCCCATACTCCAAGAAACACTTTTATCTTCGCTAGTAGCAGATTAAAGCAATTCTTCAAGAATCTAATAAGAAAATAAAATATAAAAAACACCAAAAAACAGAAAACAAACCTCAGAAAGAATGCCCATAACATCTTTTCTCAAAGCAGGATGATGACGGATTAATTTATCAAAAGATGTTCCAAGCATATGAGCAGTCTCAACTAAAAACAAAAATTTAAAAAAATATTTTTTTCCTAAAACTCACGTATTTCAGTTTTTCGTTTACGCATTGAAAGCAAAAATTTGTTTGAAAAAATAATTCTAAATATTTTTTCCAAAGGTTTTTGATTATTATAAAGTTTGAATTCATTATGGCCACGTTCATTAAGGCACAAAGCAGAACAGACATTTGGTAATGCACAGACGAGATCTCTTGAAATTGGTAGCTAAAATAAGAAAAAATTATAAGTAGTCTTAGCCAAAACATGTAAAGTTAGTGGTTGTCCCCTTTACTTTTTCATGATGTGAAGAATAATAAAATGAGGAAAAATACATGAGGAAAATAAATTTGTGAGGAAACAACATAAAAAAGGAAAGAGACACTAACTACCATCTTGCAGATGTTGGCTAGCGTTTTTTTAATCATCAAAGAACAGGAAAAATAAAAAACCCGACCTTTTCATCAAAAATTAAATTCATCAAAGCATCAGTTAATTTCATATTTTGAAGCATTGTTAACTGGGCAGGCTGAAAAAATTTTAAAATATAAAACTATTTTAAGAAAATCATACCTCTTGATAAATAAAATTTGTAATCAACGACACTGTGCAATGCAAAAGAGAAGACCCAAAATATTGTGAATGTTGAATGATGAAAATTAGAGATTGTGGAAATTCTGTCTCCATTATTCGTCGCATTTGGACTGCAAGGTTTGCGTCAATCACGTTTTATAAAATTTAACAAAGATTTCATTAGAGCAGCGCGTTGTTGACTGCAAAGAAGTGTCGTATTTGAAGTTGTTTGCTCCGATATTTGAGTTTTGCATTGATCAACCTCGTGCTAGAATAATAAATTTTCAAATTTAAAAAACAAAGAAGGGTACACCCCAACTTACCGCAGAGCTATAACTTCGTTCAGAATGGTCGAATCCAGGACGCCCTGGTATGGTTCGATTCAGCTCGTCGTGGCGCATCGAACATATCAAAGCGTCCCGAATTTTTCTGAACAAAGTTATCGCTCTGCGGTAAGTTGGCTTGCTCCCAAAAACAAAACAAACCGAAAATCTCTTTATAATCGCATCAGTTCCACCATTGGAATTAAATTGGGCAACGTCTATTCCCGTTAAAATGTCAATTATACGAACAGACCGAGTGACATATCTAACATATTGTTCAGGAAGTGAATAGGTTTTGACAACGCCTAAAAGAACGGGCACCAAAGAAGAACGATTGAGAGCATCACCACCTTACAAAACAAATAAAAATTAATTTTAGAAAGTAAAAAAAACCATATTCAAATCCACAAATAATTAACAGCCATTTTTCGTTCTTCCAAAAAAAATATTCACTTCTTAGCCGGGGAAGTCTTCGGACTCATCTTCGCTGGAGAAACCTTCTGACCCGCCTTTCCTGGAGAACTGTTGGGACTAGGAGTCTTGCTTCGTTCCTTCTTCTTCTCCAGTTCACGTTCTTTCTCGCGACGCATAAGCGTGTCCACATTGGTCTGGAGTTGAATGATTGCGTCTCGATTCCAACCGACATCAATCCCCATCTAAAAAAGTTTTATAAAATTCGTTTACTTATAATCAAGTGTATTGTACGGCGTACGTACAATAAAAAGGTACAAAAAAGTTTACACCTATAACCCAAGCCCTTTTCCTTTTTTAAAAAGTACCCAATGAAAATAACAATTTATATGCCCAAATTTTTCCCCCTCTAAAAATCCCCCATATAGCCTTTTTCAATTACATAAAATAAACTCACTTGACGAACACGTTCAACCAACTCCGCTTGATTAGTCTGAAAAAAGATTAAATTAAAATAGAAAATAGTAAAAGTACATTGGTATCAACGGTTCCGACGAGAGCATAGGAACGCGCTAAATGATCCTCAGCAAAAATAGTTATCAACTCTGCTAAACCCAGAACAACAGAACGATTTTTGTTGAGAAGACGAAGGCAATGCGTGACAATATCTTTGCAAATAAACTCTACTCTCTCCTATAAAAATTAAAATTATAACTGCACTCAATTTCTAAAAAAAACCTGAAGATCATCCCTGTTCAGAGGCTTTAGCGCGCTCAAAGGAGTATCTTGTTCCATAAGTGTACTCTCCCGTTTTTGAGTATCATCAAAAGCTTTTGGGGCAGAAAGTTTTGGAGCCAGAGCTGCTTCTATTGTTGCATTTGCTGCGATTTCTTCTGCTAATGCTGCTGATGCTGCGACAACTGGTGGAACTAATAAAATATTTTAAGCATTTCAACTATAACTGTAGATGACTAACCTAGACCTGTAGGATTCCTTTCTAGCATGCTAACCAAATGTTCAGCTGCTTCTGGCACTGATGATGTCACCAAAAGAGCGTCAACAGCATCGCTTTGCGAGAAGCCCATTTCTACAAGTTGTTGAATCTGAGGGGGTTATTATTTTATTTATTAATTTAGAAATAAACAAAACCTTAGCCGGGTCAATTTCGCCAACAGGGATTTCAGCTGGCGCTTCAGATTTGCCTTCAGTTAATTCCAATAATTTCATCATATCTTTAAGTAATCCTTTCATAAATTCCAATAACTTTTCCAATAATTTGAAAGCTGCTTGTTCGTTACCACCCTTGTCCTTGTCACTACTAGTAGAAGTTGATGGCATTGATGGGTCATCAGAGAATGTCTCGCAATGCTTCATTAGCTCTTTTAACATTGAACAAATAGCAGAAAAGGTGTCCTAAAGAAGCAGTCACTTCTATTAATTAGCATCTATTAACCTTCTGTGCAATTGCCAAAAAATTTTTCAACTCAAAACCATCAACAGTTATCCGTTGCTGCGGCGGTAGTTGTTGAACACCATTTCGCTGAGTTGCCAAATTTGGTGACGAGAATTTTTGGGCAATGTTGAGCCATGCATGAATAATTGTGGTAAATTCCTCTGAAAAATAAATATCAAAAAATTTTTTTTAAATTATATAACCTTTAGTAATGTTTGATTTAAAACAATCTGTCACAAGAGCGAAGAAATTTTTGTAACAGCCAGACAAATAGAAATCTGGCAGCAATTGCTGAATATTATTAATATCATCTATAAGGAATTTTTTGAGAAAATTGAGTGGTGTAGTGAAGTATAAAGCACTGAAAAACGTTTTTTAAAAGAATGTTAGAAAAATAAACTTCAAAACTAAGGTTGTTCCCCGTCTCCGAAAGTCGGGGAATTTGAGATTTTTTGAAAATTCCCCACCCCCACCCCTGCGTGAATAAAGAAAAAATTTTCGCCGTGCCCGTCCCGCCACCCTCTGTGGCTCTGCCTCCCCGAAAATTGTTTCCCGTGGCCCTCCCTTCCCCGTCAGGGAACAACCCTACTCAAAACTTTTTACCTAATGCTACTATCAATTCCGTTTGTCTGTAGTAATCGTTGAACACCTCCAAGAATTAATGTGCTCACATTTCGAAAATCTTTCTTTATTGTCTCATGACTTAATTGCAAACTGATCGCTAAACGTTGTCTCACCTTCAATACACTTGCATTGCAGAAAATTTTTCCAATACAAGTTATAAGCTCGCTAATTTGACGATGACAGCGGTAAACAACATGGTTTAGAGGACGTTCAGTTGTTGTCGAAAGTGAAGCTGGTGTAGTTTCTGATGTTGTTCCAACAGTCACAATTTTCTAACCCAAACCCTGAAAATAAAAAAAAATTAGCAGGAAAGGAAAATAAGAAAATATGTTCAACAGAGAATTTAATGACATAAAACTTTTTTTTGGTACAGCCCGATTAGGCGCGACCGATTATGCGCGCGGCCAATTTGGTGCAGCAAATGATGAGATTAATAGAAAATTTAAAGAATTATCCCTAAAATTTTAAGTCTCCCTTTATTGAATTGTGTAGTCAAGTGGTTAAGGTGTTAGGCTTTACCAATCTCCTTTTTGATTTAGGATTGGGTTCGATCCCTAGTCTGTGGAGAAGGACTTTCCATGTTTTTCTTTCAATAAATAAATTATTATACACTTTTAATTTTATTTTTAAAAATGTTTATAGGTATATTTTAAGCATTTTAAAGACAATTTAAGTTTTTTTCCCAAGTCAAAATTTTTAATTTTATTTTTTTTCTCTTAATTAATATTGATTATTTAAATTGAAATTTCAGATTTTTAAATTAAATTATTTTAAATAAATTTATTTTTTAAATGACAACTTCAAAAACATTTTCAACTGAACAATGTTCTTTGACAGATATATTTTCACTTGCTGCTGCAGAAAATTGTCAAACAAATTTGGAAAGTGGAAAGTTGATTGAGACTGCAAATTTGAGTAAACGAAAATTTCGAGAATTGGGTATGGATTAATTATTTGATTTTTTGAAATTTATTTAAAATTATTTTTTTAGCAATCAAATTAAAACCTTTGAAAGGTTGTGTTGGCTCTGCAATTGTAAAAATGGGGAATACAATAGTTAGCTGTGCTGTGTTAGTTTAAAAAAATTTTTTTCTATTTTTTACTAATTTAAATTTACGTCGGGGAACTGGGTCGTTTTCACGATTCGAAAAATTTTTTGAGAACCCTAGACCAGGCTTTTTCTCCAACTTGAGATAGTTGGAGAAAAATCCTTGAAAGTAAATTTTCCGCATTTGTCAATAATTTTTCGTTACCTCAATTGATTTTACAAATCCGCAGCATATTTCCGGATAGCTGCAAAAGAATTCTGTAGTCAGGGCAGACCTGTTTGATAATTTTTGGATCGTTTAGGAATTAATTTTAGGTTTTCTCTCGATAAATTTTTTCGAAGTTTTTAAAAAATTGCTCTTGGAAATTTAATTAATCTTATTTTTTCCATGTTTTTATTTATTTTTTATAGAACAGGACCTAAAGAACAACAATCTGGAGAAACTGCTTTGGAAGGCCTTTTAAATGTATAAATTTCAGATTAATTAACAGGTCACTTAATTTTTTAATTTTTAAAGATTTCTCTTCACGGAATTGATCCAGCACTTCGTTATAGTATTGAACACGCTCTCCAAGCCGTTGTTTGTCTTAAAAAATTGGCTAGGGTTTGCTTTTTTATTTTTTTTTAATTTTTTAAAATTGTCCATTTTAGACGGAAATTGATGTGGAATTAAACGTTTTGTCAGACGATGGAGGGGTTTTGGCTGCTTGTTTATTAGCCTCTGGATTAGCTATTGCATCTGCTAATATTGAAATGTTTGTTTAATTTTAATTATTAAATATTTAATGAAAGGAAAGGGTTCTTTCAATGTTTAAATTTTTAAAAATTAATTTAAATTATTCGTCGGGTAATAAAAAATTGCGGTTTTCATAAGGTTATTGTCGAAGAAGTACTTAAAATCAGTAGTCTTCAAGATGCCTTTTAAGCGAAATGAAAAATGGGGATCACCCCAGAATATCGACACCCTAAATATCGACACCCTAAATATCGATACCCAAAATATCGAATGACCCAAAATATCGACACCCAAAATGACGAATTACCCAAAATATCGAAAATTTTTTAATTTCATAATTATGTATTCCAATGATCGGGAATGATGTTCCAACATCGGGGAATTGTGTTTTCGATCGAACTGACCAACTAAATTTCTTCAGATTTTATTATTTATTCTAAGTCAAGGGCAGTTGTAAATTTGCAATTAGCTGGAATCATTGATGAAGTTAAGGTTTATTTATTAATAATTTGAAAACGGACAAATATTTAATTTAAGGCAAGTCTTCTAAAATTGAAGAATCTTGAAACAACTTTTGGATTAAGACGCTACGTGACTCACATTTGTTTATGCTATGCTTCCTAAAAAGAGTAGAGAGTGTTACAAACGAGCTTTGGTTTTAATTTTAAACAAGATTGATTAAATGAATGTTGGTGCTAGGCCAAAAACAAGTCATTTTGAAGTCTGAAGAACAAGCTTTACGAACCGCCGTTCCTACTGCAAAAATTCATGAATGTTTTTTCCTTTTTAAGGTTTTTTTAATTAAAGATTTAATTTTTAACTATTTTAAAAATTAGCAAGCCATTTGGAGGAAAATCCAAGAACTTTAATGGCAAGCAAAATACCAAGATGAAGAAGAGGGATTTCGTAACAATTAAGAATGTTTGCTGCTCTACCCTTGTCGACTTAAGTTTTTTAGATCTAAAGCTATTTTTATTTTATGTTGTAGAGCAATTCCAACTCTGGTTCCGATATGCTTTTTGTCGATTTTTAATAGTTAGTATTGATGCTTATCGATTTTTAATACTTTTCGATATTTTGGGTAATTCGTCATTTTGGGTGTCGATATTTTGGGTCATTCGATATTTTGGGTATCGATATTTAGGGTGTCGATATTTTGGGTGTCGATATTCTGGGGTGGAGTCGAAAAATGAATTTATGATAATGTTATGTAAAATTATTTTTTAATTTAATTTTCATAATTCAATTTTATACTTTTTCAGTCATTTCACCTTTTTTTTAATTTCTTTCTCACTTTAAATTATTCCAAATCCAATTCCTTTTACTTTTCTCAATTCCCCTTTATTTAAGGTTTGATATTCTTCTGCCTTGTAATATTTTAATACCAACACAACCCCCATCTCCCCCAGGCTTCCCTCCAGCCTTCATTCTTGATCCAGACTCAACTACAATTGCAAAGTATTCTTCTAGGGCAGCACTTTTAACTTTGGCAATAATTCCGTCTATTGGACAAGTATTTTTAAAAAAAAATTTTTTTTGAAATTTTTTAAGCTTAAAAATTTTTAAAGAAAAATTTTGGAATTTTTTGAAATTTTAAAGATTTTTTGAAAATTATAAAAAAAAATTTCTTTTCTCATTTTAGATTGTTTTGACCGAATTTAGTGGTTGTCCTCTACCTTTATCTATTTGCCAGCAAATAATTCCAGTAGCTTTTGATTGTTGTATGCAACTTTATTCGAATGTTCGTCAAACTTTGGTGGATAGTTTAGAAGAGGTGGACGATAATTTAATTGTTGAAAATTTAATGATTGAATAATCGAGAATGTTTTTTTGTGTTTGTTTAATTTTTTAAAATATTTTTTTTTGTTTGGTTATTTTTCAAATAAATTTAAAAAATTTCAAAAAGTTTTAATTTTTTTACTTAATCATTTCCATCCCGCTGAGCAAGTTTAGTTGTTTAAAGCATTCCAATTTGTCCCACTAAACAACTACTCCAGGGTTCGCATTCCTACTTTTTTAAAAGTATTCTACTTTTAAATCGACCTCCATGCTTACGAAATTGAATTTATACTTTTTTGAAAGTATATACTTTTTTTTTTGATTGAAAATGAAATTGGGGAATGGATTGGGCAAAAAAGTGAATTTTCTGGCTTAAGGACCTACAAAATTCTCAAAATTTTCGCCTGCGGCGCAAAAAAATAGATTTTTTGGCACCTTCGGCGCCACAAAAGGTGCATTGAAATTGACAAAAATGCTCAGTTGAAACAAGAAATTATTAGAAAAGATTCATTTAGGAGAGAAATATAAAAGATTTGAGGACGAATAAATATTTTCTAATTTAATTTTGAGACTACTTTTTATTTGCAAATTTTCTCCCTATATACTTTTTTATCGAGATTTTGATACTTTTGAGTGGCATTTTGTCGATGCGAACCCTGAACTACTCTGATTTGGCCCCATCCCTATTAATTTTATTACAACAGAATAAAATTACATTATTCGTCGTTTAATTGTGAGTAAAAATTAAAAATTTTTAAAAATCCCACCCATACTCTAACAAATAAGGCTTAATTTTTTTTGGTTTTTTGTACATATAATTTAGAGCCCTACTTATTATGTATTTTTCTCTTTTCGACAATTTTTAGAGAAAGTTTCAAATCAAAGATTGTAGATTCGTTCATTTTATTTTTCTACTCATTGTCAGTATTGATGAAAATGTTGGCAGAAATTTTTGTAGAATTTAATTTTATTATTTGGCTCTTTTTTACCACCCCAAAAATTTTTTGTAAAAATTTTATAGAAAAATTATACTGAATTTATAAAAAAGAACGAGAAAAACTAAATAAAGGCATAATTTCGGAATAATAAACAGACTGATTGGGACAAATTATGTCAATCAATCTACCAATCGAAGTTCAATTTGATGTCTTAAAATGTCTTAATTTCAATCAATTATTTTCTTTTAAACAAACCAACTTTTATTCGCTCAATTTAATTAATAAATATGAAAATGGATTGTCTCGAATGTATTTCGGTTGGCTCGAAATTGTAATTTGGGGTATTTAGGTAATTTCAAAATTTGGGGTAAGCAAAAATGTAAGCAAAAAATCATTTTTGAACAATCTTTAGATGTTGTTATACTAAAATTTAAAAATTTATTTTTAATTTTAATCGGCAATTTACTTCAATAATAAGATCATAAAGCATTGGCAATCCAAAAGATCTTAAAACAACTCGAGGTAATTTATTGCTCCTTCTTTAACTAGTCCAATTCGGCGAGCCATTGTAGGTTCCTCTACATTGACTTTGTATAAATTGAAAGTGAACAGAAACGAATTGGCCAAATGATTTAAAGCGAATTTCAAAATAACATCGAATTTATTGTTGGTAAAAACTACATGGGGGTCTGTTGCGTTAAATTGAAGAGGAATTGCAACAAATTAAAATTTAATTGGCTGCTCCTAAAAATTATTTTTAAAAACCCCTAATTATAAGTAAAGAACCAATAGTGCAGTCAATTCAACATCTTCTTTAACTGGTCCAATTCGGCAAGCCATTGTAGGTTCACCTACTTCAATCTGAAATTGAATACAAATCATTGTTTAAATAAAGTTATTTTCTATGTTCAATAATTATTCGGATATTGTTTAACTTTCTTATTTATTTTTAAATTAATATTATTGTAATTTTAGTTTCCAGGCCTATAGAACAACTTAATCAGAGTTTAGCTAAGTGGTTAAAGCCCATTTTCTCCCTCTAAATAAATAACCTAATAGGTAAAATAATAAAAAGATATTACATGCAAATTCTTAAGATGCTCCTCAGCCTGAAACTCAAGCGCAGTTGCAACACGAATTTTGTTGCTAGAAGTTGTTGTTCTGTTGGACATATTTTAAGTTTATATAATTTTTTCAAATAAAATTTTTTAATCTAAAAAATAAATTTATCTGTTAGAAATTAAAAAGGAGATAAAGGGAATAAATTGAAAAAAGGAGCTAGAGGAGATATGTTTAAGGGGATTTAGAAAGGAGGAAAAAAGGTGAAAGATTTTCTAGGAAATGAACCGATAAAATGAATTGAAAAAAATAAAATGTTAACTGTTTCGGGATAGAGTTCGGATCGGAGGAGCAACATATGGTTGGGGTTCGGAATTTAAGGAAAAAATTTTTAAAAATAAAGTTCCAAAAGTAATGCACTCGCGTTCTATTTGTTAACTTATTTGGAAATTAAGGGGCACATGGAAAAATTAGAGGAGATATCTTGGGATATACTTGATAGGATTTGGACTCATTCAGAGGTACATATAATACACACGCACACACCGACCATTAGTTTTAAAAAGAGCTGGGTACTTATTGCCATTTAAATAAGTGGAATAGAAGAAATAATAATATTGATACATATATTAATTTCTAATTTAGTGCCATTGAAAAGAATTAATGGGAGAAATTAATCTTTTCTTTGTTGTCTCTCATTTGAATATGACACAGACAAATATGTATAGCGGAATTGATGAAGGAAGAAGTCTACCATTCCGTCCAATTTAAGGAGAAAATCAATGTCTCAAGTTTAATATGTCGGAGGGAAAAATAGAGGAAGGAAGGGGAAAAAGGAAGGGGGCCAGGTTCGGAATTACCAAAGATTTTTTAAATTATTAGACAACAAAATAAATTTTTGAACTTTACAAATGCAAAAATTTAAAATATAAAGAAAAACGGTACTTGTGAGTTATCCCAAACCAGTTTTTGCGGACATATTTTGCGGACTATTTTGTATACACAGAATGGTCAGTCTTCCTCCTTTCCTCAATTTCACTATATTTCACTATGGCATTATTTAATGAGAGGCAATAAAGAAAGGATTATTTTTAAATATAAATGACCGATTTTCAAATCATGTTTACCTCTCATTGAATAATGCCATAGTGAAATAGAGTGCAATTGAGGAAAGGAGGAAGACTGACCATTCTGTATATACAAAAGAGTCCGCAAAATACGTCCACAAAAACCGTGACAAATCACAGTCTTACCAAATCATGGAACGACCAAAATACGGACTAAACAAAATGTGGACCGATCCGTGCTTTCAATGAGGCTTTTCGGCAATAGTAGTTTATCCCCACCCCTTTTTTACGGAATCCTTGATCATTTTGAGTGGATTGATACCATAATTGGTTAGATTTGTCAAAAATATGAAGCTGTTCTTGGCCGTGTTTGGTTAATTTGGTAAGACTCTGTTAAGGTATGCACGCGAGGACCATTAGTTTAAAATGCGGAGTTTGGTGCTTATCATCCTAGAAAAATATTTCTAAATGACTGAAATGTGTAAATAAAAATGAAAAGATTGATCTGTTATTTTCATATTTGATGGCATTCCAGAAAAATAATCCTTTTTTTGTTGCCTCTCTTTATTGCCTCTATTAACACAGTGAAATGGAGGAAAGAGGTCACTATGGCATTATTCAATGAGAGGTAAACATGATTTGAAAATCGGTCATTTATATTTAAAAATAATCCTTTCTTTATTGCCTCTCATTAAATAATGCCATAGTGAAATATAGTGAAATTGAGGAAAGGAGGAAGACTGACCATTCTGTGTATACAAAATAGTCCGCAAAATATGTCCGCAAAAACTGGTTTGGGATAACTCACAAGTACCAGAAAAACTAAACTGATATGATAAATCATAAAAGTATGTAAATGTTTAAAATATTGCTGAAATTGTAGGTAAAGGAGTCTAGTATAAAAGCAAGTATAAAATCAGTCGTTATAGTCAGTCTTAGTCAACATCCGACAGTTGACGCTTTTCCGTCATTATTTTCGTTTACTGCTCTGCATGTTTTAATTTTTTTATTTTTTATGATTTTAAATAAATTCAATTTGTTTCATTTTTAGATAAATTTAAAAATGTTTTATTCTCTACCAATTGAAGTTCAACTTGATGTCTTAAAATGTCTTAATTTCAACCAATTATTTGGAACTTATATGGTTTAGGTGCGCTTTTTTTAGCCACGCCCTTTTTTCCTTTTCCTGCATCAATCAACATTGATATTGACAGAATGGTCAACCTTTCTTTCTCCCTCAATTTCACTCAACTTTTCCTGACGCCCTTTTTTTCTTTTTCCGTCATTATTCTTTTACTTATTTTCCCTCTCAACCAGGTCAATTTTTGCTTAAAATATAGAGCTGACTCGGATGACATAGAGCTGACTCGGATGACATCATCGAGCTGGGCTGAGACGAATGGCACTAAAATAGGTCCGTGAGATCACTGAGCTGAATTACACGGGTCCAAAAATTTCTAAAAGGGGTAAAAACGGTCAGCATTTTGTAAAAAAATATGATTTCAAACACGCAAAAACTGAAAAACACAATGAAATACCGGACCATTAGTTCCAAAACGTAGACCCGGGATACTTATGCCATTTAAATAATAGAAATAGATAAAATTAAGAATATTGATTCAAATGTTAATTCTATTTTGGTGAAATTGGAAAAGAAAATTAATCTTTTCCTTGTTAATGTCTCTCACTGAAAATGCCACAGGAAAAGTTGAGTGAAATTGAGGAAGAAAGAAAGGTTGACCATTCTGTCCATATCAATGTTGATTGATGAAGGAAAAGGAAAAAAGGGCGTGGCTAAAAAAAGCGCACCTAAACCATATAAGTTCCAATTATTTTCTTTTAAACAAACCAACTTTTATTCGCTCAATTTAATTAATAAATATGAAAATGGATTGGCTCTAATGAAATTTGATGAACTCAAAATAGTAAATGCTTATTAAATTGTTAATTATTCCTTCACATTTTACTAACCGTGAATAAATTTGGACAAAAGTCAAACGGAAAAGCTCTTCTAGTCGAATGACATCGGGAATTCAATGATTTTTGATAACCGAACGAACTGCTACTACGGAAGTCAAAGGTCATGTTTTGCCATGGCCACCGGTTAAACTGGTCACCTCAGCGAGCTCTTTCGAATGACATTTGTCGAAGTTTATTCCTTGTAAGTAAAACGCGATTTAATTTTAGGATACTAACGATTTGTTCGATTCCTATGATTACAAAATTATTGCAGCTGAATCTGTAACTTCTGAATTTATTTTGAATGATCAGCTTATGGAGAAGGTGTTTAATTGATTTTAAATTAATTAAATTTAATTTATTTTTTAGTGGAAAGCAGCTATAGCTAAAAAAATTCCGCTGTGTTTACATCGTATTGGATATAGTGAAGATGCGGAATTTAGCATTTATTTGAATCCAACCTATCTTTTAAAATTGCCAAACATTCCAAAAAATATTCAGGAAATGCATATTATTCGGTTTTGGTTAGAGCAACTTTTTAAGTGTGCTTTTAAAGAAGGAGGATTTAACGCAACTATATTCAATCCAGAAATGCTCAATTTATTATTTGATAACGACAAAACAATTTCTCCTCAATTCAACATACAACAGCCTTATGTTATTTTTAAAAGCGATACATTCGACAATTTTTTGGACTTCACTTTAAATCATCTGGTCAATTCAACATATCTTACTTTAAATATTTTTAACATCACAAATTTTGTGCAATATACAGATATTTTATTCAATATTTTAATAAACGAAGGCAATAAATTTTCAAAAATTGTTTTACGATCTCCTGTATTTCCAAAGCTTTATGATCTTATTGTTGAAGTAAATTGTTTATTTAAAATTAAAAATAATTTTTAAATATTTTAGTATATAATAACTTCCAAAGATTGTTCAAAAATGGTGTCTGAAATTGGTTTGGATATTCCTTTTCAAGATTTTAAATTAAACAAGAGAGCAGAAAATGTTCAAAATCGTTGGGAATCGAGCCTTATTAGATATGAAATTGCCAATATTTACAATCCAAAAGTGAGATTTTCATTCAATAAGTTGAGTGGTTCAGTTTTTATAACAAGAATGTAGAGAGATGATGTGATAAATTTTCATAGAACTTATATTATTTACAGGGATGGGACGGGTTGAGATTTGGGTCGAAAATTTTGGGTCGAAAAATGTCCGGTTTTCACGCACCTGTCCTATCCCAAACAATACCCAAATTTTTGTAATTTAATTGTGTATAATTTTTTGTTAAATTATTTTTTGCTTTATAAAATGTAGTATTTTATTAGATTTTTAACTACCTATTTTATTAATAGTTCAATTCCTAAAAATCTCGATGCAAAAATTAGAATTTTTATAACGGAGTTTTTAGTCAAAAAATACCCTTTAATAAAAATAAGGAAAAAAATATCCTCAAAATTCTTAAAACTAACTAAAATATAAAAATAAAAAGCATCTTAATAATACATAGGAGGACCAAACTTAATTGAACAATAACTTGAACGAAGTCTAACACCTTAACATTTAACCACACGTCCCATACGAAAAATAAATTAAAGATATTTTTCCACTTTATACCAAATAGAGAATATTTTTTAGAGTGCTGAAAAATCGTATTACTGGGATCCCGTAACGCGATTCATTTTTAAAAGATCGAATGGGAGTGATCTCGCCGGATTAATCCCGGTAACCCGTTCGTCGCTTAAAACCCGGGATTATGTGATGTATCTATCATCTATATCTATATCTCTTTTTTACAATAAACCCACGCTATTCTGATTTTACTTTCAATTTTTTCTATTTTTAGATAAATTTAAAAATGTTTTATTCTCTACCAGTTGAAGTTCAATTTGACGTCTTAAAATGTCTTAATTTCAATCAATTATTTTCTGTTAAACAAACCAACTTTTACCTGCGCAATTTAATTAATAAATATGAAAATGGATTGGCTCGAATGGAATTTGGTCGGCTCGAAATTGTAAATATTTATTAACTTGCTAGTTTCCATCCACTATCAAACAGGAATAGATTTTGACAATCATTCGAAAGAGCTTTCCGAGCTTCATTGGGTTCGTTTCAACTGGTCATAACCGAGTCCATTTAAATCGTATTGAGATGACTTTGGGATCCAAGGAGTCTTTCGAACTTCCCAACGAAATTTGTCAAAATCTATTCCTAATTATAAGACTCGCTTTAATTTTTATTTTAGGATAATTACGACTTGATAAGTTTCCAAGAAGAGGGTTATAAAATTATTGCACCTGAATCTGTAATTTCTGAATTTATTTTGAATGATCAACTTTTGGAGAAGGTGTTTAATTGATTTCAATTAATTAAATTTCAATTTATTTTTCAGTGGGAAGCAGGGATAGCTAAAGAAATTCCGTTGTTTTTACATAACATTGAATATTAGGATATAGTGTAGTGTACCGGTGGTAAAAGTTCGGGACGTGACATATGTCATTCGATTCGTCTCGACGAGCTGAGTCGAACGGTACCACTCTCAACTTTAGGAAATAATTCTGGGCCGAGTTATAGGTCCCTGAAAATCGAAAAACCAAAGGGGGGAGTAAGCTCGATTTTGGGGTGAAAAATTCGAATATGCAAATAATAGCTCATTCGAAAGAGCTCGCCGAGCTGAGTCGAATGACACCAAAATCAGCTTGATTGTAAAAGTTTGGACAAAGTTACAATAGAAAAACAAACAACATAAACCTATGGGGCGTCGGCGAGGCGCTTGTGCAAAACTCCGCGCTTCGCGCGGAGTTTTGCGGCACGCGCCTCGCGGGGAGTCTACGGGCGCTGGGTCTGGGCTCGTAACATAACCCTATTCCTATCTCCCTTGCTCTGGATGTACTTGGGGCCCGGTAGCAGCAAAAACCTCTACAGAGGCGATAGGTAAGGAGCTAAAACAAACGGTCATAACTTTGTCAAATCAAGTCAGATTTTGTTGATTTTGGTGTCATTCGACTCAGCTCGTCGAGACGAATCGAATGACATATGTCACATCCCGAACTTTTACCACCGGTACACTACACTACAGCCGAATATTATAATAAATGCACAGAATTCAGTATTCGCCTGGACAGACCCAATTATCTTTTAATGATGCCAAACGTTCCAAAAAATATTGAAGAAATGATTATTATTCGATCTGGGTTAAAACAACTTTTTAACTGTTCTGTTAAAGAAGGAAGATTTACTTATACTATATTTAACCCAGAAATGCTCAGTTTATTTGATGACGACAAAACAATTTCTCCTCAATTCAACATACAAGAACCTTATGTTATTTTTAAAAGCGATACATTCGACAATTTTTTGGACTTCACTTTAAATCATCTGGTCAATTCAACATATCTTACTTTAAATATTTTTAACATCACAAATTTTGTGCAATATACAGATATTTTATTCAATATTTTAATAAACGAAGGCAATAAATTTTCAAAAATTGTTTTACGATCTCCTGTATTTCCAAAGCTTTATGATCTTATTGTTGAAGTAAATTGTTTATTTAAAATTAAAAATAATTTTTAAATATTTTAGTATATAATAACTTCCAAAGATTGTTCAAAAATGGTGTCTGAAATTGGTTTGGATATTCCTTTTCAAGATTTTAAATTAAACAAGAGAGCAGAAAATGTTCAAAATCGTTGGGAATCGAGCCTTATTAGATATGAAATTGCCAATATTTACAATCCAAAAGTGAGATTTTCATTCAATAAGTTGAGTGGTTCAGTTTTTATAACAAGAATGTAGAGAGATGATGTGATAAATTTTCATAGAACTTATATTATTTACAGGGATGGTACGGGTTGAGAAAAAAGTCGGGTAGAGTTTCAGATTGGGGTTTCAAAATTTTCTTCGGGTCAGGTTTCTGATTTTGGGTCGAAAAATGTCCGGTTTTCACGCACCTGTCCTATCCCAAACAATACCCAAATTTTTGTAATTTAATTGTGTATAATTTTTTGTTAAATTATTTTTTGCTTTATAAAATGTAGTATTTTATTAGATTTTTAACTACCTATTTTATTAAAGTTCAATTCCTAAAAATCTCGATGCAAAATTTAGAATTTTTATAACGGAGTTTTTAGTCAAAAAATACCCTTTAATAAAAATAAGGAAAAAAATATCCTCAAAATTCTTAAAACTAACTAAAATATAAAAATAAAAAGGTCCTTAATAATAGGAGGACCAAACTTAATTGAACAATAACTTGAACGAAGTCTAACACCTTAACATTTAACCACACGTCCCATACGAAAAATAAATTAAAGATATTTTTCCACTTTATACCAAATAGAGAATATTTTTTAGAGTGCTGCAAAATCGTATTACTGGGATCCCGTAACGCGATTCATTTTTAAAAGATCGAATGGGAGTGATCTCGCCGGATTAATCCCGGTAACCCGTTCGTCGCTTAAAACCCGGGATTATGTGATGTATCTATCATCTATATCTCTTTTAATTCCCCGATATCTCCGTAGATTCTTGCTATCTACCATAATCGTTATCCTCCTTTGTTAATCGATATCTCCCTTAATAGCTCTACTCTCCTAATACCTTAAAATCAAAAAAGATTTCCACTCAATCTCACCAAATCCTCCTTAATATCTCAAATCTGCTTGACACGGATGTCATTGTAAACGCGGCCTTTTTGAAGGTTTATGATTTAGGATAGTTTCCGAGTCCATACTATTTGGATACTGAAAAACTTTAAAAAATATTTGGCACACAGCCGTAGTTCCAGGCGGCACAACCAAAAAAAGTATTCAGATAATTTCGAAAAAAGTGTTGAAAAAAGTTGCCCCACACTTAGTACTTCCCTTTAGAGGAAGATTGACAAATGTACCGCCAGCAGTCCTATTTGAGGAGCAAGGTAATCTTAGTTTGTAATATTTTTTCATCAAATCATTTTGACATGACAAAATATGAATTGGATATTATGGATGAATAATTTAGCCAAAAATTACCAAAAACCGGGGGAATCGGCTATTAACCCGTAGTGAACAACGCTGATTAAAAATATTGCTTAGTCTAGGAAAGACGTCTACTATAAAAGCAAGTATAAAAACAGTCGTTATCATCAGTCAGTCTTGATTATCTTCTGACAGTTAACGTCTGTCTTTCGTTATTTCCGTGTTTACTCTCCTCATTTATCTTTTTTACAATAAACCCACGCTATTCTGATTTTACTTTCAATTTTTTCTATTTTTAGATAAATTTAAAAATGTTTTATTCTCTACCAGTTGAAGTTCAATTTGACGTCTTAAAATGTCTTAATTTCAATCAATTATTTTCTGTTAAACAAACCAACTTTTACCTGCGCAATTTAATTAATAAATATGAAAATGGATTGGCTCGAATGGAATTTGGTCGGCTCGAAATTGTAAATATTTATTAACTTGCTAGTTTCCATCCACTATCAAACAGGAATAGATTTTGACAATCATTCGAAAGAGCTTTCCGAGCTTCATTGGGTTCGTTTCAACTGGTCATAACCGAGTCCATTTAAATCGTATTGAGATGACTTTGGGATCCAAGGAGTCTTTCGAACTTCCCAACGAAATTTGTCAAAATCTATTCCTAATTATAAGACTCGCTTTAATTTTTATTTTAGGATAATTACGACTTGATAAGTTTCCAAGAAGAGGGTTATAAAATTATTGCACCTGAATCTGTAATTTCTGAATTTATTTTGAATGATCAACTTTTGGAGAAGGTGTTTAATTGATTTCAATTAATTAAATTTCAATTTATTTTTCAGTGGGAAGCAGGGATAGCTAAAGAAATTCCGTTGTTTTTACATAACATTGAATATTATAATAAATGCACAGAATTCAGTATTCGCCTGGACAGACCCAATTATCTTTTAATGATGCCAAACGTTCCAAAAAATATTGAAGAAATGATTATTATTCGATCTGGGTTAAAACAACTTTCTAATTGCTCTGTTAAAGTAGTAAGATTTCTTTTTACCATATTTAATCCAGAAATGCTCAGTTTATTTGATGACGACAAAACAATTTCCCCTCAATTCAACATACAAGAACCTTATGTTATTTTTAAAAGCGATACATTCGACAATTTTTTGAAATTCACTTTAAATCATCTGGTCAATTCAACATATCTTACTTTAAATATTTTTAACATCACAAATTTTGAGCAATATACTGATATTTTATTCAATATTTTAATAAACGAAGGCAATAAATTTTCAAAAATTGTTGTACGATCTCCTGTATTTCCAAGGCTTTATGATCTTATTGTTGAAGTAAATTGTTTATTTAAAATTAAAAATAATTTTTAAATATTTTAGTATATAATAACTTCCAAAGATTGTTCAAAAATGGTGTCTGAAATTGGTTTGGATGTTCCTTTTCAAGATTTTAAATTAGACAAGAGAGCAGAAAATGTTCAAAATCGTTGGGAATCGAGCCTTATTAGATACCAAATTGCCAATATTTACAACCCAAAAGTGAGATTTTTGTTCAATAAGTTGAGTTGTTCAGTTTTTATAGAAAGAATGTAGAGAGATGATGTGATAAATTTTCATAGAACTTATATTATTTACAGGGATGGGACGGGTTGAGAAAAAAGTCGGGTCAAGTTTCAGATCGGATTTTCAAAATTTTCTTCTGATCGGGTTTCTGATTTTGGTTCGAAAGAAGTCCGGGTTTTGCGAACATGTCCCATCCCAAACATTACCCAAAATTTTGTAATTAATTGTGTATTATTTTTTTGTTAAATTATTTTTTTTGTTTTATAAAATATATTTTATTAGATTTTTAACTATCTATTTTATTAATAGTTCAATTCCTAAAAATCTTGAGACTGAAAGATGTTTTTTGCTTTTTTGCCGATTGTTGCCGAAATTGTAGGTAAAGAGGTCTAGTATAAAAGCAAGTATAAAAACAGTCGTTGTTATCGTCAGTCGTCTCGTCAACAGTTGACAGTCTTGTCTGTTTTTCTTTGTTACCATGCATTACTCTCCACAGTGTAATTTTTTTATGGTAAAATCGCGTATTCGAATTTTTCAGATAAATTTAACATTTGGCATTCTGTCATTAATTATTCTGTCATTAATCTTTTTTTACAATAAAATCGCGTATTCTGATTTTAAATAATTCAATTTTTTATTTTTAGATAAATTTAAAAAAATGTTTTATTCTCTACCAATTGAAGTTCAACTTGACGTCTTAAAATGTCTTAAATTCAACCAATTATTTTCTTTCAAACAAACCAACTTTTACCTGCACAATTTAATTAATAAATATGAAAATGGATTGGCTCGAATGAAATTTAGTCGTCTTGAAATTGTAAATATTTATTAACTTGATAGTTTCCAATACTATCCGCCGTGAATAGATTTTGACAAATAATAGTCAGACAAAGGGGCTTTCCGAGCTCGAATGGCAACAGGTCGATCTAGAAATTCTTAGACGTTATGACCAAATGAAACTTCACTGGGAATTCTGGAAAGTTCCGACGTTTTTTGGGTTCGGTTCCGGGATTCGGAACTCAACTTGGATCCGGTTCCAGTCAAAATGTCGGTTCCGGCGAAACACTAGTATACAATGACCTGTTTGCTATGGCCTCCGTTTCTTCTGGCCATAGCTATGTCCATTCAAGTTGTATTGGGATGACTTTAGAATCCAAAGCGCTCTTTGAATTTCCCCGCCGAGATTTGTCAAAATCTATTTCTGATGAGTATAATTCACTTTAATTTTTATTTTAGGGTGATTACGACTTGATCGCCTCCCGAAAAATTGGATTCACAATTATTGTGCCTGAGTTCCGGAAACTCAAATTGGATCCGGTTCCGGACAAAATATCGGTTCCGGTGAAACAACCTGTAACTTCTGAATTTATTTTGAATAGACAACTTTTGAAGAAGGTGTTTAACTAATCTTTAATTAAATTTAATTTATTTTTCAGTGGAAGACAGCGATAGCTGAATCAATTCCTTTGTATTTAAACAATTTTGAATTTTACAGAGAAGGTGCGGAATTCAGTATTTATTTGAAGCCAAATTATCTTTTAAAATTGCCAAACATTCCAAAAAATATTGAAGAAATGCTCATTATTCGATCTGGGTTAAAACAACTTTTTAAATGTGCTTTTAAAGAAGGAAAATTTGGAGAAATTGTATTCAATCCACAAATGATCAATTTATTGTTTGATAACGACAAAACAATTTCTCCTCAATTTAAAATACAACATACGAGTATTATTTTAAAAAACAATACTTTCAATAATTTTTTGAAATTCACTTTAAATCATCTGGCCAATTCAACAGATCTTATTCTAGATATGTCTTACATCCCAAATTTAGAGCAATATACAGATATTTTATTCAATATTTTAACAAATGAAGGCAATAAATTTCATTGGGTTTATTTTTACCTTTATGGATCGACAAGGCTTTGTGATCTTATTATTGAAGTAAATTGTTTGTTTAAAACAGAGGTGGGTCGGAATTCCGATTTCCGGCGTCTTCTCCTTCCGATTTCCGAAAAAATTGATTTCCGAGTTCCGCTTTTGAGCCAGTTCCTATTTCCGGCTCTTTCGATTTCCGACACCTCTGACTGTTCCGACCCACCTCTGATTTAAAATTAAAAATAAATTTTAAAATTTTAGTATATAACAACATCCAAAGATTGTTCAAAAATGGTGCCTGTCATTTTTTTAGATGACAATGATTACCCAAATTCTAAATTAAAAAAATTAGCAAAAAATGTTGAAAAATATGATGATTTTATCACGTATCAAATTGCCAATATTTACAATCCAAAAATGAGATTTGAAGTTAACCGTTTTTGTCGTTCAATAACCATAGGAAGAATGTAAGAGGGAAAAAATTTTGAAAAATTGTTTAAATCCGTCGTTTTTTATTTGACAAGTCAGGCGCCGACTTGGTCGATTCCTGTTGTTCAAAAGAGATTATAGAGCTTGAGCTAGTAATGTTAAATTAGCCTGCAAGAGCAGCAATAAGGGGTAATCCTGCAGAATCTGGGAGACACCTTAAAAACACCTTAAAAATTATTATTTTCTTCTGAAAATAATTTTATATAGGTCAGAATCATTCAATCGAGTTGATTCTGGTGTCATTCAACTCAGCTCGTCGAGTTCTCTCGAATGAGCTATTATTTGGATTTTCGATTTTTTGACCTCGAAAATTTTCAAATTTCAGGGGTCTGTAACTCGACCCTATGGAGTCGGATCGTGGTAATTTCGGTGGCATTCGACTCAGTTCGAAAACGCGAATCAGATTAGCCCTAAATTCTTAATATCGAATTTTTACCCCGAATTTCGACTTTGTCGAAATCGAGTCCGGGGTTCGAAATAAACAAATTCTAAGCTCATATTCGTGATCAGCATGGTCGATTACCTATATAAAATTATTTTCAGAAAAAAATAATAATTTTTAAGGTGTTTTTAAGGTGTCTCCCAGATTCTGCAGGATTACCCAATAAGGACTTTTCGATCAAGTCGGAACCAGACGTGGGCGAAACGTTTCGTTTCGTTTCGTTGTTTCGTATGTTTCGTATGATTTTTACTGTTTCGTCTCGTTTCGTTACGAAACACTTTTAAATTTGTTTCGTTTCGTTTCGTTACGAAACACCTGTGATTTTTCAACGAAACGAAACAATTTTTTAAGCCTAAACTAAGGCCAAAATCTATAAAATTTACCATCTTTTATTGAAAATTTAAAAAATTTTCGCCTGCGGCGCTGAAAAAAAAAGAATTTCGGCTTCTTGGCTTTCCCAAATTGTCAAAATTTTCGCCTGCGGCGCTGAAAAAGGAAGATAGCAATTACTTATATACTACAAATCCGTTTATACTCCACTCCCTAATCCACATATACATATTACTTAATCGACGACAAATTCTATTACCGGACTCGCATCATAATTTAAAAATTGCGGATTGCGAGTTGCGGAAATACTGGAACCGGAACTTCCGGCGAAGCACTAGCTTATATCGCCTTCCTCTCGAAATGGAGATATGGAGACAATTTGGGTAGGCAATGGAGCAAGATGGTGAATTTTTTGGCCTACGGCCTTTCAAAATTTTAAAATTTTTCGTCTGCGGCGCTTAAAATAAAATTTTACTTGAAAAATATTCAATTTTATTTAAAAAAAAGGGCCCTATCCCGAAAGAAGGGTCGAATCGTTTTTTTTCATTACTTTTTATTAGTTTATAAAAATGGTCAATTTTCCTTAGAATTGATGTATGTTGATGTTTGCCTTAAGGAAAAATGGAGAAGGACAGACAATGACAGAAGAACACAGACAGACAAAACAAGGATGGACCAAACACAAACGGACACATGTCCGACCGTTCGTGTCGGTCCTTGTTTTGTCTGTCCGAGTTCGTCCGTGTTTTGTCTGTCCGAGTTCGTCCGTGTTTTGTCTGTCCGAGTTCGTCCGTGTTTTGTCTGTCCGGGTCTGTCCGAGTTCGTCCGTGTTTTGTCTGTCCGAGTTCGTCCGTGTTTTGTCTGTCCGGGTCTGTCCGAGTTCGTCCGTGTTTTGTCTGTCCGTGTCTGTCCGAGTTCGTCCGTGTTTTGTCTGTCTGGGTCCGTCCGTGTCCGTCTATGTTTTGTCTGTCCGGGTCCGTCTGTATTTTGTCTGTTCGTGTTCGTCTGTGTTTTGTCCGTCTTGATCCGTCCGTGTTTTGTGTCTCCGAGTCCGCCCAGCAAACAAAAACAAGGAAAAATATAAAAAGTTAACCTCTGTCACCATTTTTCCTTAAGGCAAACATCAACATACATCAATTCTAAGGAAAAATGACCATTTTTATAAACTAATAAAAAGTAATGAAAAAAACGATTCGACCCTTCTTTCGGGATAGGGTCAAAAAAAGCGTCGCCAAAAATTTGGCTTCGAAAATGATTGACCCCCCCCCCTTCCCCGAAAATTTTCCTTGCTACGGGCCTGGCTTATGGGACACAATTGTTGTAAATAAACCAATAACTAAATCATTTATAAGTCATAGTCGACTAATAACGTATTTGAGGTCGAATAATTTCGAAATAAATGCAGTTTTGAAAATTTTTTGAATATTAAAATGTTTCGTTTCGTTTCGTAAGATTTTGGTTGTTTCGTTTCGTTTCGTTAACGAAACGATTTTTAAAAAATTTTGTTTCGTTTCGTTTCGTCAGAAAAAAATTTTGAGTTTCGCCCAGGTCTGGTCGGAACTTGTCCTTGTAACAAATCTTATAAAAAAATTATTGCGCATTTTTTCGTTAAATTATTTGTTTTCTTTTATTTATTCGAAATTAAAAATATACAACGAAATGGAGTCCAATAACATCGTTGTCGAATAAATTTAAATAAAGTTTAAGTAAAAAAATAAAAGGTCATAAATGGGAGGTCAAAGGAGAATTTTAGCTATTCTATTAATGCTTTAATATATATCAAGAAACAGAAATTTCTTGATATATATTTTTTCGACCAAAAATATAACAGAAATTAGAACTCGCAAAAATATAAAATGAACACAGAAAGATATTGAACAAATAAAATGATCATCACAATATTTAAAGAAAGAAAAAATTAAATTAAAAATCTGAATTGGGAAAAAAGGGGAAAAGCTTAAAATGTTTGTAAAAATATTTTTAAAAAAATAATAAAATTAAAAATTATCTTCTTGTTGCTCCAATTTATATTTGAGGTAAACTGTAGAAAGAAATTTATTCCCAAGTGTATATAATGCCTCGATTTCCAACTTGCAATTACTTGATAACATAACGGCTAGCTATAAATAGAAAATAAATTATAGGGATGCAAAAACAATTAGGATCAGTCTAATTAAGAAAAAAATTTCAATGGAAATTAAGGAAAAATGGGATAAATACACTCAACTTGCACTTAAAGGGAGAATCAGGTTCGATGCCTGACGGCAGTTGGTGGCCTTGGTGGCTTTTTTGGTTGTATTCCCTTTGTAACACTTAAGCGGTACGCCCCGAGGGGGAAGGCAATAGGATCTGGCTTTGCTTGTAAATCCAAAAGCAGAAAGGTATTGACTTAGCCACTAACAATATATAAATCCTAAATACCCTCTTCGTCATGCAAGTGCATAAATTGCCTTTATAGTTGATTTAATTACGCCAAAAAATTTCTCTCAATTGGACCCTACCCTTTAAAATTAAAAAATCAACCTCATCAAAAACAGCATTTTCTTCCAACAATAAAACTCGTTTACTCAACTTTTCAATCCTTCGTTTATCGGAATTTGTTAATTTAAGTAACTGATTTTCCGGCACAGACAAATTATTTGCTTCAGAAGGCAAAAAACCAATCCATTTAAGTTGAGGTAAAGTAATCCCTCCAGATTCAATCCAAGAACGATCAGAGCCGTATTTGTAGGTTAAAAAGATTTCAATGCCTTTTTAGAAAATAAATATTTTTTAAAATTGTTTTTAGAAAAAACCATAAGGATCGGCATCAGTTAAAATAAACATGGGAATATTTGGTAATTGAGAAGCTAGCCAATTGAGAAATTGTCGAGTACAAATGTCAGGATAACCGCGGCCCTTAAAATAAATTATTAGAAAGTAATGATTTATAACTAATTATGCGGACAACATCTTTAAAAACGATCTTAAATTGAGAGTATCTTAAATAGTAGAAGTGAGGACTGAACGTATAAACCAGGGATGTGCTGAAATGGATTTTAAAAAGCGGAAGGCGAAAGTCATTTCAAAAAAGCGAAGGACGAAATTACGAAAATAATTTTAAAAAGCGAAAGACGGGAGGCCAAAGTCCGTAAAAGGTGGAATTTTGGCGAAATGGCACACCTCTGATGTAAACATGTTAAAAACACTACTAAAATGATAATGAAGGGAAGAAGAGAGATCCAGCTAACTAACATTAAAATGTTTACTAGATGGGGGCTTAAGATCTATACAAGGTTAAAAAGTAAGTTATCTGTAGAGCACCTTTACCCGGTTATCGAAAATGCCTAGCAAAAATTACCAAGAGGTTGCAGGATCGATGCCCGCCCCAGGCTAAGCACCATTCTCTTATTAAAATTAAAATTCAAAAATTACAAACCGTTACAAGAATAGTTTTTGGAAACATTTCCATAAATTTTTCATCCAAAAGGTGTTGAAAAACACTATCCTTCTCCAAAATCAAAATTGCTGTAGCATCAGACTCGGCAAAATCAAAATTAACAAGTGACTCATTTAAGGCGATCATTCCAAAACGAAAATTAATTTCATTATCATCCAAAGCATTTAAAAGTCTAAGAGATCCAATTGCAAAACCTTTACTACAACTTATCTTTAAAAATTTAAATTTAAAAAATTTTTAAAACATACAACATGTAATTCACTTCTACTAGCCATTAAAAAGTTACAAACAGCAGTTAAAGCTCTGTCAAAGTTTGATTGTTGTTCATAAATCTTTTTTGATTCGTAGAATAAATCGCTTAATTAAAAAAATTATTTTACTGAAATAAAAGTTTTTTGAAAAGGAGAAATTCAAAAATATTTTATGTCTACTTAAACTAACAATAAGTCTACCAAAGAATAAAAAGGCAGTAGCATCTTCTTATTATTAAAACATCTTAAGCAGCTCGACGAGATACGTGAATCATGCTGTTGTCTAAATCAACCTTTCATAATTATAGGCTCACAATTGTCAGTTATTAGCTCTGCAGTAGCTGGGCTAACAATAAGGTAGAACGGAGTGGCCTTTTGACAATTTTGTATTTTAAGGTACTTTAACCCTTTCCTTTAAAAATTCTTAAATCTGGTCAAAGATCTATTCATCCAAATTCAAAATTACCGTTTAGTTGCATGTCGATTCTCAACGAGAAGTTCATATATTTGAGCCAAAACACGAAGTCTAAAAGTTAACAAACGTTTTGAAGTCGTTCCCAACAATTCAACAGAATTTCTTGAAAATTCATTATCAACAGGATTGGAGGTGTCAGAATCTCCACTGGTACTAGATTGTTGCTGTTCATTGTCTTCAAAATCCCAATCTCCATTTTCACCTTCTTCGAATGGATCGGCATCTTCTCCCGAACTTTAAAAAAAATTAATAAAAAATATTTTCAAAGAAAAAAATAACCTTTGATGTGGACGTTTTAAAACTCTTCTCATTGAATATCTTGTAGTTTCGTGAGCATCTGCAGAACAAAGATTCATTGTAAAATGGACAAAAGCACCCTCAATCATTTCTATTAATTCCTCCCTGCGTTGCTCATTTAAAGACATTATTCTTGAAAAAGTGTTTATTAGTAAATATAGTAGAAAATAAAAGTTCAAAAATAAATATAAAAATATTATTAGAATAGATAGAGATCGAGATTTTTAAAAAGCTTGGACTCTGGAGTTTGATTTATTGACCTGGGTCGGATCCCGGGCCTGTAGCCAGGAAAAACCCAGGCCCAGGAAAAACTCAGGAAGGTCAAAAAATGCCTGGGCCTGGACACTGGGTACAGGAAAAACCCAGGCCTTGTCCAGACCAAGCTCGATCACTAATAGATACTAATATAATTAGAAAACAAAAAAAAAATAAATTTTTAAAATTTTATAAAAGTAAAAATTTAAATTAAATTTAAAAAAAGAGAAAAATAAAAATACAAAATTTAAGATTTTGTTGGATAAGTCCTTTGACCAAAAATTTCAGAACCTACACGAACATTGGTACTCCCATATTTAATTGCTTTAAATAAAAAATTTTAAAATAATAAAAAAAATAGTTATACCAAGTTTATAATCAGAAGACATTCCCATACTTAATTCAAAAGTTCGTTTTAGTCTAGCTTTCAATCCATCCCTCAATTTAACTAATAATTCAAAATCAGAATTAGTTTCTTGATTTTTGCTTTCGGATATTGAACCAATTGTCATTAAACCTGAAAATGAATTAAAATATAAAAAATTTTTTTTGAATGGTTCGCAAACTAAGGAGTCAGCAAAAAAGGAAACTGACTGTTATGAAATGGAGTAAGTCATCATTAGAGGACGTCGGAATGGCAAACAGTAGAAATAATTTCGAAAACAGGACAGTGGCGTTAATTTGATTGGCTGGCTTATCATCTCAAACAGCAAGCTTGAAAAGAAAGGGCCCAGATAGAAAAACACCAATCCACCCCAATTTTTCTCAAAAGAAAAAAAATAAATTACCAATAAGTGAAAGATTTGAACATTTCCATTCCACATGGTCAACTAACTCATCAAGTCCTTCAGGCTCCACACCTCCTTTATTTTTCTCACCACTTGTGTTCACTTTAAATTTGAATAAAATTTAAAAAATAATTAAAACAAAAAACCTTGAATAAAAACTTTCAAAGGCTTTTCATCTTTACCCAAAATAGATTGAAGCAAATCGGCATGCTTTTTATTGTCCAATGTTTCAATACACCATAAGCCAGGAATCTCACAAATTTTTTTGAGCTTAATTGAATTTTAATAATTCTATAAAATATCAAAAAAACTTTATTAGATTGTAGCCTTCCAATAAAATGCCAATTAATATCGTGAACTCCACGAGAAACCAATTCTTTAGCTTTTGATTCCAATTCATCTATATAATTTTCTCCAAAATGTCTTTGACCTTTTTCATAACACGCAAATATTGAGTCAATAGGGAATGTCTAGAAAAAATTTTTATTTGGAAAATGAGAAAAATTTTTCTGGACTTGTAGCAGAAGCTGATCGAAAAAATAACGAACGTTGGGAATTGAAAATGACCTAAAAATCGGAAAAAGAAACATCTAGGAAAGACATGAGACTAATTAGCCTTTTAAATCTTTAACTCAACCTTAGAAACAGCAACCAATCGAACATCAATAGAATATATCGCAGCCAATTCATGAACACTCTTCAAAACATTCGATAAATTTTTGGCCACAATTTCCGCTGCCATTAGAGCAAAAACAAAAATTAAATATCAAAAAGTAAAATAATTTTAAAAATAATTATTTTTAATATAAAAAATATCAGAATTTAAAAAAAAAGAAAGAATATCTGTCAATTTATGCCAAATAAAATAAAAACAAATTTATCAACTCTAAAATCTAACAACATTATTAAATTCAGCAACTAATGGATCTACAGCTGCATTTCCATATAAACCGCTAAGTTGCTTTCGGGTAAAAGTAAATTTTTGTTTAGGCGGAGGAGGAGGTTTTTCTTCAGCAAAAACTCTAACAGGCGGCAAAGGACGAATTCTACGTCCTAAAAATATAAAAAAATAATTTTTTTATAAAAAAGCAACCTTGATAACAGTCTTTTGGTTTATGATCACTACCAGCCATTCGATGACCAAAACGTCTGTACATTTGGACAGAACCATAAATTTTTGATCTGAATAACAAAAAATGCTGAGGGAAAAAAAGAAGTGTTCGTATAACCTGTAATCCTCATGAGACAATTTTCCAACAGTTGCCATGCAAGTCTAAAAAAAATAAAAATAGAATTGAAGGAAAAAACAAAAAAATTTAGCCGTTCAGCGGTTAAAGAATTTTCTTGTGAAAAATTTTCCTGGGGACTTGCTAGCCCTCTTAAAAAATTTTTCTGAAAAAAATTTTCAAATTTCAACTCATTAAAATAAATTAAGCCAAACCTTTTTTAGCGCATACTCATGTTGATTAGGCATTCTTACAACAGTAAAATCATCCTGTTGTCTAACAATTTCACCACATGATCCAGCTTCGGTTATACAAACGTGCGATTTTTCAGTTGGAAAAAGTTCGACAGTATTAACAAGAGTCCCTTCCGAAAGAGCTCCTAAAAAATAAATTTATAAAGAAAAAATTCAGCATTCTCATACCTAAAGGATATGCATTTCCCTCAATGCCAGGCGTTGGATATTTTGGAATATGACTTGATGTGCTGATAATTTGGCCAGCTTTCATTCCTTGAGTAGCATAAATCCAACGTTTTCCCTTGGCGCCAGCAACTAATGCCAAATGCGGTGTTCTGTTTGGATCCTGACGCACCTCGATAACCTTCACAATTTTAAAAATATTTAATAAAATAAAAAAAGAAACCCTCTCATCATAAGTTTCTTCAGGATTTGCTGGCCCTCTTCTATGGAGATCCAACATAAAATAATCAAACCTCACACCTCCTCCAATGCGAATATTCGACTAAAATATTTTTTATTAATTTAAATATAAACCAAAAAAATAACCTTTCGTCCAGTTTCAGGGTCTCGACCTCCCATCCTTCGAATTTTAAGTGGTTTTATTGTGTATTCGTCATTTGTTACTTCTTTCAAGTGTTCAAAGTCAAAATTCAATCGCTTCTTTGGTTTTGTCCCACGAGCAGGAAAACCTCGTTGACTTGAAGCTATAATGGTCGTTGGAAGCAGAAAAGGCTGTGAAGGTTGGTAAGCATTAAAAAATTTAGTAGCAGCTAGATTAAGATAAGGAGAAAATCCACGTACTTTTAACATACTTATTAAAAGGAATAGAAGCTTAAAATTGAAAAAAAAGGAATTATAAAGGAAAATAAATAAAAACAAATCGAAAATAAACGATTATAAATATAAAAAAATAAAAATATTAATTTATTCATTTTTAAATATATTAACTTAAAATAACCCGAAAAGAAAGGTGATTTTGTGACTCTACGATTTTGTTGCTAAAGTTGACACATACGTAATTTTTATTATTTTGATTTTAATTTTTCAGATTAATTTTAACTAAAAACACGGCGGATTCGTCAGACTTACAATTAGATCATTATCTTTAAAACAAGCAGTGAGAACTTGAAGGATAGCCCCTAAGGATAGCCCCAACCCTATTAAAAATAAACTATAATACTTAATTAAAACATTTAAGGAGATTTTTACGTTGTTTATTTAAATTAACTTTTAACAGAATGTTGTTTTTGAAGTTTTAACTTCGAATTCTTTAATATTTTAACATCCAATTATTTCTTCGCTTTTTCTTTTTCTTCACGATGCCAATCATAATGTTGACTAGCTCTATTGTCCAAAGCAGTAAGTTTGGCATTGAGAACGTCAAAGTCATCAATTATCTAAAAAAATAAACTTACTGATAAACATATCCTCCAATAGCTTGCAGAGTAACCTTGAAAAATAAGTAATAATTTTATAAAAAAGTTTAAAAAATACGTTTGAAATCGCCAAAGGTGATTTACACCGTTCCCGTTCAAATTTTCCCCTTGGTGAAGAATTGTGAGCTTTCCAAATGTTCTTTACTTTTGCCTTCAAATCTTTGACTTTGCTTTGAAATTTCCCGCTTCTCACAGCCAGCTAAAATAAAAATAACTATTACTAGTACAAAACATAAAGGCACGTTGCATAGGTGTGCCCAAGGATCTTAAAAAGCGAAACGCGAAGTTTTTCTGTTTTCCTGTAACAACAGTTCAGTGTAAAATTTTTTTTTGTAAATAGTTGATTTTTCATTTCTTTTTACTAGGCTGATCTCTATTTTATGCAAAAGGTGGCAAAAGTATGTAATAGTTAATTTTTTGGGGGCTTTTTAAATTCACTTCCTACTTCGCGTTTCGCTTTTTAAGATCCTTGGGCACACCTCTGCAACGTGCCTTTATGTTTTGTACTAGTAATAGTTATTTTTATTTTAGCTGGTTGGGAAAAGCGGGAAATTTCAAAGCAAAGTCGAAGATCTGAAGGCAAAAGTAAAGAACATTTGGAAAGCTCACAATTCTTCACCAAGGGGAAAATTTGAACGGGAACGGTGTAAATCACCTTTGGCGATTTCAAACGTATTTTTTAAACTTTTTTATAAAATTATTACTTATTTTTCAAGGTTACTCTGCAAGCTATTGGAGGATATGTTGATCAGTAAGTTTATTTTTTTAGATAATTGATGACTTTGACGTTCTCAATGCCAAACTTACTGCTTTGGACAATAAAGCTAGTCAACATTATGATTGGCATCGTGAAGAAAAAGAAAAAGCGAAGAAATAATTGGATGTTAAAATATTAAAGAATTCGAAGTTAAAACTTCAAAAACAACATTCTGTTAAAAGTTAATTTAAATAAACAACGTAAAAATCTCCTTAAATGTTTTAATTAAGTATTATAGTTTATTTTTAATAGGGTTGGGGCTATCCTTAGGGGCTATCCTTCAAATTCTCACTGCTTGTTTTAAAGATAATGATCTAATTGTAAGTCTGACGAATCCGCCGTGTTTTTAGTTAAAATTAATCTCAAAAATTAATATTAAAATCAACATAATAAAAATTACGTTCGTGTCAACTCGAGCAACAAATATACATGCACACAATTGAATAATTTAATAAATATATACAAATAATTTAATTTTCATCGTTTTCTTCAATAAAACAAATAGACGTTCCATGAAAAGAATTTTCTTTTGGGTCAAAATAAGGCAAAGGAATGATTGTAGACAAAACGGTAAAGCTCATTAAATTTGGACATTGAAGATTTAAATTGTTTGTTGTCGAAGAGAGCTGTATAGGGTCCTAAAGTTAATTAATAGGGCTTCACAAAACATGAAAAATTGGTAGATTGAGTCCCTTTCCTTTTTCATGTTGGCAAGGGCGTATCCAGGGGGGGGGGCTGGGGGGGGCTAGAGCCCCCCCCCGAAATGGGGGAAAGGGGGAAAAAATTAGGAGAAGGATGGTCGAAAAAGTGAAATTTTTTCGCCTACAACCCTCAAATTTTAAAAAATTTTCGCCTGCGGCGCAAAAAATGGAAGAAATCTGGCTGCTTGAGCTCCAAAATCCTCAAAATTTTCGCCTGCGGCGCTAAAAAGTGAACTTTTTTGGCCTACGGCCCTCCAAATTCAAAAAATTTTCGCCTGCGGCGCTAAAAAGGAAGAAATCTAGCTTCTTGGGCTTCAAATTTCAAAAAATTTTCGCCTGCGGCGCTGAAAAAGTGAAATTTTTTGGCCTACGGCCTTCGAATTTAAAAAAATTTTCGCCTGCGGCGCAAAAAACTGAATTTTTTTGGCCTACGGCCATCTAAAATTAAAAAAATTTTCGCCTGCGGCGCTGAAAATGTAAAAAGTTATGTACAAAAAAATTTGCCGTAGGAACGCCAAGGTAAACGCCAAAAATTTTTGCGCCCACCCAGTGTTAGCCCCCCCCCCGAAACCGACCCCCTGGATACGCCCTTGCATGTTGGAGGAATAACGACAGGAGAACGATAAATCAGGATGGAAATGAATGCTTACAAGGGAACATTCCGAACTGCCCTCAAAAATTTCGGCCCTTTTTTGCCACCATCGTGTAGAGGAGGATGGATAACCTATTGCCAATTTTTGGCTTTTTTGGCCCTGACCGCCAAATCGACAAGTTATAGATGATCAGTTTCAGTATTTTGAAGCGGCACAGTGAGGGGATAACATGAGAAAGGACTCAAACTACCACTTATGTATGTTTTGTAGGACTTAGCAATTAAACTAAAAAATATTTTTACAAAAAATTACATTTCCAATTAAAATTATCCGTTGAAGGTCTACATTTTCTTTGCTGGAATAACTTGAAAGAATGTTTTCATACATATCCTGAGTGCAATGTATCATATAAAGAAGAGTGAAGTCATTTGGGAATGTAGAAGGAGGTGTTGAAAGTAAATCATCTGGCTAAATTTGAAGAAAATAAAAATTTAAAATTAAAAAAAAACCGGGAGAACTTGTATCCCACAACTTTGAAGAAACTCCTCTTCAATTTCCGAAGTTAAGGGATCTTGCGAAGTGACCATTTCTACTCCAAAATATTCCTTGATATGTAAAAGAAGTGCCAATTGCCATAAACTGTCTTGACTAGTGCTAATAGGTCCAATTCCAAAAACACGGATAATTGCTAAATTGTGACCATTAAGTGCTTCTTCTAGTTTGGAAAAGACAAAATGCCTAAAATTTAAAAATAAAAGTTAAATGAAATTAAAGGGTACAGCCCAAAACGGCGCGTGGCCATAACGGCGCAAAGCCATAACTTGGTGAAAAAAGTCTGGCCCTAATCAATTTTGGTACCAATCTCCTTATCTCGTTAAGAGGAATCGTTTAATACTAAATTTGGTAAGATTCGGAAATCTTTAAGCAAGTTATGGCATTGCGCCGTTAAGACCATGCGCCGTTCTGGGCGTGTCCCAAAATTAAAAAACAAACTTGAAAGACTCTGGAAAATTATTTTTAAATTTTGTAACAATTGTAGACAAATAGTCAAGAGAAGTTTTGTTGTCATTATTGGACTTGTGGGTTGTGTTAAGTATTGCCTTGCATTTTAAAGTAGAAGAGAAAGTCTTAAATCGACGTCCTTTGCTTCCATGTCGAATAACCAGAGTCCATTCATCTACTGATAAACCCATTCAACTGATAAATATTGAAAACTTAGTTAAAATTATAAGCGAAGCTTCAAAAAACAAAAAAAAAGACAAATAAAAAATTTTAAAAACTTTTAGAAATTTTAAAAATTGTGTGACAAAATGAAAAATTTTTCTCTGTGTGGCAAAGTGGATATGTGGCAAAATGGCAAATTTTTTCCAATGTGGCAAAATGTTCAAATTTTTGCACAAATTTAAAATAAATGGAACGATAATAAAAAATTTTTCCGTCATCAAACTTTTTTTTGTTGGTTGTGAGTTTTATGAAAGAATTTTTGTTTCAAAGAAATTTTATGACGTATATAAATTTAATTTTAGATAAAAAGTTAATTAAAAAATAATATTTTAATGAAAATTCCTTCGGAGAAACTAAAACCTTTCACCACAGAAATTGTAAGATTTTAATTTTAAATTTTTTTCACAAAAAAATTTTAGGCACCAGAATGTTCCAAATTGATCTCCAGTTTAAAAAATGCCGGCGATTTTACAATATTCGTTAAAGGCCTTGACAATATTACTGAATGGTGCAGTGTTTTTGGAAAGGTTTTTTTTAAAGATTATGGGTAATAGTGTCGTTTCCAGTCCCTTTTTTTCGTACACAAGTTTCCCTATAACTTGGTAAAAATTGGAAGACTTTTCCTTCCTCGATCACAATTGCCTTACTATATCAAACAAAATTAAGTTTTTTATCCAGTTTTTTAGAAAGAAAGGAAGGCAATTGTGATGTAGGAAAGGAAACGTCTGTCCATTTTGTACAAATTATAGGAAAAAACTTGGGGAGGAAAGAAGGAGGACTGGAAACGACACTATTACTAGATTATTATTTCTATTTTTTAATTTTCCTTAGACTGAACTTGGTCGTTGGGTTGATGTTTTAAACGATTGTGATGCAGTTTTGGAGGCTGCTGTGGCTTTGGCGAGTTTTAAACTTTCTTAAAAGAATTTTTAGTTTAAATTTAGGACGAAGATGAAATTATGTCAGTTGACAAAAATGAGTCGCAAGAAGCACAGATTATTTCAGTTTTACGTTTTACTTCACTTTTGTTTGAAAACACTTTTGGACGTTCCATTTATTGTTCAATGGATCGATTAATTAAACTCCTTGATTCGCGCAAAATTTGGATTGTTGTGGCAACTCTGCGTCTTTTAATGGTTGTTAGCAAGTGTTCTCGTTTTATTACTCAACATTTGAATAGCGATGTGCGACTTGAGCTTTACAGTAAACTTATGGCTATTTTAGAGGTTTAGTTTTTGAAAAATCGTGTTTGAGGGCCAATACTTCGATACGGTCGATATATGTGGCATTCGAACGAGCTATGTGAATGACTTTAAAATTAGCCAGTGTCTCACATATGGGCAGAGTTACATGCCCCTGAAAATTTAGAAACTATGGAGCCATATGTAGGGTTGTCGGTTTCTTGGAAATTCTTCGGATATCCGAAATCGAACCGAAAAATCATTGGTTCTTCTGTTTGGTTCGGTCCAGTACCGACAATCCTAGCCATATGCATTTGGGCCCTCAAACCCCTCTCGGCCTTTAAATACAATTTTATCTTTATTTTTATATTTTTAACTTATTTTCAAGATTTGGGCAGGCAAATTGCGACTTACACCTTTTGCTGAATTTTGCTCTGCTGACTTTTCTTACTCTCATGGTTTTAGTATTCAACCAATTCCTGAGATGGATGAATTTATTGTTGATACAAATAAGGTTTTTTAAATTGGTTTTTTATTTAAAATTTTTTAGTCTTTTAATGTTTCTTTAAATGAATTGAAAAAATATATTTCTGAGTCAACGGCAGAACTTAAAGATTCTGAAAAACAATTTGCTTTTACAAAGCTGCGTTTTCTTTATAGCATCAAAAATCAAAATGAGCGTTTTTACCAAATAATTGCTCGTCTTATTTCTTCTTCCATAATATGTAAAGTTTAAAATTTAATTTCTTTCTAATTTTTTGTTACTCTTTGTTTCATCCCCCCTCCTTTCCCCAGTTTTAGTATCATTTATTCTTTATCAGGGTTGGGGTCTTCGAGTCGGGCCGACGTTTAAGTCATTTTTTCGGGCCTCATCTTTTTCCGGCCGGCCCGACCGAGTCTTTTCCGGGCCAGAATTCAATGCCCGATTCGATCTTTAGGACCAGGCCGGATCGGGCCTCAACCCTATTCTTTATGCCTATGTTTATCATTATAAGTGAACTATAAGTTAAAAATAAATGTTATTGCTTGGTCAACTATAACCAAAAATGAAAAGGGAAAGAATAAATGATCTTAAACTATGAGGAAGGACAGGCTATCCAAAAAGTATCGATTTTTTCAAAATTTTCAGTTTATTCTCGTTGTTTAATTGCCGATGATTCTCGTTTAAATGGACTTTCCAATGAACAATTTATCGAACAGTGTTGCTCTGTTTTACATTTTGAACCAACTACAAAATATCAAGCGTTGGCGGATACACTCAAAACTGAGGCGTTAAAAACTTTGGCTAGCATTGTTTTTCTTGAGAAGACCAAAAAGTTTGCTTATTTTTTCAAAATTTTTCGAATAAATTTTTTAGAATTCAATTTATTGTTGACACTCTTGGTCTGAAAACCTATCACGGATTTTGCCCGTCACTTCTTCGAAATTGTATTGAACGCCTTAAGGCAGGCAAACTTGAGGCGAATGGTGATCTTTCTGCCGCTTTTGTTACTTCGCTTTTTTCTCTTGTTTATCACGTTGCTGGATTTGAATATGGTTTTCTTTTATTTTTTAAAATCAAATTTTTATTTGTTTTGTAAGGTGGAGATGCTCTCAATCGTTCTTCTTTGGTGCCCGTTCTTTTAGGCGTTGTCAAAACCTATTCACTTCCTGAACAATATATTAGCTATGTCACTCGGTCTGTTCGTATAATTGACATTTTAACGGGGATAGACGTTGCCCAATTCAATTCTAATGGTGGAACTGATGCGATTATAAAGAGATTTTCGGTTTGTTTTGTTTTTGTGAGCAGTCTAACTTACCGCACTTTGTTCAAAAAAATCCGGGACGCCTTGGTTGTTCGATGCGCCACGACGAGCTGAACGAACCATACCAGGGCGTCCCGGATTCGACGATTCTGAACGAAGTTATAGCTCTGTGGTAAGTTGGGCTCGCGGTAAGTTGGGTTTACCCTTTTTTTAAATTGAAAATTTATTGTTAGCACGAGGTTGACCAATGCAAAACACAAATATCTGAACAAACAACCCCAGGCACTACACTTCTTTGCAGTCAACAACGCGCTGCTCTAATGAAATCTTTGTTAAATTTTATAAAACGAGCAGTGATTGATGCAAACCTTGCAGTCCAAATGCGACGAATAATGGAGACAGAATTTCCACAATCTCTAATTTTCATTATTCAACATTCACAATATTTTGGGTCTTCTCTTTTGCATTGCACAGTGTCGTTGATTACAAATTTTATTTATCAAGAGGTTTTTTTGATTTAAATAATTTTTTTATTTTGAAAAATTTTTTAAGCCTGCCCAGTTAACAATGCTTCAAAATATGAAATTAACTGATGCTTTGATGAATTTAATTTTTGATGAGAAGGTCGGTTTTTTTAATTTTTCTTGTTCTGATGATTAAGAAAAAAACGCTAGCCAAAGCCTACAAGATGGTAGTTAGTGTCTCTTTCCTTTTTTATGTTATTTCCTCAAGAATTTATTTTCCTCGTGTATTTTCCTCCTTTTATTATTCTTTACAACATGAAAAAGTAAAGGGACTCTAACTGCCAACTTTGCATGTTTTGTCTAACAATAAGACTAATGATTTCTAAATTTTTAGTTGCCAATTTCAAGAGATCTCGTTTGTGCATTACCAAATGTTTGTTCTGCTTTGTGCCTTAATGAACGCGGCCATAATGAATTCAAACTTTATAATAATCAAAAACCTTTAGAAAAAATATTTAGAATTATTTTTTCAAACAAATTTTTGCTTTCAATGCGTAAACGAAAAACTGAAATTCGTGAGTTTTGAGAAAAAATATTTTTTTAATTTTTTGTTTTTAGTTGAAACTGCTCATATGCTTGGAACATCTTTTGATGAATTAATTCGTCACCACCCTGCTTTAAGAAAAGATGTTATGGGCATACTTTCTGAGGTTTGTTTTTAATTTTTTGTTGTTTTTTATTTTATGTTCTTTTTAGATTCTTGAGGAGTTGCTTCAATCAGCTACTAGCGAAGATAAATCTGTTAATTGGAGTATGGGAAAGGCTGTAATTGAAGATGATTCTGTTGAGAATGTTTTGCTAGGTGACTATATGGCAATTATGGGAGGTTATTTTTGTTATCTTTTTGAAAAGATTAAAAAACTCTTTCAGTAATGATTGAAACAATTTTGTCAAATCGAAATGTTCAAGACAACATTCAAACTATAAATGAATTAAATATTCCAGTTCGTTTAGTTAAATTATTGAGTGAAGCAAAGAAACCACAAACGGTTTTACTCAATTCAAGTTATCTTCCTAATTTGGCGAATATTTTGTGTTGTATTTTGGTAGGAAACTTTAAAAAATTTTTTCAAAAAAAATTTTTAATCTAGCGACAAACTTCTAAAGTTGACGACGCTTTTTCTTATTTGCTTGAACGTTGTTCTTTTGAATTATCTGCATATTCAACAGAAACTGAATGCCAACAAGAAAAACTTTTTCAATTAATTCGACTCAGTTCTTTGATAAATACAATGAATATTTTAATGAAGTCTGTGATACACGCTCAAGGATCTTACGAGTTTGTTCCCTCTAAAATTGAATTTTTATTTTTTAAAATTAGCAGTATTCGTCCGCTCCTCTTACACCATTTTGCAACTGATGACCCTTCTCGGGTTTTTATTGACACACTTTTTGACACATACAAATTGATGTCTTCTAAATTGTTGGCAAATGATAAAATATTCAATGCGGCAAGGCAGACTACTTCACAAATTCTTGAGGACACAACCAAAGTTCGTGACCTTCTTCGAATTGATGATGACCAATCGCTCTATGAACAGAGAATGGAAGTAGACTCACAAGCGACAACTGTTCCTTCATCCTCAATTTTTCGTACTGGTAATATTCATCCACCTCCATCAATGTATTCTGTTAACCAACCAATTTCATTCACAATTAATATTGGCCGTGCTGCAACTACTGCTTATTCAAGTGGTTCTGACTTGTTTACAAATTATAGATCTGGACCTACAAACTCTAATAGTATTGAGAGCAATTCAAACACTGTTGGAACGACATCAGAAACTACACCAGCTTCACTTTCGACAACAACTGAACGTCCTCTAAACCATGTTGTTTACCGCTGTCATCGTCAAATTAGCGAGCTTATAACTTGTATTGGAAAAATTTTCTGCAATGCAAGTGTATTGAAGGTGAGACAACGTTTAGCAATCAGTTTGCAATTAAGTCATGAGACAATAAAGAAAGATTTTCGAAATGTGAGCACATTAATTCTTGGTGGTGTTCAACGATTACTGCAGACAAACGAAATTGATAGTAGCATTAGGTAAAATGTTTTGAGTAGGGTTGTTCCCCGACGGGGGGGGGGGCATGGGGATCACTTTTCGGGAAGGCAGCGCCACGGGGGTGGCGAACCCCCGTGGCTCTGCCGCGAAAAATTTTCTTTTTCACGGGGATGGGGAATCTTCAAAAAATCTCTCAAATTCCCCGACTTTCGGGAACGGGGAACAACCCTAGTTTTTTGAAGTTTTTTTTGTTTCTAAAATTTAAAAAAAATGTTTTTCAGTGCTTTATACTTCACTACACCACTCAATTTTCTCAAAAAATTCCTTATAGATGATATTAACAATATTCAGCAATTGCTGCCGGATTTCTATTTGTCTGGCTGTTACAAAAATTTCTTCGCTCTCGTGACAGATTGTTTTAAATCAAACATTACTAAAGGTTATTCAATTAAAAAAAATTTTTTTGATCTTTATTTTTTCAGAAGAATTTACCACAATTATTCATTCATGGCTCAACATTGCCCAAAAATTCTCGTCACCAAATTTGGCAACTCAGCGAAATGGTGCGCAACAACTACCGCCGCAGCAACGGATAACTGTTGATGGTTTTGAGTTGAAAAATTTCTTAGCGATTGCACAGAAGGTGAGGGAGGGATTATCTAAATTAGTAAAGAAACCACTTCTTTAGGACACTTTTTCTGCCATTTGTTCAATGTTGAAGGAGCTAATGAAGCATTGCGAAACGTTTTCTGATGACCCATCAATGCCTTCAACTTCTACAAGTAGTGACAAGGACAAGGGTAGTAATGAACAAGCGGCTTTTAAATTATTGGAAAAGTTGCTGGAATTTATGAAAGGATTGCTTAAAGATATGATGAAATTGTTGGAATTAACTGAAGGCAAAGCTGAGGCGCCAGCTGAAATCCCTGTTGGCGAAATTGACCCGGCTAAGGTTTTTCATATTTCTAAATTAATAAATAAAATAATAACCCCTCAGATTCAACAACTTGTAGAAATGGGCTTCTCGCAAAGTGATGCTGTTGACGCTCTTTTGGTGACATCATCAGTGCCAGAAGCAGCTGAACATTTGGTTAGCATGCTAGAAAGGAATCCTACAGGTCTAGGTTAGTCATCTAAGTTAGTAGCAATGCTCAAAATATTTTATTAGTTCCACCAGTTGTTGCAGCATCAGCAGCACTAGCAGAAGAATTGGCATCAAATGCAATTGTAGAAGCTGCTCTGGCTCCACGAATTTCTGGCCCAAAAGCTCTTGATGATACTCAAAAACGGGAGAGTACACTTATGGAACAAGATACTCCTTTGAGCGCGCTAAAGCCTCTGAACAGGGATGATCTTCAGGTTTTTTTTTAGAAATTGAGTGCAGTTATAATTTTAATTTTTATAGGAGAGAGTAGAGTTTATTTGCAAAGATATAGTCACGCATTGCCTTCGTCTTCTCAACAAAAATCGTTCTGTTGTTCTTGGTTTAGCAGAGTTGATAACTATTTTTGCTGAGGATCATTTAGCGCGTTCTTGGGTGGATGATGAATTTATTGGTTTGCTTATCAACGAGTTAAGCATTGAATTGGATAAACTTTCGAGTGGTGGACATCAGAAAGATGACGAGTATGGTCGGCAATTTTCTTCACTTTTGCATCTCTTCTGCCTAGTTTGGCAAAATTTCCCTAATCAGAAAATTTACAAACGAGTATCCAACGATAGGACCTCAACTTGAAGAACGTTCAACATTTTATGTTTTGTTGATCGATATTAAATAATTTTATCATATGCTTTGATTTAATGCATATTTTTTGTTTTTTGATATGTTTTTTTCACATAAATATGTTTGCAGATGGTTGAAGTTCTGATTTTCATATATTTTTCTGAGTTTAATTCTCAAGAATATCTTTTGAATTTTTTAGTAGATTTTGTTTAATTTAACCTTAATTTTTTTCTAGTTTTTATGATTTCTTTGGTTAGGACAGATTTGCAAGTTTTCTGTAGAATCGGCGCGAATTCTTTGTCAATTTGTGGGCGTCGCTATGTAAATTCTAAATTATTGCTCAATTCAAATTTAAAACCGACAACAATATTTCGATTATATTCTAATAAAAATGAAGTTAAAACAACCAAGAACATAACAAAAGAAATTGCTGAGCCGGAGCGTAGTTATCTTGAAGACATTTTGGACGAAAGTGAGGAAAAGCCTAAATCGACTGGACAAAAAGGTTGTTTTGATTATTTGGGTGAGGGGAACTCAAGGAAAACACAAACCAAGGAACGACAAATCAAGGAACGACCAACTCACGTGCCATACCAACAAAAGGAACAGACAAAGTGAGGAAGCGCTATTGAATAAAAAACCGATTAAGTCCTAAGAAATAAGGGTACAAAGAATCAAAAAAGGGAATGAAATTGAGTTGGCATGGTCCGTGAGTTGGTCGTTTCTTGACTTGTCGTTTCCTTGATTTGTCTGTTCCTTGAGTTAGCCTGACACGATTTATTTTAAATTAAATATTTCCTATAGTTAAAAGAGCAGCAGAGACTTCTTTTTATGTTAGTGCTGGACTTGCTTCTTGTGCGGTGCTTGGTGGTTTAGTATATTTGCTCGTGAAGGAGTTAGTCTCGTTCAGCTCACCAAACGGTGTTTATAGGGATGCATTTAAACGGGTAAAAAAGGATGATAGATGTTTTGAATTGTTTGGAGAGGGACTGCGGGCGCATGGCGAAACATCAGGTAGAGGACGAAGGCGACACATTGCCAACCAACGATTTGAAAAGGATGGGCAACAAAGACTGCGAATAATGTTCCATTTAAAGGTTTCTTTTAAATTCTTTTTTAATTTGATTCTCCGCTTTAAGGGAGACAAGGCAAACGGAAAAGTTCACGCGGAAGTAGCTAATATAGACGGCAAATGGGATTATAGGTTTTTAATTGTTGAATGTGAAGACCAGCGACCACATACTATTGTTTTGATTGATAATAGATGATTAAATTTTTAATTATTAATTTTTTTTAAACTTGTTTTAACGGATATTAATGTCGAGATATTTTGTTTATTTTCTAAATTTTTACTAATTTCTTTAACAGAATGGTTCTGACTTATGAACAGAATTAGAAAGAAATTTTTCAAATCTTTCTATATTCAGTGCCTTCTATGGACTCTAATTTATTCAACAACGTTATTTATTTATTTTGCCTTCATCAGACTAAATACTTGGCCAAAACAACAATCTTATCATCATAGAAAAATTGTTCCGGATTACAACTGTACTTGCAACAAAAATATTATTAAAAAATCAGCATTTAATATCTTACCAAGGTTTTTAAATTTTTCTTCATTTTCTCCAAATAATACAACTCAACGAATATTATTTCTATCTGATTCAATCAAAAAATCGGAAATTTTCAACTTTTTTGCTCAATTTAAAGTGCCCGTTAGACTAGAGCAACACTTACCAGGCGATATTTTGCTTTTGGAATTGAATGGAAATCCAAGATTTTCTCTTATAGTGTTTGAGAATTTCTTGACATTTTATAGTCTTTCAAGCGAACAAAAAGAAGCGTTGAACAATTTTTGTAAAAAATATTCTGTTGGCATCATTTCATTTTTTGAATTTGACATTGGAAAAAGAACCCGCAAAAATTTTGGTGAATTTGAGGCTTTTGGTGGATTACAAGTCAAAACAGTTTCATTTTCTTCTAATTCTCCCGTCAGAAAAATAGGCAAAGATGGATGTGAATATTTTTTTTCTGAAACGGAACAAACTGAATGGACACTTTTTAAGGAAGTATTGCCTAATTTAATACCTTTATTGGAAGCAACAACGTCAGAGGGAGAAATTTTTTATCCCTCTTTTGTTTTTAATGAGGGTATGCATGCTATATTTGGAGCAAAACTTGACCATTGGATTGTCTATATTGCCTTATTGGATACAATTAATTATTTTGCTTCTAATATTTATTCAGAAGATTTGGAAAGGTTTCGTTATTTCTTAAATTTTTTTTCGATTTCGACGATTACTTTCTCTTCCCGTTTGAAAATGGTTAAAGATGCATAATGGTCATACAGATATAAAAAACAAGGATAAACATTTTTAAGCATATTTTTCCAGTTTAAATTTTTCAATTTAGTCCCTGACCATTGTGCTCATTAAATCATTTTCAATGAATGCGATCATGAAAATACGGGGTGATAATCTGATGATACCTTATATTTTTTTGTTATTTCTAGGTTTATTCAGATCGATATTGACGACGTTTTTGTTGGTGCAAGCGGGTCTTTGTTTACTGCTAATGATATTAGAGCGCTTATTAATCTCCAAGAAGAGTTAAGAGATTCGATTGACAACTTTACCTTTTCGCTTGGATTTTCTGGTTATTTTTTCCGTCATGGATCTGATGCTGAAGTTGAGGGAAATGACTTTCTTGTTGGTAATTTTGAGGATATTTAAAGGTTTTTTTATTTGAATTTAAGCAAACGCAAAATATTTTAACTGGTTCCCTCATATGTGGAGGCACAATCATGCTCATGAACATTCTTTTGATTATTTGATTGCATTAATGGCACAAAATAATTTTTTTGCGGAAGTTTGATTTTTAATTTATAAATTTTTTAAAATAATTTTAGAACTATGGAATTCCTACAAAATTATCTTATGCTATAGCACCGATACATTCAGGGGTTTGTTTTTTCTTTTTAAAATTTTTTTTCAAATATTTTTGTAAATTAAATATTTTTATTTTCTCTTTTTAAGGTTTATCCTGTTTATCAGCCACTTTTTGATGGTTGGAAAAAAATTTGGAATATTAGTGTTACTTCTACTGAAGGTTCTTGAATGTTTTTTCCTTTTTATATCAATTTCTTTTAATTTAGAATACCCACATTATTCGCCCTCTTCTCAACGTCGCGGTTTTATCTATGAAAATATTAGCGTTTTACCACGGTAACTGCAAGGGGGACTTTAAAAGTTTAAAAATATTCGTTCAGACAAACCTGCGGTCTTTTTACTCATACACATTATTTTCATGCTTATCCTGGAGGAATAAACAATTTTTTAAATGGCATTTATGGGGGCGTTGTTTTCAAAACTTTACTGCTAAATAAATTTTCAATTTTTATGACTCATCAACAAAATTTTGCTAATGACAGACTTGGATCTTTTACTTTTTTAAATTTAATAAAATTTGTACAATGTTGGACAAATTTGAAATTGAAATGGATTGAACCTGTTGAAATGGCTAAACGTTATTTTGAGAAATTTAAAAGCGAAGAGGCTTTGTTATACACGGTTAGTCATTTTCTTTGAAAATTAAAAAAATTAGACAAGTTTTTGTTAAAATTGTCGTTTACGGGCTTCCTTTTTTACTCCCCATTTTTCATGAATTTACGGAATGGTCAGACTTCCTTTGCCTTCTTCCTTCTTACAATTAACTTCTTGTTTGTTATTTTGTTAACAGGCAATCAAAAAGGATTCATTATTCTGTTTTATATAGTAGAAAAAACGGAAGACCTGTCTATTCTGTGCATTAAGTAGAAAAACTAGGAAGAAGGGGGGCATGTTACCCAAAATTTTTAAATATGAACGATTTATCAATTTAGTTTAAAAATTTTTTAGAATTTCTGTACCGACAAACGCCACATTCGAATGCTCCCAGTGACTACATCTTGTGATAAATTTCAACACCTTCCCAATTTAATAATTTTGGGCCCACAAAAGACGGGTTATATTTAATTTTTATTTTTTTTTAATTAAAAAAAGATATTTTAGGTACAACAGCTTTGTCAATGTTTTTACAAATTCACCCAAATATTTCAACAAATTTACCAATTCCTGATTATTTTGAAGAACTCCAATTCTTTGCAGGTCCAAATTATAATAAGGGAATTGATTGGTATGTAGAGAATTTTATTTTGAATGAATCGTCTTTGCCCTCATTAATTCGTTTTGAGAAGTCTGCAAATTATTTTGACAATCCAAAAGCTCCAGCAGCCATTTCAGCATTATTACCCAATGCAAAATTGATTGTAGTCTTTAGTGATCCTATTAAAAGAGCTTATTCTTGGTATAAGGTTTGTGTGAATATTTTTTGTATTTTAAAATTTAATTGGACCGGATGCCACTCTCTATTCACGGAAATGCCTGTGAACCGAGATATAGGTCCCTCAAAATCAAAAAACCATAGGGGGGAGTAAGCACATTTTCGAGGTGAAAAATTCGATTTCTTGAATGATAGCTCATTCGAAAGAGCTCCACGAGCTCATTTCGTCTCATCTCGCTGAGATGAATCGAATGGTATGTGTTTCGTATCGAAATTTTGCCTCAGGTATACTATAATACAGCTATTTAATTTTAAATTTTAGCATATGCAAGCAAAAAATGATTCTGTTGCCCTTAAATATTCTGCCGAGGAAGTTCTTATTGGAAATTTTACTGAAACTGATCATTTAAAAAGGTTTGATTTAAAAAACAAATTTTAGAAAATAATTCTCTAAAATTTTAAGAAGATCTCTTTTACCCGGCCTTTATGCTCAACATCTTGAAAATTGGTTTGACTTCTTTCCTCCTTCAAATTTTTTGTTTGTTGACGGGGATAAGCTTCGTAATGAACCATATCTCGTCCTTCGCGATTTATTTAATAAATTAGAACTTCCAATTGTGGACAATTTATCCAATCGTTTAAAATTTTCTAAAAAGAAAGGATTTTATTGCATCGTTTTGGATAATAAAGCTTCATTGCATTGTCTTGGAAAAAGCAAAGGACGTCGTTACGAGCCAATGTCTGAACGGCTGAAAAATCATTTGGAAGGATTTTACTTTGAGCCGAATGCATCTTTAAAAGAATTTTTAAATAAATATAAAATACCTTTGCCTTCTTTTTTGATTAATTAAGAGAAATTTTTTCAATTATTTTTAAACGATCTCACTTAAATAAAAAAATTTTTTATATATTTTTTAATTTTTAAATTAATTCTGTTGTGATCAATTTTTACCTTAAAATGTCAAATTTATTTTTTTTTTGCTTAATTAATGTTATTTGTTTAGAAAAAATGCCAAAATATTACTGTGATTATTGTGACGCTTTTCTTACTCACGATTCGCCATCTGTTCGTAAAACGCATAATTCGGGAAGAAAACATAAGGTTTTTTACTAGATTAGTTTTTTTCTATTTTGTGATTTTAGGAGAATGTTCGTCATTTTTACCAAGCTTGGATGGAAGAACAGGCTCAAAAATTGATTGATGCTACTACAAAGGCTTTCACTACACAACGAATGATGGCTCCGAATATGATTCCACCGATTGCTCCAGCTGGGATGATGGTAAAATTTTTTGTTCACTTACAAATTAATTCTCTTTAAACTAGGGTAGCACCTCGACCCCTGAAACCCCGACTATTTTTTTGGCAAAAACCCCGACCCGAACCTCGAAGACTCTACCACGGCAAGCCCCGATCCCCGACGATCCCGCCTCCGAACGCTCGGGGTGCTACCCTACCTTAAGCCCTCAAACCCTTTTCAGCCTCGTCCTTTCTTAATGCCGCCGATGGGAATGTTGCGTCCACCAATTATGCCACCCAATTCATCTGGCTTTTTCATGCCTCCAGTTCCAACTACAGGTTTCTCTATAGCGAATCCAGGAATGCCGGCAGGAATGCCTCGTATTCCGATTCCACACATGCCAATGCCGCCAACAACTACTGGATCGGGAGGCGAAAGTGGAGGGCAACCACAACTTCGAACTCAAATAAAAATGCAGCCGCCTGAATAGTAGATTGAATAAAAAGAAGAGTTTAAACAATGTTGAAATTTTTTGAGTTTTTTCAGTTTTTTTGCTTTTAATTTTAAATTTGATTTGAAAGGGTTGTCAAATTTTTTGTCGATTTTTTCCAAGTCAAATTTTCCGTAAAAATCAACCCAATTTTACTTATTATTCTTTTATTTTGTTTCTTTCAATTTTCGGATAAAGTGTTTTGTTTAAATTTAATTTCTTCTAAAAATGAATTTTCTTTCAATTTAAATATCTTTTCAATTAATTTCCTCATTTAATTTATTCGTTTAATTTTTTAGATGGAACAAAATGAAATTCGTCGTCATATTAATAGACAATTTTCAATTCGAGGACATTCTCTAAGCAAGGACACTTTATCCTACCTGGGCCCTATTTCAATTGTCCACAGATTCTGCGGTCTGCGTTCTGTGCACAGACCACAGAACCACAGAAATTCTGTTTCAATTATTCCACAGATTCTGCGGAAAAAGAAGTCCGCAGATTCTGTGGAAACATGCACAGAATCTGTGGAAACATCCACAGATTCTGCAAAACATCCAAAAACATGCAAAAACCACAGAATTCTATTTCAATTATTTTTCTGTGCACAGAAAAAAATCCACAGATCTGTGGCTTTTTTAGTCGATTCTGTGCATTTCTGTTTCAATTATTTCTGTGGTCTGCGGAAAATACACAGAATTCTTTAAAAAATCCACCCTAAAATTTTTTCTGCGAACTTTCTGTGGAAAAACTTTAACAATTTTTTTCTAGGCCTAGGCTTAACCAAATTTCAAAATTTTTAAAGATTATTAAAGTTTGAATCATTCTCTATTTTTTGATATAAAAATTATAATTTTATTACCTAAAATTATTGCTTAAAATTAATTTTGAAAAAGGTACATCTTTTTTACGCAGTTTTTGTTATATTCAAGCAATAAAAAAATAAAAAACGTGAGAGATTCTGAAATTTAGAGCTATGATGTTCTAATCATCATGGATATCTCTAATGAGGGGATGTTTACCAGGATCTATAGAATATATCTGTATAGCGTATACTGGGATATCTCCCATGATCTCTCATTGATATCCGTCATAATCTCTCCTCCTATTTAATGATAGATTTCCTCCTTAATCACTCCAATATATTAAACCTCAAAATCAATGGATATCCCACTTAATCACTCCTCTACGATTTTAAAGTTCCGATTTGACTATAATTTTGGATTCCAGGCATTTTCGATTTCCAGTAACCTCAATTTCTGACTAAACAATCCCCAGTTTTGTAACATTTCCCTCCCTTGCAACAACTTCTATCGTAGTTTGAAAAAGCCACATGTCGGATCGACATCTCCTGATTTTTCCGATCCGAACCCTGCTTTAGGACATTAATTTAATTGGAGATTTAAGGATATTGGATGAACAAGAAAATTAAGCGGTATATCAGCGGTTTTAAAGTGATATCAAAGAGATTTAAAGGGATGTTATGTGATTTGGAGGGAAAATTTTTAAATCTTTACAATATTTTTCAGTTTAATTTAAGAATTTTTAAAGTTTTACTTCAAAAAATCAGGTACCATTAATACTGCGGTAGTACCGAACTGTCCAAACCATTTTTCGTTTCAATAAAACTGTTATTTTCAAAAACGCGGAAATAAAAAATTTGAATTTAGAAGAAAAAATACACAGAACCACAGAAAAATAATTGAAATACAAATTCTGTGGATCAGTGGAAAAAATCCACAGATTTTTATATTTTCCACAGAAATTTTCATCCACAGAATCTGCGGAATGTTTCCACAGAATCATTGGATGTTTCCGCAGAATCTGCGGGCACCACAGATTCTGTGCACACAGAATTTAATTGAAACAGAATTTCCACAGAATCTGTGTTCTGTGCACAGAATGCAGAATCTGTGGACAATTGAAATAGGCCCCTGGTTGATCAATTAAAAGATATGGGCCGTGAACAATATCAGAAAACGATGGCCAAAGTTATGGAATTGGTTGAGAAGGAGAATGGTTCGTTTAAATTTTAAAAATTTTCTAAAATATTTTTTTAAGTCGATTCTGGTCTGTTGGACCTGAATTTACTCAAAAATGTCTTGAAAGTGCTCTCAAGACAACAGAAAAATGAAAGGTTAATTTTTAAAACAGTTGGACTATAAAATTTATTTTTCTGTTTTTTTCTGCAGTGAAATTAATTTCAAGCTAGAAAATGCGTTTGAATTGTTGGCAACAAATAAGGAAACGTCAAGAGATGTCCATTTGGGTACTGATGTTTATTGGAAACGATTTGATCTTGTTAAAAAGGTTGGTGATTTTATAGGGGAATTTTATTTTTATTTATTCAAAATTAAAAATATACAACGAAAGGTAGGTTCACTAAAATCGTTGACAATTAGGGGACATTCTCTCTGAAGGACTTATGAAAATTGCATAGGATTAAATTATAAATTTAAAAATATTTTTTAATATAAGAATTTTGGAATGGTTTTTCTTTGGGTTTTTTAGTTTAGAAATTTTTATTAATTTTTTATACAAATTTATGGCAAATTTTGAACGAGTTTGTAATCACATTTTTACATCGAGCTCTAATATATCATCATGGTTAAGTTGGATATTTCTTAGTTACATTTTACCACAGTTGAAGGTTCGAGTCTAGAGTCACTGGAGCATTTGTTCATTCGTGTTTTCAGTGCTAAATTGACTCGTAAATTAATTTCAGCTGCACACTCTTGACAAATTTATTGTTTGTTGGGTTATACTGGATTGAGACAGTTTTTATAATTTTTTTAAAATCCCAATTTTCAGTTATTAATTAAAAATCAATCATCAGAAGAAGATGTTTTTGTTTCAATCGATTCAATTTTTAATTTATGCGGTTCCAAAATATGTATATTAGCTCAACTCTGTAGAGGAGACGGTGCTTGGTTTGTAGCTGAAGATCAAACAGCACGAATCAAATTAGATTTGACAGAAGCCGCATATGAACCTGGAATTTATTTTGAGGGGGGAATTTTTGTTTTTGAAGGAATTTGTTCGTTGACAACATTAAAAGTTGAAAAAGTGTCACTTCCAAAACTGAATGGAATTAATTTAGAGGAAAATACTTCACAACGGCAAGATGTTCGCTATTCTAGAAGAAGAGATCCAAACGATAGAATTTGCATTTTTTCTGATCTTTTGTTGGATAATGATAAGGTTTTTGTTTGGAAGGCTTCATAACAAGAATGTAGCCAGGGGGCCTTTGGGGCTAAGCCCCCCCCCCTCCCCAAAATGGGAAAAAGAAAGAATTTGAGGAAGGGATTGTGCAATAAAATGAAATTTTTTCGCCTATGACCATCCAAATTTCAAAAAATTTTAGCCCCCCCCTGAAATCGACCTTCTGGCTACGCCCTTGCTTAATAAATTATATTAACTTATTCTTTCAGGTTTTGAAAGCTTTCTATCGAATTCTTGATGGTTTTTCATCCAATCCACCAAACATTTTTGTTCTGTGTGGCCGTTTTTTGAGCGTCCAAAGGGCTTATGGATATACTGATCAAAGTATTACAGCTTTTCGTCATTTGGCCAACATTCTTTCACATTTTTCTACAATTTATTTAAATTCGGTATAATTTTTTTGAATTAATTTTTTGAGGAATCTTCCATCAATTTAATTTTTGTAGCATTTTATTTTGGTGCCACATCAGGAAGATCCACCGCCTTTAATCACATTTCCATGGTTTTTATTTAAAAAATTATTTTTATTTCCTTTGTCTTTCACAGCCCTCCTCTTCCTCCAAGTGTACAAAAATGTTTCAAAGATTTGCCAAATATACATTTTGCTTCTAACCCATGCAGGCTTATTTTCAAGGATAGACATTTTCTTATATTCCGTGACGATGTGATAGAAAAAATATGCAGGTCAGCCATTCATATGCCAAAAGATGTACAAGCTGAAATGATTCCAAAATTGGTAGGAAATTTTCAAAAAAATTTTCTAAAAAATTTTTCAAAAAATTTTCAAAAAAATTTCTAAAAATTTAAAAAAAATTTTCTAAAAATTTAAAAAAAAATTTTCTAAAAAATTTCTAAAAAATTTCAAAAAAATTTTCGAAAAATTTTCAAAAAATTTCAAAAAAATTTTTAAAAATTCTAAAAAAATTTTTTTGTCAAGTTTTGCGACACAATGTGGAGTCAACGACACCTTTCCCCACTTCCCCTCTTCTACAATTCAATACAACCCGAAACTGACAAATTATTTCATTTATGGCCTGAACCGGATGTTCTTTTATTAGCTGATAAATTCAAAGGATTTATAGAAGAGGAAAATAATCAGAGACGGTTAACAATAAATCCGGGACCTTTTTTGGCAGAAAATTTTGAATTTCAAGTATATTTCCCAACTTTAGGAAGGGTCGATAATTCTGTTTTTGTTTTAGATGAGAATTGATAAAGAATTGATAAGTTTAAAATAATCATTCGATTTTTATTTTCTTTAATTTGAAGGTTTTGAGCCTTTATTAATTTTTGATGATTTTATGAAATTTAAATAGTCCAGAGCCTGATCCCTTCGAATTATTTTTCCATCAGGCTGGGTATTCGGCATTTGTTGGCTCCGGCTCAGGGGTTTTCAAATTCTTGGCCCCGCTCCGGGGTTTTCAAAATCCCAGCTCCGCCGGAGCCGGCTCCCGGAGCCATACCCAGCAATGCTTCCCTTTCTGAAATTGATTTTCCCTCATTTAATTATTTTTTCCCCCGTGAAACGCTTCTCTTCTTCAAACGCTTCGTTTAACAAATTTTTTGGCATTTAGAATTATTGGTATTTGAGTATGAATTATTTTTTTTTGTTTTCATTAAGCTTGGGTAAAAAATTAATTTTTGGCTTCTAGATTTGAGGATTTTTTGGTTAATTTTAATTATACTTTTTTTTTAAATTCTTTTTCAGATTAAATTCTTAAAAAATATGAGCTTTGCTAATTCAATTCCATCAATTATTCCGTCCTCATCAACATTAACATCTCCAATTATAACAACTTGTGAAAATATTAATGAGACCTCTTCTCCTTACAAACAAGACAATCAACAACAACAACAAAACAATTTAAGCCAGACTAGAAGTTCACCAACATCTGTGGGAACTCCAAAAGAAAATTCTGGTACTGGAAAGCAGCCACCATCAAAAAGTTATTGTATTTTGACTCCTTGTAGCAATTCACATCCTTTTGAAGAGAGAAGGTTTTTTTGAATTTTTTAAAATTAGATTTTATTTTTTTAAAAGAATTCTTGTTGGACGATCGGAAGAAAATGCTGTTAAAATTGGACGTTCTATTGTTAGACTTCAACCAGCACATAGTAATGCTATTTTTGATTGTAAAGTGCTTTCAAGGAATCATGCAATTCTTTGGTTAGTTTTTGTTGGATTTTAAGTTGATTGGGGTAGGGGAAGGTTATTTCTTTCTGATGGGTTATGTGATTCTTTGAACTTTGATTTTGTGGTTTGAACAGGAAAAATTATTTTTGGAGTTTCGTTCCCATGGTCTTTTATTTTCACTAGTGACCGGCAAAATCTATTTTTCCGGATCCTGGATTTGTGACTTGAGCCGAATCGGATCCGGCCGGGTTTTTCCGGATTAATCGGAGATCACGAAAAAAACCCGGATTTGCGGCCCGTACTCCGGAAAAGTCCGGCCTGATCCGCGCCGTACACTAATTTTTACCTTAAATAATCTTCAAAGCTTTTTGGATTTTTTGGGCTCTCCCAATTCTTATGAATAACACCATAATAAAATCATTTCATTATCAATAAAATCTTTAAAAATTTAAGGATGAATGATGACGTTCATTTCTTCATTAAAGACACACGAAGTTCAAATGGCACTTTTATAAATAATGATCGGTTGAGTCCTAGTGGAGAAGAAAGTATTAATAATTTTTAATCTTTTTTTATTTAATTTTCAAAAAAATTATTTTAGGTGAACCTAGAGAGCTCTTTTCTGGTGACATTCTTCAACTTGGGGTTGAAATTGTGGATAATGCAAAGAAAGGTTTTTTTTTGAGTGTTCCTTAATTTTTATAATTTTTTGTTAAAGTCGCTAGTGGATGTGTTACTTGTATTGTGCGATTGACAAACGAGAAGGGAGAAGAATATGTTGATAGACCTCAATTGGACTCTTTTGCTTTTCCCATTCGAAATGAAAATCAAATTCCATTAAATTACACTTTGGTTAGAAACGACAAATTATTTATTTTTGAACAATATTTGAAAGAGGCAAAACACAGAGAAAATGTAGAAAATTTTTGTTTTAAAATAATTTTATTCTTTTTAGCTTCTCGGTCAAAAGCTTCAAACAATCGAAGGTCAACTTTTAACTGCACAAGAAGAACTTCAGGCAAAATGGGATGAACATATCAACCAGGTTTTAAATTTTAATAATTAATTTTAAGAATAATTTATTTTGGGAAGGGTTAATGAGAAAAATAAGAAAAAAAATTCTTCTCTTGCGGAAGAAAATAGCGTTGAGAATGAGGAAACGCGATTTTGTTTCCTTTTTTAACTGGAAATGAAGTGTTGTTGTTTGTTGTTGCTCTGGGTAGCCCAATAGATAATCTTACAAAGCTTGAACGAATTCTAGTAAGCTTAGGAACTCTGCAGGTCCTTGTCCAAATTTATTGCTAACAATAAACCTAAAATATTTTGAAATCAATCTAAGAATATTCTAAATGACATTATTTTACCCTATTATTTCCAATAATAATCGATTCCGTAGTTCGTAAAAAATCAAAAAATATTTTTAAGGAACTTCTTCTTTCTCGTATTGAACTTCTTGAATCTCAATTATTAACTTACAGTGTGTTAAGAAATTATAACCCCCTTGAATTTTTTGAGTTTCTTACCTTCCCGATGTCGGATTGTTCTGAAATTTCTGTAGTAGTGTTGTAACGTATATTAAATAATAATTACAAAATATCTTTAAAAATTTCTGATCTCAGACTTTTTTTTTGACGTTTTTCCAAAAAATCAGTGTTAATAAATTATAACCCCCCTTTAAAAAAATTTTTTTAACGCATGGAATATCTCTACAAAAATTTTTCTGAACATATCTACCAATAAAGATAAGAAATACAAAAGAAATGAAGTTCCTATGTATTCCCATCATTGAGATCTCGAAATCCGAAAATCAACGGAAAACCGAGGTAGACGTCTTTAAAAAATATTTTCGACCCCTTACAGGTGAAATAAAAATTTTATTTTAGGCTTATCTGAAAGCCCTTTAAATTTGCTACAAGATAGCATTAATTTTATTTTCAGAAAAAAATTCGCCTATAAAAAACTATGAGTTTAATTTATAGGTTAAATTTCTATCAATTTTTGGGGGCGTTTGAGTGATTTCTATGACTTGAAAATTTATCACTTTGGCTCTCGGCGGTGAATTTTTTCTATATAATGAGATAAAAACTATCTTGTAGCAAATTTAAAGGGCTTTCAGATAAGCCTAAAATAAAATTTTTATTTCACCTGTAAGGGGTCGAAAATATTTTTTAAAGACGTCTACCCCCGTTTTACGTTGATTTTCGGATTTCGAGATCTCGATGATGGGAATACATAAAAACTTCATTTCTTTTGTATTTCGTATCTATATTGGTAGTTATGTTAAGAAAAATTTTTGTAGAGATATTCCATGCGTTAAAAAATTTTTTTAAAGGGGGGTTATAATTTATTAACACTGATTTTTTGGAAAAACGTCAAAAAAAAAAGTCTGAGATCAGAAATTTTTAAAGATATTTTGTAATTATTATTTAATATACATTACAACACTACTACAGAAATTTCAGAACAATCCGACATCGGGAAGGTAAGAAACTCAAAAAATATAAGGGGGGTTATAATTTCTTAACACACTGTATTTAAACGCTAAAAATGCTGTATTGCCCAAAAATGCCCAAACTGCCTCTACTAACTGTCTGGAAAAAGAAGAGGAAGTGAATCAATTAAAACGAGAAATTCGAGAATTAATTGAAGACAGAGCAAAGTCTGAACAATTGGCTAAAGAGTCGATTAGGTTTTTTTAATTTTTTTAGTAAAATATTTAAAAATATTTTAGGAAGAAATGCGAACAAATTCAAGAAGCAACTATGCGTTTGAATGATGTGGAAATGGGTTTGGTAAATGTGGAGGAGGAGTGCGCTTTTCTTCGACAGCGTTGTTCAGATTATGACTTACAACTTATTAAGCAAAGAGACAATTACGATATGCTTATGGGAAAGTATAATGAGGTTAGTTGATAGTTCAGTTTTGATTAAGCGTGGGGTTGGTGGATACTGGGAACTCTCGTATATCTGGACCCAATTTCCAAACCGAAAATTTCGGATGTTGGGACTTTTTTTCGGATCTGAATCCGCCAACTCAAGATGGGTGTGTTCAAGGGGAAATTGACTTGAAAATCATTTTTTTAATTCTGTGAAGGTTTACGAAATTTGAACTTTCTCTTGTTTGGATAAACGTAGAATTTTTATTCTAACAATAAGCAAATCTTCTCTTTTTTCCCTAGGTCTGTGCTCAACTAGTTACAGCAGAAAAGGCTGCTGCTAGTGCTGAAAAACCTCTTCAACCACCACCATCACCTCCTCCTTTGGAGAAAGGCTTTCTTGTGGAAAATGGTGTTGATGTTTCTACTTGTTCATCAACTGATACCAAAGAAGAGAAGGGAAGTCCGAAAAAAGACAAAAATGCTGAAAAGGTTTTTTATTAAAATTTTTTAATTTCGTAAAATTTTCAGATGGATATAAGCGACAAAGACAATAATAAACAGCATGAATCAAATGTGGAAGAGGGAGAGATTGTTAGTCCGTCTTTGGAAGAAGGGGAAATTGTTAGTTTGACAAAGTCGACATTTTATCATGAAGAAGAACAAAAAATGGCAAACTACTTCCATAATTGTAAAGAACAAGAATTACTTAAGAAAGTGGCTGAATTGGAGTTACAACTTAAAGAACGCAAAATTAATGGGAATAATAATGAAGAGGAAAGGGCTTTGACTACAACAACGACACCTCAATCTTCTGCCGATTTTCAGGTTATTTTTGTATTTAAAATTACGAAGCGGATATTGTTTTAGATATCCCATGGGATTGAAAATTTGTCTTATAATGGTGGGGGGGGGGGGGGGGGGGTGTTTTAGTTTGAGAATATCCTTAAGCAGATCTAAGTAACAATTTAACGGAGAGTAGGGGGCTGGTACAAAAAATACACGAACAAGAAAATTACGTTCAAAACGCCGAAATTTTGGCGTTTTGACCCCCTATTTATTAGCCTTTCCTGAAATCTGACCTCGTGAAGTCTAATCAAGTTAAAAAAACCGTATCTTAAATAGAGGTGTACCCTATATTGGGCGTACCTTATTTGGAGTTCCGACTTTTAAAAATTGTTTAAAAAAAATTTTTTCTTAGGTCTTTTTGTTGTCAATCTTCCCATTTTTGCTTGTTTTGTTGTTGTTTCTTGCACCATTCTTTTACTTTTCTGCTTGGCCTTGGACTTCAAATAATGAGCAGCAAAACGTGGAGAATGAACAATTATTGCAAAATGAAGATGAATTAACAAATAAAGAGGAAAATGAATAAAAAGAGAGGGACGGTATTTTTTATAAAAATAAATTTAATTTTTTTGGGATTAACAATTTTAATTTTCTTGTTGTAAAAAATTATTTGGATGACTTATACTCATTTAATTATATATATACCTACCTACTTTTTTGTTTTTATTTTAAGGTTTTAATCGGATAAATTTGAATTAAATTAAAGAAGATTTTTGATAATTTTGGGATCTAATAAAAAATTTTTTTGAATTTTATTCAAAAATAAAAATATTAAAAGGAATCTATTAGGGATGGATCGGGTGTTGTCTGAAACCCCAATCAGAAGAGTAATTAAAAATCTGGCGCGAGACCCGACCCAAATTTCCTCGGCTCTAGTATAGGACATGCGTCCCATGAACTTTTATACGTCCTTTGAGCATTTAAGTGTCCAATAATGGAACGCATATATTCTCATGGGACTACTAGAGCCCTTTTCCTCTCCATCCGGTCCATCCTTGTGAGTCTACTTGTATTTTTACAAAATTGGGATGTCTGTGACCTTTTAAATAAATAAAAACCAGCCGAAAAATTTAAATTTGTACCAGAAGAATTTTAAATTTAATTTTAGTTTAAAAAGTACAAGCTTAAATTTGCATAAAATTAACATGCTCTTTTTCCAGTAAATTTCCATAAACGAAAAGAAAATTTAATAAAAAATGCAAAAATAAAAAGATGTCCAGGTTTCGTGTTAAAAAAGAGGAATTTTAAAGAAAAAAGAGGAATTTAATTTTTAATTAAAAATATGTATAGGGGAGAACATTAAAAAGTTGTTTTTTGAAATTTGAGTGACATCCAAACGGGAGACTTTTAATAAAAAATTATTTTCTTTTAAAATTCCATTTCTTGTCAATTTTTATCCAATCCATTTTTCCAAAGAATAATTTAAAAAAAAATAGTAAATTATTATTTTTTCTGTTATTTTAAATACTCCTTTCCCCTCTTCCTTCTTTCTGCTTTATCCTCCCTCCCCTTTATTCCCCCCCTCCCCTCTATCCCCTCCTCACTCCCCTCTATCCCCCTATTCTCCTCTATCCCCCTTTCTTCCCCTTTATCCTCCTTTCCTCCCCTTATTTTCCCCCTAAAAACAAACTAGCCTGATGAGGGTAGCACAAAGTTAGCCTTTATTGGAGATATTATATCCCTTTCCCTTTTTTAAAATTTTTTCCTTTTCTCAATGACTTATTTTTACTTTTACATTTTTTCTTAGCTTCTTTTGCTTTTTAAAAAGGCCCAAGTCGATGTGTTTTTGCCTGCCAAAGCATTTGCTTACCTTCCCCTTTTTAGCTTGTTTTTTCAATATGTTTTTAAGTACATATGTTTTGTAAGCTTATTTTATTTATTTTTTTTCTTTTGCTAGATGTAAAAGAATTTTTCTAACGAATATTTCTATGTTTTTACATTAAATATCCCTCTCAGTTTTATCCGCTTTTCTGTTTCCCTCATTTTTCTCTTTTAAACACGCGCCCTTATGTTTGTATTACACTTTTTCATCTTTCCCCTATTTCTTTTTATTTTTCTTTTTCTCTAATCAACACATGCTTATTTACCGTAACTTTGTTATTGGCATTTTGTCTTCTCTTCTTCTCTTTCTGGGACACGCCCAAATAGGCGCAAGCCATAACGGCGCGAAGCCATAATTTACTGAAAAATTTCTGGACCTTAACAATTTTGGTACCAATCTCTTTAGCTCGATGCGTGGAATTTTTTAATACTAAATTTTGAAAGATTCGGAAATTTTGAAGTAAGTTATGGCTTTGCGCCGTTATGCCCTCGCGCCTACTTGGGCGTGTCCCTCTCTTCTCTGCCTTTCTTTCTGCTTCTTATTTATTTTTACTTTCTTTTAGGTCAAACGGCTGTCTCTTTTTTCTTGCTTATTTCCAGCCTTTACTTAAATTTATATGTCTACTTTTTTCCTTCCAATATTCAAATTATTCTTTTTTTAAGGGCCAACATCTTAAAAACCTTCCCCCTTTTCGCATAACTTTTATTTTTCCGAAAGCTTTTTGGTGGCCTTTTTTGGTTGAAAAGTGACGCCTTTTTGCCACTTTTTTTTCATATTTTTAGAAAACAAACGTCATTTCTCTTCCAAATATTTTTTAAAAAATAATATTAAAAATATAGTAAGTATTTGGTTTCTTTGCCTATTTTTCGATAAAAGATTTTTTTTAAATTTCCAATTTTTATTTTTCCTTCGCGGAAATTTTTAAAAATTTATTTTTCTCAATTAAAAGCATTTGTTGTTTTATTTTTATTTTCCTCCTTTGACATAATTATACGTATACGTACTTTTATTTTTTTTAAAACGTCTTCTCGTCTCTTAAATGACAATTATTTCCGTAACAATTTTATTAAAAAAATTTCAGTGAAATCTTGCAATTATTAACTTTTTATTTTGGTTAAGCCACAAGATTGAACCAGTAAATTTTATGGTTTTGATGAGAGGCTGGGCAAAATTTCGAGTTCCAAAATTTTCGATATTCGATAGTTGGTAGTTCCGATTTCTTAACGGAACTACTTTAGGTAATAATTTGGCTGACCACCCCCTTTTTTGTTTCCCTGACCATTTTGAGCTTTTTGCATAATTTTATTATATGTACATATGTCATTCGAAAGAATATTTCGAACAGGATCGATGATACCAAGATCGGCCTAGATTTGATGGAGGATAGTCAGCCAACCTATTACCCTACTTTATAACGGCTCCCTAACCACTACTGAGTTTTATTATGAATTCTAAAGGATTGTGATAATTTTTGACTTTATTATTTTTTCAGGCAAAGAAAAAATTATAAAGAAATTTCTATCAGAATTATATATTATTTGGAGCTGTTAAAATTCTTCCCTTTAGAACCCTTTTAAAATGAATTCCCCAAATTTGCAACGTACAAGAGAAAGGAGAAGTAAAATAATTTTTAAAAGATTGAGAAAAAAAAGAAGAAAAGAAGGGAAAGAATTTAATAAAAAATTAATATTTAAAAGAATATTTTCAACAAAAATATTTTTAATTTTATTTTCAACACTTTTATTAAATGAATTTATTTTAAATAATGTTGAGGCTATTCGTTGTTATTGTACAGGTATTTATTTTAATTTTAAAATTATTTTTTTTTTTAAATTTGGGTTAACCTTCCAGATAACTTCATAAATTTATTTGGGATCTTTTAAGGGAAATTAGGATGTGGATTCGAAAAGATCGTTTATCTAGTTTTCGTTTTGGGTTCCCGGCAGGGCTGTCCGCAAGTCCAAAAAACACGCATTTTACGAAATTCGCAGTCCCAATTGCGGACAGCCCTGGTCCCCGGTCTTAAAAGCTTACATCATCCAGCAGAAGTCAAAAACTTGTGAGATGATCTTGTTTTGTTTATCTTTTCCCCAAATTTAAAAAAAATAATAAATAATCCAAATATTTCCCAAGATTCTAATTTTCTTGTAGATGAACATTGCGTCCCTTATGGTGTTTGTGAATCAAATGTTTGTTTGGTTGGATTACTTAGGGCGAATAATGCAGGTTTAAACCTACTTATTTATTAAATTTAGTAGAGGTTTAAGAGGTTTTAATTTAAGGGGTTTTAATTATTTTTAAATTTTTTTATTTAAATACCCTTTCCTAGTCTGCTCCGAAAGCTTGGACCTATTTTCCAAAAAAAATTTTCTAAAAAAATTTTTTCCAGTAATCAGAACGTGTGGAAGTCAATCATTAGGGTGTCAAAGAAATGTAGATAGATGGAGCCATTTATGTTCTTGTGACGAAAATTTCTGCAATACTTTTTTATTTCTCAAGTTTTTCTTTTAAAATTTTTTTAAAATTCTTTTGATTTTTTAAAGAGCAAATACAAATATTGATGGACCAAGAAATCGTCTTTCATTAGAAAACCCTTCAAATAAACATTCTGACTCGTCAGATCAAAGAATATTTGAAAGAGTAGATCAACCATCTAGTGGAGAATTTGCAACGTTTGACCATCAATTAGGTTTTTTTTTAAATTTTTTTCTTCTTAACTCATTAAAAGATACACCCAATACCTCTGACATTTTTAATTTTGTTGGCCCATTGGGTTAAGGGGAGCTGTCTAACTAAGCGATACCCCCTATTTAAGATATCCAACCTCATTAAAGGTTGTTCAGATATAAAGTGAGATTCAATTCTTTAATTTTATACAGATACTGAGCCAATGCCAATCAAAAATTCTAACTTGCTCACTCTTCTGTTAGTCATTGTCCCCCTCTCTGTTGGAGCTGCAGCGGTTGTTGTTGTTGCTATTAATTATTATTGTCATCTTTGTTAATTTTTGATATATATCTTTATTGTTAGTATAAGGTTTTTATTTTAACACTAGAAAAGAAATCCCGTGATCCCATTTGAAATTGAAAAGATAAAAAAAACTAGGAGAAAATAAATTTTTTGTTCGGAAATGTTAAAATAGTTGGACTTCACTTATACAAAACCTTGTGAAAAAAATCAAAAATCCGACGTTTAAATGAGAATTGGCGTCGGATTTCGCTTGTGTCGTCTTTCGCGCAGTTGATATGAGACTCTTATAAGCGAGGTCCAACTGTATATTAATTCACTTAACATTATAATATTTTTAAAAATAAATTAGAAATTTTAATGATTTTACAAAAAAAATCTACAGGGTGTTTCAGATAAAAAGCACTATTTGAAAATTCAATAACTTTTTAGTACGTGAACAGATTTTAATGAAATTTGGTATTTAATATCTATATTTTATGGCATTTTTTTTGACATAAAAATTATGTCTAAATTCGAACCCTAACCCTGTATTTCAATTTCGTTTCAAATTCGTACTCTACCGTTCTCTTTTTTCCCTCTTTTCATTGTGGGCTATCTTACTTCATTTATTTTCCTGCGTATGGCGAAGAGTGGATACTGTATTGAAAATGTAGTGTCTATCGCCTATTGTTTACTCTAGTGTCTATCGCCGCTCAAAATAAACAAAAGGGAGTAAGAATGCATGTGCGGAAAAAGGGAAAAACAGAACGGTAGAGTACGAAATTATCTCGGGTTAGGGTTCGAATTTAGACATAATTTTTATGTCAAAAAAAAATGCCAAAAAATATAGATATTAAATACCAAATTTCATTAAAATCTGTTCACGTACTAAAAAGTTATTGAATTTTCAAATAGTGCTTTTTATCTGAAACACCCTGTATAAAAAATATTTTTGTGCCTTCCCCTCCATTTTATTTTTTTTTCATTTGTAAAATTTTTTAAAATATTTTTTTTTTATTTTTTTTTAAAAATAAATTTTCAGTAAATTTAAATTTATTTCTTTCACTAGTTTTAAAAAATATAAAACAAAATATATAACAGAAAATACCCAAAAACAATTCCCAATGTTCATTTATAAAGAGCCAAATTTCCAAAAAATTGTTTCAGCTTCTGTCTTTGTTGAGGTTTAATAGCTATACAAACAGCCATTCCATCTTCATTCCAAATTTTGTGTTGAATACCGGCATCTGCCAATTTCTTTGCTTGTTCTAATAATTCTGGTTCGTCTTTAACCTTTTTTTGAAAGAATTAAAAAGCAAAATAAAATTCAAAAAAACCTTTAAAGTCACTTTATGCATATTTTCCATATTTCCCATATATTCTTTAACTTCTGGGTCGTCTTTAAATGTCCATATACAAGCTGTGGCTGCATGTGCTATTTGGGTAAAAACAGCTCCTAAAGGCCATTTTAAATCAGAAATGAGATCTGCCCTAAGAATTAAATACATAATTAAGCGTTCGCCCTGTGTTGACATTCTAAAAATTTAAAAAAAATTTTAAGAAATTTTGAAAAAATTAATAAAAAATATTAAAGTTGGTTGTAGAAATTTAAAAAATTTAAAAAAAAGTTAGGGTTGGGGGCTCGATCCGGAAGATCGAGTCGGCCATTGAATTTTGACCCGAAAAAAACTCGGTCGGACCGGCCCGATAAAAATGAAGCCAGAAAAGATGACTCGAACGTCGGCTCGACTCGAAAACTCCCAACCCTAAAAAACGTTTTACATTTTTTATTAAAAAAATTTTTTTGTGAATAATTGTGATTGTTTGTGCCAATTGTTGATGTTGTGGTCACTAGGACCACGTCATGAAAAATAAAAAAGCCTTAAAACGAAAAAAAAATCAATTGTTTAATGTTCAAAAAAATTTTTTTGTTAGGTTCTAGTGAATCAACGACTGTTTACAAAAATAAATTTTTCTTAGAAATTCTCTAATTTAAAGTTATGGGCATTCGTGATCATTTACTAACACAACCAAAATTGCTTAATTATTTGAATAGTTTGGAAGAACAAAAGAAAGATGAATTTGCTGAATATTTGCTTAAGGTTTTTTTAAAATTTTTTTGGATTATAATTTTATTTTTAGTTTGATTTTGATTATTTGGCAGAAGCTTTTAAATCCTCACAAAATTCAACACTTCCAGCACTTGAAGATATTTCTCCAATTGGTCCGGAAAACTTTCTTGATAGAAGTGAATTGACTGATGTTGAATTGGATAGACTTTTTAATTTGGGTACAAATTTTATTTTTTAGAATTATGTGAGTCTTCATTAGAGATTGAGATTTTTGGAAAGCCTGGACTTGTTCCTGGACTCTGGGGTTTGACTTATTGCCTGGGCCGGATCCTGGGCCTGTAGTAAGGAAAAACACGAAGGTCAAAAAATGCCTGGGCCTAGACTCTGGCTACAGATAAAACCCAGGCCTTGTCCAGGCCCTGCTCGATCTCTAGTCTCTTTGTTTTTGTTATTTTAGAGTAAATCACCAAAACGGGAGGGTGGAGGGGGGGTCTTACTTCAGTGCCAAATTTAACAAATTTTTTTAAAGGCTTAAAGGCCGTTTCCGAGGGCAAAGTCGCTGCGCTTGTCCTAGCTGGTGGGCAGGCAAGCAGACTTGGCTCTGACCACCCTAAAGGAGTTCTACATCTTGGCACTGGTCTTCAAAGCAAAACAGATTCTCTTCTATTCATCCAAGCAGCACAAATCCGTTACCTTCAAGATATGGCCAAAGAGAAATTCCCAAACTCTAATAATTCAACAATTACATGGTTAATAATGACTAGTAGATCAACTGATGCAGATACTCGTGCTCATTTAAAAGATGTTATTGCAGAAACTGGACTTTGTTCGGATCAAGTAAATTTTTAAGGAAATATAAAGGGGTGAGCTAAGGAGAGATTGAGATTTTTAGAGTATGGGCTTTGATTTATAGTCCAATCCATTGCTTGTGTTGACCCTGTGCCCCGAATACAGGAAAAATTTAGAAAGTTCCAAAAATACCTGGACCTATATTTAAGGCAGGCCCGTAGCCAGGATTTTTTTTCGGGGGGGGGGGGGGCAAAGGGGGAAAAATTTTTAGCGCCAAATTTTTCTTCGCCAAAAAAACTTCTTTTAAAATTTTTCTTCGCCAAAAAAACTTCTTTTAAAATTTTTCTTCGCCAAAAAAACTTCTTTTAAAATTTTTCTTCGCCAAAAAAACTTCTTTTAAAATTTTTCTTCGCCAAAAAAACTTCTTTTAAAATTTTTCTTCGCCAAAAAAACTTCTTTTAAAATTTTTCTTCGCCAAAAAAACTTCTTTTTCCCCCAAAGGGGGAAAAAGAAGCCAGATTTCTTCCTTTTTTAGCGCCGCAGGCGAAAATTTTGAAAATTTCGAAGGCCGTAGGCCAAAAAAATTCACTTTTTTGCCCCAGCCCTTCCCCAAAATTTTCCCTTTTTCCCATTTCGGGGGGGGGGGGGGAATTCCCCCCCCCCTACCCCCCCTGGCTACGGGCCTGATTTAAGGCCTTGGACGACACAGACCTTAACTCATAATTTGAGGAGACGATTTTAAGATTTTTAAAAATTTATTTTAAGATTGTTACGGAGGTTTTACCTCCTAGATATTTCCGAAAATAATTTTTAAATTTTCTCTCAAAAATAATAATTTAAGGTAATCATATTTACCCAAGATGAACTTCCTGCCTTTTCTTTGGATGGAGAAGCACTTCTAGCTGAGCCTTATCGTCTTGTAACCTCTCCAGGTTTTCTTTTAAAATTTTTTCTTTCCAAAAAATAAATTTAAGATGGTCATGGAGGCCTTTATAATGCAATTTCTCCATTACTTCCTTTGTTAGAAGAGAAAGGATTGGAATTTATTCAAGTTTACAATGTGGATAATATACTTTGTAAAGTTCCTGATTTGTGTATGGTTGGATCTGCAATTGAACAAAAAGCTGATTGTGTGGCAAAGGTTTTTCTTTAGTTTTTAAAAAGATTTTGTTTAATCTGCAATTCTTTTTTTAATTTTGTTTTTTGATTTCCATGTCTCCAATTACTAAGGGCCAAGTGGGTGTCCGGCAGGCCCGTAGCCAGGGGGGGGGGGGTGGGGGGGGGAATTCCCCCCCCCCCCCCCCCCCCCCGAAATGGGAAAATGGAAAAAATTTGGGGAAGGGCTGGGGCAAAAAAAGTGAATTTTTTTGGCCTATGGCCTCTGAAATTCAAAACATTTTCGCCTGCGGCGCTGAAAATCAAATTTTTGGCGCCTGCGGCGCCGAAAAAGTGAATTTTTTGGCCTACGGCCTTCTAAAATTCTCAAAATTTTCGCCTGCGGCGCTGAAAATAAAAATTTTTGGCGCCTTCGGTGCCAAAAATTTGGCGCAAAAAAATTCCCCCCCCCCCCCCCCCCCCCGAAAAAAAATCCTGGCTACGGGCCTGGTGTCCGGGGTCTTTTATTTAAAAATTATGTCCATCAGTTTCAGGGATTCTTGTTCTAAATTAAAAATTATAGGGTATTAATAACGGAAAATTCTCACCTGTTGGCCATCGGAAAATAAGTAATAAATGTCATTTTTCATCTTCCCTATAAACCAATTTACATTATTATCTACCTCCCTTTGAAATTTTTTTCCGGATACGCCTTGGTCAAGGCAATTAACTTTTTCTTAAAAAATCTTTATTCTTTAAGGTAATCGAAAAAATCAATCCTTCAGAAGCTGTGGGACATGTTTGTCTCGAAAAGGGGAAAGTTCGAGTACTTGAATATTCTGAAATTTCTTTTGAATTGGCTGAAGCTAGAGATTCTGATGGGAAATTACTTTTGTGTGCTGGAAGTATTTCAATTCATTTATTGTCATTAAATTTCCTTCGAATTGCCTGTCTTCCTGAAAATATTAAATTAATGCCTTTACATGCTGCACGTAAACAAATTAATTATTTGGAGATTGGGAAGGAAAGTGGTGATTACTTGAAAAGGAAGGAGGCAACAGCTATCAAATTGGAACGTTTTGTGTTTGATGCGTTTCATCATTCAAAGTATTTTTTTAGAAATTTATTAATGGCAAAAAAGCAAATTTTAGTAAATAAGTAAGGAAGGGAAGGGATTTTAGGTGATAAAGGGAAATTTTTTTAAATTATGCAGACTGATCATTTCGTACTTCAACTAAAACGCAGACTGGGTAGAGGGAAGAAGTACCGAAATTTTATAACAGGTACCACTCTCATCATCAGGCGCCTTTATTTTTGAATTAATTTTCTTTACTTTTGAATTTTGTTCTAATTACAATAAATCTGTGTTTTTCTGTTCTGGAAACTGATGCCCTAAACCAGAACCTTAAAGCCAACAGAAATTCTGGGACTGGCAGAAGCAGAAGCTCCAGCTCGAAATCGAAAAAGCACTGAAATATCTGACATGAGTCTCTAAAATTAAATTTTTAATGTTAAAAATTCAACTGAAAATAAAAAAAATTTTTAGAAACTTTTTGGTATGGCAAGTATTAGCCTCTGAAGAATTCAGTCCATTAAAGAACGCTGATTCTGCTGGAAAGGATTGCCTAAAAACGTGTTTGGCTGATTTTAACGGAATTAATGGAAAATGGATAAAAGAGGTTTGTTTAAATATTTTGGAGAAGAAGAAGATTTAATTAATTTTAATTAAAAAATAATTTTTTTTTTAATTTTAAAAACCTCCCGGTGAACTACTTTTTTTCTTTTCTACTCATAATTTTTGCAAAATTTCTTTTTTTGCTCAGTCAATTTTTTTTATTTTCTCACTTAAAATTCTTTATTTTGAATTTATTTACACAAATAATTAGCGCCTAATGAAGTATTATTTTCTTTTAACACATTTTTTACCTTTTCTATGCCGACCTTTTCCTGACTTGTTTGTGCCTTTTTATTTGTTACAAAAATTAGTCACTTCTCGAGATTCTATTTATCTGTTTTCTGTTATATTTTCTTCTAGATTTCTATTTTTTCTTTTAAAATTTATTATATTTTTCTTTGGGTAATTAGAGAAGGAAAAAGGGCTTTGAGCAACTTCGATTGGGAAAAATTCCGCAACTTGTAAATTTTATTTTTAAAATTCACATTTCATTGGTGTCAAAAAGCTCGTAATTTTGCAATTACTGATAGCCCCTACTTTAAAGCTTTTTCTTTGTGTTAGTCTAATTGAAAAATATCAGTTGTTTGGGTTGACGCATTTCGAGCAGATTCCTTTATTGAAACTCTTTGGAATTTAAAAATCCTTTCTCTAATTCTTTTTTAATTTTCTTGCCTCTACAAAAGATCAATTAATGTTATAATTAATTTATTGTTAATTTTAAATAAAAAATATATTTTTTAAAAATTTTATTTTTTACTTTTACCCAACTAAAAAAGACCGTAATCCTTTAAATTAACGAGAAATATAAAATTGAAAATGAGGGGAGAATGGCAGAATGTCAATGCTTTTTTCCCTTTATATTTCTACTAAATCCCTTCCATTTATCCTTCTAATTTTCATATTTTTGCCTTGTTCACATTCACAAAAATATTCTTCCCTCCGTTATTGACCAATTTATGTTATTACGTAAAATGCGCATCTTTTCAGAAAAGAATTTTTAACAGAAAAGCGGTAATCTTTCCCTTAAAAATATTTTAGAGGCACACATATTCATTCATTTTCCCATTCATTTTCGATTCAGGCCGCGCATATTCTCTTGCCTTATTTGTAATTGAGTGCACAAAAATTGGAAGGGAGGGAATATTTAAGGGGATTATCCGCGCCGCCCATTTACAGGCCTAAACAACGATTTTTATTTAAAATTTATCTGTCCTATTTATTAAAAATTAGATTGAGTCGAGAATGTTTGGGTGTGTGTAAAAATGTTAGGGAGAGAGAAAGATGTTGTTATGCCTCTTCAAAATTATGAAATTAAGGAAGGAAATTTAGCTATAAATTGGATCGCAAGATGTTTTTTGTCGTTAATCCTCTTGGTTAAATTGTAACTTGATTAGTACAGTAGGGCCTCACTATAAGAGAGATACATCTTGGGGATAATAAAATTTGTATCTTATAATGAGGGTCTATTAAATAGAGGTAAATATATATTAGTACCAAAATAGGTACCAAATAAACTACTCCCCCTCTGGTTCCGAAAAATTTAATAGTCCCCCCTTTAATGTCCCCCTAGCATTCAACATCATGTGTCCAAACTTCGTTGTTGAGTTAATTACACCAAAAAGATGTATGTATAAGAATTAGATGTAAAATTGCCCGCCATAATTTCTTTAGAGTTAGGCCGTTTATTCTCGTTTATTCTCTAGATATCCCGATTAACCCCCCTCCAAACCATCTGATATCTTCCATAATCATACATAATCTTACAAATTCATAATTTTGATTGAAATTGCCAATAATGAAGCTTCCTTCTAGATCGCTTAGACGGCTACCCATTCAAGTGCTTAATGAATTTTAAAAGACGTACCTTAAATAGAGGTGTGCCTAATATTGAGTGTATATTATATAGAGGTCCTACTGTTTTCTAAAAATTCTCCAAAAAATATCTTGACTTGATTTTTAAAAACACTTCTTGGTGGCTGTTTATTTTGAATAAAAGAGAGGTAATTGAGAGCGTTTTTAGTGCTTGTCGGCGACTTCCCTTAGTTTTCTCTCTCAATATTTTTCTGCCATTTCCCCCTTTTTAGAAATATCCATGTCTTTATTTATGAAAATTATTTCCGCCTTCTCGACGGTAAAAAGAGATTTTTGTTTGTGCCAACACCAACAGGTCACCTTCAAAACCTTCTAAATATCCTTTACTTTTTGTAAAATGGCAAAGCAAATTAGGCGTGAATTTTGCGCTAAACGGAGGCTTTTTAACAAAGAAAAGTAAAAAGGAAGAGAGATTGTTTGGAACCAATTGCGGTAATTTTGAAAATATTTTTTTTGCTTTTGTCCAATAGGATAGTTTAATAGAAATTTGAATAAAATTGGTGGATTTGAACCGTTTTTTAATTTATTTTTTATTTATTTTACTGTCTAGGAGTTTTATCACATTTCATAAATTCTTGATTATCTGTTATATTTTCGTCTTTAATATACAATTGGATCTCACGATAGCCTCATAATTAAATATTAAAAACAATTAAATCTATTGTTGGTTGCCCTTGTAAGGAAGGGAAAAAGAGGAAGGTAGATCCAACTGCCTAACACTTAAAACGCTTAATAAGGCAGTTCAATATCTAAAGGTGAAAAAACGCCCCGATAGCTTACTCGGTAGAGCACCTATACGTGTTGAGGTAAGCGACTAGCAATAACTGCCAGAAGGTCGCAGGATCGATGCCTGCTCGGTGGCTAAACTTTTACTTCTCTCTACTTCCGATATGTGTTGGGAGCTCCCTAAGCGATACTTTCTATTTAATATACCCCCATTACAAGGTTGAGGTTTCTCCTCTCCAAGGTTGTATCTGAAATGGAGTCCAATTCTATAAAGGGCATAGCTTATCCGATTATTTTTTCACTGTTTATTAAAAAAACGGTAACTTTTATTTGATTCAATCAAGGTGCACTTGTGTATAATTTTGTTTGAAAAAGAGAGATTCTTCAATTGCTACCAAAAATGTATTAAATTTATTATTCTAAAGTTCATGTGCCGACAACTTTTTTATTCAATTTTTTCTCTTCAAGTTTTTAAGTACCTCTAAATCCGCTATTTATTCTAGTATTTTTTGTCGCTCAATTTAAAGTACAATTAAAAAATATTTTTGTTAATTTTTGGGCGTGAAATGAGGAGAGGGAGAACAAAAAGTTAGTGTGTAGATTAGAGGGGGGAATATTGTAATTTTGAAAAAAAATATTTTTTTTGGAAGACCGACAAAAAATCATTTTTTAGGTCAAAACCTTTTTTTCTAAAAATCTTCACTGCGTAAAATCTCTTCAAAAATTCTTTTTATAGAAGTGATATACTCGTATATTTATTCACAAAATTATTTAGAGATCTCTCTTTTGTTTAATTCACTTGGGGAAAGATTAAATATTTGCACAAACTCTTGGCGCAAAACAAAACTTATTTTGTACTAGATAGGCGGTAGTTGCTTTTGAAAAAATTGTAGAGGAGAGGGTTTCATCAAGAATATTGTCTGTTTTTTGCCCCAAATGTCCCTAAAAATAAATTAATAATCAAAAACAAATTTTAAATTTATCATTTTTGCGTTTTACAATCGAAAAACGAAACGCCAAAGATTTCATAAAACGCCAAAAAATTGCAACTTATAGAATTTAACTGTGCGCCAATCTATTTTTATTACGTGTAAAAACGCCAATTTGCGTTTGGTTTGGCGTTGTCATTTTTGGCGTTTTTACACGTTATGAAAAAGTTGTGATGCACATTTGATTTTTATTTTGTCTACTATTTTACTGGAGATTAATGATGAAAACGCAAATTTTTTTGTAACGTTCTTTTCGAGTTTTTTCAATAATTGAATTAAGAATCCTTCGAGCTAAGAATCCTTTCCGATTTCCAAACTCTGGAATTTTGACTTTCTCGAATTTTAAAATTTCTTTTTTTACTCCCCCTTCAATTAACTGTTTATTTATCCAAAAATCTCTTCTTTTTTTAATTGATTGGCAAACAAAAATATTTTTGGAGGACAAATGTGAAGTTTTTAAAAATTATAAACTTGCCATATTTATTAACTAAAGAACAGTCTCTTCTAGGATATTTAAAAATACACAAAAACCACAATTTTTTTGAACAAGATGCAAAGAATATTTATTTTTATGATTGTTTTGTTGCTACATGGATCGCTTCTCACTTCCCTTTTTGAGGGGGAGAGGAGGAGGCACTTGTTAAACTGACAAGTGAGAGAGAAGAATGCTCCGTTCAAGTATTATATATTTACAATATTTTAAATATATCAAGGACGAAAATTGGAAAAAGGATATGTGTATATTTAAATATTTATATTTAAATTTTGGAGTTAGAGAAGGGATATTTTAATGGTGTTAAATAATAAATACGAGGCATTGGACATGAATTGGTAATACTTAATTAACAATAAGTCTTAATTAACCCCGAAAATTAAATATTAATTCTGGGTTTTGTGCTGATATTTTTAATTTGTGGAAACAGTGAATAGAATGGTCCTGATTCGACAAAGCCCTTTGGGGATGAAAAATGTGATCCTAAATCGAATATATCTATTATTGATAGCTCAGGCAGCTCACCCAAAAAGTGACTAGCTAGATTTAAAAAATGCATTCCTTAAATTAGGTGCACCTAAGCGTGCTAGGAATTACTATGGAGCAGGGGGTCGTGTCACATGAACCCTGAACTGAAGGAAATTTTAAAACTCGAAACCCGACTCATCGTAACCCGACCCATCATGTTATGGAATCAGATGTTTGATTTTATCGTTGGCCAGCCAAGTTCGTTCTTAAAAATGAAGCTTATCAACTTATCAAAATCAGATGTTAAAAACCAGGGATTAAAAGATAAATATATGTATTTTACTTAATTTTTTGTTAGTTCCCTTTTTCTATCCAACAAAAAATACTGTAAAACTTTTCAGTTTAACGGCAGAGAGTCACTAAGGCGCTATTGGAGGGGTTAAATTTGTTGGGGGAAATAATACACACAAAAAGGCACGCCCACAAAATAGTGTGACGGAGGGAAAAACTTGTTAGAATGTTTAACACAAGTACAAATGTAAAGAATTTCTAAGTGAAAAAAAGAGGCGTGACAAAGAACAGAAAGCTAAAAAATATTGTTTAAGGGATTTATATTGTAAAGGATTTGTTGAAATGAATTAACAAATAAATGAATATTTGTCTTTTTTTTTAATATTTTATTTTAATTTTAATAATTACGAATATTTATTTTATTACTTTAAATAATTTCCCTCCCATCTCTAAAGTTCGGAGTCGAAAAAATTCCGGTTTCGAATAACCCGACCCATCGCTGCTAACTAGAGACAGGTAAAATGCCATAACAAATCTACTTTGGCACTTTCTGACGCAGCTCGACGAGATGCGTAAAATCATACCAAAAGTGTCCAGATTCGAATTTTTAGTTACCGTATTTCTTCAAATACAGCCCCATGGGGCTGTATTTTTCAACTATCCTCCAAGGTGGGGCTGTATTAGAGGGTGGGGCTCTAATTGAGGGTGGGGCTCTATTTGAAGAAATACGGTAATTATTATAATCGGCAGACTGTGTTTTCCCTAGTTGACAAATATTTTTATCTGTTTATTTCCGAAAATTTTTTCAACTTTATATTAGCTAAAAATTCTTTAAATTCATTTTATTTTTTTACTTAATAAAATTTAAACTAGATTTGGATATTAATAAATTACTTAATTATTATAATATTATGACAACAATCCCTTCAAGTAAGTTATTGAATTTTTATTGAAAATTAAACACCCTTTTTAAGTAGTATAAAATTAATCACAAAGAAGATTTTACTTTCAGGGTCTGCACTAGGGTCTGAAAAAATGCATATTAAAATAAGGACTATCCCAAAGAGAGGGTATATTCTTTGTCTTTTAATATTTATCCCCTCTCCCCTAAAGAAGTGGCCCAGCCACCTTCCGAAAGGTACAAAGAAATGAGATACACATAAGTGAGCTCGGCTATATATTATCTGAAAGCTTAATCTGTATAGTGTTTCCTAAAAAAATTTTTTTTCTCCACAATTTTACTTGCTTTTTCTCTACAATATTTATTTACCCTTTAAGCCCTTAATTTTATTCTCATTTAATTTCTAAAGTATTGTTCTCTCTCTTAATATTTATCCCATTAAAGCCTTCTAGTATCCCACTAAATCCAAAATATTTTCCCTAAACAATTCTCTCCTCAATATTTTCCCAAAAATCCATGTCCAAGTCGAGAAGTTCCCCCTCCTTAAAAATAAGAGGGTTAAAGCCTTTTTGCCTTTAAAAATGTCATTTTTAGTTCAAGCACTGTTTAAGCTTTTTCTTTTTTTTTAAAACACTCCTCTTCATTCTCTTCAAACAAAAAATTTTTATTTTTTATTTGTTTCTCTCTCAATATTTTTAATAAAAAGAAGGCACAAATTGCTCTTTCTTTTATTAATTTTTATGGCATTTTCTTAGCTTTAAAAAGCACATCTTTATTTGATTTTTTGAGGAAAAAGTTATTATTAAAAATGGATAAAATTAAAAAGGGGAAATGTGGAAATAATGAGGAATAAAAATATTGTGAATAAAGAAAAAAATATATAAAATTTTATAAATCCTCATTTAATTTACCCCTTGGAGTTTAAAATTATATCTAATGAAGGTTGTATATGGGGGAGAGGGAGTCAAATCAAACCAAAACAAACATGTTAGGAAAGGAAGTGAATTTGAGAAAGTGCCATGTTAAAATTCAGGCTTGAAGTTCCACCTAATTCTAAAATAAAGAGGGCTCATCCTGCATTAATTTTCAAGTTGCTTCCTTTAATTATAGGCTACAGTTAGGACTTACTCGAATCAACTAAAAATTAGAAAAATTTGAATAAAAAATTTTTCTAAAATATCCTAAACTAATTAACAGGTCGTATCCTTGTTGACGTTCCCTGTCGAGTTTGCCAAGATCATTCATCTGGAAAGCATTATGGAATATACAGGTAATATTTATATTTATCTTTAGATTTTATTTCATTTTTAAATTTATTTTTTAAAGTTGTGATGGATGTGCCGGGTTCTTTAAAGTAAATTTTATTTTTTTTTTCAAAAAAAATTATTTAAAAACAGCGTTCTGTTCGACGACATCGCCAATATGTATGTAAAAACAAAGGCGGAGGTCTTCTAGAGGATAACTGTCCAGTTGACAAAACACACAGAAATCAATGTAGAGCTTGTAGATTACAAAAATGTTTGGATATTGGGATGAATAAAGATGGTCTTTAGATTTTAAAAATTTAAAAAAATGTTTAAAAAATCTAAAATCAAGTTTTAGGGCAAGGAAAAAATTTTTTGCTCCCAGGCGGCATCGATCCGCCGACCTCCAGTTTACTAGACTGGCGCTCTACCATCTGAGCTATAGGAGCTGTTGATTAAACTTTTATATAAAGTGCTGAAATGTTTATTTATAAGTGAGTGAAAAAGAAAATAAGGAGAAATTTTCTTTTCACTACACAAACTGGTTTAAAAAAATTAAAAGTGAAATTTCAAAAAAATTTATTGAAGAATGATCAAATTTTGTGCATTTTGATTAATTTGTCCAATTATTTATTCATCTTATATACTAAAACAAATAATTCTCGTTTGTCGGCTCCTATAGCTCAGATGGTAGAGCGCCAGTCTAGTAAACTGGAGGTCGGCGGATCGATGCCGCCTGGGAGCAAAAATTTTTTTCTGAACTATTTTCTTCCAAAATTATTTTTAAATACATAATTAAAAATAATTTCAAAATTATTTTTATTAATTTTTCTTTCACTTTTATTTAATTTTTAAACTTTCAGCAGTCCAACATGAAAGAGGTCCTCGCCAATCAACAATGCGTAAACAAATGCTTTTAATGAATGGTCTTCAGCAACAAAGACAACAACAAAGAATACATAACCAAAATGAAAATCAACACAATAATGGCACTAAAATGCCAGGCCAAAGAGGACGACTTTCGTTAATTAGAAGTCATTCTAGAGCGGCTATAAATCCCTCTTCTGTTTGTTTCTAAGCTTAAATCTTTATAGTATCCCACCTCTTTTTCACTTATCCCACTTTTTCGGATACTATCCTTTAAAAATTAGATAGCGTAGAGTTTGGAATATTTGAGGATATGGGAATGACAAATTCAGAACTCAGAGATGACCAATTCTGGAATAAAATTTGCTCATGATAAGTCAAAGATTGGGGTAATTGGAGGAGGGATAAGACAAAGATTTTTGATTCTCCTCTTTTCTGTTAGCCATATTAAATATTAATTTTTCAGCAGTCTCGTTCAACAAATAATCCTCCCCTGCTACCACCTAGACCACCATTTCCCTTTCCACCACCACCTTTGGAAGCATTATTGACTGTAAGGATAAATTTTTTTCAAAGAAAAATTTCTAAAAATTTTCAAAAATTTCTAAAAATTTCAAAAATTTTTCAAAAATTTTCAAAAAATTTCAAAAAATTTTTAAAAAAATTAATTTTCAGCGTTTTTCAATCCCCCCACAATTATCTACTACAATTCCAACAACTTCCTCCTCCTTTACCTCCTCCACCTCTTTATTCCCTCCAATAAATATAGGAACACCAACACAATTTCCTCCACAATCATTCCCTCACCCCCCACCACCACAACAATTGTTTGCTGCAAGTGCCTTCCTTCAAGGATTGGCGGTAGAAAAATTATTTTTAATTTTTTAAAGAAAATATTGCGCAATTTGTCCCAAAAATTTTTTAATAAAAAAATAGCGGGAAACAAAATTTTAATATTGGGAAGGCAAGCAAAAATTATTTTTTAAAGAATACTTGCTGTGACATTCTCGAAAGTAAAAAAATATTTTTAAAAAATTAATTACTTTGAGGAGATTAACCAAGAAAATTTTTTCTTCCATTTTCTCGAAGGAAGGTAAACTTCCGGAATTTTTTGGGGGTTTTTAATTTATGGAAAATTCCCCTTAATTTAACTGGGGGGATCCAATTAGTTCTAGGAATTTATTGCTAAATTAAAAATTAATTACTTCAGATATTTTTTCTGCAAGTAGGGGTCAACTGTATATTTTCTAAAAATTATTTTAACCTCAAAATAAATAAAATTAAAATTTAGTTGATAGAAAAACAAAAACGTCAAAATTCGTTAAAAAGAGTTAAAGAAGAAGAGGATGGAGGGAGGAGACTTTCAAACGACTGCCAAGAAGGTAAATATGTTTAAGAGATATCTTGAGATAATCCTTGAATAAAACAAGTTTAAAGTACATAGATCTTTAACCCTTTTCTAATAGAAAATTGAGTTTAAAGAAAATTAATTTGAGAGATTTTGGAAAGAATTATAAGTAAGTTTCCAAAAAATACAAATATCAGGACAATCCTCAGATCCAGCAGATCCATAACTCTTTTAAAGCTTTAATATAAGACCTTAGGAGCTTTGATTAATTAATAGAATCCAAGGGCCGTTAGAGAAAATATGGAGGAATTTTATCCCAAAAATTTGAATGATTTATCCCAAAAATCTGCTGTGCCTAACAAATGCCCTAAAACACGTTCAAAATTCAAACCTCGTAACATTACCTTTCCTTAATTAATTACTCCCTCCAGCAGAAGGTTGAAACAATAATTACCCAGGGTAGTTAATAAAATATAAGAGGATATCCTCGGAATAATTGCTCTCAACTGCTAACATTAAATTTTAAAAGGAAACAACAATAGTAAATCAACAGAAAATCTACCCAATTTAATATTTTCTTCTTCTTCAAATTGTTCTGCCGCCCCTTCCTCCTCTTCAAATTCATCTTTAACTATTCCAAATCGGAAAGAATCAAAAGGAGACGAGGAATTAACTAAATTGGATATTATAACTAAAAAACTTTTTAATTGGGCAAATAATCTTTTTATATTTGCGGGGACTTCAAACAATAATAATTCTGTTAATTTACCTCAAGAACAGGTGAGAAAAAAAAAATAAAAAAATTAATAAAGATTTATAAAAAATTTATTTATATTAATCTGAAATTTTAATTTCCATCGTATTTTCTAAAATAAACCCCGTAAAGTTGTTTTCTTCAACTTTTCTATTTATAGGGCAGGGTCTAATTCGCGTTGATCCCCTATTTTAGGAAAAACGAAAGTTTTATCAAGCGATCTCTTAAAATAAAGGGGTAGCACTCGGTCCATGAAACCCCGACCCCCAACGAATTTTTAAACAAAAACCCCGACCCGAACCCTAAAGGCTCTACCCCGGCAAACCCCGAAACACGACACTCCCGCCCCCAAAGGTGGTACTCTACTTAAAGAGTACTGAGTTAAATAGTACCTCCAACCAATGGACAACCAAAAATTTTTTAAATTAAGGCGTTAAGTTGGTGGATTCTGGAGGTAAAGCTATTTATGTTGAAGTCCAAAATAATTTCTCAAAAATTAAAAATCTTTTTTGAATAATTTCCTTTTACCAACAAAAAATCCACTTTTTTATGGTCCTCCCGGCAATTAAATAAAAAAAAATAAAATAATATTCTCGTAATATGTAAATATCCTCTCCTTAATTCCTTAATTTTTTCCTTTCATTCAGGTAAACAAAAATAAATTTATTTTTTTTTCTGTTCGGCAATTAAAAGAACGAAAAAAAATTTATTTTATAAATAACAATTTATTATTATACCCTTTTCTTTAAAAAATAATTTTACCGCTAATCCTAAGAAACATTGAAAAGCTAAAATATACAGTATTTTGGACTCATCGAGAATTTAATTTTCAATTTTTTAAATTTTATAAGAATATTCTAAATAAAAAATTTTTTATTGCCCAGTTAATAGGGGCCTTTCTGATATTGTGGGATCATTCAAAGACTTTTATGTATGGGAGAGGAACAATGAATTATTTGGTTCAGAGTGACCCTTTCCAAACTACTAAAATAGGGAGCAGCCACTCAAAAATGTGGCAAAAATAGGGCGAAATTGGTCAAAAAAGGGCAAATGCCCTGTAAATAGGGCAAAAGAGTCACCCTGATTCGGTTATCTATAGCTTAAAGGAAATAAAAAATTTATTGATAGTCGGATATCAAATTTACTTATATCCCCTATATTAAGGGGATATAAGTAAGCAATATGGGGAATTTTGGGTTATACAATTTTTCAACCCCAATGGTGTAAGTAAAAATGAGTACCGTATTTTCAAAATAAAGCCCCATGCTAAATTAGAGCCCCATAAAATAGAGCCCCATTTTGGAGGGTAGTTGAAATATGTATAAAGCCCCACGGGGCTTTATTTTAGGAAATACGGTATATATCAGGGATATTCCCGTTTTCTAGAATTGGAGAATCGGGTCGGCATGATCCCTAGTATATACATACATATACATAAAATTAAAATAAAAAAAAATTTAAATTTTTAAAGTCAGTAGCAGTCTTCTCTTCCTCCTTAGGACGTTTACTTTTATTAAGTTCAATAGAAGAAGGATTACTACAAAAATACCAAACAAATTTAATTAAATCAAAAACCCCTCTATTTTCACACATTGGACGTATTTGTCTTCAATTACAACAATTAAATTTAGATAGTATTGAATGGAATTTATTTAGAGCTAATTTACTTTTGAGAGGTTCTTTGAGGGGGAAATTTAGAAGAAAAAATAAAATTTTAGATAAATATCCACAAATGGCACATTTATTATTATTAAATTTATCACAACATCAACAAAATATTCATTCAAATAGTAAGTTGATAAATTGAAAAATGAGAGAAATTTTTTAATTTTGGGTAGAGTTGGGAAGTATCGGAATCGGGTGGGATTATCCCGGTTTTTTAAATCCCGATTCTTATTTTACTGATCCCGAGACCGAAAGACAAATCCCTCAGTCTTTATCGGGACCATCATTTAAATCACAATCCCGATTTTATGTTTGAATCCCGATACAGGCCAGCTAATTTTGAGTGAGGATTAATTTTTGAAAAGATAATTTGCTCAAAATCGAGGATTTGATTTTATCAGGGACCGTGCCTATATAAAGAATAAATTTCCAATTTCGGGAACTTGGGAATCGGACCGTATGTTCCTTGGTTTTTTTCCTTTTTCATTGTTTTCCAAGTTGCTGTTCCCGAGAAATGAGGGTCTGGCAATGAGAGTCTGGCAAAAATGAGGGTCTGGCAATTCTTTAATAATCGAGAGGGCCAAAATTCTTGTAATGTCTTCATTTCGAATAAAAATACTTAATTTAATAAAGTCTACCCTTAATTTTTATATTTTTAATAATTTTATTATTTAATTAATTAAATTAAAGAGCCACTAAGGCATTTACAAAGCTGTCTTTTACTTAACGAAATTGCTCAAATTAATGTTTGTTTAATTACAAAAACACTTCAAGAAATTTTTAAAAATAATTTTGGGGAAAAAATAAATGAAGGGAGCTTATTAGAAGGTACAGAAACGATTGAAATTAATTTTGATACTCCACATTCTGAGAATGGAACGAATAATTTAGTCAAAAATGAGGGAGATTCTGAAGGAAATTTGGTAGAAAAAAATTATTTTAAAAATTAATTCAATAGAAAATAAAATTTTTTAGACCAGAAACAACGATGAAATGTTTAATACTTCAAATGAAAATAATAATGGAAGGAGAAGACTAGCTTTTTCAGTTTGTGAATTAGTTTATGAAAAACAAAAATGATTATTTTATTATTTTACTATTTTGTATATTAAAAGAAATAAATTTCTTTCGTCAGCTCCTATAGCTCAGATGGTAGAGCGCCAGTCTAGTAAACTGGAGGTCGGCGGATCGATGCCGCCTGGGAGCAAAAATTTTTTTTTCTTAACTATTTTCTTCCAAAATTATTTTTAAGCAACCAAAATAATTTTTTTAAATATTTTCCTTGATTTAACTAGTAATTAACAACCCATTAAATTCCATTTATTTAATCAAATTAAAAATTTATCAAAATACAAGAACATTCAATCGAGTTAAAAATCACATTAAAAGGTCAAAACCCTCTCATTATTTATCATCAGAAAGTAAAACTGAAGTTGCATAACAAAGATCCCAATAATGAGCTACTCCGTATTTATCAAGAACTTCTCTAGCTTGTTTGTGATTACTAACTTGTATAAAACGCGGCTCTCCATTAAATGCTCGTTTTTGTACAATTCCTTCCCAAACCTACAAAAAAATTTTTTTTTGAAAAAATAAATTTTAGGTAAGAAACAACCCCCCTCCCTCCCCTCTTAAATTAAGAAAAAATAATTTAATAAAAAAATATACCAATGTACACTCATTCAATTTTCCTTGATTATTTTGTTGAGAATCCTCGTCCAATTGCGCCCCTTTACGTACATGCCTTTGTCCAGCAATTTCTTCACTCCATTTTATTCGATTGAGCATTAAATTTTTATAAAATTTTTGTTGTTTTGGACCTTAAAAATTAAATTTAAAAAATTTAAAAAAAATCAAAGAAAACCTCCTTCAACAATAATAACATTAATATCTTCAAGTTGTATAATTGTACCAGTCATTTGTAATTGTTTTGCATTCATTAATACTTTAAATTTCTTTGCTGGGTTTGCTAAGGATTTAACTCTTAAATTAAAAAAATTTAGAGAAAATTATTTGATTTTAATATTTTATGAAATTAAGAGAGAGGGATGACGTTTCGAGTCGGACCGGCGTTCGAAGCATTTTCGGATTTGTTTCTATCGGACCGGGCAATACTAGTCACTTTCAGGCCCCGACTTAATCAAGTCATGCCATTGAGTCATTTTAGGGTCAAATATCCTATAACAGACCAAATCTTTCTTATCGAGTCGGGCCATTTTGGCAACCCTAATTAGGAAACAAGATTTAAAAAAAACCCTATCAACCGTTATACCTAATTCAAGGACGTTTAAGGATGAAACTTTTGTGATTTTTAAAATAGTGAAAAAAGAGAAAAATGGGAGAACGAAAAAAATTGAAAATTGACTAGGCCCTATTCTAATGAAGAAATTTTTAAATTCAAAAATATATTTACTTGTAGACAGCAACATGTACAGCTAAAGATGTGTCTTCTGCCACTTTCCTAATAGCCTTTGAAGCCTTTTCTTCACGAGTCAATTTTCTACTTCGATTTTCATCAATATGCTTTTGTTCTCGTTCAGCCATTTGTTTTCGAACAACTGCCTCCATTTTTGTTGGATCTTGAATAGCATCAGTCCCTAGGACGCGCATAAGGTTGCTTATTTTTAATTTTGGTTCTGGAGGTTTGTCAAGTCCTAGTCGAATTTTTTCAGTTTTTTCTTTTATGGCTTCTCGACGATTTTGACGGCGCAATTTTTTTCGTTCCTTCTTCGTTAAACTTGCCTAAAAACAAAAAAAATTCGACATTTATCCAGTCGAAAATAAACCTTTAGGTATTGAGGTTGGACAGGTTCGTCAGGTGGCTTCAATTGTATAGGATGTTCAACTAAATCGGTGATTGTGTCAGCATATCGATCCAATGGAGCAATATCCACAACTGAGGGAATGTTTTCATATCTAGAAATAGAAATTTTTTCAAATTAATAAAAATACAAACCTTTTTCCGTTTCCTAGAACAACCTCATCCCACCATTCAACTTCAGGAATATATTCACCAGTACTCGTTTCAGGCAATCCACTCGGCGTAACAATAGCCAATTTGACAGCCGAAGAAATGCCAGTCTGCTTGGCCGCCTTTTCAATTTCTGACTGAAACCCAATTTCAATTAAATTATTTTATATTTTTAACCAAACCTGAAGCTTTTCAAGCTTAGCTTTAGATCGCTGCATTTTGGCCATTTTTTCATATTCACCAGGCTGTTTAAAGTCAAAATGACGTCGTTTACGCAATGCCGGTTTTAGATAAAGACGAGGATCCTGAAAATCAACAACAGGTCCAGTACTTGAATCAGGCTCAGCCTCGATAGTTTTCTTCAAAATGGGCGTTGTTTGTGCATTTTTCTCCTAAATAAAGAAATAATTAAAAGAAAAAATTTTTATAAAAAAGAATTTTCTATTTAGTCCCTCAGACAAGTGTGGATGAACCAACTCGTCATGAAACTCTCAGAGTGGTGCATGGATTAGCTCTCTTCACTGGGAGTAAATAGAAAATGTAGAGAAATGCAACCAAGCCACTTAACCACAAATACAATTAACGTAACTCTTTCCAATTTCTTTTCATACTCTATCACATGGGGTCAAACTTTCATCTTTTAGCCCCCAAACTTTTTCATAAAGTTTCATGGGTATTTTCTAAACAATTTTGGGGTATTCAAAAAGGACGTTATTTTAATCAATTTTAGAATTAAAAGAAAAACCTCAAAATTCGCTTCTTCCTTTTTGACAGGCTTCAATTTCGATTGTTGTTCAGAAAGTATACCCCATTTATTATCAGAAGCCATAGACTCAAGAACAAGTGATGGAGTCTTCACATTCACGTTAGAAAGGCTTTTAGCCAATTTCGTTTTCATCTTAAATTTATTCGAATTTTAACAGAAAAAATTTTTTTCTAAACCTCATTAAGTCGCTGTACTTTTTCCATGTGTAATTGTGCAAATGCAATAGCTTCATCTGGCCTTAATACCGTTTCGTTGAATTTATCAGATTTTGCAGATAATTGATGTAATGGAAGACCCAATCCCTTCATTCGCTCTTGAATTTGCATCTTTGCTTCATAAACAAATTCTTTGGTTTTGAGCTCCTCCGCCAACGTTTCTTTTGATTTTTCGGCTTTAGGGGTAAATACTTCTTTTGACTTTTCTGACCTATGCCTGTCACTTCTGTCACTATCTCTCCTGCCATTAGTCACGTCTGATCTGCCACGCTTCTTCGGAATTTCATTTGAACGACGAGATGAACTAGACATTTCCTGCAAAATTTAAATGTTTAAAATCCTTCCTTATAAATTGGGAAAAAATTCAGAAATATTTTTTGCTCGTAAAAGATGCTTAACAAAATTTAATCCTAACAATAAATTAACTTTAAATAAAAAACCTCAATTTAATGTTTCAGCAGTTATTTGTTGTTAAGAATTGTTGCTTGCTAACTGTAATTTTACCAAGTTTAAAATAAAAAATCAGTCAAAAGTTTATTTAATCTGAAAAATTAAAAGAATAAATATACAAAAATAAACTTGACATAACTAATATTCAGGGAAAAAGTAAGAGTTGTTGTACGTAGAGTTTCGTGTGGAATTTTTAATTCGGGGAGATTTCCCTTAAAATGTATGAGACTAACAGGAGCAAAACTCCAAATATTTTAGATCCACTAAAGCCAAATATAAATAAACTGACAATTTACAACTCAAAAATTAAATATATTAGACATTTGAGTCATTTTTAATTGACTTATGCTAAACATTTCTAGAGAAAACCTCAAATTCCTTACTCGAAAATTAATTAAATGTTGGCGTCTGAATCGTGTAAGGAAAATATTAATGCCAAATTGAATAAGAAAACTACGGATTAAATCCGATTCAAAGATAAATAAAAAAATAATATTGATATATTTATGAATTAAATTATGATTAAATTATATTTAAATTAATTGCATATACGAAAGATTTTAATTATAGAATATCGGACCTCACTTATAGATAAACCCAATACAAGACACCCCGATTAGAGATGTATTTTCAAAGTTTGATTGACCATTTGAGCAGGGTAAGCCGTCTTGATTGACCGCTGGGCAGAGGAAAGCTATGTCCAAGACTGAGGAAACACTCAATTTAAGAGTGTATCCCCTTGTCTCAAGCCTCTATGTATAAGCGAAGTCCGATTAATTAAATATATAAAATTATTTAGAAAATATATAAAAAATATTTGCTTGAGGATTCCCTATAAATTAGAATAATACCTATTATATTAAGAATAAATTAAAATTAAAAATGTAAAATTGTCAATTGGATAGGCCAACATATACATTAATTAATTACTAGGCCTTAGTGTATCGGTGAGGCTATAAGAGAGCAAGTATGGGCACTCTCGCTGTTAAAACTGTGATCCAAAGCATGCAGAAACACAAATTGTGCAGGCTCAGACTTGACAGGTGGAGCAACATTGGAAGTGTCAGAAACAACTTGAACTAAATTTGAAGGGAATTGCATGGGGGATAGACTAAAGAAAATTTTTTGCCACCCAACACCAGTGATGCGGAGTTCCAAAATTTTGGCGGTTCCGGTTCTGGAACCGGTTTTAAACCGGTTCATGACATTTATCGGTTCCAGACCTCTACCTGGTTCCAGTTACAAACCGGTTCCATACATTTATCGGTTCTTCCAGTTCAGGAACTGGAACCCCCGCATCACTAATTGACACCACTCTTTTAAAAATAAATTAAAACATAATATACCGCCAGTTTTGTCATCTTCATGATTCTCTCCAACCGCTGGTGGAGTATAATATGGACCGCCATAGAAGTTGCTAAAGAAATCCTTACTCGGCCAATTCAAAGTTTTGTCGTCGACTGAGTAGAGCGGATAAAAAAGTTTTGAATCGGAGAAGACAGTATACTAAAAAAAATTTTTTTAATTTGACGCTTAAGAAATTCAAAAAAATCAAACCGGAATTAAAAACTTTGTAAACTTCATAAAGTCATAATTAACTGTTTGCACAGATCTCTTAAAACCCAAAAGAGTAGAGCGAACCATATAAAGACCATTAAGACAAAATTCAAAAGAACGAAGAGTGACTTTGTATTGCGTTGGAGAAGAAGATTCAGGATTATATATTGTTGTGTGAACAAGCAGATCCCTTTGCCAATCATCCAATTGTTGTTGTTTAATTGTTGGAACAACTCCTGGAGGCATGTAGAAAGTAATTTGAAGCATAGAAAGTCCCTAAAATGAATACGAATTAGCAAGGGCGTACCAGTGGACTTCTGGGGCTAAAGCCCCCCTCGCCTGAGATCGACACCCTAGCTATGCCCTTGGGAATTGGATTGTCTGGATAAAATTTTGATAAGGTGGGCCAGCCTTTTTGGGTTCTAGAGGACAGACAAAAATATAGCCTTTACTAAATTTCAAAAATTACCGTAAGATATTTGCCAGCCTGAAGAATTCCACTCATTGACGTCCCCTTAATAAAATAAGTAGGTGGCTGAATAGCATACTTTTCCTTGGGAGGATAGAAGATGCGACAACCTAAAAAATAAATTACAAAACAAAATAAATCAAAAAATAACCAGTCTGTTCAGCAATATTGCCAATAAGACGGTGACTAAGCTCAATATTCCAAGGATTAATAAGTGGAAGCAACGCAATACCAAAAGTCAACAAATCGTTTGAAGGATTCTTCTTGCCCTGTTTGAGTTGGAAATTTTCATTGAAGAATTCTACGAGAAGTTCTTCATTGCGCCACTCAGTTTTCAGCACCCCATTGGTAAGGTCATCGGAGACATTAAAACGAATAGGCAACGATTGCTCGTTGATTTTATCCTCTATGCGTGAAACAAATTGACGCGGATTAGAAGCCTCAATCTGGACAATAACACGAATTGGAGTGCGCAACTAAAAATAAAAAGAATAAATAAGAAAAATTAAAAGGGAAACATTACACGAATCTGTGAACGAATTTCCTCAACATTCTTCATTGAACCGCTAATCAAAACGTTGTTCAATTTGAGTCCATCAGGTCGAGTATTAGTATCAGGAAAGTGTAGCAATGATTTGTAACGTGTCATGAAGTACTAAATTTTAGTTAACTGGTAAGATACGTTAAAATATAGTAAAGCAGTTAGGCTATAGCTATCTGTACCCTTTAGCTAGTACAAAAGGTTAATTGGTGGCATCTTCAGTAGACCGGACTGATGTGTTACATTTACACCACGCCTACTGCATAGCCTTAGGGATTAAATAGCTATATGCTTTACAATACGACAGGTCTCTTCAGAAAACGAGACACTAGTTAAAGGTCTCAAAGGGTAACATAACATTCTACCATGGGACAGGACGCGACGCCTGATTTTCCACAAGACGCTCTTTAGTAATTTTAGATTAAAGAAGCTAGAGCCTCATTAAAACCCCAAAACCATCACGGGTGAATTCCAAAAATTATAACAAACGAACCTGGCTTTTCCTTCCACGAGGTCCAATTAGATAAGGATGATCAAGAAAAGGAACATCCATACAAAGTTGCAGACAATCAACCTAAAATAGACATCCTTAATTAAAATAGAAAAATGATTCTTACATTCTTTGGGTCAATGTTAAGTTTGTTCATTAAACCACTCCTAGGTGAAAAGCGAATCATATCAGCATTTGGACTATTAAATTTCTGCTGAGGTCGACGTTGGCTAGGAGTGCTAGGGGGCATATTCAGTCGTTTATTTATAAATAAAATTGTTGTTTAAAAATAAGAAAGAAATTAGAATATAAGGTTAGAAACCCTTAAAACAAATAAGAATAAAATAAAAAATATCAAAAAATTAAATAATTATAGAAGTGTCATCAACTTATTGAAAAATAAACTAAATAGTAAAATGAAAAAGGAATAAATAAAAGTTCGTTTATGAAGAATTTTTAATCATTGAAGAATATTTAAAAAACATTTTACCAAAACTTTTTTATAAATTACGCCAAAAAGCGATATTTCAACGTTACCACAACATTTTGAACCTTCTCGCAAAAATGAAGAAGCAAGATGATCAATAGCGGAAAAAGTTACCTCAAGAACTAAAAAGAGATAAAAAGCACTCCATCTATTGTGCAAATTAGTACAAAAAGTCTGAATGAGGTCACAAAAAACGAAAGACCTGACTCAATAAAATCCAATTCTAAAAAACTTCGAAAACTCTAAAAATAAAAGTTTTTGGGGGTTTTCATTATCCACAAATCATTTAAAAATTGATCTTTATTTTCTTCAAAGAAATTCACTGGGATTATTAACCCTTTTAAAAAATACAAAATAAAATTCTCATTCAACTAAATTTATTCCTGAACACGACAAAAAGTAGAATTAAAAACAACTATCGGTTAAATAATTAGAAAAACACAAAGAATGTCGGCACATCTTTATTTTATAAATTGCCTCATATTTACTCATCTTCAACTTATTTATAGTCAACAGAAAACAACAATTCATTGTGCATATTCGAGACCAACTCCAAACCTTTTAAATTTAAAATTTTTAGATTTCTAGATTTAATTCTAAGAAAATACTTGTTCGAAGTGTCAGGCAATCCAGCAAGTCCAAATTGAGATGTAAAAGTCAACTTAACAGTCGAACTCAAGTTATGAGTTGCAGCAACGGTCACTTGAGATCTAAGGGAAAATATTAACAATTAAAATTCATTGACTAAAACAAACTGGTGATCGACTTTAGCGCGCAGACACAAATCCGGATTTACTTGATATTTAGAAGCAAGGCTCCATTGATTATTCTCTTCCTTCAATTTCCACATATATTGCACTCCAAACTCAAAATTCTTGTGGACTTTATGGTAAAGACTGAAATTAAAAAAAAAGGTAAAATTGAAGTTATACCCCCTACTTTTTCCTTCCTCAAAGTATTAAAAATAGTCAGAATATCATTTTCGGCACCGAAGGCGCCAAAAAATTTAATTTTTGCGCTGCAGTCGAAAATTTTGGAAGGCCGAAGGCACAAAAAATTCACTTTTTGCTCATTCCCCGGTACTTATGAAGATGGAGGTGCCCTTTCTGCGGACTTTTTTTGCGGACTTTTCTTCCTTTCTTTCTAAATGTTTTGGTTGTTTTGCTTTCAGCAAGTTTTGCTCGTAGCAATTAACTGTCAAAGGATTATTTTTTATGCCAATTTGAAAAATATGTGTTCACGATTAATTTGAATATATAAATATATAAATATTCATAATGTTATACACCAAATCAATTTTATTTAATTCTTTTTTTGTTTAAATTGTTTTCGAAGGCAAAAAATAAGTGTATGACTATAAAATTAATCTTCTCTTCATCAATGTCTCTTGTTTGAATTTGCCACAGGGCAAATAGAGGAAGGAGAGGAAGAAGAAAATCTGACCTTTATGTACAATCTTAGGTAAGAAGAATAATGGGGGAGTGGCGTTGACAGTTAGTTGCTACAAGTAAAACATTTAAAAGAAGGGAAGAAAAGTCCGCAAAAAAAGTCCGCAGAAAGGGCACCTCCATCTTCATAAGTACCCATTCCCCTGCTCAACTTTTTTCCTTTTCCCAATTTCGGGGAACGGGGGAGGAAATCCACATCCTTTACCTACTGCCTGGGTATACGAACCTCAATTTTATCAAAAAATTCTCATAAAAATGTAAAATAAAAAACCTTCCACCAAATTCGTTCCCATCATTCGTATAGGTATGCAAAGCATAATCAGAAGTTTGGTGAAGAAAAGCAAGAGAAGTAGCTTTGAGTTCATTTGCTTGAAGATCATACTTTGCTTTGGCACCAGCCAGCCAGTCCTTATAAACCTTGCTAACACCAAAAACTTCCAAAACAGGAGCGCCAACCAAAGAAAGATTTGCGTTTAATCTGACCATCTCACCCGAGAAGTCAGTCTTCACGAGACATTCACGCTTTCCAGAATTTGGAGTATATTTGGTGTCAATAGTCACTTTCAGACCTTTAGCCAGTTGGTTGTTCAACTCCAAAATAGATCCGAGTTGATTGGCAGTGTTCAATGACTCGGTTATAGTTGTACCTTAAAACAGATGGAGAACTTGACAAAAAAAAATCTAAAAACGCCCACCATATTCAGGAATCTTGTATTTAACTTCCAATTTGTTCTTGATCTTTTGAGTCGAAAGATTGTGTTCGCCTTCACTTTTGAACTCGACATTAGGTCCAGATTTCGATTTCACATCCAATTTAAGAAGTCCATGAGCTTAAAATTAAAAATATATTTAACTAATTTTCATGAAAACAAACTATATCCTTTGGTGAATAAATCCTTAGTTGACTTTCCAAAATCCGTGAATTGCGGTGGTGCCATAACACTATTTAAAATAAAGAAGTATTCACTAAATAAATTAGAAAATTTGATTAATTAAATTAAAAAAAGCCGTAAAAAGGAATGAATAAACAATTTTGGACATTAATAAGTTACCATTACGAAAGTTACCAAATCGAATGAAATGTCATTTTGTTAAAAAGCTTTTTTTCTTTTAACCAAATTTTGTTTTACCAAACGGACTGAGAGAAAATTTTTTGTTTTAGCGCATTTCTTTTATTTTAATTTTTAGTTAGATTTTTGTTTTTTTTTTAAATATCCTTTCATAGATCCACTAATATAATTTCACTAACACGACTTAATGCTATTTGGGAATGATTTCCGATGAACAACTAGAAAAATTCACAACAATCGCACAAATTGGCAATGGTTCATTTGGTAAATGTTTTTTATGTGAACGCTGTTCTGATGGGGAGCAAGTCGTTCTGAAGAAAATAATGTTGAATGAAGATGCCAAGTGTGAGCTTTTTTTAAATTTCCTTAAATTAATTACTCATATTTTAGTTGAAGCCTTCCTAATTAGCCAAATCAACCATGAAAATGTTGTCAAAACCTTTGAGAGCTACGTAAGCCACAGAAGCGTCTACATAGTTATGGAATATATGTCTGGTGGAACTCTTCACGAACTCATCAAGCAACCAGGAAAGCCTTTGGAGGACAGAATTGTTCTCAATTATACATCACAAATTGCTTCAGCTCTTAGGTACATCCATCAAGAGCATCGAATTATTCACAGAGATGTGAGTTTTTGGGGTTAAGCAACCTTTTTAAAGCTATTTTTCCAATTCTTTATTTTTAAGGTAAAGCCCAGTAATGTTCTACTTACTGATCACAAACACCTTGATCACAAAACGCTGAAACTTTGCGATTTTGGAATCGCTTTGAAACTTGAATCCGGACAAAGATTAAAAGGCAAAATTGGCGCTCCTGGCACACTTAATTACTTGGCACCTGAAATACTTGGAGGTAAACTTTAAATTTAATAGGTAGTTTTGAATCTTGGCCTTTTTCCCTTAAACGTCACATACTTGTTTTCTTCCTTTCCTAACTTTACTCTTGCCCTATGGCATTCTCAATTGAGAGACAATGATCAAAAAGGCATCATTTTTTAAAAATGTGACGCTCTTTTATATTTTCTACGTCAAATTACTAATCTTTGATTGTCTGATTGAATGGGAAATAGAAAGAATTGCCCAATTTCATTGTTTGAAATTTAAAATATTTTTAAAACTTTAAGCCTGTGAGTACGACTTCAAAGCAGATATTTGGTCGTTAGGCTGTGTTGTTTTTGAAATGATTGAAAGAGAAAAAGCTTTTCCTGGTGTGCAAGAATTGGCAGTTTTCCACAAAATTTGCAATGTAAACTTTTAAATAATTTGAGTTATTCATTTCATTTTTAGAGAATCGTTGCCATTCCAGAAGATTCAAAACTATGTTTTTTAATTAATGTATTGCTCGAGCCAAAACAAGAGAAAAGACCGTCGGCAGAAGGTTTTTTTGTTATTTTCAAAATATTGTTTAATTTTAATTTTTCTTTCAAGAAGTTCTTACTCTTTTGGAGAATATGGCTTTAATTGAGGAATGTACAAATGATGGAAGCCGATGGTGGAATTTTAGCTTTTGGCCGAAAGGTAAAAGAATTTATCATTTGAAATAAAAAAAAGGAATTAGGAAATATGTATTGTGTGTACATATAAGTATAAGTAATTTTCTTACAATTAACTAATCCCTCAACATCAAAACCTCTCCTTAAATTTTAACGCAGTTTTAACATTTTCTGTAAATATCCCTAGAGAGTTTTAACTCGTTTTCCTCATTTTTATAGGAAAGAATCTCCTGGATTCTCTCTGATTTTTCTGTTTTTTTCCACCCATAAGTAAATTGTTGTTTTAATTCTATAGTCAATATTCGTGTGTTATTTAGTCAATATTCATTAAAATTCTGCGACAATTTTTAAATATTTTTTTGATTAAAAAATATTTGGAGGTTTTGATGTTGAATTAATTCCCATTAGTAATTTTTCATATTTACATTATTGTACATTTAAGGCGTTAATTTTCATAATTCGGTTACATCCCCTTTATTTAGAAATTTTAACCCCAAAAATTAGCACACTTATGCGCTTTTATCTTGACAACCAACCTTATTAAAAGTTTTAGACAATTCTCGGTTGTCATTTTTGAATCAAACTATTTTTGATTAACTTAATAATAATAAGACAATTTTAGCTTAATCAAATTTAAAAAATAATGCTTAATACTTGCCGATTAACCTAAATCGTAAAAATTTCAGAGGATCTTTCCTTTCCATCTTGGTTTTTCTTTTTTTGTTTTGCTTTTGGCACATGAATGTTTAAAGGAGGCGTATAAAATAAAATGGAACAATTAAGATTATTTCCCTAGCTAAATTATATTAAACTCATTTAACCGAAAAAGAGTTTCACAGTCAACTAAAGACCGACCAAGAGAATCGATCTTCGAGTTTGTTAGTTAAAATTCCTTTGAAAACTTGATTGGCCCAGTCTTTAGTCACTTTCTCTCTGTATTGTTTTCGGGGAAATTAAATTTTGTAAGGATATAGTGGTCTTCTGTCCGTTACGTTTTTAGTTCCACACGCTAAAAATTGAGATTTCAAGTGTCTGAAAAGAATAAAACCGCACCATAAAAGGCGAATACTCAAAACTTCAAAACATCAAGACCTCTCTATTCCCACAATAAAAAATGGCGCATTTGCCAAAATTCTTCAATCAGGAGATGGTAAAGATACGCCCAAGCAAACAACAGGAACGTCAACGTCCTTCTGCTCTCAGCATCAACAAGAAATCGTGATGCACATAAAGAATCACCAGCAGCAACAAATGAAAGAGAAGAACCAAGGGAGGCCCGTGGGAGGGCTTATGGCAAGAAGATCTATTGGTAAATTTACAACATTTTGGAATCAATTTCTTTTGAAGCTTTTTCGGGAGTTTACAAAGTTGAGGAAAGCAAAAGTGGATTTTTATTTAAATTCATTTTTTCCTTTTGAATTTCCAGTGAAAGTATAAGCTACAAAGTGTTGGATTACTTGTCCCGTGGAGCTTTTTCATCAGTGTATAAAGTAGTGGATAGCAAGGACGGCTCAATGTTTGCAGTAAAAGAAGAACAATCAAAGCCAAATTGTCAATTTAATCTGCTCAAGGAGATAGCAATTTTGGAAGCAGTGAAAAGTGCAACAGAAGAGGATCAAAAGCGATTTGCAGTTTTGCATGCAAAATGTAACTTGAATACTTCAATGCTTTTTGTAATGACTGTTTGGCGAGTCACTCTCTTCATTGAAACGTATGGCGAGTCTCAAACGTTTCAATGAAGAGAGTGACTCGCCAAACAGTCATTACAAAAAGCATTGAAGTATTCAAGTTACATTTTGCATGCAAAACTGCAAATCGCTTTTGATCCTCTTCTGTTGCACTTTTCACTGCTTCCAAAATTGCTATCTCCTTGAGCAGATTAAATTGACAATTTGGCTTTGATTGTTCTTCTTTTACTGCAAACATTGAGCCGTCCTTGCTATCCACTACTTTATACACTGATGAAAAAGCTCCACGGGACAAGTAATCCAACACTTAGTAGCTTATACTTTCACTGGAAATTCAAAAGGAAAAAATGAATTTAAATAAAAATCCACTTTTGCTTTCCTCAACTTTGTAAACTCCCGAAAAAGCTTCAAAAGAAATTGATTCCAAAATGTTGTAAATTTACCAATAGATCTTCTTGCCATAAGCCCTCCCACGGGCCTCCCTTGGTTCTTCTCTTTCATTTGTTGCTGCTGGTGATTCTTTATGTGCATCACGATTTCTTGTTGATGCTGAGTAGCAGAAGGACGTTGACGTTCCTGTTGTTTGCTTGGGCGTATCTTTACCATCTCCTGATTGAAGAATTTTGGCAAATGCGCCATTTTTTATTGTGGGAATAGAGAGGTCTTGATGTTTTGAAGTTTTGAGTATTCGCCTTTTATGGTGCGGTTTTATTCTTTTCAGACACTTGAAATCTCAATTTTTAGCGTGTGGAACTAAAAACGTAACGGACAGAAGACCACTATATCCTTACAAAATTTAATTTCCCCGAAAACAATACAGATAAAGATAGGATCAATCATGTTTTCAAAGGATTTTTAAGCTTAAAACTCGAGGATCGATGCTCTTGGTAGGTCCTTAGTTGATTATGAAACTCTTCTTCGGTTAACTGAGCTTAATATAATTTAGCTAGTTAAATAATTTTAATTGTTCCATTAAATAATAATTCTAATTGTTCCTCCTTTTAATTATTCATGTGCCAAAAGTAAAACAAAAGAAAGAAAAAACAAGATGGAAAGCTCCGTTGAAAGTTTTACGATATTTAGGTTAATCGACAAGTATCAAGTATTATTTTTTAAATTTGATTAAGCTAAGATTGTTTTATTATTAAGTTAATGGCAATAATTTAAAAAAATGTTGGTTGTCAAGTTTATTTTATAATTGTTTTAACTAAAAGATTAAAAATTAAATCTACTTCCCCTCCTAATTTTTTTTATTTTTTAAAGAGGTTTAAATAAATATTTTTAATTTTTATTTTTTAATTTAATTTGACAAAGCTTTATTTTTTTGAACAACAAAATAATTATTTAAAAATTAATTAAAAATTAAGGAAATTATTTAAAAATAGAAATATCTCCTTTTTGTTCCTAAATTCCACGTGATTTTTTTCCAGGCAGTTTATGAAACATCTGCTAAAATATATTAAAATTTAATCTTTCTTTTTTGCTTATTTTATTTTCCAATTTAACTGATCGAACAATCCCTTTGGGACAAATTTAATTTTTTTTATCAAAAAATGCCATTCTTTTCATTAATAAAATATGTAGAAGGAAATATCTATTACCACTCATTGCCATGCTTTTTCCATTAATTTAGCATCTGGAGAAGAAAAACAAAAAATAATAAAAAGGGTTCCAAAAAGAAAAGTCGCCTGACTAAAAAGAAAAACCGCTAAAACACAACGAGGGAGAAAGACAGCTGCTTGAATTTGAGGTTTTTTAGGGGCAGATGAGAGAGAAGGAAAAGGGGTTTTTTGTGGCTGCACATATAAGCTGTCACTCGTTTCAAGCCGCATTTTGAATCGATTCCTTTTTATCACAAGTCTGGAAGAGAAATGAGAAAATGTGTGAGAAATATGGGGGGTTAATAAAGGATGGGACATTTGTGCGTGTGTTTGGTTCAGGAATAAATAAAAAAAGGGAGGGGGAACATATTTTGAAAGAAGCCTGCTTTACCTCCCCTTCCAACCTTTTTTTATCTCCCCCGCAAGGCTCTGAACCATATATTTCCTATATTTTTTATTGAGATAAAAAAGAGAAGAAGCTGGCAATGCTTCTTCTTCTTCTAGTCTATGAAATTCAACCCCTCGTTTACTCATTCAAAGCAATATATTTACGGTCAACAAACTCAATTTCTTGAATTCATTTTGTGCCTTATTTTTTATTTTGATAAAAAGGCAACCCAAAAGTTAATTCTAAATATTAAATTACTTTTTTGACATTAATAAAAAATATTTTTTTTTCTACTTCCTGAATTTACTTTAAAAATAATAATTTTTATTTATTGAAATTTAATGTTAAAAATGTTTTTGTTTAAATATTTATGATGTTTGGGATAATGTTTAAAATTGTTTTGTTTGTGTTGTTTGTTTTAAATGTTTTGTTTGAAATGTTTGTTTGAATTGTTTTGTTTCAATTTGTTTTGTTTGAATTGTTTTTTTAAATTTGTTTTGTTTTAAATTTGTTTTGTTTGGATTGTTTTGTTTGGATTGTTTTTTTGTTTGTTTGTTTGAAATGTTTTGTTTGAATTGTTTGTTTGTTTTAGATGTTTTGTTTAAATTGTTTTGTTTAAATTTGTTTTGTTTCAAATGTTTGTTTGTTTAACTTCCGCAACAAACAAACATTCTAAAAACATAAACATTTATAAGAAAAACATGCTAAAATGTTTCTTTTGTTTTATCAATGTTTCAGGTGATGTTTGAGATGTTGTTTGTTATAATTATTCTATTGTTTTAATTTATTCATTTCTTCCGTTTATTTATGCAAAAACATAAGCAAACATTTAAGAAAAGAAAACGAAAAAACATTAAAAATTAAGGATGTATTTTATAAATGATGTTTGTGTGAAAATAGTGTATTTACATAATTTTTAATTTAAAATGAGAAACTTCCGGAAAGAAAACACGGAAAGTGTTTTTATTAAATATTGTTTTTCTGTCTGAGTTTTTGACAGCTAATTTAAATTAAATTTGGTTTTAAAGGATAAAGAGTTGTTTTTAATTTAAACTAATCCTATTTAAAATTAATTTTTTTTTAAATTTAATTGCATTTTTAAGGCTATTCAAGGCTTCTTTTGTCTCTATATTTTTATGTTTCGGTGTGTATTTTGTATTCTTGTTTATTTTAGGGTTTTCTATTTTTACTTTATTATTATTTTTTGTTTATATTTTCATTTTTATATTTTATTTATTTATTTTCCCATTATTTAAAATTAATTTAATAATTTATTTAAAGAATTAAAGAACCTCCCACCATAAACAATAATTATTTAATATTTTTATTCAAATGTTTTATTCTTCTTTTTCCCCAAACATTCTTCACAACAAATAAAACAAACACTAAAAACATCAATAAAAACATGAATATGTTCAAAACATCAATAAACGAACAACAACAACAAAAACATTTATTACCTCAACAACAACAACATGTTTTAATTAAAAATACCCCAATGTTTTTACAAACATTAAATAATTCTTTTACTGAAACAAAACAATTAGAACAACAACAACAACAATTTGTTTGTTCTCTAGGAGTTCATGTTTCTATATGGCCTTCCTGCCTTCTTTTAAGCGAGGCATTTATTAATGTTGCGTTTATTTCCGTTGTTATGTTGGTATGTTTTTGTTTGTTTTTCTAATTAAATTTATTAATAAAAACAGGAAAGGGGGAAGGAAAAGGGAAGGAAATTAAATTAAAAATTATATATTAAATAAAATTAAACAGAAACTTTTTGAGTAAAAAAAATTTTTTTTTCTGAAAATTTTCAAAAAATTTTTTCTGAAATTTAAAATTTTTTTCCAAAAATTAAAAAAATTTTTTTAAATAAGAAAACATTTTTTCTTCTCCAAGGTAATTGTACTTGGTAATTTAATGGTAGTACTAACAGTCAAGTTTGACTCCAAACTGCGAGCTCAACGACAAAATTGGCTTATTGTTTCACTGTAAAATCCTCTAGAAAATTATTAATTAAATTAAAAAAATATTTTTTAGTGCTGTCGCCGATTTTTTAGTTGGATTATTAGTCATGCCATTAACTTTGCTTTATGAAATTATTGGGGTTTGGATTTTAGGTGGGCCTAAAAAATTAAAAAAAATAATTTCTTGGGAAATTCAAGGAGGCTTTCTCTGTGAATTATGGCTAGCTTTGGATGTTCTTTTTGTTACTGTAAGAAAGAAAAAAATTTTTTTCAAAAATTTTTTTAAATTAAAAAGGCCTCAATACTCCATATCTGCATTATTTCACTTGATCGGTACTGGTCAGTAACACAACCCTTAACTTACCCAATTAAAAGAACACCAACTAGAATATGTGTAATGATAGGTAAATTTATTTTAAGAATATTTTTAAAAATCTCTAGAAAATTTTTCTGTTAATTCTTTAAAAATGACAAAATTCCAAGTCTTTTTTATCCCAAAAAATATAGAGGTGACTGAAATAATTACTAAATCTTTATGAAAATCATTACTAAAATCGTCTTATAATTCCCTTATAATCTAATTTTATTATAAGAATTCACCTTATTATAAAGACATGCCTTTTTTCAATCCAAAAGGGTATATTTTATAAATATTAGAGTTTGGCCTGGGTCTGAACCAAGGCCCGGGGTTTTCCTGTACTCAGAGTCCAGGCCCAGGCATTTTTTGACCTTTTTGGGGTTTTCCTGTACTACAGGCCCAGGATCCGGCCCAGGTCAATAAATCAAACCCGGAACTCAGGAACAGGCCCAGGCTTTTCAAAAATACTGATCTCTAGTAAATATATACTTTATTTTAAATTTTGTCCGAATTTCGAATTTTTAGGAATTAAAAAAGAATTTTTTTTTGAAATTAGAAATTTTATCTTCTCTTTAATTTATTTTTTTTAATTTTACGAAGACATCATTTTTTATATCTTTTGGGGCCGTTCTTTTATATTTTTAATATCCACTTTACTTTTCTCTCTAGAGGCCCGTTGTACTTTGTACATACTTAAAAAACTTTAAAAAATACAATTTAAGAAATTTAATATTTTTTTTCTAAACTTTATCAGGTGTGGCCTGGTTGGTTTCTTTTTTAATAAGTTTTCCTCCACTTCTTGGATGGCGTCCCCAAAGGGTTTGTAGAGAATATTTTTTAATTAAAATAAAAGTGTTTCTTTGTGAAAAAATAATAAAAATTCTGGAAATACTCGGAAAAACCCGGAACCCCGAAAAACCGGATTTCAACAAAATACCCGGTTTCCGAGCTACCGGGTATGGGAACCGGGCCCGGTGCATTTTTTATATTTTAGATGGCCACTAGGAAGGGTTGGATGGAGGGACCCTAGAAGCTATTCTTGCAGTTATCACTAGAGGGTAGTGATGTTCGGGAGAAGAAAAAACTCGGGAATCGGGAAACGGGAGTCGGGTCGGGAAATGACCTCGGGAGTCGGGATCGGGAGTCGGGAATTTTCAATTAAAAAAATTTAAAAAATTTTTGGCGCCTTCGGCGCCAAAAATTCTGATTTTTTCGTTGCAGGCGTGAATTTTAAGAATTTTTGAAGGTTAGAAAGCCAGAATTGTTCCATTTTTTGCGCCGCTCTCTCTCTCTCTATTCCCTTAATTAATTTTCAACATTTCTTAATTAATTTTCAACGCCGCAGGCAGAAATCTTGATAATCATGGAGGTCAAGAAGCCACATTTCATCCATTTTGGCCGCTTGGCAAAAAAAGCATTCTAAATTCCCAAAATTATCGCAAAAAAATTATCCAAAATTATTCCAAAATTATTCTAAATTCCCAAAATTACCTCGTCTCTGGTATTAAAATATTGCATCCATGGAAGGATATAGAGCGATTAGAAGTGATTAAGGAGCATTGAATATAATGGAAGGGAAGGGTTTTTTAAGAGGAGGGTATTGCTGAGATTGGCTAATTAAATTTTAAAGACCTCTCAATCTCACATCATTTGTCTGCGCCGCAGGCGAAAATTTTCGAAAATTCATGACTATATTAATTTTTCCAGTTTTCTCAAGTTTACTAGTATTAAAAAAATAAATTCACAATTTAAAAATTAAAATCAATGTTAAAAATATTTATTTTTGGAAAAGAAAAATTATTTAACTCACATTTCCCAACCACGGATTCGAACCCATCCCCATAAAATATCACATTGAGCGTAAAGTCATCAACCTAACCACTCAACCATCGCTCAACGAAAGACGTTTGGAATAAAAATTTAAATATTTTTCACCTTTTCCTTTTTCTTTTTTTATTTTCCTTTCCCTTTTTTTATTTTTTTTCAGTTTAAAAATAAAATTTTATCAGAAAAAGTCATTCTTAGGGGTGTAAAAATTTCCCGACTTAGTCGGGAATTGACATCGGGAGTCGGGGTCGGGATCGGGAGGCCAAAAACTCGGGAAATTTCCCGAGTCGGGTGTCGGGAGTCGGGATACCCGAACATCACTACTAGAGGGGTCGGTCAAAGAACCGATGAACTGAGGAACTTTTTTTTAAAAATTTTTCAAAAAACGACAGCCCTAGTTATCATTATAAGATAACCTCTATGTATTCGGTATAATCCGCATTATTTTGTAACCAAAAACTTGAAAAAATACAACAGGGATTATTATTATAATGAGGCCGATTTAATAAAAATTTCAAAAAACTCTTTCAAAAAACATCCAAAAATCTTTAAATTTTTAAGAGCCCAGGAGAATGTTCAGTATCATCAGAATTGGACTACGTCCTATACTCCTCCCTAGGCTCTTTTTATATTCCTATAGCAGTTTTGGTAATGGTCTATTGGAGGATTTATGCAATAACTAAAAGACATAGTCAGCAAAGATTGAAAGATACCCAAAGAATGGATGAAACGCTTTACTCAATGACTGGGGGATCGACAAAAATAAATGGAAAATTGGAAGAATTTAAAGAAAAAAATAATTTGGAAAATTTAAATAATTTATCTATGGAATCTGATGTTAATTCTGTTTGTGCTAAAACAATTAAAGAAGAAGAAAAGGATGAAGGGGTAGGTGTTGGAAATTTGTGGAAAAATTTTTTTCTTGAAAATTTTAAAAATTGAAAAAATCCGAAGATTAAGGGAGACCTTTACCCAATTATAATCATCCATCTAACCCGTCCATGGTTTATTTCTTCCAAATTTTCAGAGGAATAATAGGAGCTTGTAGAAGATAAATACGAAAAACCAAGAGTAGATTTATAACTTATATTATATTATATTATAACTCCTTGAAAATTTAATTGACTTGGTAGAAGGGTGTTCATTAAGTATATGTAGCAGTGTGCCGAAACAGGTTTTAAGAAGCGCAACATGAAAAGTGAAAGTCCAAAAAAGGCGAAAATATGGCGAAAGATGAAAGCACCCCCTTGAAGGGATAGTGATCTAGTATAGGATCTAGATATAGGATATATCTAGTATAGGATCTAGATATAGGATCTAGCAGGGATCTAGTCGACTTTATTCCCTATTCTCTAAATTGTGAATTTATTTTTCTTATGTCGGCAAAATCCCTCCCTGTGTATGTTCACTTACATATTGTTACAACGATTGACTTTTAAAATACATAGAAATTTTCAATAAAAATTTTAAAATTCTTATCAAATATTTATTCAAAAACTCCCTATCCTCGTAAAAAATTTTTTTAATTTACTTTCAACAATTTATAGAATAAACGACCAACAAACCGTTGTTCAACACTCTTTTCACCTTTATTTAAAAGAGGACAGGCATGGACTGACACAGAAATTCTGTCTGGAATACAACGAAAACGGAGCATAGAAAAACGAAAAAGAAGATTAAAAGTGCTTTTTTAATTAATTAAATTTTGAAAAATTTTAATTTTAAAGGCAAAAGAAAGACAAGCAACCCTTTTACTTGGCCTTATACTTTTTGCTTTTATTATTAGTTGGATGCCATTTTTTGTAAGAAAAAAATTTTTTAAAAATTGAAAAAAAATTTTTTTTGAAGGTGATCTATGTATTAAATGCTCTCACTTTGGATATTCCTATGCCTATATTTAAATTTTTCTTTTGGCTTGGATATTGTTAGTAGCCTTTTTTTAGAAAATATTTTTAAATATTAAGCGAAGGGTAATTAATGTTGTTGGGTATTGAGTGTTTTTTGAAGACGGTTCCGGCTCCAGAGCCGATGGTTTTCGGAGATGTTCCATTTTTGTCGTTCTCGTTGTAAAAAGTATGGAGCAGACCTACTCATGGACACGGATATGGATACAGATAATATCAAGATGCTTGTGAATATCCTCTGTATCCGCCGTAAATATCCGGATACGGATACCAAAATCAAAATTTCCAAAAAAGTATCCGTGAGCAGATCTGATATGGAGGTTTAGCTTAAACAATCTCCCCCAAACTTTTTAAAATATAGCAAGTACAATACAATTGAATTGTATGGATGGATGGACATTTATTTCGGGTTCCTTTTATGCTAGAAATTATTGCAGTTATTTAAGTTAATTTGGTTATTTGAATAATTTAAAATTCACATAATCTTCAAAAAATTTTTCTAAAACTATTTTTAATTTAAAGGTAATAGTGCCATCAACCCAATAATTTATACTTATTATAACCGTGAATTTAAACGTGCACTTTTTCGACTTATTCGAAGGCATCAACACAGACTTAATTTTTTAAAGAATATTTTATATCATAAATAAATTAATTAAAATTTTATAAATAATATACGGTTCTTTCTATAAAAATATATGTAAATTGGGGGTTAAATATTGAAGAAATTAAAAAAAAATTTTTCAAAATTTTAAAGAAAATTTTTAATTTTTTTAAATTAAAAATCCTAATTTATACATATATTAAATCTATTTTTTAATGCCATAATTATTTTTAAAAAAATATTTTTATTTTGAATAAATTTTTTTTAATTAAATAAAGTTTATTAAAAATAGTACTCCTTGTGTAGCTTAACCTCGTTTACTTGAACGCTTATAAAATTGTTTATAGAGTAACTACAAACATGAAAATTTGTTCGAGTATGTCTAAAACAGCTAGTTAACTCCTCCAAAAATTTGAGAATTTTTGGTTTAATATTTCCCGAGTTGTGACCGAAAAGGTGTTGAAAATTCTGAAAAATGCCCAATTTTGTTACTTTTTTGACCATAAATTGGGAAATAGTAAACCAAAAATTCTGAAATTTTTAGAGTTTATAATCAACACTATAAAGAATATTTTGACAAAATTTTAGAAATTTTAGTTTAGTTTATGAGGAGTTATGGAATTTTTTCTAAAGATGTGTTTGCCTTGTGATAGTCCTTATTTTCCCTCACTTAAAAAATTTTTTTTTTCGCACTAATAAATAAAATTAAATTTTTTCCTTTATAAATTTAAATAAATAAAATAAAAAAATATATTTTTTATGTTAAATAAATGTTTTCTTGAGCAAATCCCCCATCTTTTTTCTCGCAAATTGATTTTTATTTATTTATTTTTTGGATGCCCTGGATTTAAAATTATTTATCCATTTCCTTCCTTTTTAAGCAAAATTGTGCGCGTTCACAAAATATTTTTAATAAAATTATTTTTAAAAATTAAATGTGGCTAAGAATTATTTTATTAAAAATTATAAATAAAATTTTAATTGGAATTAGAGAAATTATTCGCCCTATAAGAGGATTAGCTTTTGCAATTATTGTTTTTGGGACTTCTATTTTTGGTAGTTTTTTTTATTTTTTTATCTTTGAAAGTAAAACTAAAAGGGTAATTGACAGGATGGGTCCTGCCGTTTTAAAAAAGTGGCAGAAGGAAGGGAAAGCCCATCCTTGTTAATTAATTACTCCATGGGAGTTAGTTATTTTTGCACAAATTTAAGTATTTATGTTGAAATCTAATAAGCTTGTTGTTTAATCCTAAATACAGGAAAGTTTAAACTTAACGGTATTTACATAGAAATTAAAATATTTAATATTCTAATTAATTTAACCTTTATTTGAATTAAATTTAAAATATTAATCTACATAACTATTTACGATGGAACTGTCGAGATAAAAAAATAAATTCCCAATTTTGAAATCGGAACGACCAATTTAAAAATTAATTTATAACAATTTTAAAAAGGCAATTATATCGTTACTTTATTCCTTCCAATGATCACAATTTTTGGAATGCATCGAGAATGGCGTTCTTTAATGGATAGAGCAATTACTTTTTGGATGTTAATTCCTCTATTTTTTCTACATTTTATTTTTCGAGTTAAAGTTAAAGCTATTGGGGATGAAATACGTTTAGATGAACCTTCTATATTAATTTTAAAGTTGAAAAAAATAAAATGATTTCTAATTAAAAAATAATTTTTAAGTCATAGAACGAGGTTGGATTGGTTTTATTTTTGGTTAGTTCTGTGGAGAATGAATCCGTAATTTTTTTATTTTTTAATAAAGAAATTAAAAGGAATAGAGGAAAAGGAAGAGGAAAATATGAAAAAATCTGAAAAATAAAATTGGAAAAAAATTTTGCCATAAAGCCGAAATTCTACCTATACCCTCAAAATTTTTATCGGACATTCCGAACAGTGTTGTCTACCTTCTCTAAAAATTTCAGAATATTAGGTTAAGTATTTTACGAGTTATGAGTTCGTGTTTCTAAGTGAGTGGAATAGGGTAGACACTGCTAACCTGCGTGCTCATAAAATATTTAAACGACAACTTAAAATTATAAAATTTTGTAAGCATATCCATAACAATGTCTTCTAACTCTTCTAAAAATTTAAAAATTTTTGGTTCAGGATTTCAGAAGTTATAGGAAAAATAGTACATATAATAAGGTAGACATTTTAACAAGAGTAGATGTCTCTGACCATAACTTTAGAAATTATCAACCAAAAATTCTGAAATTTTTAGAGAAAATAAATAAAACTATGACGGATATTTATACAAAATTTTAAAAACTAAAGTTCAGTCTACGAAAAGTTAGAGGAATTTTTAAGACGACAGTCTTGAGCTTGTCCCTATTGGTATCCTATTAAAAAATCTATTTTCTCTTGAAAACAGAGTTAAAAAAATTTTTCCCCTCAAAGTTATGTTGATAAAAAGTTAAATTAAAATTGCCTTTAAAAATTGCCCAAAAATATTTTTTTCCAAAGGTGGTTAATGACTCGAAACAGAATTGCATTGAAAGAACTATTGAGGCATGCCCCTGGGGCAGGTCTTAAATTAATTTTTATTCTTCTTTTTTAATTAACTTAAAAAAGGTTTTGGAATGCAAGGATTGGTTTATGTATTTTTAAAAAGGGATTTTGAAATTGACAGTGCTAGAATGGCTAGAGCAGTTGATTATTATGCAGATATGGGGCAGCCTTATCAGATTTTGATGTTCCCGGAAGGGACAGACAAAACAGCACATACAAGTGCTCAAAGTGATCGGTATGCGGATAGGGAAGGACTGCCTAGATTGAAACATTTACTCTATCCACGTACAGCAGGATTTGTTCATTTGGTGCAGAAAATGCGGCAAAGTGAATTTTCTGATTTTAAATTAAGCCAATTTGTGGGACTGTGCTGAAGAAGGACAATTGTGAACTTGAAATAAGTGTGAAGGATCTAGGGATATATGCAGGGATGTTGGGGATATGGTAGAAAAGTATTAGCAAGGGAGTAAGACAAAAAGGGCTTAGAGTATGTGATACTGGGAGTGATACTAAGGGATTGAACTGAGATATATGAAGCAGTGGGATGAGTGAGAGGGATTTTGTTAAAAACAAGCCTCTTATTAAAATAAATAATCACAAGAAAAACTTTTTTAAAGGAAATTACCTAACCAGCGTATATGACGTAACTGTTGCATACCCTTGTAAAGAAATAGTTCAAAACGAGGCGGAAATGTTATTTAGAGGAAAACTTTCAAGTCAAGTACATTATGCAATTAGGAGATTTGATCAAAATGAATTGCCCAAAATGGATGAAGAATTGCATGAATGGCTACTTAAGTAAATAATATTTTAATAAAATGGTGTCTTGTACTTGGAAAGGGTTTAAACTTCAAGCTTAAACTTCCTTCGACTGTATCACTTTCCTATTTGTATTGTTAAGTGTTTCTTAATGAGCTTAATTGAACTATGCAAAAGCACCGTAGATTCAATAATTTTAATTGCAATCCTTCAAACATTAAGTGCATGATTTTAAGATTTTTTAGATGATTAAGAGGTCCGTTTCATTAACGGACCTCTTAATCCTTAACGTTTTAGGAAAGGTGTTCTCTACAAGGAGGGAAATTTATGGAAGGGTTGTTCATTAGAACCAAGGAAGGGTTGTTTCATTAGAAACAAAGTTGGGTCGGAGCAGTCAGAAGTGTCGGAAATCGGAACTGACTCAAAAGTCGGAAATCGGAATTCCGACTTAACTCTGATTAGAACTAAAAAAAGACTTTTGTCCCAGTCAGAAAATACTTGAAATAAATATTTCATGCCCCTGATGAGCACCTTTTACAAGACAATTCCAGGATTAATTTATCCCCTTAAATTGTGGCAAAGCAGAAAAATGCCAAAAATTAAAATTAAATATTAATTAAAAAACAGAATTTGGGCAGACAAAGAAGGCCGTTTAAATGACTTCTATAACGAATCCTCATCTACTCGTCGGCATTTATTGCAACCGGGGAATGGATCCACATTAAATAGAATATGGATAAAGGATAACTGGAAGCAGTTGGGGGTTAAAATTTTTGGGTTTTGTTTTTGGTGTAGTGTTGTGCCTGTTTGGCTTTTCCATCTGGGATTTTTACCTTTTGTGCAGGCAAGGGATTTTTTTTATTTTTTGAGTTAGCTTTGATTTAGAGTTATATGTAGAGGGAGAACCGAAGAAAAACTTTCTCAATGAAAGCGAGGAAATATTTTTGGCTCTACTTTAGGACATGCGTCCCATGAGATTTTAAGCGTCCCATGAAAGTATAGGCATCCCAAAAATAATTAACGGTTCATTAAGCTCTTCTAATTTAAATTTATTTCCCTTTAAATTTTTATTTAGATAGGTTTTATTTTTCTTTTGCTCAATTATTTATTTATTTACTCAATATATGGAGGATTAGACGAAATGATTCTTTCTCAATGGGAAAAATTTAAAAGAAGGAAAATTGAAAAAGCTTTAAAAAATATAGAAAATGGAGAAAATTTATTGGAAATTAATTAATTTTTTTAAAATTAATTTTTTTGTTAATTTTTTCTTAAAAAATAAAAGTCAACCCCTCATTATCAGATAACCCCCTCTATTTTCCCCTGTATTTTCTTCTTGAGAAAAAGTCGTTTATTGCAAGGAGGTGTACATTAAATAGAAGGCATCGATTATACAACATCCCCTACTCGGTGGGTAACTAAATTTTAAGACTTTTAAATAGAGGATTATCCAGTATTTTGGTTATCCTATAAGGAGGCCAGACTATATTTATTTGTTTTTTATTCATGAAAAAATGTCTTCTATCCTTTCCAACCTTATTTGTTGAAATAAAAAGAGGCTTAACGGTAAGGGCCTAGTGGCGCAACGGATAGCGCGTCGGTCTTCGGAACCGAAGGTTGCAGGTTCGAATCCTGTCTGGGTCGAAAATTTTTTTTAATTAAAATAATTATTTTTAATCATATTTAAATATATTTTAAATTATAAATTTAATTGTTTTTATTTTTTAAATGAAGAAAAACAAAAAAAAATTTTTTTTAATTTCTTTTTTAAATAATTAATTAAATCCTCCTAATTAAAGCTTCTAAATAAATTTAAATTTTTAAAAAAATATTTTAATTGCAGAAATGTTTAATAAAAAATATTTTTTTTAAATAAATATAATTATTTTAATTAATTTAGTTAAAAAAATAAAATATTCAATTAATTTATTTTAGATAATTTTTAATTTTTTACTTCTCATTTTTCTATTAATAATTATCATTTTCTGCAATTTTAATTAATTCTTTTTTTACTAAATTTTAATTTGTATTTGCCTAAAAATTTGCCTAAAAATTTGCCTAAAAATTAACAAAATTTGTTTAAAAAATTTTTTTTGATTTTTGGTGAGTATTAGAGATCGAGTTGGGCTGGGTTTTTCCTCTACTCAGAGTCAAGTCCCAGGCATTCTTTGACCTTTCTGGGTTTTCTGGCCTGGGTTTTTTCTGGACTACAGGCCCAGGATCTGCCCAGGTCAATAAATCAAACCTCAGAGTCCATGTAGTGAATATATACCTACATATGTGGATATTTATAAATTAGAAACCTGATTTGGAATCGAGAGATAGAAACCGGAATTGAGACTAATATCTCAAAGAATCTCGAATCTCGATGTCCGAGATTTCTCTAGTTTAAGGTGTTTACAAATTAAATTTAAAAACAAAGGGTATTTAAATCGAGGTTTGACTTTTTTTATTTAATTTTTAAAAAAAATCTTTAAATAGATTTATTAAAATAATCCATACTACAAAACACAAAAAATAAATATTTATTAGAAAAAAATAAAAAATTTAGGGATAGGCTAAAGAGAAGAAACAAACAAAATTGCATTAAAAAAAGCTAAATTTAGCCTTTTTTATTTCCATATTTAGAATTTAAATTCCCACAAGAAATGGAAGGAATTAAAAAAAAAACAAAAAATCAGATTAAATATTAAATTAAAAAAGAGAGTAGTGTTTTCTGCTAAAAAATATTTTTTTTTGTAAAAAAATTAAAAAAAAAACATTTTTCTTAGCTTTTATTTCTTCCTTAAAATTCTGAAAAATATTTTAAATTTTTTTTTATTATTTGTAAAAATATTTTTTTTAATTTTTACATGTTTAAGAAGAATAAAGGATTTATTAGGAAATTTTTAGAAAAGAATTAATGAGAACCAGACCTGAGCTGTTTCGAAACAAAATACTCTTCAGAAGTTGGAAATCAAAATTCCGAAACTCTGCCCAAATTGAGGATACTCGTAAAGTAATTAAAAATTAAGACATTCTTACCAATAACAAAACAATGGAGCGTTAGCCCCCCCTCCCCCTCAAATTGAGGATATTCATACACTGCGTTCCAAAAGTATATGCACCCCTAGTTTTTTGATTTTTTATACTTTGAGGGGGGTGCATATACTTTTGGAACAGTGAATATTTGTATAAATGTTTATAAAAATGGAACGAGATGGGGGAAATTTTTATTTTTTTGTTTAAACATACACATTTATCTGGAAGAATATATAGACAAAAAGTCTAATCAAAATAACTAAGAAAAATGTATAAAAAATCAAAAACTAGGGGTGCATATACTTTTGGAACGCAGTGTATAACTAAAAATTATGGCAATCTTACTTATACAAAATAATGAAATGTTGGCCTCATTATTCGATCTAGGTCGTTAGCCTAGATGTTTGTTTGATTAAATTTTCCAATTGTTTTTTTAATTAAAACCTGATAAAGAGCTTCTGTTTTGGCATTCAAGATATATAAAAAAATTTTTTTTATATTCACCAAACCCTAGAGAACCTTTAAAATAAAATTGTTGATATTTGCGTGAATTATTTTTGTATTTAAATTTCCCAACAAAAATAAATTTTCTTTTTTCTTGATTTTTAATTAAAAATATTTATGTAAATAATTTACGTAAATATTTACGTATTTTATTATGAGAGTTTATTTTTTAATTAAATTTATTTTTACCATATCTCGTACAAATTTTCACCTTTTCTTTTAAATACCTTTCTCTTTTCTTTTTCTAATTTTTCTAATTAAATTATTTTTTTCTGATTTTTAAGAAAAATTAAATTCAGAAAGAATGTCAAGGCACGCAAACTGACGTTGCTCGGGAGTCTATAAAAATGCCAAAATTAAACTTAGAAAATCCAAATTTGGCACAGACAATTCTTTTAAGGTTAACTAACGCCTGTAAAAATTTTAGAATTTTTGGGAATCTATTTCTAAAGTTATGGGCTAAAAACTAACCAAAAATAGTCGTTTTTCGTAAATTTCGTCTTTTTCCTTTTCAACTTTTAAAATAGTAGACTAATTATTTTTTCGAATTTTTTTTTGAAATGTTAGATTAATCCCTCGATATTCCCTTTCAAAAATTGTAGGGCTTCAGGGTGCAGGTTTTCAGGGTCGAGGAAATACATAGATGTACTAAGGCTGTCTGGAGTGGAGCTTAAAACTAGAGATCTGGATCGAGACAAATTTTTTTGAAATATTGATTTTGATTATTTCATTACCTCCCCAGTATGGTCTTTAATTTAAAACATACGAGAATCTACTAAATTTTTTTTCAGTTTTCAATATTTATTTTAGTTCCTTTTTTAATTAAATTTAATTTTTTTTTGTTTTATTTAATCACATAATTGTACAGATTTGTATCTGTGATTGCCTCACAAACTACCTATATTTAAATTAACTCACAAAAGTCAATTTCTCTCTACTAAAAAATTTTTAATAAAATTTTTTTATTTAATTGTATACCTAGAAATTAATAAAATTACCAAACAATTATTTTATTATTTTTCATTGCCAGGCAACATTCACTCACACACATTTTATTTTATTCTTATTAAAAATTATATTTTATTTATTTAATATTTATTAAGCTGACGACAATTACCCTTAATTTACACACATACTAAATAATTTATTTAAATAAATTAACACAAAAAATAGTCTTGTTTTATCCAATTATTTATTAACACCTGATTTGTCTAATTTTTATTTAATAAATTTTATTTTAAAATTAATTGGGATAAAATGTCTATAATCTAAATAAATTTATATTTTTCGGCTCTATTTAATTTTAAATTTATTTTTTAATTAATTTAATTTAAAAAATTAATTTTTTAAATTAAATGTAGAAATTTTAGGATTATAATATCCTGAAGGAATTTATTTCCAAAAATTTTTATTCCGTCTAATCCCGTAGACCTTTAAGTTTTCAAATAATTTTAATAATTATTGTAAAGCATATAGATATTTAATTCCTAAGGCTATGCAGTAAGCGGAATGATGTAATGGCTAACACATCAGTCCGTCTACTGAAGATGCTGGTTCGCTCCCAGCCGCCGATTACCTTTTTGTATTAGCTAAAGGAGAGAAATAGCTATAGCCCAGCTGCTTTACTTTATTTAATTTTAATTTTTAAATTATTTTTAAATTAATTTTTAAGTAGACTGAGTTAAAATAGAGATTTAAAAGATTAAAAAAATTTTTAAAAGAATTTATTAAATACCTACATACATATAAGAGAATTTAATTAATTAATTAAAGTATCCTATACCTATAGAAAAAATTTTTTTATAAAGAAGCTTATTTCAGGCTTATCCCCATCTAACAATAAGGTTTCTTTTTCTATAGGGCATAATTTTATATTTTATTATAATTTATTTTTTCCCCTCATTCCTCTAATGAGAGATGTTCCTTCACTTATTTCATTTTTTGCACTCCTTATTATCTCTCGACTTATGGCCAAACTGGCACTAAAAAATGTGTTTGTTAATTGTTAGTAGACGACGTTTTTCCTTTATATATTTTTATTTTTAATGTTACCATAAATTTAAATAAAATAATTAATATAACAATAAATCTAAGAAAGATGGACGCGAACCACGTCAAAATTTGAATTTTTTAAAATTACTTATTGAGGTCCTAGAACCGTCAAATTTTGCGTGGATGTAGCTGATAGTGTTACTTAACTCCTCTAAAAATTTCAGAATTTTAGGTTCAGTAAAGGAAAAGTTATGAGCCAAAAGCTTAATCAACCTGGTACTTTTTAGACAAAATGAAGAAAATTTTAACCATAACTTTTCCCAAACATACCCAAAAATTCTGAAATTTTTAGAGAAAATAGTCAACTCTTTTATTCATTTCTATACAAAATTTTATGCCTCTAGCTTCTCTTTTAACTAATTTACAGGCACTCGCTTAAACGCTAGTATGAGAAACCACGCTAGGGAAAACAGAGAAAAAATATTTTTTGTCCTCCAATTATTTTATTTACCTTTCATTTCTCTAATATATTCCCAAAATTCTCTGCTCCATTTAAACATACCAGCCGGGTAGTGATAACCTTCATTTCCTTCCATGCTTTTCCACAAACAACAAAAAAAATTTCCCTCACAACCAAAAAAATATTTTTTAAATGAGGCCTTCTGTCAATACAGCTGGCATGGAAATATAATATGGCAAAAAATGTAAATGCATGGAAACGTAAAATAGACGACAATAAAGTTTTTTTCTCTCTCTATAAGAGAAGCATATGACAAAAAGAGCCCCCACCAGCCAAACGTTCTTCATTCTTTTACTTGGCAAAAACTTGTTGAAGCGCGCGGAATTTTATTTTATTTATTCATAATTATTTTTTGTTAATTTTAAATTAAACTAATAATTACCTTAGATTTTTAATTTTTTTATTTAAATTTAATTATATATTTTATGATTAATTTTAATATTTATTTGGCATGTTTCTGACATTTTTAAGACAATCTTTGAAGTTTGAAGCAAAACATCAGAAATTAAAAATACTGAGTCAGAAGCAGAAAAACAAAAACACAAATATCGGAAACGGAAACATACAAAAATAAAACACAACAAAAATACAATCTGAAACAAAAATACAAAATCAGAAAAACAAAAAATACAAAAAAATCAGAATTAAAAATAAACATACATATGTAGAAGAAACAATAAAAACATTAAAAACAAATGTCACAAACAAAATACATTAAAACATGTTTCTGATAGCTAAAACATGTTTCTATGTTTAAATTGATTAAATTTAATAGATTTAAAAATTTATTGCAAATTTAAAAAAATTGTTTACTGCTGCTAATTATTAACAACAATTTTAAAAATTTCTTTAAATTAATTAAAATTAATTAATTTATTATTTTTAATTTTACTACTAAATTTTGAATAAAAAGACAACAAAAATATTTTTTCAAAATTAAAGCAGTAATTAAAAACTGCTTAAAAACATTGAGACAACAGTTACACAAACAGCAATTGGAGTTTATAAACCTTCTCCATCACTTCCTCCAGTAGTCTCTGTTCCACCTGTAGAATTACCAAAAAGAGGTTTAACTGCTGAAGGATTAACTGAAAATTGTTCTGAAGGAAAGACTACTATAGAATTGGGTAAATAATGTTTTTAAAAATACAAAGAAATTCTGAAAAAATACGGAAAACAAAAACTAAAAATACAAGAAAATACAAAAATTAGAATTAAAGCAAAAATACAACAAACATGAAGCAAAACTAAATAAAATCAGAATAATAAAACACAAAAATCAAAAACAGAAAATACAAAAAATACAAAATAAAAAATACAAAATCAGAAATAGAAAATACAGAACAGAAAATACAATAAAAAAAAATCAGAATTAAAAATAAACACGAAAAACACAAAAACATTAAAATACAAAACAAAATCTAAAACATGTTTTGTCCATTAAAGTTATTATCAACAAAACAAAAGAAAACTCAACTAACAACAAACAAACATCAGAAAACAACAACAACAATCAAACTTCACAACAACAAGAAAAACAACAAAATAATCAAAACAGTGAATTAAAACAAAACAATATTAACAAATCATCTAATTCTCCATCTTTTTCTGTAGGCCAAATGTTGTTGAAATTGTTGCCTTGTAATTGTTCTTTTATGGGGGGAGATCATGGGTAATTTTAATTAATTTTTAAATTTAATTTAAAAATACCTACAAAAATTATTGAAAAAAATTTTTCCCCTAAAAGTTTAAACAAACAAGGGATTATATATTCTTTAATCTTTTTGGCTTTATCGTCACAGAAAATTTATAAAGTATTATTTTACTTTATATTAAAAAATATATTTATAATTGTTTTCCCATAAATTAAAAACAAAGCTTATTATTTTTTGTTTCCTTTTTGGTTGGAAAAAAAATATTTTTTTAATTTTGAGCTTTGGTTAATTAAATGAATAAATTGGAAATTTAATTAATTAATTAAAAATGTTTTTGTTGTTTGTTTTGATAAAATAAATATAAATCGAAACGAACAAAACAAACAATTAAAATCTAAATGTTTTTTTGAAATGTTTCTTTAATGTTTGCAACAAAACATTCTGTTGAGCGCAAAAACATTTTTACAAAAACATTACAAAAACATGATGTTTTGAACATGTTGTTCAAAAACATCAAGTTTTTGTGATAGGTGTGAGTAAAACATCAATAAAACTCTATGTTTTGTGTTTCATGTTGTTCACCCCTTTAATTAGAATAATCTTTTTTAATTGTAAAAAATAATAAATATTAAGTAAAAAAATTTTATAAAATTTTTAAAAATTAATTAATAATTAATCAAAAATTTTTAAAAAATAAAAATTCTACTTAAATTAACAGACTTCACGACTTCAGAATTGGCTCTGATGGAATTGGGGGTGTTTCTAATCTAGAATTTGATGACAAGTTTGTTCAAAACATTACAAAAACATGTTTTTATTTCAATTTAATTTAGAACAACATTTGAAGAAGTTGCATCCTGGGGAGTTAATTTCGATCGTTTAATGAAAAATAAACATGGACAGAAATATTTTGCTGAATTTTTAAAAAGTGAATATAGTGACGAAAATATATTATTTTGGTAGGGAATTTATTGAAATATTTTTTTGAAAATTAATTTTTAAGGCAAGCTTGTGAAGAGTTAAAAAGAGAGAAAAATACAGAGAAAATTGAAGAAAAGGTAAGAAATAATTTTAAAATAATTTTTCTAAAAATTTTCTAGGAGATTTTTAAATGTTTTCTTAAATTAAAAAAATTTTTTAATATTTTGGGGACACACCTACTTATTCTATTTGTTTATGGGATAAGTAGGCTTCTCACTTAATCAGATGGACAATCAAATAACAAACCGAATCCTCTACTGAATTTTCTAAATGGGTTCATTCGATTTCTTTCGATTATCCCTGACATATATTTAATTTTTGGGAATTCTTGGAAATTTATTTTTTTGTTTATTCTCCATATTTTTAAATTTTAAAGGCTCGTATAATTTATGAGGATTTTATTTCAATTCTCTCCCCAAAAGAAGTTTCTCTAGATTCTCGTGTTCGCGAAATTATTAATCAAAATATGGTTCACCCTTCTTCACATACTTTTGATGAAGCTCAGAATCAGGTTAGAAAGAATATTTTTTAAAAAAGTTATTTTTTTGCTTAAATTAATTAAAATTTATTAAATTCGGCTTTAAAAAGTTATTTTTATTTTAATATAGTCGAACTTAATGTTAAATACTCTTTTAGGTAAAAATTTCTTAAAGTAGGAGGCATCTTTTCCATGTGGTCAAACAAATTTTAAATTAGTCTAATTATTCTTAGACTTGGTTCTATTATCGGGATGGACTTTGAGGGGATAAAGTCCTTAAAAACTTTTGGTTTTATCGAAAATTACATAGGATTCATGACAATAAACCTTGAAATGTTAATCTTTGCTATAATTAAGATAATATTTTTTATATATCAGATATACACATTAATGCAACGAGACAGTTATCCACGGTTTATAGCATCTGCTCTTTACAAAAGACTTTTAAGGTAATTTTTTTGAATAAATAAATTAAGTTAATTAATTTGTTTATTAATAAATTAAGAAATACGTCAAAGAAATATATTTACTAATAAACAATTTTAAAAGAATTTTTCGATGACTAATGTTTATTTCATTTGTTTTTAATATAGTTTTATTGAAAAAATTTCAAAATTATTCAAAAAAATTTTTCCCGAAAATTTAAAATTAAATTAATTGAGAGACATTTAAAGCAGAGTACGTCGAGTAACCGAGTAATTGAGGGAAAAACCGAGCGAGTATTGAGTACCCGAGTAATTGGAAAACCTCGACTTGGTTTACACCGAGTCTGTCGAGTAAGTATTAGGATTATAGGTCCCTCCCCCAAAGTATTGGGATCCCAAGTTCTAGCCTCAGTAAAGACGAAAAAACCCGAGCGTCTGTTAAAACTGGGTCAGACTACTTGGACGTACTCCAGTTCAAGTCTAAATTTAAATTTAACTTCAAAATAAAAATTATTTAAAAAAATTTTTTTTTCTAGTTCTTATGGACATATGGAGGATTTATAAACAAGCTTTTTTAAATATTATTTTTATTATTCAATTTATTGATGATCTGAAAAAGAAAAGATTTTTTTTAATTTTATCTTAATTATTTTTTTAAAAAAAATATTCATTTTACAAATATGTAATTATTTAATTTTCCTCTTAATAATTAATAACATTCTCCCAGTTCCAAAAATCGTAAGATTTTCAGAATCGAGAAGATACTTGTCTATAATCAAATGTCTATATATATTTTAAATTTATTTTTGTCTTTTATTCACTATAGGCGACCAAAACTAATTAAACTCTCGATTAAATCACAGTTGAATCTCTCTATAAGGACACTCCTTTAAGGCGAAGGACACTCCTTTAAGGCATAAGAGGGAAAGAAGTCGGAGGGGGAGTCAAATAAGGCCAAAATACACCCCTCGAGTACTTATAGAGTTGGATTTTTCGAATCGGGTCGACGTTCGTGTCATTTTTCGGGCCTCATTTTTAACGAACCGGGCCTTTCGAGTCTTTTTCGGGACAAAATTGGAGGACTGATTCGATCTTTCGAACTGAACCGAACCGGGCCCCATCCCCCTAATTAAACGAACATAATAAGGAAGGACGAGGAAAGGGGATCACCTAAAAGGAGATTTTGCTGTATTTATTTAATTTTTTGGTCGTTGTATCCATCCAAAGATCCTCCAAAAACTTTCAAAATCCTTTAAAATTCCTTCAAAAATTATATCTTTTATTTCGTTTATTCTCCACTATTTTTTTCTCATATTTTTTAAAAATTAATTTTTGTGTTACAAATTTATTTTTAGCTTTAAATAGAATTTTTTGTGAATAAATTTAAAAAAAAAGAATTTTTAGGACAAAGAAAAAAAATTTTTTTTCACAAAAGAACTCAAAAAAATCTCCAATTCGCGGACACTTCTCTCGCAGAAACTAACACAAATTTATTTTTAAGTCAAATCCGGTCCTCTCGATAGATATAATGGTCAATCGGTAAAAGAAAAAATAAGAGAAAAAAGAACTAAATAAACTAACTAGCAATATTTATTTTTCTTTTTCTCTCAAAATTAACACTACACTCCACACTATTTCTTCTTTCTCTAACCTTTTTTTTATTTAATTGTCCCACAATGGACTTTTTTTCGCGCACAAATAAAAGAATTGAAAGAATCCTTTTTTATTTGAGCTGTAAACAACAAATAAAAAATTGGAGCAACAAAATATAATTGGATTTGGGGACATTAAAAATGAAGGGAAATTTTTGAAAAAATAAAAAAATATTTTTTTGGAATTGGTACTAGATACATAATTATTTTTAGTTATTTTTAAAAATATTTTTTGAATTATTTATTGGAAAATTTAAATAAAATTAATTTAAAATTAAATAAATAAATATTTTTAAATTTTTTTAAGATTAAATTTGAAAAATAAAGTGTTTGTCCGACATTTTCGAACACTCCTGAGAAACGACCTTTGCAGACAAACCCAAACAATATGAAATTGGAACAGTAATCACTGGGTCTTGCCCAGAAAACTATGGCCTACGAATACATACCATTATTAGGTTCTATACAAACTCTTCAAAATTTTGTATAGAAGCTATAAAATACATAAAAGCTTCGCAGATGTTTGTACGCAAATGTTTTTCTATCCCTCCAAATCTCTCTACGGACCTCTGTGCTGTTGTAGAAAAAAAACAATTTCAGAAACGAAAATGTGTGGATTGGCTGACTCCTAATTTTATAGACATAAGTTTTTCAATTCTAGAGTAAAAAACAAAAGAATAAACTCAATTTAGTAAAAATACCTCTATATAATAGACGATAATCCATTAAAAAGAGGTTTTTTAATTTTAAAATTAAAAACCCCCTAAAAATAATTTCTTTATTTAAATCCTTAATAAAAAATTTTTTTATTTCTTTAAATTTAATTTATTGATATATTTTATATCGATCATTAATTGCGCGCAATCATCAAAACCTTCTTTTCACAATAACAAAAATAAAAATTTATTTTTACGTCTTTTACGTTGTTTTATTTTTTCCTTTAATTTTATACTTGAGTTGCGCTGTTGTGGAGAAAAAAAAACAATTTTAGAAAAGAAAATGTGTGGATTGGTTGGTTGGAATTTTTGAAAGAGGAAAGGAAGGGAAGTATTGGGAGTGAGAGAAATTTGACATAAAATTTGTTTAGAAAAATTTTTGATTTTCAAAAAAAATTAAAAAAAAATTTTTTTAAATTAAAATATGAACTTAAAATATTTTTTCATAGCCTGAAAATAATGGGTAATAAAACAGAAATTGTTGATGTTAATTTAAAACAAAAAGCTTTGAAATTTTTTATCAAAGCTCTGATTTGACCAATCTCTACTGATTTATCTCCTATTAAATATTGTTTTCTTTTTTTGTGTCAGATTTGGTCCTAAGAGGTGTTTTGTACATCAAGAGTGTTCCGAAAGTGATTTTTAAAAAAGCGAAAAGGCGAAAGTCCAAAAAAGGCGAAAATCGCACACCCCTTGAGGAAACAACATTTAGTTACCCAATACTGTTTTAAAGAGAAAATTAAAGTTAATTTAATTTAAAGTTAATTTAATTTTAAATAAGTTGCTGTTGAAGAAAAAATTAAAACTAATTTAAATAATCTTAAAGAAAATCTTTTTTAAATAAAAATTTAAAAAAATTTTATTTGATTATAAATCACATTAAAAAATTAAATAATTAAAAAAAATTTATTGAAAATAATTTTACTTAAAATTAAATGAGGAACCCTCTACTATCCGCAAATTCTCTTTGAAATTAAGAAACAAATGAAGATTTTTATTGAAAAAATTTTGAAATTAAAAAAAATTTCTGGAAAATTTTTTTACCAAAAATTTTTGCCAAAAAAATTTTTTAAAATTAAAAAAAATTTTCTTTTCTTCTGTCCCTTTTTGTCCACTTTTATTATTTTTCTCTTTTATTCCCCCGCCCATCCATCAACTGAAAAAAATTGAAGTGAGAGAAATGCTTTCGCGCAACCTATCTATACCCCGTCCTTTTTTTGTGTCCAATTCTGCCAGTTAATCCTTTATGTACTTAACAAGATTTTTTCTTAGTTTTTTTTATTCTTCTCTTCATTATTCTTAAGATAAAAAATTGAGAAAAGAATAAAAGAAAATTAGTTGCGGATAGTTAGAGGGACGAAAAAATATATTAGAAGAAAAATTGGGAAAAGTACACAACTTGAGGCAAATAAAAAAATTTTTTGGAAATTTTTGGGGAAAGGATTTTGATGGATTTCTAAAACAAAAAAAATTTTGGATTTTTCTGGGAAATGAAAAAATTTCAAAGGAGGGTTTTGCTTCTCCTACTATTAAATCTTCGCCTTCAGCTTCGATCACTAAAGGGCTAAAATAATTATTTTTCCAGAAAATTTTTGTTAAAATGGGAGGGAGGGGAAAACAAAACACCTGTGAAGAAGGGGGAAAATATGTAGAAGCTAACTAACCATCGTATGTATCTACCAAAGAAATCTTACCAAACCGAGTTACGATTCCCAAAATTTGGAAGATTGTGTTTTCTGTCAATCCTAGTCCCTACAGGCTTATTTTAAAATCCTCCTTGAAAAATTAAAAAAATTTTTTTATTAAAGTCCCCCTATTGATTTTTTTCCTTTAAAAATATTTATATATAATTCTCCCCAATATATCCCCAATCATTCTCCAATAATCTTTTCTTTTCAAATTTTAAAGAAAATCCAAAAGGCGTAGATACCCAAATAAAAAATCTTTTTTCTTTTGCGCATACCTTTCAAAATCTATCACAAAATAATTTGCGCGGCACTGCTGGAGGCAACAACCAAGTAAAGAAATAAAAATAGCAAACACAACCAGCCAGTTAAAAAAAAAGTTTTTTTTGGGTATTTTGAAGAGAGAGTCAAGACGAAATCACTCTTCTTTACACTCCTTCAATCCCTTCTCCTTTCTTATAAAAATTTCCACTTGACTGAATGAAAAAAATTTTTTTTCTGTTGCTGCGCAAAAGTTGTTGCCCATATATATATTTTATACTTTTTTTTCTTCTACTTTTTACTATTCCTCTCTGACTAACTATTTTTACTTCAATCCCTTCCATGCATTCTCAATTTATCCCTTCTCTTTTTAACTTGCGCGGGCGCGCACCTCTCCATCTCAACAATTTTCCCCAAAAATCGCCGGTTGGACGAAGAGAGAGCCCAACCCTTTTTAATGATCAGTTGGTGGTACGACTGGCTAGAAGTAAGGGCTAAAGGGGGTTGTTTCTTCGTATACTAGCTTTGCTTCTGTTTTGGGGGCAGGAATGAAAAGGAGAGAGAGTGGGAATGGTGGACGGATTTTGGTCGCTTATCGGCTGACTGGTTTTTGGCGATTTTGTGCTGTTGGGCGCGATTAATGGACCCTTTTTATCCCTTTGATAGACCCTCTACCCATCAATCCCCTCTGGCTATCGTTCTTTGCATGTTCGCCAATCCCTTGCCCCAAATCCCCCAATCCTTCCTCCCAAAATTTTTTCGCTTCCTTTAAATAAATTTACGGCTCCCCATTGTGTGTAGATCACCGATCCGCATCATTACCGTCCCCAATTTTCACAAATTTCTTTCTGCTTCTCTCTCAAATCCGTCTCCAATTTTCTTTTTGCTTTTTTCGAATATTAATCCCTCCATATTTTCTATCTCTTTCTTTTATCTTTGGCGCCAAATATCAAACAAAAAATATAATAATCGGCACATCCAAATCTCTCCATTCATTCTTCCATTCTTCTAATCACACACAGAATGCCCATTAGCTTTTAAAAAAATAACCGGCTGTCACACAACCAACAGATCTAAGCACAGAACCTTTTTTCTAGAAAAATTCTTTTTTTATTCCTCTCCTGTTCTTCGTCACCGCGGAAAGACTAAAAGGGCCGGTCCTTTGCGCGGTCTTGTTTTATATATGAGGGAATGTGTGTGTGTAATGGGAGGAGAACAGCTCTTCCTTTGTAAAAATTCATGCAACTACCACCTCCCCCCCTCCTCCTCCCTCCCTTCTTCAACTAACTCTCTCTCCCCACCCACCCTTCCACTTGTCTTTTTCTTCCATATTCCTCCGCCCTTTTTCTTCCCTTTATTTTTCTTCCTTTCTTCGTACTTTTCCTTGAGACAGCCTGTTTGTAACCCGTATTTTTATTTTTATTTATTTATTTTTATATGCCCAAGCAAGTCCTTTCCTTGTATAAAATAGTGTTCTGTTTTACCCGTTGTACTGGTTGTTGTGGTTGTCCTTCTCCGGCCGGACAGGTCTCTTCCCCCCTTCCCCCCTCCTTTTTTCTTCCTTTTTTCCCTCTTTTGATAAAAGCAAGTATATAGTAGTAGTTGACTCTAAAATGGCGCGCAAAATTAAGGGGAGGCAAAACTGGACTTGACTTTTCCTTTAGTAACTGCCAACTTGTTCAGGTTTTGCAATTTAGTTTACAAGTTATTAGTAAGGGGTTAGTGAAAGGGAAATTAGTGAAAAGTTGTTTTTTAATTTTAATAAATATGCGAAATATAGGTGAAGATTTATAGAAAAATTAATACAGAGTTTAATGAATTAAAAAAAAGATTGTCCAAGTGTGAAGCTTGCCTTTAAGCTTACTTGAAGCTATGGTTGTCCTTCCTCTTCTTCAAATCCTAAAAATGCCAAAACAAAAAATAAAAGTAACCAAGTCATTAGAGGGTTGTTTAGACTACTAAAATCAGTATCTTCCACGTGATTTAAAATTTAATATCTATAGATATATATTTTGAGGGTTTCAGTTCTGGATAAACATTAAATCAGAAACTGGGGATTCTATAAGAGAACAAAGAGAAAATGCCAAGAAATTATTCCTGAATTTTTGGCTTAAAATAGGGATAAAATTAATATATTTTGGTATATTTTTCCTTTAAATTAAAAAAAATTTTCTCGTCATTTTTTCTTCATCTTCCTACTTGTTTATAATTTGGCTATCCGGTCCTTCACCTGCGCAACAACACATAAACCCTGTTTTTGTCTACTAAACAGGCAACAACAAAACAACTAAAACCACTTCTTTTAAATAAAACCTCAATACAAACAATTTAAAATAAACAGGCTCCCCCCCCCCTCAATAATAAAAACACAAAACAACTTTTATATAAAAACATTCACTCTCCAACAACAACATAAACAACTTGTTTTTGTGTGTGTCCTCGTGTTTCTCCCAAATAAATATGTAGCAGAACGACCTTCGAATGACCCAATATTTATAAACAAGATTAAAAGGGGAAGGAAAGAACAGGAAGAAAATAATTTTAAAATTTATTTAAAAATATAACGAGTTTTTGGGAGGTTTATAAAGATGAAGAAGAAATGAAGAGGGAAGAAAGAAAACTTGAAAATGAAACAACATAAAACAATGTTTTGATAAAAAGTTTTGAGGTTTTAAATCGGATGTTTTTAAAATGTTTCTCAACATGTTTTGTTGAATAAATGAGAAAAATAAGGGGAAAAACTTAAACAAACAAACTCGAACAACAAAACAACACAACAAAAACAACAAAAACATCATTAACAACATTTTGTTTAAGTTGTTGTTTTCGATGTTTTGTTTAACAGAAACAATAGAAGCAAAAACAATCAAAAATAAAACAAAGTTTTTAATAGAAACAATGTTTACCAACATATAAATGAAAAAGAAGAAAAACAAACCTGAACAAAAACAACAACAAAACAATTTGCCAAAACAATGTTTGAATAATCAGAAAAACATTTAAAGAAAAAAACAAGGAAACGATAATAAATATAAAAATACTAATTAAAGTTTAGCGAACTCTTAAATATTTTAGGGGAAATAATTAATAATAATGTCTTCAATTAATGATTAAGAGTTGAGAATTTTTTTTGAATTTTTAAATAAAATTTAATTGGAAAATTGATTTATACAGTCTATTTTTTTAATTTTTGAGTTAAATAGGTAATATTAAAAATTAATCCTTCCCTTCAGCCTATCCAACTCTACCACTGTCCCCTTCGGACTACCTATGTCCCCTTCGGACTACCTATTTCTTATCCAGGGTCTCTTTCAGACCAATGCTCCAATACTTGGTAGGTAGTAAAGTCGAGCTAAGATAGTAATCTTAAGAACTGCTTTAGACTACCTATTTCAATGTTCTCTTCATACTACCCAACAACTACCCCATATTTTCTTCAGATTTGCCTCCCATTCTATTAATTTTATGTTTATTTCCTTATTAGCGTTGGAATTTTGTAATTTATCTTTTATCATAATTTTTAGAATAGTTGTCGATCTCTTACAAAAAATTCATATAGCCGTATGAAATACGGTTCATCAACAACAACGGCCGGAACTAGCAATGGAAATACAAGCAATAACAATGGCTATGAACATAATAATTCTAATAGTGTTATTAATGCTGGAAATGGAGGTCAAACAATGATGTTTTTACCTGTTGAAGCAACCAATTCTGGAGTACAACAAAGTTCAGTAAGTAGATTTGGTTTATAATTAAACTTGTTAACTTTTGCGGTATTTACCATAGATATTTAAATAGCTATGCTCTCTTCCCTTCCGATCACTTGATTTTATCTCCAGTGCTCCCTCCAATTCCTGTATTCCTTTCTAATTATCCAAATGTTCCCTTCAGAATATCCAATGTTCCCTTCGGACTATCCAATGTTCCCTTCGGACTATCCAATGTTCCCTTCGGACTATCCAATGTTCCCTTCGGACTATCCAATGTTCCTTTTCGACTACCTATGGTCCTTTCAGGCTATCCAATGTTCCCGTTCGATTACCTATGTCCCCTTTCGATTACCTATGTCCCCTTTCGATTACCTATGTCCCCTTCTAATGTTCCCTTTAGACTTTCTAGTGTTACTTTCCAACATTCCCTCTAAACCACCAAACAAACAGTTTTAATTTACTAAATTCAGGTAATAAAAACAGCACCTCCAGGCCGTAGCCAAATGTTAATGGATTTTTCTCCTAAACAAGAACCTATTGAACTTGCACCCTTATCCAACACACATCCATGTTTACAAGTATGTACTAATTTATTTATTTCCAAAAAAATATTTTTTCACACATTTTTCATTGCTTTTCTTTCTATTTATTATTAAAAATAACCAAAAAAAATATTTTCTGTCACGTAAAAATATTTTTTTCTATTTATTATTTTGTTGTTTTGTTGCGCAAAGAAATTGTTTGCGCAAAGAAAAGAAAATAGTACACAAAATGAGAGAGACAACGTTTGTTGTGTTCTATGAATGTGTTCACAATTTTATACTTTAAGTTTCCTAGGGGAGCGAATTATTTTTCTTTTTTTTTCTTTTTTTTAAATTTTTCTTCAAATAAGTGCCTCCGGCGGATGTGATTTTAATGTTTTAAAAATTCCTTTTCTCTACTCAAAAAAAATTTTTAATTTTAATTTTTAATGGGCCAAAATAAATTTAATAAAAAAAAATTTTTTTTGGAAGTTGAGAAAAAAATAATAAAAAAAATTAAAAGAAATTGAGAAAATAATAAATTTAAATTTCTAAAATTTAAATTAAAAAAAATTTTTTATTGGAAATTAATTAATTATTTGATTGATTAAAATAAATTTTAAAAGAAAATTAAATTTATAGTAGAATATACCCAACTTTATTTATTCGTTTTTAATTGAAAACAAAAATTATCCCTATACAAAAATTTTTTATTTGGAGGAAAACTCTAATAAAGAACCCAAAATATTGATCAAAGATTGAATCGAGATCAGAATAGGTAACTATCGAATATATCAGAGTTCGATCCGGGGAAGGGAATACCCCGGGGACGGGGGAGGTCTCCCCCCAGAGTCCCCGTTCCCCGTACCTCTCCCCTGGGAAACCCCCGTTCCCCGCAAGCCCAGCCCCCGCCCCGTAATATCGGACCCTAGAATATATTTGATGTTCTCTAGCGATCACCCAAGTCTGGTGTACTGATTAGATTTACTGCCATCCCTATTCTCGCTTATTTGGAATTTCCTACATTTTTTAGGTCCGGAAAAAAAGTAATACTGACCTCATAATATGAAATTAAATATCTCATTAAAAATTCTTTTTCCTAGAACCTCGGCAAAATGTCTGTAGGATCGACACAATTAGAACATTATTATTCTTCAATGAATTCAGTCAATAATTCTTCAAAAAATTCATATTCCCCTTATTATGAATATTTAAATGTTGGTTCAGCAGCTTCTGCTACTTCCTCATATCCCCAATCTATACAACAACAACAATCTACAAATTCGCTGCTTCAGCCAACAGCTACATCAGCAGTTGTTGCTCTAGGTGGTGGAGGAGGAGGGCAACAACATCAAGTAACTAAAATTAAATTTAGGAAAAATATTTTGATAGCACAGTAATAATCTCAGATGTTCCCTTCCTTAGTATTCTCCTTTAATGTACCGTTCAAAATGCCCCCTTCGGATTAGCTAATGTCGACTACTCAAGGCTCGTACAGACTACCCTAGGCTCCCTCAGATCATCTAAATGCTCCCATGCACTATCCAAAGCTCCCTTCAGACCACTTAAATGCTCCTTTCAGACCACCCAATGTTCCTCTCAACCTACTATCTAATGTTTTTTCGAACTACCCAATGTTCCCTTCGGACCATCCAAGTTATTTTCGGACTACCCGAGGTTCCCTTTGAACTACCTAGTTTTCCCTTCAAATAATTTTATTGAAAAATTAAATGTTTCATTACTAGGATTGGCCTTATATGTCCTATAATACTCTTCACCATCACAATCAACACCATCAACAACAGCAACAACTTCATCTACATCAACAACAACAACAATTAGGTTATTTAAATCAACTAGATAATTGTGGCAATTCCCTCATTGATCAACAACAACAAAGAATATTACTTTACAAAAATAATGGCAATAATAATGGAGATGAAGTTGGAGGAGGTGTTGCACTTCTTTCTCCTGTAGATTCTGGTATTGGACAAGAACTCTTGTTGGAACAGGCAAAACAGGTTCATATGTTTATTTTTAAATTTAAACCGATCTGTATGGTGCCAGGGCTTTTCATTATCATGATCTCTTTTAGCTACCCCAATCTTACTCCTTCCAGTTTATTCCATATTTACCTTACCGACCATGCTTCTTTCAACCTAGTCCCTCTTATGTTCCTTTCACCCTAATATGTTCCTTCCACACTACTATGTTCCTTCCAACCTACTATGTTCCTTACAGCCTATCAGTAGGTTGGGAGGCATACTTGTTTGACTCCAGAGTCATCACACTTTACTTATTTTCTTAAATTTATACTCCAATTCATTCACATCCCTGTGGTACTTCTTGTCCCTTTCTAAATCCCTTCCTTTTTCAGCAGTTACACGAATTCTTCGGCCCAGTATCTTTATCCTCAGCAGGTGTTTTAGTCCCTTCACAACAACAACATTCTTCAGTTATTCACCAACATCACGGAGATAATACTGGACAAGATACCCTCAATCATGCCCTTTTACTCCAACAACAACAACAAAGCCAACAACAACAAAATAGGCAAAGAGAACAAAGGAGTAGTGCTGAATCTGTAGGGTTTTTTTGATTTTTAATAGAAATAGCAAGAATCTCCAGCTTATCTCTTTTGCTATATCAATAACCACTGATATTCTAGAGATCTTGAATCTTAGATGATAACAATAACATGGTTCAGATATCCACTCCTACCTTTTTATCCGGCTAAAATTTATCCCAAGACTGTGTTCCTTCCAGCCCCCCCCCCTTGTTACTCAATTATATGGAGATATAGAGATATGTATCCACATTGATCCTGGATTTTTTTTGGAAATTCTAAACGGCCAATTTTGACTTATGACTATTTAAAAAACCCACCCTTACATTAAAATTTTCTCAAAAAAATTTTTTAATTTAAAGAATCAATCAGCACAGTTGCAACGAGTACATGAATCTAGAGAACAGTCAATTCCTGTATGTATCCCAAAATTAGACAATCAATTGGGCTTTCAATATACACTTGAAGCACCGATCTCTACATCTATTAGAAAAGAAGATGATAGAATGTAAGGGAAGAACTTTTAAAATTTAAATAATGGGAGGATTCTCGATTTGATTTTCGGATTTTAAGGTTTCTTTAGGTTTGGATTTTAGGCAACAAAAAATACCTAGTTTAAGATAATTTTAATTTTTGACAATATTATCCCTTAAGCTTGGTAACCTAAAGTAACTCAGCTTACTGTTCCTTTCAGATTACCAGGTATGTTCCCTTCAGACTACTAAGTATGTCCCCTTCAGCCTACTATGTGTGTTCTCTTCAGCCTACACCTGATTTCTCCATTAGAATCTAATAAGGCTTTTGCCCGTATCTTTAATTAAATTATAAAAAATTCTGAAGAATTTCCATTCCCAGTTTGTTGTAATTTCAGTATTGTCCAAGAAAAGCATTCAGAAATTCACTTAAAAATTTATTTAATTCTAAAGGACATATGTCAACAAAGGCCAATTTTATACTGTTTCTTTTGATTATATTCTTGATTTACGGTGTCCTCTTAAAGGAATGACTGTTAGGGTAAATTAATTTTTAATTTAATAAAAATTATTTTTAATTAAATTTTTGAAAGATAGAGACTTAAAAATAGAAAAATAGAGACGAATTAGTTGAAAAAATCAAGATTTTCATAATTTATCATGACAACATTTTCGGGGCAATTAGGAGTTAAAGAGTTCAATTGAGACAAATAATCTGCTACTTTAAAGCTTTAAAAAGGGTACAATAATGTATGTACGGGATGATTTTAAAAAACAAGTTAAGGGTTAAAATAAAGTCTCTTGGATCAGGCATTCTGAGTTTTTAAAAAAAATTTTTATTTTTAAAGAGCCAAATAATAATAGTATTTCGAGAGGATAAATCATTTGAAGAAGAATTAAGAACTTGGCTAGTTTGGTATAAACGGCAACATTCCCCTAAACAACGCATAATTGAAATTGATGCAAAAAACTCTATGGGGGCTATTGGGGGAAATTTTGATGAAATTGCCCATAATGCTGTCCAATTTTGTTGGACGCCTGGGGAACAACCTGGGCCTAAAGTTTGTTTTGAAAAAAATTTTTAAAAAATTTTTTTAATAAAAAAATTTTATTTTTGTTAAAAAAATAATTTTTTAAATTAATTTTTATAATTTTTTTATCAATTTAAAGAAATAATTTCCCGTAATTTTCCTCAAAATAATTTAAAAGAGAAGAAGAGAAAAATATATAGTCATTTTTAAAAAGTTCCCTCTCATGTCCAGCTATAGCTCAGTTGGTAGAGCGTGGGACTGTAGAGTATACAAAGTGATCCTGATGTCGCTGGTTCGAATCCGGCTAGCTGGAATCCTTTTTTCTCTTCTTTAGTTTGATTGTTTAAGCTTTCCTAATTATTTTTACATAATTTAAAAATTGTTTAAAATTTTTTTAGAATTTTTAAAAAATTTTAAAAATCTTTTTAAGGTTAGTATAGCTGTGCAATGTCTTTCAACTGATTTTTCTACCCAAAAAGGCGTTAAAGGACTTCCACTTCATGTCCAAATAGATACTTATGATGATCAATCTGATTCAAAAATTCCTTTTCATAGAGGCTATTGTCAAATTAAAGTGTTTTGTGATAAGGTAAAAAATTTTTGAAAAAATTCTTTTAGTTCACTCTCCTTGTCTCTCTCATAATTAAATTATATTTTCTCTATTTTCTTTACAAAATTAATTTTTTCTTGATAAATTCTGATTTATTAAATTCTGAAAATTAATAAATTCTGACATTTATTTTCTTAATAAATCTGATCTTTTTAAATAAAATTATTAGGGAGCAGAAAGAAAATTACGAGATGAAGATAAACGTGCCCACAGAAGAAAAAATAATGGAAGTAATGGAAGTGCAGGTAAAATAAATGAAGAAAAAATTTAAATTTCTTTAAAAAAATATTTCTCATTCCTTTCTATCCTCTTTTTTTGCCTTTTTTCTATTTTTTCTGCTTATTTTTGCCTTTTTGCTTTTTTTAATTTTAATTATTTATGCTTTTTATTTTTTGTTTCTATTTAAAAATTTTAAAGGGTGCAAATCGAAAAATGCTACATGAAAATAGAAGGGATGAACGACGACGAACTGGTGGAGACTTTTAAATATTAAATTAATTTTAAAAAATATTTCTGCTTAAAATATTTGCGGACAAAAATTGCGGACAATTTTTGTTTGACAATTTTTGTCCGCAAAATATTTGCGGACAAACTGAAACCCGTTGGAATTGGAACAAACGATAATTAGATTATTTTAAATAATATGATTTTAATTTAGCAATAAACCTCCTATTTTTATAAATTAAAAAATTTATTAGTGTCCGCAAATATGGCTTTATTATTTAGCTTTTGCTTTGCTTTTATTTTTGAGAAATTAAGAAAGGATGAGAAATATAAAAAAAAATTTTTTTTTGTTAAGTTTTGATTTATACAGTATTTGGAGACATCTTACAATTAGAATGGGATGGGGACATTTCCTTCCGATTTTTTTAAATTTTCTGATATCTGATTTCACACTGACAACTCTTAAAAGCTTCCCCTACAGTGATGCGGAAATTCCAAAATGTCGCCGGTTCCGGTTCCGGTTCTGGAACCGCTTTTTTGATTTTTCCGGTTCCGGTTCCGGTTCTGGAACCGCTTTTTCAATTTTGCCCGGTTCCGGTTCCGGTTCTGGAACCGCTTTTTCAATTTTGCCCGGTTCCGGTTCTGGAACCGGTTCCAAACCGGTTCCGGTTCCAAAAAATTTTGGCTGTACTTTAGTATAGGGCCACTGAGATCCAAACTCGAAGTATATATCATTCAATTCGTCTCTTCGAGCCGAGTTCAAATATGCAAGAATTTCTTGCGGGAGACGAAAACTCGCAGAGATATAGGCCTCCGAAAATCGAAAAAGGGACCAAACATTTTTTGGGGTGAAAAATTCGAATATGCAAATGATAGCTCATTCGCAAGAGCTCGTCGAGTTGAGTCACAAGACACTAAAATCAAAATAATCTGACTTGATCTGACAAAGTTATAACCGTTTGCTTTTATCCACTACATAAGGCCAGAAGATACATAAGGCCAGAATCCTTTTTAAGACGCAGGCGAAAATTTTGTGAATTTTGGAAGATCCTTAAGCCAAAAATCTTTATTTTTTGCGCCGCAGGCGAAAATTTTGAGAATTTTGGAAGATCCTTGAGCCAAAAATCTTCATTTTTTGCGCCGCAGCGCATTTTTTGCGCCGTCTATTTAAAAATATGTTTAACTTTTTTGTTAAAACTCAGATAAGAAGAAAAAACAGAAAAAAAAAGAAAATCTTTTTTACTCGACTCAATTTTCTCTTCCTTTTCCTCTCACACCTTCCATCTTTTGCTCATTTCTCTGAATTTACCCATCATTAGGGGTGTATCTTTGGAACCGGTTCTGGAACCGGTTCTAGACCGGTTCCGGATCTTTACCGGTTCCACGGTTCCGGTTCCAAACCGGTTCCAGACCTTTGCCGGTTCCACGGTTCCGGTTCCAAACCGGTTCCGGACTTTTACCGGTTCCAGGGTTCCACTTCCGGAACCGGAACCGCACCGGTTCCGGAACCGGAACCGGAACCCCCGCATCACTGTTCCCCTACCATTCCCTAATTTTTTTTAAATTTTCCTACTCTTTTTCAGATCATTCTCGAGAATCTGAATATACATATAATTAAAAATTAAAGGAGGTCCTTCAAATTACTATAGTTCTCCTTCTTTCCCATCCATATACCCTTTATCTCCTGTGTTATTTTGAGAGTAAAACGTTGGGCTTTCCAACAGGATTTAAAAAAATAAAATTATGTATTTTTAAGGCAGTGCAGCCCCAACTGTTAGTGGTGGAGCAAGTGGGGGAGCAGGAGGGGGAGGAGGAGGTCGAAAGAAAATTGACAGTGGAGAATTCCACGAAAGTTGTGAAAGAAGTCAATTTTATCACAGTGCAGACTTGGAAAGGCCAGCAGCACTTTTTGTGCCTAGTGACGATTTCTTTTTTGATACAGCTTCGATTTGTTCTTATGATGCTTTATCTGAAATGGAACCACAGCCGAAAAGGCCCAAATCTTCTGAAAGGAGTAAATTTTTTGAAAAATAATTTTTGAGTTTTCTAGGTTAACAAAAATGCCTTCTTGACCATACAGACTTGTCCGATCCTACAGAATAGTTCTCCTTCCTTCCCACAACAAAAATACCTCTCCGTCTTATTATTCCAAACCTTCCCCGGTTCTTCCTCGTTATCCCTGTCCTCTTCATTAATTTAGGTATATACCGGATTCTTCCCGTTATTCCTATCTGAATTTAGAAAGATTTAAGTTAGGACGAGGTTGTAGAGATTAGAACACGAAGAGGACTGATTGTGAGTGAGGAAAACTTTAGGGATCAAAAATAAGTCAAAAAGGGACAAGGAGCTTTATCTCTGTTTTATCCCTCAGTTTATCCCTCAGTTATCTCCCTTAATTATCCATTTTCATGAACGTATGACTAAAATTAAAATTTTTCTAATTTCTAGTAATGATATACGTCCGGAAAGCAGACGAAGACGTTTTCACACCGTTGCATTTAGTCCCACCATCACTTGGGTAAATAACCAAAAATAAAAGTCCAGAAAAAATTATTTAATTTTTTAGTGGTTTAGCTCGTGCAATAAGCGAAAAATATAATTTAGATGAAACTAAAATTGAAGCTTTTTATAAACAATGCCAAAAGGGTGGAATTACAGTTAAAATTGATGGTTGGAATTTTTTTGTAATTAGAAAAAATTAATTTATGGGACTGTGGGTTACCCAAGAGGAGTGAAAATTCGAGTTGACTAAGGGCACCAAAAAATTTTTTTGAATTTAAAATGTCATAGAAAATTGTTGACTTCCCCTCTAACTTCCATCAATCATTTTAAAAATAAATTTAAACAATAACAGAACCTGCAAGCCAACCTTCGCTAGTAGCGACTAGATAAGGAATGAGGATTACCTATACCTTATAACGAGATATTTTTTAAATTTTCTACCATTTAAGACTGTTAGGGACGGGCTGGTAGAAGAAAAACTGGCAGAAACACAGAAAAGAAAAAAGATTTTATTGGATTATCCCATTTTTGGGACCAAATGTCCCATAAAATTTCAATAATTAAAAAAATTCCTTCAACATTTTCTTCATTCTAGATGACATGTTAAGGCATTATAGCAATCAAGACACCTTTTTAATTGAATTAAAACAATCAGAATTAGACAGACATACTTTTTATGCCGTTACTTTAATTGAACTTTTAACTGCCAACAACGACATTCCTTTAAATAAAAATAATAAAATTTTAAATTCTTTTAATATTCACCATCATCATCATCAAGATACAGCTTCAGCTACTTCCTCTTCCTCTACTAATTCAGAAAATATTTCTTCAAATCACCAACAACAACAAAGGACATCTGCTACTGTTTGGTGATTTATGAGGGGAGAAAAATGTTAAACCTCTATTTTATAGACAATAATTATTTTTTACCTCTAAATTGAGGATGATACTTTTATAAGAACCTTCTATTTTATATACAGATAGATTATAAGGGCCTTACATTATAAAAGACGATAACTTTACCTAGGTTCATTTCGCCCTACTAGGTATGTTCCTTTCGCCCTACTAGATATGTTCCTTTCGCCCTACTAGGTATGTTCCTTTCGCTCTACTAGGTATGTTCCGTTCGCCCTACTAGGTATGTTCCTTTCGCCCTACTTGTAGTGTGGAAAAACTATCTATAGAAGGACATTTTAAAACCTCTTTTTTATACACATTTAATTAAGGTTTCTATAATTCACCGTCCTTATAGTGAACAAAGTTTAGATAAATACACATCCTTCCTATAAAAATTATTGTAGCCAGGTCAGCCTTTGTAAATTAGAAATTCCTCTATTTCACTGCCTATAAAATAGAAGAAAATATATTTTTATTTCCAAAATTTTTAAAAATTTTTAATTTTATCCAATTCCGAGTGCTAAAGCATTTATATTTTATTCTTTACTTAATACTTCAAAAAATAGTAATAATCTTAGATTTTTCTTCATAATTATTAAATTATATATTTAAATTGCCCAAATATTCTTTTCAAAAAAAATATTTGTAAAAATATGAAAATTAAATTAAAGACCTCTATTTAGCGTACATTTTCGCATAATATAATGGACTTTGAAAAAGACTTTGAATGGACCCCTCGATGGTATGAACTCTTGATAGGGGAGACTCTCAATAATAGAGACTTTCGATAGTGGAGACTCCCTAATTAACAGACTCTCAATATTAGAGACTCTCAATAGTATGGACTCCCTAATTAACTGACTCTCGATAGTAGAGACTTTTTGGAGACATCGATCATCTATCAACATAAGTCTCTTATAAAGGGAGTTAAAAATATTTTTAAAAAATTTATCCATAAAATAGAGGTCTATAAAGAATTTAAATATAAATTATTCTTAAAAATTCCTCTATTTCACTTGTGTATATTTTTATTTCCCTCAACTGTGATATATTGCAATGAATAAATTTATTTAACACAAAATTAATTATATTTTATTTTTCCTCAAAAATATTTTCCAATTTTTATTTAAATTTTCTTTTGTTTAATTTTTTAAAATAAACTGCCTTTTTTCTTTTTTTTTGTGGAATTTATTTATTGGGGGAGAAGGAAAACAAAAATTGCAACGTTTCATTTATACGTTGAGAGTAAATAAAATAAAATATATTTTATAAGAGTGGTAAGCCAGTCAATAGCATAAACTGAACGGGGAAAGGAAATTATGATTATTCTCGATATTTAATTTAAAAATCAATTGCTTCCTTCTCGAATTTCATTCATTCAAAAAATTTTTTTAATTTATAAGACATTTTATAAAGGCCACTGGTTTTAGACTAGAGACAGGATGGAGTGTCATGTGAGAATCGAGAATCTCGAAAAATTCTCGATCTCGATAACCGAGATTTTCTATTGAGATCTCGTCTCGGTTCGGTCTCTACTAATGACTGACTTCCGCTTTGACTGACTTCCGCTTTGTTTATATTTTTATTGTTATCGTTTGATAGGGGACCTTCTATTTACTTCCTATTGCGAATTCCTATACTTCCCCCTCTCTAAATAAAGTGAGGGAAGTCTCTCGTTAAAAGTAAATTTTCCGTGGAGGTTCTATCTTATACAAATGATAAATAATCATAACTATTTTATTCGAATAACGTCCGTACAATGGAGGTTTTATCAAATTGAGAATTTTCAAGAATACTATTGTAAATTACCGTAGCTTAGAAACTTCCTTGACACACTCCATACTCAAATAGCCCTCTCAGTTTTTATTGTCATAGTGTATTTTAATTTAAAAGTTCTTTAGAGTCTAGCCTCTCCTTTTTATTCCCTTCTCCACAAACTTTGCTGTTTCCTCTAAAATCACTTCAACAATGTCTAAAGGCACAGTTTTGGTTACTGGAGCAGCCGGATTTATCGGCTCACATACAGTTCTGCAATTATTGGAGGCGGATTATGAAGTTTTGGCACTAGATAATTTTAGTAATTCCATTCCTCAAGGTTTCTGGGAATTTTAAAATTTAATCTTTATATTTAAAAATTTTAGATGAAGGGAAGAATAATGCTGTTAGTTTGCAAAGAGTTTCTGAATTGACTGGAAAGGCTATAAAGTAAAAATAACTTTTTGCGGATAATAATTGCGGACAGTTCCCCTTATAATTTGTCCGCAAAAACTTTGCGGATTTTAAATACACTCAAATTTGTCCGCATTTTAAGCTTCATTTTTTTAAGTTCCCGCAGAATTCTGTCCGCAAATATTTTGCGAATTTTTTTCCCTCAGAAATTTTGTCCGCAAAAATTTTGCGTATTTTTTAAAATTTAAAATTTTTTTTAGATTTTTCCAAGCTGACGTTCTTGATTTACCGAAATTAGAAGAACTTTTTGAAAAGGTCAAAATTAATTTAAATAATTATTTTTTCTATTTTTTAGGAAAAATTTCGGTCAATTATTCATTGTGCTGCTTTAAAATCTGTTGGTCAGTTAATTAATTTTATTTCCTTCAATTTTTATTTTTAATTTTAGGGGAATCTGTGGCTAAACCTTTGGACTATTATAACAACAATATTGTTGGCTCTCTTAATTTAATTAAGGTTTCTATTAAATTTTGAATATTTTGCGGACTTATTTCTGTCAATGAATTTGTCCGCAACTAAACTTGCGGACAATATTTGCAGATTTTCTAGGTTGAAAATTGAATTAGCCTTTAAAATTAACTCATAAATCTTTTAGAACTTATGCTGGTTGCTTTTTGAAAATCATAAAAAAAATCCGCAAATGATGTCCGCAAATAATGTCCGCAAATATTGTCCGCAAAATTCGAAAATATTTTTAAAAAATTTCTTTTTATATTTTCGTAGTGTTGTCAAAAATTCAATGTCAAAGAATTTATTTTCTCGAGTAGTGCAACTGTTTATGGAGAACCAGAGTCTTTACCTTTAACTGAGGAAAGCCGTGTTGGTTTGGGAATTACTAACCCTTATGGACAAACTAAATTTATGGTTGAACGAATTCTTATGGATTTGAAACGAGCTGAACAGGTTTTTCTGAACTTTAAATCTTGGGATTAAAGCAAGTCATTTTTGGATTTTTTTCAGTTAAATAATTTTTTTGCGGACAAAATTTCCATTTGCGGACAGTTTAACTACCCTCTCATTTCTTGTAGATTTTTGTGACATTCTTTCTCATTCTCATTGTTACCCGCTAAAATTTTTATTAAAAAGTCTGTGAATTGTCCGAAAATTTTGGGAATTTGGAGGGCCATATCTTGGCCAGATCAAATCACGGGCAAAAACGGCACAAAATCCTTGCTAGAAAGGGCACATTCTCTATCGAATAAGCCCGGTCTCGACCGTTTTTAGGTCGGACACCTCGCAACCTTTCCTTGTTAGTTTTAATAAATTCAAAAATTATTTTTTAAAAGGACTGGAAAATTTCAATTCTTCGTTACTTCAACCCTGTTGGAGCACATCCAAGTGGTTTAATTGGTGAAGATCCTCAAGGAATTCCGAACAATTTGGTTTATTTTAAAATTTATTTTTTAATTTATTTTTAAAGATGCCTTACATCGCAAAAGTAGCTGTTGGTAAATTGCCTCATTTAAATATTTTTGGAACAAATTATAATACTCCTGATGGTACTGGAGTTCGTGATTATATTCACATTGTTGATTTGGCTAAGGTTTTTTTTAAATTTCTTTTTCTGATGGTCAGACAAATTGTTTTTTTTTTTCAATTTTTCATCCAAAAGTTTATTGCTTGAAAAAATTTTTTGATGTCAAATTGAGAATTAAATTAATTTATCCCCAAGGTTTCCGATTGACTTTTAGAATTTAGATTTACTAACTGGTATTTGGTTTTTAAAATATTTTTAATGTCTCTGGGAAAGAAAAGGTCATATCGTGTCGTACATATCGTTGCAAAATTACCCAACATACTATTTTTTAGAGCTAAAAATGATTCTGGGTTTTGCTATTAATTTACGCTTCTTTAAAAAATGATTTATTTTTTAAGGCTCACGTTTCTGCACTAGATAATATTGGCAAAGATATACCAAAAGGGAGTAATGGAGAAGAATTGGCAGAAATTTACAATTTGGGAACTGGAAAGGGATATTCTGTTGGTTTTCTTTGAATGAAAAAAATTATTTAAAAATTTTAGGTCAAAGAAATGGTTGCTGCTTTAGAGAAGGCGTCAGGGAAAAAGGTTCTAATTTTCTTTAATTTATTTTAATTTCTTTCCCTTCTTTTAAAGTTAGCAGTAAAAGAAGTAGAGCCTCGCCCTGGAGATTTGGCTATTTTATATTGTGATCCTTCTTTGGCACTCAAAAAACTTGGATGGAAAGCGGAATATGGAATAGACGAAATGTGCAGGGACACTTGGAATTGGTGTGTTAAAAATCCTGATGGATTTGCCAAAAAGGCAGAATGAGGGGTTTTTTGGAGATTTCTTTTCTTTTTACCCGGTTGTTAATTCTTTAAAATTTAACTTTTCTTTCTTAAATGCCTTTTTCTTTATAATTATTTAATAAGGTTATTCACTACTGATTATTAACCGGCATCTGATTATGAGTCTTAAGGATTTTATTTTGGGTGAATTTTTTTAAATCTCAAACGTCTTCGGTTTTAAAATCAGTCATGAATGATTCTAAATATTTAACTCTTTATTTAATTAATTTTCTTAATTTATTTTTGGATTTTTCTTGTAATTTAAAAGTTATTATTGTGATTGTTTTGTTGAAAATAACAAATAAATTATTCTAAAATTAAAATTCAAGATTTTGATCCATCTATGGTTTCATTTGGAACAGATAACTTTTGAAAAGCAAAAACTTTATACATTGTAATTACTTCCCATTCACTTTTTGAAATTGTGCCCTGAAAAAAAAAGAAAATTTTTTAATCCCTCGAAAATCATTCCAAAGTCTAGGTTTCAAAAAATTTTTGGGCTTTATTTAGGTTTTCCTTAATTAAGGTTCTAAAATCCGACACTAGAATATCTTTCAAGAATTTAAAAATTAATTAAATTAGCATGTGAATCCTTAAAAAATCTCCTTGAAAATCCAAAAAAAACCCCTTCCCCTCCAATAAACTAACCACTCTTTCCTCGTTTCCACTCTTCAATTTAGTAATTGCCGGTCCAAATTCTTCCTCATCTGCTTCAGAAAATTTGTTTTTGTCCAAAATCTCCAAAGCATCCATTTTCTGCATTAAATCAATTGCTTCATTTCCTCTCTCTTTTAAATAATTATTTATGGCATCGGGAAAATCATATTCATAAATTAATTGAAAGCCCATTTCTTCTAAAATTCTAAAAAAAAAGTTGATTTTAAATCTAAAGAAAAAGGGGATGAAAAAATTGAAAGTAGAATAAATTCTAATAATCGGACCTCATTAAAAGAGGATCTCCAGAATTAGCCAGGTGCCTAGCTTATATAAAAATAAATTTTCGAGAATCGGGTTCCGTGTTATGTATACTTTTTTTAAATAAAAAATCTGGTTGGACACTAGATGGGGAAAGGAGGCTGCCTAACAAATAGGAGAGATACCATGGATACACTTGATTCAAGATACAAACGATTTTTCAGCCCAAGGAGTATCTTATAGAGTAATGAGGACAGATTATTCACTTAAAAATTTTTAGTGATTTTCTAATTCCAAAAACTTTAAGTTTATAAAATATATAAAAAAATACTTTTGAAGCAGAGGAAAGTAGCACAAATATTCTGGGCAGTCAACAACCCCCTCCAATCTAAAACGAATTTCAGCGCCAAACGGAGGAATTGGGGATTCTTCATCTAGAGAGAAATTATTTCCCAAAGAAACACTGCAAACACGATTAGAAAAATTGCCAGCAGATTTACGCAGATATTGACTAAAATTTTTTTAATTAAAAAAATTCCTTTAGACAGGGCCGTAACCAAGGGAGATCCCACTCTTGCCCCCCTCCCCCGAAATGAGGGAAAAGGAAAAAATTTTGGGAGGGGATTGAGGAAAAAAGTGAATTGCCTAAGTCCTTCTGAACTTCTTCCCACCTTGGCCCCTCCCCTCTCGAAAAAAAATTCCTGGTTACGGGCCTGCCTTTAAAAATTTAAATTTTTCCCTTACACAATAGCTGAAGCATTTGTAATTGTCCCAATAAAATATCCCCCAACTTGAATCATTTTTGTACAATTTTCAAGCATTTTTCGAGCACATTGTTCAGAACGGAAAGCATAATGAAGTGCAAATTGACAACTGGCAATTTCAAATTGTTTAGGTGCTTCTTTTGGTAAACAGTCAGGAAGATCGACCTATTAAATAAAAAATTTTAAATTAAATTTTGGAGAAATTTTGGGGAAAAAATTTAGAAGTCTTTAAAAATGGCATAAAAACCAAAAAAATTAAAGGGCAACCTCGCAAAAGGGGTGGGCTAGATATAACACATTTCCTCATTATACGGCCACGCCTAAAAGGCCCCAAACTGTTGAGAATGCATATTTTTCTCTTTGGACGAAGTTATGGCCATACAAGTTTTGTCTAGACGAAGTTTTGGTAATTCGGAGTTCTGCCCCTGGCAATCCCGGAGAATTGGGGTTTCTTCGAAAAAAAAGTTTAAAAATAAGAAAAAGCAGGTAGAACTGCAGGTAGAACTCATCGAGATGCATCGAATGACACCAAAATCGATGAAATCCGACATGATTGGACCGAGATACAGACCCCGGAATATTGAAAAACCACAGGGGTGATTTTTTGGAGTAAAAAAAATTTGTACAAATGATAGCTCATTCGAAAGAGCTCGTCGAGCTGAGTCGAGTGACACCAAAATTACAGTGCTTCATCAAGTTTTGACAAAGTTATGACATAAGTCGCCGACTCCTACAGTACTCCCATAGGTATACTTTTTGTCATAACTTTGTCAAAACTTTACCGATCACTGTGATTTTGGTGTCATTCGATGCAGCTCGACAAGCTCTTTCGAATGAGGTATCATTTGTATATTCGAAATTCGGGTTCAGGGTTCGAAATTTGGTTCGGGTCCGGGATTCGACTTCTTCAAAATCTGAGTTCAGATTCGTGATCAGCATATTTTTTTACCCTAGAAAAATCCTTTTTCTTATTTTTAAACTTTTTATTCGAAGAAACCCCAATTCTCCGGGATTGCCCTGCCCCTCACACCCGAATTCAACGGACAGGGTTTGGACTTATTTAAAATATTTTTATTTAAAAAACAAAAAAATTACTTCAATTAAATCAGCCTGTACAAAATGAGCATTGAAAGGTAAACGTCTTGTCTTCCGATCTCTCATCCTGTTAAAACGATCTCTGCAATCTTGAAGAGAAACTTCAGCTATGTCTTTAAAGACTAATTTTAATTTAAAAAAATATTTAAAATAAACCAATCATAACAATTTCATCGATTCCTCCAACACGCCATTTTCGAAGATCCCCACCTTTACCACAAGCCAAATCGAGTACTCTTATTTGTTCCGAACCAAATTTTTCGCTTTGTGATTTTAATCTATCAAGTGTGTCAGCTAGAAAAATTGGGGAAAAAATTTAGAAATTTTCTGGGGAATTTGGGGATTGATAAAGAATTAATGGGGAAGACATTTGATCCCACAAATCTCTTTCCAACAAATTTCTTAAAATAAATCAAAACTCAAACCTATTAACATACTCTTCATCCAATTATTCAAGTTTCTAAGGTGAAGAATGCTGCTATTATTTCTTTTTTGAATTCCAATCTCAGGGATCGCATTATAATGTGAAGCAACTAAAGAGGATGAAGGGAGTGAAATATCTTCATTTTTAAGATTTTCTGAAGTGTTGTTAATTAATTTGCTTAAATCAGCCATTTAAAAAATTCTACCAAAAAAATAAAATTAAAAAAAGTCAAACAATTAATTAACAACTTCCCCATAGTTCAACAAACTTTTTATCTTGCCATAGAACGGTCATTAAAAATGTTCAAGACTCAACTGTCCAAGACTCAAAATAAATAAATTATTTGTGTCTGCCATTAAAAATTAGTGTTAAATAGAGAAAATAATTAGAGGAAATATAGAGAGAGATAAAGAGAAAAACAAAGAAAATATAAAATATAAAAATGATATATAGATAAAAAGAAATGAGAAGAGATAATGTAGTTTTTAATATATTCTCGGTCAAATCCATAACTGACATTTTGTATTGATTTTTTAAGTTTACATAAATTGGTGATGATTTTATTTTATGAGGCAAACTAAGTTTTGATGGGGATCTTTTTTGTAAGATCCGATTTTTGGGTTGATGTTTGTGTTTAATTAATGTGTTTGAGATGTGTGTATGTGATTTTGAGTAGTACTGCAAGTTGTTGTTTTGTTTTAAATTTTGACTATGTTGTGGTTTTTTTTGTTGTTGTGATGTTTGATTGTTTTTGTTGTTTTCTGATGTTTGTTTGCTGTTTGTTGAGTTTTCTTTTGTTTTGTTGATAATAACTTTAATGAACAAAACATGTTTTAAATGTTTTTGGATTTTGTTTGTGTTTTTCATGTTTATTTCTAATTCTGATTTTTTGTGTTTTTATTTTGGCGCAATTCCTATTCGTTGTATTTATTCTACGGCCTAACACCTCTTTTGGTGATTTTTGCACTTCAAAACATGCTAAAAACAAGAGGCAACATTTTGCCAAAAGACTTCGCCCTAACTCAAAAATTTTTTTATTTCAAACTTAAAGGGTAAAAAGCAAGTCATTGAGAAAAATTTTGTAGTTTAAAGCTACAAATCAAATAAAAGGAAACCTATCAACCAAACAAACATTTTTATTTATCACATACAACGAAAAAAAAACATCGATACAAACAAATTATTTAGACAACACAAGCTAATAAAATATACCTATACATATTTACTACAAATAACAAAATAAATTTTGAATTTATTTTCTTTCCCCTTTTCTTTCATCAACACCAATCGAACGGTTCTTTTAAGGTGCACCTCTTGCGTTTTGCCACTCGTTTGACCATAAGACAAAGCCAGTCAAAATCCATTTTATTAGCATATTCTTTTTTGGTCAAATAATTCATAATCTGCCTCAATTCCAAAAACTGAAAAAAACAAAAATAAATTATTTAACACATTTGTTCGAAAAACCTCCTGTCCTGGAAACAGTTTTTCAGTATTTTTGAAAACTTCTTCCTTCATATCTGCAACCACTTCAACATTTGTTTCATATCGCCAAGGAACATTTGCCCGCAGAATTAAATCAGCCAAAGAATAAATCCAACTCTCAAGGTCGTCCTTAAAGCCAGATTCCATGCCACTATGCATTGCACGGGGAGCGAACTTGACGGTTCCTTTAAACTGCACCTGTAAAATCAAAAAAATTTGTTTTTTAGTCAAAAAAGGAAATCGAACTAGCCTTTTTTCTAGGAATTTCGAGCTTCCCATCAGTTCCAACAATCTTCCGGGAATTTCCGTAGTCTATAATATGCACAATATTTTTAGAGCTTGTTTTTGACCGGCCTAAGACGAAGTTGGATGGCTTAATGTCACGATGAACAAAGCCTAAAGCATGGAGTTGTTTTATCGATTCAAGCATTTGGATTCCACAGTAAAGGCCAGAATTGATACTGAAAAAAAATTTTTATTTGGATAAACCCCCCCTTTTTAGACCTAAGGATTTTCGTGGGCTGTTTAGCCTTGATATCAGCTAGAGAGTCGCCTAGAAGCGAAATTACAAGAAACATCGATGTTGGCGATTCAATACTTCGGTCATACAGAACAGGAAAATGCTGTTTTTGTTCTTTCGATAGAGTTGAAGCAGCTTGCAAAACTTTAAGTTCCATTTCAAGTTTGAAGAAATTTTTGTTTGGTCGTCTTTTCTCCTCTTTCAGGGCAAACAATGACTTATCACCCCAGGTTGCTCTGATTTGGTAAACAGCGGCGAAAGGCCCAAACGAGAGGTTTTTTAGCACATTATAGGTTTTACCACTCAAACTAAAATTATTGAAATTATTAAGATAGGGATGGTATTAAGATTATAAAGGAATCATAAGCTTATGGTAAAAATTTTACCAAGTTATAAGATCGCCAGCCTGTATTCCTGTAGGTGTTGGTGTAGAAACTTCAGGCACTGTTGGTTGACGTTGTTGCTGAAGGTGATGATTTTCCGGTGGCTCTTGAAGATGTTGTCGATTCACGCGTGTCCAGTCGATGGATTCGCGGTTAAAGTGCGTCGGTAAATTTGACATTTCTTATTTGAGAAGGGTTGTTTGAGAAGGGTTGAGAAGGGTTTGCGTGTTTGTTTGTTTGTCTGTTTGTCCTTTTATAGACACGTGGATGTATAAAAGCAGGCTATTTTGATCATTCCTCAACTGCTTTCAACAATTCAACTCTGCTGTGCTCTGTTCTACGTCTACTTTTGCTGGAGTCTTGTGTCCTGTTGAGCTAGGCGTCAACGTTCATGTGTCAAGTGCTAGACGTCAACGTTCATGTGTCAAGTGCTAGACGTCAACGTTCATTTTAAGTGCTAGGCGTCAACGTTCATGTGTCAAGTGCTAGACGTCAACGTTCATGTGTCAAGTGCTAGACGTCAACGTTCATTTTAAGGGCTAGGCGTCAACGTTCATGTGTCGAGTGCTAGACGTCAACGTTCATTTTAAGGGATAGGCGTCAACGTTCATGTGTCAAGTGCTAGACGTCAACGTTCATTTTAAGGGCTAGGCGTCAACGTTCATGTGTCAAGTGCTAGACGTCAACGTTCATTTTAAGGGCTAGGCGTCAACGTTCATGTGTCAAGTGCTAGACGTCAACGTTCATTTTAAGGGCTAGACGTCAACGTTCATGTGTCAAGTGCTAGACGTCAACGTTCATTTTAAGGGCTAGGCGTCAACGTTCATGTGTCAAGTGCTAGACGTCAACGTTCATTTTAAGGGCTAGGCGTCAACGTTCATGTGTCAAGTGCTAGACGTCAACGTTCATTTTAAGGGCTAGGCGTCAACGTTCATGTGTCAAGTGCTAGACGTCAACGTTCATTTTAAGTGCTAGGCGTCAACGTTCATGTGTCAAGTGCTAGACGTCAACGTTCATTTTAAGGGCTAGGCGTCAACGTCCATGTGTCAAGTGCTAGACGTCAACGTTCATTTTAAGTGCTAGGCGTCAACGTTCATGTGTCAAGTGCTAGACGTCAACGTTCATTTTAAGGGCTAGGCGTCAACGTTCATGTGTCAAGTGCTAGACGTCAACGTTCATTTTAAGTGCTAGGCGTCAACGTTCATGTGTCAAGTGCTAGGAGTATATTGAAGCAGCGGGAATTGTGAAGCAGGCGGAATATTGAAACAGGGGGAATTGTGAAGCAGGCGGAATATTGAAACAGGGGAAATTGTGAAGCAGGCGGAATATTGAAGTAGCGGGCAGGCGGAATATTGAATGTGAAGCAGGCGGAATATTGAAGTAGCGGGCAGGCGGAATATTGAATTGTGAAGCAGGCGGAATATTGAAGTAGCGGGCAGGCGGAATAATGAATTGTGAAGCAGGCGGAATATTGAAGTAGCGGGCAGGCGGAATATTGAATTGTGAAGCAGGCGGAATATTGAAGCAGGGAGCCTTTTTTCTCTTTCAAAGTATTGGCTTCCACAGCTTGGTACTTCAATGCGCTTGTAGGGCGCTGTACTTTAATGCGCTTGTACTTCTTTCTGAATTTGGCATAAATAAATGCCATTCTGCTCCAAGAGAGCGTGTACATCCGTTCGTATCTTTACATTTCTTTGCTGGCTTTGGGTTTTGCCTTGGACGTTTGCGACGTTAGTGATTACTTTTTTGGCGAATTTGAAATATTTTTTAAAAACTACACCATATATCATTTTAAAATTCACAGAAAAGCTGAAGTTGACTTGGTGGTCGTGTTGAATTCTTCATTGTTTTTCTGTGCTGATGTTTTCTAGGAGTTGGCGTCATCTGTTGTTGTACAAACAAACATGCTTTTTTAATATCTAAATTGAATTGCTATCAAGATTGGCTTCTTCTATGGACACTTCCAAGCAATATCTCCTTTAAAAATATTCTTTTAAAAATCTCTCCTCTTCTAGATTATCTACTATATCCACTGTGCTCACACGAACGAACTTCACAAACAAAAGAAAGTACAAGAGAAGATAAGGCTAAAACACTTCAAGCCCAATAACCAAAGGGTGTATGTTGGGTGGAGGGGAGCAATTTGCAGTGTGATAGTAATTATGTCACAAAGAAACGTGACATGTCTACTAAAATTTATAAGCATAACTTATTAAAATAATATTTAACGAGTCTGTATCGACATCAAGATTTAAAAATTATTAAATACATTTTAAAAATTTATATTAACAAGTTTACCAGAACTTATAAATATTATTAAGTCCTTTCATAAGAGGACTGGCTTTGGATAAAGGGCGCAATTTAATTTAATTTGAATTAAACATTTTATATTAAGTAAACTTGACTAAAAATATAAATGATTCTAGAGCTACATACAAGGAGAAGTTTTTTCAAAGGATTCTTTTTCTAATACATATTTAAAAACATTACAAGTACATCAAAATTTCTTGAGTATAACTTTATTTAAAAGTTTTTCTAAATATATTTTGTAACTAGTCAGTACCGTTGATTAAAAAATCGGGTGCAGTAACTTTATTTTACTCGTCTTTAATTATGATTATACTCAACTAATATACAGTAGTCGACAAAAAGATAGGGACAAACGCAAGTGAAACGGAAATCACCTATTTTCTCACCTAAAAATCGATTTCAGGAAAATTTTTTTGTTTGATTAGATACTCCATTCAGTCGTCTATTTAATAAGTAGAAAATTTGCCTGATTAATATTTTATGAAATCCAACCCATATTGAAAAACAAAAGGTATGCTATTTTAAGCGCGACAAAAAGATAGGGACAAGTCTTGTAACTAAGTTTTCATAAAAGCAAAAAATCTGAAAAAATTTGTATAAGCATAATGATTGATACTAAGTTGAAATAAAAAAGAACTAAGTCCATATCTCATTTGGTTGTCGAGATCCCGATACCCCAAAAATCAACGTAAAACAGGGGTAAGCAACTTCAAAAATTTTTTTCAACCCCTTATTGATTGTTTTATTTTTTCAAAAAAATTTCACTCCAGAGTTAAAGGACGACGATTCTCCAAAACGCTGTTTATGAAGGAATTTATGGGGCGCTTGTTGTTTTTTGTGACATTAGCCTCTACAGCTAACGAAATATTTTTTTCTGAAAAATGAAATTTGGCTAGTTTATAGCAAATTTCATGGGCTATCGAATAGGCTCAAAATAAAAATTTTAAAAAATCCATAAGGGGTTGAAAATATTTTTTGAAGATGCTTACCCCTGTTTTACGTTGATTTTTGGGGTATCGAGATCTCGACATTGAAATGAGATACGGGCCTAGTTCTTTTTTATTTTATCTTAGTATCGATAAGTATGTTTGCACGAATTTTTGTAGATTTATTGGTTGGGTGACTACTTAGTTACAAGACTTGTCCCTATCTTTTTGTCGGGCTAAAATTTGCAGTACTTTTTTATTTCAATTATTTCAGTATATCAAAAAATAATAATACGCCAGATCTTATACTCATTAAATAAAGCATTAAATGGCGTATTTAATCAAACAAAAAATTTTTCCTGAAATCGATTTTTAGCTGAGATAATAGGTAATTTTCATTTTACTTGCGTTTGTCCCTATCTTTTTGTCGACTACTGTATTTATGATATAATATAATATATTATATTAAGTAAATTGTTAAAAATTTCTTTACTTTTCTCCTAACAAATTTTTTTTTACAAATGTGAGACTAAGAGGTGTTTTGTAGCAAATTTTAAGGGCTTTCAAATTAGCCTATAGAAAAATTTAAAATATACACTTAACAAGAATAACCTTGTTTTAAATTAAATTCTGCAGGAATTGAACTGGTAAAATTTGTTGGATTTTCATTTTTAATTGGATTCCTCAGTGTTCTTCACAATTGAACAGTTTATGGTACATGCGGAAAAAAACTACAAAAATATCTCAATTTAAAATTCTCCGTTAAAATATTCAGGGAGTTAACGGCCGAGAAATTGAAGGGTATATTTGGAGGTTTTGATCATTTTTAATGTAAAATCAGATATGCCTAAAATAAAATTTTTAATTTAATCTCTAGGGGGTTAAAATATTTTTTAAGTACTGTACCCCAATTTTTCGTTGATTATCAAGATATGAGATCTTGATGAAGAAATAGGTTACAGACTTTGTTTTTTTATTTTTTCTACTCAGTATCGATGTAAATTTTCAGAAAATTTTTTATAGAATTTTTGACCGAAACTAAAGTCGATATTTTTAATTTTAATTAGCTTTGTCCTATCTTTTTTCCATCCCAAAAATTGAGTTGTATGTATTTTAAATGTTTTGTAAAAGTAAAAGGTAATATTTGTAGTCATTTGATAGAGGATAAATTACTCAATAATTTTTGTCAATTTTTTCTCCTATAAGTTTAAAATTCGAAAGATAATTTAGTAAAGGAAAAATTGGTGCTTTTGGTCCTCTTCTTTTCCGGCACAGTATGTAACAAATAGAAGTAGCTTTTTGCGCGCTCAGTAAATAAGAGCGTTTAAAAAGCTACTAAACTGTTCATAAAAATTTTTTTAACTTTAACTTTTTTTTAATCTTTTTATATGTATGTAGAAATTTGAAATTAATTTTACAAATTTTCAAAGGTTGTAACCTGAAACTTTTAACGTTAAGGCAAACTTTGGTCTTCATTTCTGGGTACTTTTCCGTTATCATTAAAAATGCTTTTAAATGCCATGAATACGGAGAAAATACGGCTCTACTCCAGTTTATGCGTCCAATCGACTTTTATGCGTCCAATGAAAGTTTATGCGTCCAATCAAACTTTATGAGTCCAATTAAAAAATAATTGGATTTTTCTTGGTATTGCCAGGTTGGGGTATGGGTCCAAAGAATTTTTTCATGTTCGGGACCTACGCCCACTGGGTCTGGGACCGTTCCTTACCCTATCTCTCGAAATTTCGAAAAGTTATAGCCAATTTTTAAAATTTTCAGAAAACAATTATGACTTTCCGAAATTTCGAGGGATAGGGTAAGGAACGGTCCCAGACCCAGTGGGCGTAGGTCCCGAACATGAAAAAATTCTTTGGACCCATACCCCAACCTGGCAATACCAAGAAAAATCCAATTATTTTTTGATTGGACTCATAAAGTTTGATTGGACGCCTAAACTTTCATTGGACGCATAAAAGTCGATTGGACGCATAAACTGGAGTAGAGCCCAAAATACTTATATGTTTCTACTGGTCATAGACATTCCGAATCAATCAAAAAATTTCCTATATTAAAATTTTTGAAAATACTCGCGAAATTTTGAAAATTTAAATTCTCGATTTTTGGCCGAAATTTAACTTTTGTTCAAACGAGTCGTTGTCAATAAGGCTTAAACCCACGTTATAATCACAATTAAACGTGAATTGAGACTGACGGAGACCGACGTTCAGTAGTTTTTTTATAAATTAGTCAGCCCGTTAGGGACAACATTATATATTAATTCTCTTGGAGAAAGAAATAATTGTACATTTTAGTAAAATATAAATAAGCTTTTAATTGAAATAATTAATATTATGTAAAAATATTTCAATTTAAAAAAATTTCGATTTTTTGAAATTTGGAAAATTTGCTTAAAAACTTTTTGAGAAAACAATTTTTAATTTTAAAATTAAAAATTTGATTAAAAAATTAAAATACTCCAAGCTAAAATAATTTACCCCTCAAGTAAATTTGCTTGTTTCAGCAGCATTTTCAAACTCAAACGAATTTTGTCCCGGATTGCTAGATGCTATTAAACAAAAAACGGTACTATCGCATTATCCGCACCCCAATTTTTCCCCTTTTCCTTCCTTGTTTTTCTCCTTCTCATTTATCGTGTCGACGCAGACAAATCACAAAATTCACCTGAGGCCTGTTTCAATTAGCATCACGATCAACTCTAGAATTCCCCGTTTCATTTTTGCTCTTAAACATAGGAACAAGTGCTTTGTGGTCAGTTAGAACACGTGTGGGTATCCTAGTTATAAATTGCGCAAATTTCTTAGCTCCAAAACGAACTGCTAGAGCCTCTAATTCAGTTGGACAATAGCGCTCTTCGTGTTTATTACATTGTCTGGACGCAAAATAAATTGGCCTAATTCTATCGTTTTCATCAGGTTGACAAAGAACTGCAGAAAGACCTATCTTACTTGCATCTGTCATTATAATAAACGCTCTTTTTGGATTTTTCACAGCACTTTCAAAATCTGGGAAGTAAAGCAAAACATCCTTAATTATTTTCTCTTTTAATGTTTGGATAGCCTCTTTTTCTTTTTCCCCAATTTTAAAAACTGCATCTTCTCGTACTAATTGAAAAAGTGGTTTTGCAATTGCGCCAAAAGAGTAAATGAATTTTCGGTAATAAGTCATAAATCCTAGTAAAGATCGAAGTTCCTTCTTTGTTTTAGGAATTGGAAGATCTAGCACCGGTTTAATTTTTTCAGCATCTTTCTTTATTCCTTCAGGGGTTAAAGTGTGACCGAGGAAGGGAATTTCTTCAGCAGCAAATTTGCATTTAGAAATTTTTAATTTTAAGCCAGCCATTTTAATTCTCTCAAAGACAAGTTTTAAATGTTTCTTGTGTTCGTCGAACGAGTTTGATGCTATTAGAATGTCATCGATATAAACAAAAACAAAATCATTTATTTGATCCTCAAAAAGAACTGACATAAATCGCTGAAATGTGGCAACTGCATTAGCTAGACCAAAAGGCATTACTAAGAACTCATGTAACCCAAATTCAGTAATAAACGCAGTTTTATTGATCGAATCTTCATCCATTTTAATTTGCCAATAACCCGACATAAAATCAAGAGTAGAGAAAATTCTTTTATTTCCCAGCATTAGAAGAGTATTGTCAATGTTTGGTAAAGGAAACGCGTCTTTTTCGGTTACCGAATTTATCCCTCTATAGTCAACGCAAAATCTCAAACTTCCATCCTTTTTTGGCACAATCACAATTGGACTTGCATAAGGAGAGTGGGAAGGTCGCACAATTCCACGCCCTAAATAATCTTGCAACATTGCGGCTATCTTCTCTCTATATGCATAAGGAACTGGACGAAGACGAGATCTAATCGGTTGATTGTTTTCGAGGCGTATTTCATGCTTTACTAGATTTGTTTGCGTAAGTTCTTCATCTCTTAAAGCAAAAATTTCTTCGAACTCATTAACAATCTCAATTAATTCAGAATATTGATTTTCTTTCAATTTTCCTGTATTCTTTTCTAATTGCAACTTAAATTCATCCTTTCTTTCTTTTTGTTCGGTGCTTAAGTCAAGAGTTGTACCACCCACGAAATTTACTTTAACATCTTTAGAATCCCAATCAAAATAAAGAAAATTTTCTGCTTCTCCGTATTGATTTACAGTTTCAACTTTTCCAATACTTTCATTTTCTTTCAACCTTATTGGGAGCTCTGATGTATTTGTAATTGGCACTACAACTTTTCCTTTTTCGCCGCACCCTAGCGTTGGTTCTATTCTTATCTCGCTTTCTTCCTCTTGCGCTATAAGAATTTCCTTTCCTTCAAATTCTTTTTCGATCCGCGTTTCAACTAATTTAGTAGAGCGAGGTGGTATGGTTGTGTGGAAAATAATTTTAACGGCACCAGATTTTTGTCGCTCTGCTTCTTGAAAGTTAATCATCTCATCATTTGGTTCATCATAAAGTTTAAAACCTAGGTCTTTTAAACAATTAGTTCCAAAGAAAAGCTCGTAACCAAAGGGTGCTTTAGTGATGTGCGCTCGGATGTAAGTTTCATTCATACCATTTCTTTTAATTGGTAAATTGACAACACCGAGGGAGTTCACTTTATTTCCATTAACGTCCAAAACTTGTTCAGCCGATTTAGAAAATTTTAAAGCACTATCATTTAATTTAATTTCATTTGACTTAAGTAAATTCACAAGAAAGCCAGCATTTACGAGAGAAATTTGGGCACCAGGGTCAACGATAGAGAGTGCTTCTTTTCCTAAGACATTTACTCGAAGTGCAATAATTTTTCCAACCAAACCGCTTTTATCTTCGACTGACTTTTCTTCAACGTTCTTATTATCTTTTTCGAAAAATTCAGAAATCTCAGCAGTGTGTACAGCATTGATGTGGGGAATATTGACTTCGTCGAATTGCTCAACTTTAAGCAAATTTTGTTTCAGTTGGTTGCGGAATGGCTGTTTATTGTTAAAATGTTCTCGATTTCCCTTTAGTTCAACACTATTAGAATTAGTCGCAAAATTTCTATTAGCGCCTGAATTTTGATGTGGTACTAACGCTTGAACATTATTTTGGGTAGACGGTTGCCATTTATTTCTACAATCACTCGAATAATGCCCTACTTTTCCACAACTATAACACTTAATTTCTTTCTGTTTACTTGTCCCTTGGTCATAGAATTGCGTTCTTTGAGGTGAATATTGATTAGAGAAATTTTGTTTATTCTCAAGACGGTTATATCGCCTAGAAATTACGCGTTGAGTTGCTTCAGCTCTCGCTGCAAGTGCAATGAATTCATCAAGCGACATAGCATTTCTTCGCGACAATTCGAGGTTGAGAGCTAATTCTGGACTATCTATGCTTCTTATTAGATGTTTAATAGAATATTCGTCATGCAGGTGTGCTGGAAGACCAGGATATGCCCGACGAACTAATCCAGAAATCTTTTCACCTAATTCATCTATAGTTTCATTCCGACCACGATGAACGCCTCTCATAAGTGTGTCAAAGGATTCCATTCCTTTCGAGTCTGTTTCTTCAAGTTGGTTAATAATAAAACGTCGAATCGAGTCGTAACGATAGGGTTCTGAATTTACAGCAGCGTTAAAAGCTCGCTCTGCTCTACCACAAAGTTTAGACTCCAGTAACGTAATACGTTTCTTTTCTGACCAACTTTCTGAAGCAACGTCAAACTTCTTGAAGAATTTCCTTATCCCATCACTTCCCTCATTTCCTTTCAAGTCAGGTATCTTACCTAATACAAGTGCCTGCGTTAAACTTTCAAAAGCATTAATCTGGGGTGCCGGATTTGGTTGCATATTAGGTGGGTACTGGTAGCAAGGCATATACATCATTGGCTGCTGTTGTGGATTAATCGGATATCCAGGAAAGCAAGGTGGAAAACCAGCTTGAACTGGTGGAATCTGAGCAAATTGCGCGTATTGATTGTTTTCAATAAGCGTGCTTGCCATATTTGGTTGGAAACGGGCCTGAGTATTTTGTGCTTTCTTTTCGTTCCCCATTTTATTGATTTTAGTTTTAGTTTGTTTTTGACTACCTTTCTCTTCTTCCAAAAGTTGATCCACTGCTTGCTCATCCAAGCTAACCACATCATCTTCTTCACCATTACCACTTATTAAACTTTCTTCCAGGTTATTTAACTGCTGAGACATGTCTAAAAGAGTGGTGGAAATTTTATTTTTCTTTTTAATCGATTTTTTTGTGGGGGCAAGTTGATTGTTTTCAAAATTTTCTGTGTTCTCTTCAACCTCCTCTTCTAAATTTGGGTCTAAAATTTGTTTCCCATCTTTGTCGAATAAAATTCCCATCTCTTTGGTTTGTTGCCGGGTCATGTGAACTTTGGCCATTAGAAGAATCGATTCTACTCAAGTTTTCCTATCCCACCGAGAGATAACGAAAACCACGAAGGCAACAAAAATTTTCCTAACCCACCGGGGGATAGCGAAAATGGAAGTCGAAAACAAAATTTTCCTATACCACAGAGGTATAGCGAAAAAAAAATTTGAAGGGTTTTTCCTATCCCACAGAGAGATAACGAAAAAAATTTTGTTGAGTGAAGACCACAGAAAATTCTCCACAAAAAAATTTTTTACCCACCGGGGCGTAAAAATTTTAAATTTTACTTTGTCGTTGAAGTGACTCGGTTCAGGAGCGCCAAGTAATGTAGAATACTTTATACCAAATGTAGTCAATAAATTTAAATATATCAATAAGAATATTTATTTTCCAAAATTAAATAAACAACTTCCTTTTAGAAGGGAATACTAGAGTTCGAACTTTTCAAAATGCCGGGCCCGGGACCCGGTTTTTTTTCTCAAAATCGCACCCGGGCCGGGTGCGATTTTGATTTAGCCCGGAAAAACCGGATTTTTTCAGACCCGGGCCGGACCCGGTTTTTTTTTAATTTATTAAAAACATAAAAAAATTATCACACATACAAAGGATCGGAAAACATACAAAGTATCGATTAAATGATAGATGAATCAAAGGATAGATACGCTAAAGGATATATAGCAGAGGTGTCCGCAAGTGAAAAAAAATTTTCCGCAGCCGCAATTTTAATTTTAAAATCCGCAGTCCACAATCCGCAATTTTTGAAATAATTTGTAGTCTGGGAAAATAAGTGGATTTGAAGTATTCGGGAAGCCTCCATGTGATATCAGTGATTTGGAGGGATATAGAAGATTATGAATTTGAAGGGATTCATAGTAATTCCAAATATAATAATAACACCTTAATCCTCCGATTTCCTCTTCAAATCCGACTTTTCACTTAAATCCACTGATGGTGATTATAGGGATATCGACAGAATTAATCCTCCGATATCAATAAAAATGTCTTTTCTTCTTTTCAAGCGCCGCAGGCGAAAATTTGAGAATTTTGAAAAGCCAACAACCAGATTTCTTTCTTTTTTACCGCCGGAGGCAAAAATTTTGAGAATTTTGTAAGGTAGGCAACCAGATTTCTTTTTTTACCGCGGAGCCGAAAATTTTGAGAATTTGTGTGGACAAGGAGCTAAATTTCTTCTTTTTCTAGTGCCGCAGGAGAAAATTTTGAGAATTTTGGAAGGCCAAGGAGCAGAATTTCTTCTTTTTTCAGCGCCGCAGGCGAAAATTTTGAGAATTTCGAAAGGCCAAGAGGCAGATTTTTTCCTTATTCACTGCCGGAGGCGACTCTCCGGGCCCGGCAAAAAATTACCGGGCCCGGGACCCGGTTTTTTTATTCAAAATCGCACCCGGGCCGGTTTTTCCGGATAAAACCGGAAAAACCGGTTAGCCCGGAAAAACCGGATTTTCTCAAAAATACCCGGTTCCGGGCCACCGGGCCCGGAAAAAACCGGTCCGGGCCCGGCCCGGGTTCGAACTCTAGGGAATACAATTTTTAAAAGACTAAACAAATGACAAAAATTAAAAGGGGTGAACAATATTTATAGGGAGAGGGAAAATGTCAAAACAGCAAAAATAAAAAGGGGCGGGGATTTAAATATTTGAAATTAGAGTCTTAATTAAATTTATATTTATAAAATATATCACACTTTAAATATAATTTAGCTCGGTCTAGAGCTTTTAGCTCTCTTCGGCTTAATTATCAGACGCAAGTCTTTAACTATAATTTAGCTCGGTCTAGAGCTTTTAGCTCTCTTCGGCTTAATTATCAGACGCAAGTCTTTAACTATAATTTAGCCGTCTAGAGCTTTTAGCTCTCTTCGGCTTAATTATCAGACGCAAGTCTTTAACTATAATTTAGCCGTCTAGAGCTTTTAGCTCTCTTAGGCTTAATTATCAGACGCAAGTCTTTAATTATAATTTAGCCGTCTAGAGCTTTTAGCTCTCTTAGGCTTAATTATCAGACGCAAGTCTTTAACTATAATTTAGCCGTCTAGAGCTTTTAGCTCTCTTAGGCTTAATTATCAGACGCAAGTCTTTAACTATAATTTAGCCGTCTAGAGCTTTTAGCTCTCTTAGGCTTAATTATCAGACGCAAGTCTTTAACTATAATTTAGCCGTCTAGAGCTTTTAGCTCTCTTAGGCTTAATTATCAGACGCAAGTCTTTAACTATAATTTAGCCGTCTAGAGCTTTTAGCTCTCTTAGGCTTAATTATCAGACGCAAGTCTTTAACTATAATTTAGCCGTCTAGAGCTTTTAGCTCTCTTAGGCTTAATTATCAGACGCAAGTCTTTAACTATAATTTAGCCGTTTAGAGCTTTTAGCTCTCTTCGGCTTAATTATCAGACGCAAGTCTTTAACTATAATTTAGCCGTCTAGAGCTTTTAGCTCTCTTAGGCTTAATTATCAGACGCAAGTCTTTAATTATAATTTAGCCGTCTAGAGCTTTTGGCTCTCTTCGGCTTAATTATCAGACGCAAGTCTTTAATTATAATTTAGCCGTCTAGAGCTTTTAGCTCTCTTAGGCTTAATTATCAGACGCAAGTCTTTAACTAAAATTTAGCCGTCTAGAGCTTTTAGCTCTCTTCGGCTTAATTATCAGACGCAAGTCTTTAACTATAATTTAGCCGTCTAGAGCTTTTAGCTCTCTTAGGCTTAATTATCAGACGCAAGTCTTTAACTATAATTTAGCCGTCTAGAGCTTTTGGCTCTCTTCGGCTTAATTATCAGACGCAAGTCTTTAATTATAATTTAGCCGTCTAGAGCTTTTAGCTCTCTTAGGCTTAATTATCAGACGCAAGTCTTTAACTATAATTTAGCCGTCTAGAGCTTTTAGCTCTCTTAGGCTTAATTATCAGACGCAAGTCTTTAACTATAATTTAGCCGTCTAGAGCTTTTAGCTCTCTTCGGCTTAATTATCAGACGCAAGTCTTTAATTATAATTTAGCCGTCTAGAGCTTTTAGCTCTCTTAGGCTTAATTATCAGACGCAAGTCTTTAACTATAATTTAGCCGTCTAGAGCTTTTAGCTCTCTTAGGCTTAATTATCAGACGCAAGTCTTTAACTATAATTTAGCCGTCTAGAGCTTTTAGCTCTCTTCGGCTTAATTATCAGACGCAAGTCTTTAACTATAATTTAGCCGTCTAGAGCTTTTAGCTCTCTTAGGCTTAATTATCAGACGCAAGTCTTTAACTATAATTTAGCCGTCTAGAGCTTTTAGCTCTCTTAGGCTTAATTATCAGACGCAAGTCTTTAATTATAATTTAGCCGTCTAGAGCTTTTAGCTCTCTTAGGCTTAATTATCAGACGCAAGTCTTTAACTATAATTTAGCCGTCTAGAGCTTTTAGCTCTCTTCGGCTTAATTATCAGACGCAAGTCTTTAACTATAATTTAGCCGTCTAGAGCTTTTAGCTCTCTTAGGCTTAATTATCAGACGCAAGTCTTTAACTATATTTTAGCCGTCTAGAGCTTTTAGCTCTCTTAGGCTTAATTATCAGACGCAAGTCTTTAACTATAATTTAGCCGTCTAGAGCTTTTAGCTCTCTTAGGCTTAATTATCAGACGCAAGTCTTTAACTATATTTAGCCGTCTAGAGCTTTTAGCTCTCTTAGGCTTAATTATCAGACGCAAGTCTTTAACTATAATTTAGCCGTCTAGAGCTTTTAGCTCTCTTAGGCTTAATTATCAGACGCAAGTCTTTAACTATAATTTAGCCGTCTAGAGCTTTTAGCTCTCTTCGGCTTAATTATCAGACGCAAGTCTTTAACTATAATTTAGCCGTCTAGAGCTTTTAGCTCTCTTAGGCTTAATTATCAGACGCAAGTCTTTAACTATAATTTAGCCGTCTAGAGCTTTTAGCTCTCTTAGGCTTAATTATCAGAAGCAAGTCTTTAACTATAATTTAGCCGTCTAGAGCTTTTAGCTCTCTTCGGCTTAATTATCAGACGCAAGTCTTTAACTATAATTTAGCCGTCTAGAGCTTTTAGCTCTCTTAGGCTTAATTATCAGACGCAAGTCTTTAACTATAATTTAGCCGTCTAGAGCTTTTAGCTCTCTTAGGCTTAATTATCAGACGCAAGTCTTTAACTATAATTTAGCCGTCTAGAGCTTTTAGCTCTCTTAGGCTTAATTATCAGACGCAAGTCTTTAACTATAATTTAGCCGTCTAGAGCTTTTAGCTCTCTTAGGCTTAATTATCAGACGCAAGTCTTTAACTATAATTTAGCCGTCTAGAGCTTTTAGCTCTCTTCGGCTTAATTATCAGACGCAAGTCTTTAACTATAATTTAGCCGTCTAGAGCTTTTAGCTCTCTTAGGCTTAATTATCAGACGCAAGTCTTTAACTATAATTTAGCCGTCTAGAGCTTTTAGCTCTCTTAGGCTTAATTATCAGACGCAAGTCTTTAACTATAATTTAGCCGTCTAGAGCTTTTAGCTCTCTTAGGCTTAATTATCAGACGCAAGTCTTTAACTATAATTTAGCCGTCTAGAGCTTTTAGCTCTCTTAGGCTTAATTATCAGACGCAAGTCTTTAACTATAATTTAGCCGTTTAGAGCTTTTAGCTCTCTTCGGCTTAATTATCAGACGCAAGTCTTTAACTATAATTTAGCCGTCTAGAGCTTTTAGCTCTCTTAGGCTTAATTATCAGACGCAAGTCTTTAATTATAATTTAGCCGTCTAGAGCTTTTGGCTCTCTTCGGCTTAATTATCAGACGCAAGTCTTTAATTATAATTTAGCCGTCTAGAGCTTTTAGCTCTCTTA